CGGTATGCTCAGGATATTTAATATCCCAGGAGCACTCTAAAAGTATAAAAGAAGCTAGTTTCTTCATGTTTTTTCTTTATTTCTTTGCTTTCTTATTTTTTTTTTTCAAAACTTTCATTTTGCCTGCTCGTTTAACACAAGATTTGCGCAACATTCTCCAATCTTTGCTCCAACGTGGTCTTTCGTTCTCAAAGATAAAAATTTTGTATCCAGGAGTGGGTAACTCTACTCTTACAAGGCTCAGAAAACTATATTGCCCTGACACAGCTAGACCTCTTGGCGGAAGACCGAAAAAACTTGGTGCTAAAACTATGTCCCTAGTGTCAAGAGGACTTTGATCAGGTGCTTTAGATAATCCCCGAGCAGCACAAGAAATTTTAAGATCGATGGGCCATGATATGTCAATTAATGGCACCCGCAAGTCATTGAGACGAAATGGACTTAAATCTCGTAGAAAAGTAAAGACCAATTTTGTTAGCAAGACAAACAAGCGGCTTCGATTGGCGTGGGCTAAAAAGCATAGGCATCTTACTATTGCTGATTGGCGTCGTTGGATGTCTTCGGATGAAACAAGAATAAACCTTTGGGGCTCAGATGGTAATTCTTTTTACTGGACGAATGTTGGCCGAATCATGCAGTCGTATCAAGTCAAGTCTCAGTTGCAGAGAAATGACGGTGGGGTCATGTTCTGGAGTTGCATAACAGCGGAGGAGCCTGGTTATGGTACTACCATTATTGAAGACGCAATAAACTCGGGCTTGTTTGTCGATATTTCGAAGACATCATTGAACGACACTCTTGAGCACTTTGGGAAGACACCATCTGATGTGCGAATTCAACAAGACATAGCAACACCGCATACCTCCGGCATTACTAAGCGATGGTTCACCAACAATGGGTTTAACCTAGACGAAATCATGGATTGGCCACCTCAAAGTCCCGATCTTAATCCCATTGAACATGTCTGGCATCTCCTAAAGCTTCGTCTTAATAAGTGTCCCACTAGGCCCTCAACAAAAGAAGAATTAGAGCGGCGTATTAACATTCAGTGGTAAAAAATAACAGAAAAAGAGTGCCAGAAATATATTGATAGTATGCCTGCCCGAATCAAGGCTGTCATCAAGAGCAAAGATGGTTCAACTCACTATTAATGATTTTATAATAAAATGTACATTTTTCTATATTTATTTTTTAACCAATAAAATCATTGGATTTTAGTTTTTGAAAAAGTTATAACTATGTATAGATAGCACTACTTTCTCTCATTCAAACGATATATATTTCGACTTTGTATACAAAGAAATGACCAAAAACTTGTGCAAAAAGACAAAATTTTAAACGAACGGGACAGTTTTTCCCCCTACAGTAGTATATAAGAAGGATCATCTACCTGGCCAGTAGAGAGACTTCAGTTTACTTTACACCTGTCAGTTTGATAATAAAACATACCTTTACCAAGTTGACATTACTGTTTTTTTATTCTTTTTTTTTCCGTGAATTTTAGTCTATCAAGCCTCAAATTCCACACAACCAATAACAAGCATATTCAAATATGACAACTATGCCCTGCTACCATAGTTGCACAATACTTCAGATAAAGGATTCCATACTTCAATAACAAACATCACACTTTAAACTATCAAGGTTACATTAAATCATGCTATGACGATAACTCACCCAAGTCCATCAAAGTTATTCAAGTCGACCCTTATGGCCAGTGCTCTTTGTTGTGCCAGAAGGGCTACAACTGTCTATAAAGATTAAGGTATTCTTGATGGGTAGATATGTCTGTGTTGTGCAACAACATGGACAAGCTATGGTAATTGAAGTGCATCTCAGCTATCTAAATACTGAGGTTCACCAGATGTGATAAGCGTTGTACAAGATAAATTGCTACTTTGGCATTCAGAACTTAGTATAAATAGAATAACTCTTGTCTTCATCAATAAATCTTTAGTTTTTGTGTCTGATCTTATTCAAATAAGTCTTTTCTTGTTTCCATAATATCGAACATTTTTTATAAGCTACAAATAATAATCCTTTTATTCTTTGTGCTTAACAGCTCATTATTTTTGGTCTGAAAGCTAAATGTAACCAGCATCATTCGATGCGCCTTCATTGACTCTTTATAAATGCATTAGAAAGTAAGGTATAACAAGGACAATTTTCATAGTCAAATTTAGCAAAAACGTTTAAAGAATGTGAATTCAAGTCGAATTTGAACACGAAAATACCCACTGTACAATCGCAAATTAAAGTGCAGCAGTTATGGCTGCCACGGCAAAAGGCTGAGGTCAAAACTACTGGCCGTGACGTCGATTAGGTCACCCTCTCGGTTTTTTTTTATATCCTCGTTTTTTTTACCCTGTTTGCAAAACGCGTTTAGTAAAACCATATTGATTTTGGAACACTTTTGATTAAAAATAACACTCTAGCTTCTGACAACACGGCCTTGCAATGTTAAAAGTACTTGATACTGCTTCTTTAAAGTGGAATATAGTAAGTACCATTCGATAACGAGCACTGGAAGACGTAAAATCAGTACTAATCGAATTTATGTATTACGTTTCGATAATTTTTTTTTTGCCTGTTTGACATCGGTGCTGCTGCCATTAATTCTCTGCTATGCTATTTGCTTCTTTGGTATATTATGTCTGGTGGTTGCTTCGTTGGTCTCTATCTCTGGTGGTTGCTTTTTTAATCTTTGTCTGGTCTCTGGTGCCGTTCGCTCTTTGGTTTTTCTATGATGCTGGTGTTGCTTCTGGTGTTGCTTTTGGTGTTGCTTCTGCTAGTCTGGTCTTTCTTGGTTTGTTGTATTGGTTGCTTCTGGTGTTGTTGTTGGTGTTGTTGTTGGTGTTGCTGCTGCTAGTCTGGTCTTTCTTGGTCTGCTGTCTCGGTTGTATGTTTGTTCTCTGGTCTATCTCTGGTAATTGTCTATTCTCTGCTGATCTATCCGTGGCTGTGGTAAGTGGTAAGTAACTTTCTTTCTTTTGGTGGCAATGATATAAAACTTCCCTGGACGTTTGTATAATTGCTTTTTTTCTCGTGATAATGCATTCATAATGTTTGCTTTGTTACGATTTCTTTTTCTTTCGCTGGCTGTGATATGATCAGCTCAACGCATGCTTGCGATGTTGTTGCTTCGTATGTACGAGCAACAAGCATAATGCACTGCTATATATCTGTATTGCCGTTGTAATACTACTTTGTTATATGGCCGTGGATTGTTGTTGGTGTTGCCTCTGTCGCTTCACATGAAACAACATTAGTCACTATGTTGTATTGCACACTTATAATACTGCTGTTGCTCATGCAATTGTGCGTGTTTGTGTTGCTTGACATCCGACTATTACCACTATGCACGTTGCTCATGCATGCATTTTTGTTGCAACAACAACGAGCTGTTCTGAACATCTTTGATGTTGTATTTGTTGTTATGCTTTTCTTTTGACACACTTTTTTGTGTGAGTGTTCCTTTTTTTTATCTACATGCTACTATACCCTTATAGTAGTATGTTCTTCTTTTCCTTTTTTCTTTTATTATGTTTCTTTCGAAGCATACCTCTTTATTACGTTGTGGTGGATGTGCCTATCGCTGAAGCTCAACAAGACTTTATCCGAGACTAGGAGATGGATAGGCTGCCTCCACTTGGTTATCACTACTTACTTTAGTGATGATTGAGAGTCTCAACGCCAGAATCTAAAGCTAGGTGGTGTAAGTAAGGCATGCTCTAGCACCTGAGGGAAATTTGATGATAGTAACAGCTATATTGCTATATAGCGGAGCTTAAAATTTTGCCTCACATCAAAACAGGGGGAAACTCTCGCAATTTTTTTTTTAGGTCAGCGGAGTTTTTGAGCAATCTGATTGGCTGAGGGATTGAAAGAGAAACGGTCTACAACTGGTTGATTTTCTGTTGATCTGTCATTTATCGTGATTTTGTGTTTATAATAAAAGGGTATCCAAATAGATGCAATTTAAGTTTTTCTTTCATTCAAAAGTATGAAGTTACGTGCACTCATTTGATCTAGCATCCATTAAACAGTTTGATATGAAGAGTGTCTTTTGAATTTATTATTTGCTTGAGGAAATAATTGTATTATAATTTACACACTGTTACTCATTTTTACGTTTGATTTGTATTGTGTGTTCTATTTTACGAAGTTCCTTTCAGTTACTACAGAGTTTCTCTGTTTAAAAACAAGCAAAGGGTTTCGCTTCTCAAAAATTATGCAATTATGTTTTAAAATGTAGTTGCTGGCTGCACAAACAGTTTTCAAGCCATGAGTCTAGCTTTCAAGGAAATGGATTAGCCATTAACAACTTTTCTATTACCAGTAATTACAAATAATTAAGAAATAGATAGGGTACTGGAGCACGTTTTATTCAAATCCGGTTGGCGGCTTTGCTTTTTTGTTGCCTTGTAATACATGCTCAAAGGCTGTGCTGTACATCTTATGATTTGGCCCATTTTCAAAGACCCGCATCTTACTACTAAGGACAATTCGTAAACGGATAGACATTATAATTGCACTATTTTTTATTACTGCTCAAGTTAAGCAAAACACAGACAAACTTGAGTGCAAATTACCTGAGAGATTGAGATGATGATGTACGAATTACAAAATGGTCGTTCTTTTTCATAATTGTATATGAAATTTACAGTATGCTTAATTTTAATGATGTATTTGTTTATTGTGATTGCATAAAATTATGTGCAACTGCGGCTAATATTAGGGCTATCCTACTATGTATGATGCGAGTAACAGGCAACGCAGATCGGCTTCTCAATCGTGCCAGATTCCGCATTGGCAGTGGCGCCTGTAGCTTGTCGTATATTAAGGTAATGGATTGCTGATTTTGTTGATATTGAGCACTGCTATTGTTGATCAGGTGAAATATGTTGCATCTTGAATCTAGACTACTTTGATATGAATGGAATTGATCACTGATGGATGGTACGGGAATATCATTTTGATAATATTTTATTTATAATTAATTAAGATAAGTCTAATGTTTGCAAGGATATAATATTCACAATTTCTCTACGACCCTTTAACCATTCTTTAAATGTTGTCAGCTTTCTAGCTTCTTTAAAAGCAGTCGACGTTTCCTGTTGATCCTCGAAAGCATCATCCAAATTATCTTCATCGTTATCTAGCGCTGTGCCCATCTCTTCCAAAAGGTAGTTTGCAAAGACCACCAAGTAAAAGTAACGTACAAGATAATTGAGAGCAACTTCACGAGCTGCTCTCCATTTCTTGGACCCTTGATCTGTCATGGCCTCAATACGCAGCTTATAGTCATAAATAGCCTTTCTCAAGTTTTGCATATGGTCACACATGTTGATGGCTTGATCAGTCAATCGCTTCGCCAGTTTACCATAAGTCAAGACGCTGACAAGTTGTAAGATGACGCGGTATTCACCATTTTGGTAGCGCTCTCTTTCATCATAGGATTCGTCGTCGTTATCATTGCTTGTATTTGAACTGAAGGGATTGATGATGCTGGTGGTACTGCTACTGTCGACCATGAACGAATCAGCCATGTCGCCAATAGCATCGTTGCTGAGAATCATGGAGAGTAAGGAAGCGACAATCATACCAGTCGTTGTACGGCCACGGCCCATTTGACAGTTGAATATAACATCGACGTCTTGATTTGCATCGCGCATTCGGTGGATTAACTGATCAAATACGTCTGGAATAGGTGCTTGTTCATCAGTGCTATCTCAGAAGGTCAGCGCAATTTTATAGTAAAGCCAGATTCAACAACTTACATGGGAATTCTTAGATAGTTTACTTGATAGCCTTCGGCTCTAATAGACTCAAATACTTGGCTAGGTGTTTCGACTTGATCTGAAGGCACTGTTTCCCACAATGGCTATATACAAGTGGCAGTGAGCTTCAACGGGCTTCTCAAGCACTATATAGCGCCACTTACCAATAAGTTAAAATCACTGTCTTCATCGTGCAACAACATGCGACCATCATACTCGTGCAATTCTTGAATCACGTCCAATCTCATGCGATCCTCCATACTCTCCACTCGTTCTTTTGAGATACCCGTCGTTTCCAAATTCTTGAGAGGATCTGTAAACAAGCGTAGGACGTAAGGATTCTTATTGACATATAGCACTGGCTCTTCACGTAGACAGGTCCAGAACACCCAACGACGACCTCCAGGGCCTGCTTGCATGGCTTTGAGGATAGACTTAATAGCATCCTTATTGGGCATGGCACAGCCAGAAACAAAGGGCGCTTGCAATGCTTTTTCGTCGTCCCTCTCCATATCAGCAGCTAGGCCACTGACAGTAGCAGCCAAACCCCCATACTTGACAGCCGATTTCACTTGCTTAATCTCAATGCGTCTAAAGTTATAAGCGCCAGGTATCTTCTCCTTGAGACTCATCTTTTGACAGCCGGGGAAGGCATCGTGTTTGAGGATGGTTTGTTGAGCAAGCACCTGGCCATGACGTGAATTAACAACACGCATGACTTCACTGGACAGGGCCATGCCGTCTCCACCACCCAAGGATTGTTCCACAGGCACAAGAGATCTGAATTCGTCGCTGGTATGGAGCAAGTCTTGCAAAATAGTGCCTAATTCAGGATGGCGCTTCATCCAGAGACCAAAGCTTTCTGTGTCTCGTACTAAAGAGGGTGATGTACTATCGAGATACGCCTGGAAACAAATAAACATAAAGTAACGCTCCAATGCTGTGATTCCGCGCTTGACAGTTCTTTTAAATTGGCTGGGATCTTCTTCCTGTTCCTTTTCTGCTTGGATACGAGCGTCTTCAATGGTGCTACGCAAGTTCCTGCCTCCGACACTGCACTGATCCAAGATGGCGTCCACGATGCACTTGTTTTCAAGGCCACGTCGAATGACACGAAGCAAACTATTGATGATCTGGTAGTTGGGGTATTGTACAGAGTTTTGCAGAGGAAGCTCACTGCGACTGTTGCGAATAGAGGAATTGGTGGAAGAGATATTGTTCTTGGGGCGGATCCATCTTGTCAATAACGAAGCAATGATGGTACCAGTGGTGGATCGACCAAGGCCTACTTGACAATTCCTGTGCCAATTTGTTCAGGTACTGCGAGTGATACGAATGATATCTACAACTTACATGATGATGGCTGTTTTGGACAGGTCGACACCAGTGACAAGCGATGTCAAGTCATCAAAATCTCTCCACTCGGGCGCTTTTTCAGCAGTGATGGGCACACGATGGTACTCCAACAGGTTGTTGACGAGACTTTGCTGTGCTTGCTCTTCATTGTCTGACAGTTCACGTTCTTGTTGGATCTCCAGTGCTGCAAACTCCATCACCTCTCGCACTGTCATGATATCTTGAAGGTCTACTTCCTCCCATGAAGAGAGCACGTTGCCATTTCTGTCCTCGCCATGAAGCAAAATACGGCCACCACATTGAGCTACTTCACGCATGACATCCTCCTTTAATCTTTCTTCCAATTGCTCCATACGAGAGCCAGTAATACCCTTGTAAGCTTTCAAGTTGCGTAATGTAAAAGCGCGATCACGAAGAACATAGGGAATACCGTTGATGTAGATGATGGGCTCTTCACGGAGATTGATCCAAAGAATGCGCTCGCTCTTGGGTCTATCACTGAGTAATGTACGGATCACTTGACGCAGGCCATTGACCGTAGGCTGAGCAACACCATAGACATGTGTATTCTCAATGCGTCTAAAATTGGATGCGCCATCTATGACAAAGCTGTGATGTCTCTCTGGCCCTTGCTGCTGCTGAGGTTGCTGCAATTTATGGTCTTCCTCCATAGATGAGGTTATACTGCTGTCTTCATTCTTGTCAGAGAGATAGCCAAAATGCCAAAAATCGACTTTGAGAATTGTTTGTGAAGTGAGAACCACACCCGTACGAGACTATGTTCACTAGTTGAATCACACTGCTCTGGATACAAATATACGGATACTTACATTGATGGTAAACTCCTCCATTTCCACTGTGATGCCTGTATTCGGTTGTGGCCCAGCGCCTGTCATGTCAAACATACCTTGAGCATTGCGTCCTCTTGATACACTCAAAGCACTGCTGGCTCTCTTTTGATTCGCTGTAGGGTTCAGGTGGTGCAAATCCTCCACTGGACGGAAAAAATACAAGCGAGGACCTTTGCGACGCATATTTTGCAGCATGGCCCAGATTTCAGTGCGACTTCTCACCCAAGAAGAGAATCTGTTTTCAAATTTGGTGTTGGGCGATTCATTGACATAGGCTGTGAAGCAGAGCAAGAAAAAGTAACGCTGTAAGCCATTCAGTGCCTTGCTGAGGTAATTGCTTTCATCGTAGTCAGCTGAGGAGGTTTGCGTAGTTTGTCGGATGCGGTTTGTCAAGATGGATTCTCTCAAGTTGATGACAGCATCCGCTATTATAAAAGAAAAGTAAGGCATCAGACTGACTTCAGTGTATACATACAACTTACATCGATCAATCACAGTATCCAAGATGCGCTTACTGAATGTACCACTCTCTAGTACAGTCGTCAGAGAAACAATGGATTGGTAGTTGCCCATGATAGCCTCTTTCAAGTTTTCAATCAGTGAGCCTCTCTGCAAAACCCATTCAATAGCAGATTGAGATGACAGCTTAGAGTCCAATGCTGTTGCTGCGTGTGAGTACAAGCACATATGAGGATAATGTCGGCTTTGCTTACCATTTTCCAATATGAGTACAAGTCTTAATAGTGCATGGTTTTTGGCATTGACATTATCAGCCTCCTCCAAGCCCTTGACATATCGATTCATGTTTAGTTCATCTGACATGACTGGCGAACTAGTATCCATAGTAGAAGGGTAGCTCCAGCCTGGGATGGGAAATGGATCAGGTCTTCCTCGTTCAATCAACTGGGTGCGTCGAATGATCTGAGCAATGATGATACCCACCGTAGCTAATTTATTTGCAAATGAGTAATGGTTTATACAAAATCTAATACAAAGGACTTACTTCTCACAGCACCAATGCCGCAGTTAAAGATGAGTGGATCTGTTGGCTCCAAGCTGCGAATCACATTGATGTACTCGTCAAAGTAGTTGTCCTCGGGCGCCTGCTCAGGTGAGATTGGAATACGAAAGTATTTCAATCTGTAGCCTTCAGTTTGAAACGACTGAAACACTGGACTGTTTGTCAATGCACTAGTCTTTATCTCTCTCTCTCTCTCCATTCTCGAAACAAACCTTCTTTTGGTGTTTGCACCTTGTCAGCTGCAATGTAGCAAGGAACCACCGTGCCGTCCGCTATATCACAAACGCTTAGATTTCGCTACACACACACACACACACACACACCCAAACTGCACTCTTACATAGTTCTTGATGCACCAACAGCAGCCCTCCCAATGATTTGGCTTCCTTTACAACATCCAGTTTCAATCTCTCCTCGACCTTTTCTAAACGGACAGCATTGATCCCAAGAAAAGCGCTCATATTTTGCATTGGATCTGCATACTCACGCAATACATAAGGGGATCCATTTAAATAAACTATTAAAAAAAAAGGTTCAGTTGATATTCAATCTGCCATTTATATAGAGTTATACCTAATGGCTCCTCACGAGTTGAGAACCTATGATGATACTCTTTAGTCGCCAAACAAATCGATGGAATTTGCTGCTGTATGACTTACCAGGTGCATGATTCAGAATTTAGGCTCTTCGGATGGCAATTCAATATGGCCAATATAGTCGAAAGTCCAATCACCTAAATAGCGGTGGCGTTAGTCGCTGTACTCTTCACCCACCCTATGCAAATTATCTTTATTGGAATTTACTGTAGGCTGTGCAACACCATGAACGTTGAGCTCCGCAACACGGAAATTAGGGGCACCTTGAAGATGAAAGTCGAGGTTTGTATTGGTTCCTTTTTGTATGGATAAAGAAGCACGTTGTAAGAAGAGAGGCCCACATATACGTCATTCTATCAAGCAGTATAGAAAGTATGCTTACCACTTGAGAAATGATCCATTTTCAAAATTGTATTTCGAGCCAGCACACTGCCTTTCCTTGATTTAACAACATTTGGAGCCATCTTCAGTAAGGAAAATGGATCCAATGTAGTGTTAATTTGATTTGAATGAAACATAGCACTAGTATTATCTATGTTACTACTTTGTCTTGAATGATTTCTAGAATTGAAACCGCTTCCACTGGCACCACCACTTGTACATGACATGTTAGTATATATAGATCTGCTGCTCATAGTATCATTCAGCACTTACATGCGAGGTGGGACAAAATTTTTAGTGGCCTCTGAAGCTTGAGAGAAAGTAGCATCAATCAGTCTGCGCTGTAAACTTGGAGAATCGTGAACTGAGTGTACGGATCCTCGACGAGTAGATGAAGATTCAGCATATAAGCTAAAGGTGTTATTGTTGCTTTTAGGTGATGTTCCTAGTACACCATCACTAGGATCTTTGGATATAGTCATTTTTTGTTGAGAATAATGAAAAGAGAGAAAAAAGTTACAAAAGAGATAGGATAACGATTCTATTTATACTCTTTATATTTTGATTTTTGGTTGTATACCAACCGTTCATCCAACCAAACATGAAGCATGAATCTCTTTCAGGGCCAATCGCAGCGAGTCATCTGACCAATACAAGTGGATATATTTGCCCATCATTTGCTTATCAACAGCGGGTCTCCTTTAAAGCTTGTTTGTATTGGCTTAGGGATATATACCATGTACAATTGAATGCACTGAACAAATGGTGAGAAAATCAAAGAGATAAAGAGTAATCAGATAACTGATAAGTGCCATGTACCACATATCTATGTCAAAAACTGAGACAGATACCGAAAGGACATATCCATGATTTGCTACATGGATGTTCCTTTTTCCCGTTTTATTCGTCATATTTGGAAGGGACACATGGTACATTGAAATAGATTAGTTTTTCCCACCCCTTCAGCCTTACACATACGCTGCAATGCAATGATAAGATCATTCATTAAATGTTTCTTCCCATCCACACTGTGCAATGATTTTAATAGATGGTTGACTTCAGATTCGAAGTGAACTAATCAAAACAGGTGGACATTGTTGCGTCTTCTTGAATGAGGACTCGCCTTAAGATAACTATCTTGGAATGATTAGACCCATTATATATGATCATTTATGACAAGCGCAAGATAAATCAAACAGTTTAAGCTAAAGCGTTCCTCAGATTGTATTCCCTTCTTGATAGCCTCACAAACATTGCTTGTGTTCGTGATTACAGCAGGCATTGGTATTTGTCACCAGCCAAAATTGGTTGCATCTCCACTTATTTTTTGCTGCTCTAAACCGGCCAAATTCTGTCCAAATTCGACTTGATTTTACTCTTTTGAAAGATTCGACTATATAAGTTGCAATGTTCAACCCATACTCTCTAATGGTCTTTTGTAATACGTTTCAAGGCGCTTCCAATAGTATTATTTAAAATGTACGTTTTGAACAAAATTTTTGAAAATATGAAATGACGTTTTTGACGAGAATGTTGAGATTTTATATATAAAGGTCGCACAAACAAAGTTTCAGGGATTGCTTTGGATGGATAGAAACATTTTGAATTAATATATGCCTTAGTAAAAGTCTTCATCTTTGGAGTCAAAAAAGCGATCGTTTAATTTTTGATGAAAACCATGAGGTACCCCTCATGCTTTTTGGTCGATTTTTGGCCATATTTTTTGAGCTCTCAAAAAGTTGAGCAAAGATGTCAGCAAGCAACTGTTAGACGAGAGCAATTGTCTGGTGCTCTTCTGGCAGTCTAAAACGTCTTCAACGCGAGAAATCACGGATTAAATGCACTCAAGTTTTGGTGTGATTTACATAATTTTGAGTCATAAGAAGCAATACAAGTATGCTGTCTATCTGTATATAATCTGTTTCCAATGATACAGACGAGAGGCATATTGAGGATTGGATCCACGGGCCCAGGTCGTCTATAGGAAGTTCTTTCATGATAGTTGCAGGATAAAAGTGTCCGGTTCGTTTGAGATTAAGATTTGTAATGCACACAGCAGAGAGTCATCAACAGTAGTATTAGAATTATAATTTTTATGTACATTTATCAATAAAAGTCTATACTGGATCAACAAAGTGGGCTTAATCCTTGGGCCTCTTGTTCTCAAAGCCATCTTGATTGAATTCTTGTTCATGCTTATCAAGATCTTCAAAGTAAGTCTGGGTGCTTTCTTGCTTGACCCACATGCCCTTATACACACTGTCATCCATCAATAGCAACTCTTCATGTCGGCCATGCTCAACCACAGTGCCTTCCTTGAGCACAAAGATTTGATCTGCATCAGCAATGGTTCTCAGACGATGAGCAATGTGTAAGCTGGTCATGTTGGTCTCACGCAAAATACTTCTAAAGTTAGCCAAGAGCGACTGTTCCGTATGCGTATCCAATGCTGAAGTAGCTTCATCCAGGAACAAGATACGAGGCTTCTTGAGGATGGTTCTAGCAAGCGAAATTCTCTGCTTCTCGCCGCCCGACAACATCAAACCACGTTCACCTACAGTAGAGTCGTATTTCTCGGGCAAAGACATGATGACATCGTGGATACGAGCACGTTTCGCAGCTTGATAAACTTCTTCTCTCGAGGCATCAATGCGACCATAGTTAATATTGTAATAAATAGAGTTGTTGAACAGTGTTGTATCTTGAGGAACAACACCAATGGCCTTGCGCAGACTGTCCATGGTGACATCCTTGATATTCTGGCCATCCACATAGATGTTACCCGACTGAGGTTCGTAGAAACGGAACAAGAGTCTCAAGATGGTGGATTTACCACATCCGCTAGGTCCGACAAACGCAGCTTTGCAGCCAGCAGGTACAGTGAACGACACGTCGTTCAAGATGAGTCTTTCAGGGTGGTAGCCAAACTTGACATTCTCAAATCTAATCTCACCGCCCTTAAAGATGAACTCTTTAGCATCAGGAGCATCTTGGACCAAGGGGGCACGGTTTTCCAAGTTGAACAAGGTATCCATATCAATCAACGATTGGCGCAATTCTCTGTAGACAGATCCCAAAAAATTCAAAGGCATGGATAGTTGAAACACCAATTGATTGACCATGACCACATCACCCACTGTCATTGTTCCCTTCATCACACCGTTAGCAGACAAAAGCATCATGATGGTCAAGGCTGTACTGAAGATGGCATTTTGCCCAGCATTCAAAAGAGCAAGACTGGATGCTACTTTGAGTGATGCCTTTTCATACTTTTCCAAAGGCTTGTCGTATTGCTCAGCTTCAAATTTCTCATTGTTGAAATACTATGCATTCTATGAGTATACCCTTTCCCATCACACAGTTGTTACAGAGCTGCTCTTACCTTGACAGCTTCGAAATTAATCAATGAATCCACAGCTTTTGAGGCAGCAACATTGTCAGCAGCATTGGCTTGCTTTCTGAACTGAGTTCTCCAAGCAGTTGTTGTAACAGTGTAGCCAACATATGCCATGATAGTACCGAGAGTAACAGCAGCATAAGGTGTGCCAAATTTATAAGCCTACAATGTGAATCATCACTCAATCAGCCAATGATCCTGCAAGGGCACTCCCGCCAATCCAACACTTACCAAAATACCGCACACCATACTGATTTCCAAAGCGGTTGGCAATACATGGAATACCATTGAGCTTACCATGAAACTGATGCCTCTATCAATTATAATATTGGTTAAAGTGGTTGGCGTATTGAATGTTGCCCATTGATGCTTACTTTGTACCACGATCAATTGCACGATTTAAACCGCCCGTTTGACGAGTTAAATGGAATCCAAGATCAAGCTTATGAAGGTGAGTGAATACATTGAGAGCTACACGACGAATTGCCTTTTGAGCAACAGCAGCAAATACAGCATTACGAAGTTCTTGAAAGACACTTGAACCCAAACGAGCGAGACCATCTATCCACAGCTTTTAGGTTGATGTAGCTAATTTGAATCCTCCCTCCCTCTACTTACAACCAATAATAGCAGCACCACAGATAGCCCACAGAGTGCCCTCTTCAGGAATAGTGATATTCAAAGAATCAATGACATTTTTGAAAAAGAATGGTACCTGAACATTCAACAACTATATATATATATATATGCAACCGAACACATTGGTTTTAGTTAAATGGCAAATCAAAACAGGCATGAAAATTCAAGCAACCAACCTTGCCGCCCACTAACAAAGACAATGCAATGACCACACGAGTCTTGACACCTAAATCGTTCTTGGGCCAAATGTATTTCATCAATTGTTTAATGATGGCCCAGTCAGTCGCATTTCTCTGGCTGTTGGGAGCTTTGACCTCTGTTGCTTTGGGCACTGCTTGCGCTACTTTTTTATCTACAGTATTGACAGTGGCCCTTTGCACCGATGTCCATGATGGCTTCGACGTAGTGAAAATTCTCTTGGGAATCTGCTGATGGGTTTTTTGTGCCAACCATGCTATCGATGATGTCTGTAGAGATGATTTCTTTGTATGTAGATGTCTAAACACACATTGCTGAAATGGATTGCTACCGCCTGTCAAAGGTTGTTTCAAAGAGGATTGCCAGACAGATGTGTTTGCCACTGTCCTTCTCAGGTAGTTGGTCGACAATCGTGGCAACATGTTGTTACCAGAAAAAATGTTGTATATCAAATGTTTTGTAAAGCAGATGAAAGAAATATCAAATTATACCCTGTTTTTCGTTAAAAAGCGGATGTTTTCAAGCTAAATGTGACCGGATTAGCCCGTAAAGATGATGAATTTAATCAGATTTTGATACCATTTGGAGTCACTTGAGCAAGCGAATGAACAAAAACCAATTATTGAAACTTAATGAGTCGCTATCCACTACTTTGCTAGCGGTATTTGCTTATTGAAAACTACTCCACATACAATGTAAAACCATTCAAACTGCTTGGAAGTCATTCAAATGTCGATCGCTGGTCTCTATTCTGCATGCAGAATACAAATGTTCTTATCACCGGAGTGTCAACGGATGCGTGGTCTGATGGTCCTAGCATTTCTTCTATGTATATCTCTTGATGAACATGCTAGAGTGGCATCTGCAAATAACTATAGTGGATGATTCCACAACGAGTCAATGTATACCAAACATACCATTGAATTGCGTCTGATCAGTGGCAAAGACATATACTCACGCCCAATCTAAATGCTTCTCACTTGAAATCAAGAATGAGAGGCAGATCAGGGATAGCCGAACAAGGAACCAGTTTGGCGCCACTTTAGTCATCTAAACTGACCTATATTTCGAGATATCGGCGCTTGCAAATGACTGAATTCATCCCAACTAGGTATATATGGTATGATGAGCATGCCAAATTTATTTGGAAAGGAGTTACATCATGTAGAAATCGGCCATCAAGGGTTTATAAATTATGTCTGGTCAGTCCATAAGTCTTTACCAGGAATTACATGAAGCGTTGCCATGGCAACTACTAGAGTATTGATCTAATACCTTCACTTTCGAGCATTGTAGTGTGATCTTGGCATTGCACAAGCAATCAATATCGCACCCAACCTGCAGTCTGTATTTTGCGGCTATTTAATGTGAAGGCAATCGTTCCTGGATCAAGAAAAGGTACAAAACGAAAGCATCTTGCTTCTCTTTGCACGACAAAAAGGCGGTTTAACAAGAGTATAGGATACAAATACACAAATTATCTTTATTTTCAAACAGCTATCATTTGCTGTATTACCAATGACTGGCTAAATGTGTGTCACCGAGTACGTTGTGTCGAACATGCGCTGGTATTTTACACCATTTCTCACACCAAATTCTCCGTTTCCTTTTGCTCGCTTCTTCTTCTTCATCTTCTGTTTCTTCCTCGAATCCTTGCTTTTGATCTCTTCTCTTCCTCTTTGTATTTCTCTCCAAAATGGACAATGCTGCTAAACTAGCCATCTTTTCTAGGCTCTGCACATGGCACGAAGACTGCACAAACTCGTAGGCCAAGACGCGTTTTTTTGTTGATACGTAGAGATACCGTCCATCGCGAGACCACTGTAGCCCATTGATTTTGGCCAGAATACGCAGGCGTTTGTTCTTTTCTCCTCGAAATGAAACCATGGTGATTTCGTGTCGTGCTAACAAATGCAATGTATGATGCACAGCTTCATCACCTTGCAAACATTTATCCGTACAGGTATGGCCATTGCTATGGGTTGTTTGTCGGTCGTAGTCTAGCAAGCGTATGGTTCGATGTGAGTCCAGACGAGAGACGCATTCGTCCAAATTCACTGTATGTAAGTAGCCGTATCGATTGGAGAATGCCAAGACGCCTTCAAGCTCTGGATGAAACTGGATGGCATAGGTGTAGCCGCCAGCATCGATGCTAAACAGTATTTCAAAGTGAGGTTTTGTGCGCCATACAAAGACATTGTTTTGCGTGTCGGATGTTTGTGCAAAGTAGATGGACGATTTGCTCCAAGCAACGTATTGCGACGAAAAGGTACTGGAAGTAGCAGTGGATGTTGATGGCGATGATGAAGTAGCTCGAGGTTTACCAAATGACTTTGAAAGTGGATGCTGATGATTGATGGATAGAATGGAAAGGGGTATCTTTAATTTGTGTGGATGTCCAAATGCAATTTTGCCCTGTTTGTTGAAAGAGATGGATATATGGAATATACAAGCTTCGTCGCCTACACACACCAGATGGTTGCCATCAGGACTCACGCGTGCATCATTGATAGGCACACGATCAAACGCACGTATGTGGCATTGGAGATGACAAGTGTTTGCAGTGGTCTGGCATTGGCGGTGACTGGGTAGATCATATATCAGTATACCAGCATCATTCATGCACGCAATCAGATAGTAGTTATAGTCGTGATCCTGCTTCTTCCATCGCACAACCTGCACTGCATTCGTCATGAGCAGCACATTGTTCTTACCCTTGAATTTGGTGCCCCATATCTTGATTGGCTTTGCGCTATCCATACAGCAGTAAAGCTCGAATTCACCCTCTATGCCACCGATGGCCATGTATCCGTATTTCTCTGCCAGACACATGGGTTCAAACCCCAAGGACAAGTAAGAATTCTGCGGTAAAATGATGGGGAAATGAGAACGTCGAATGTATTTTGTGTAGGGAATGAATTTGGAGATGAATTTGTCGTTTGTTGTGGAGGATGTATTTACAGTGTTGGGTTGATATTTACTATGCGTGGTGTTGCTATGGATGGATGAGTGTGAAATGGAAGCATGTGTTGCGATGAATTTATCAGACGCATTGGCTGCTTGCTGGACTGTATCGTTGTCGACATTGTCCAAATAGGTTGTCGTGTTGATTTTCTCCTGCTTGATTGTATTGAGAAGTATTTCCTTCTCGTAGTTCCCACATTCAATGATTCTGTCTCTGTAAACAGCATGAAGCTTCTCAGAAGAACCAAGATCGGATAAAACCAGTGACAACGCATTTGCTGACTGATCATGATTTGTTGTGGAACTGGAAGCAGGCAATTGTTTAGGCCAACCCTTTTCTTTCTTCCAAAACGAATTCTGCTGCCATGGCGCAATTGAGTTGATGGCATCCAGCTGCCGTTGTCTTTGTTTGATGAAAAATGTCAAGCGCATGTCGTTTGATTCCCAAGTAAAATCATTTGTGCTATATGGATCTTCATCCCACATATCGAAACCATCATCACGGCAAGTGCTGGATAAATCAGATGCAACTGAATCAGCGTCATCTTCGCCTCTGTAGTTTGCTTTACGTGGGCCTAGATATTCATAGTCAAGCGAGTAGTCGGATTCCGCACCATCATCCTCTTCTTCCTGCTGTGTCTGTTGCTGCTCGATGTCGTAGTTCGTATAGTCTGGCTGCCGTTGATTCTCTTCATCATAAATCATACTATCAAAAAGCGGTGTGATTGAACAGTATTTTCTAGAGAGAGAGAGAGAGAGAGAGAGAGAAGAAGAAGAAGAAGAAGAAGAAGAAAAGAGAAAAAGAAAACGAGAAGCTAGGTAACATGGTTTTTTAGACATTTTTTTTTAAATTAAGAAACAAAAATTCTTGAATTCGAAATCGATCTAAACAAGGAGCAAGAACATAGAAGAAAAAATCTTGGGCTGCTGCTGCTGCTGCTGCTGTTACCGCATGGGCTTCTGTGTGTGTGTGCGCAATGTAGAGAGAGAGAGAGAGAGAGAGAGAGAGAGTGTGTGTGTGTGTGTGTGTGAACTGGCCTTGGCTGTCTCCAACATGCAAAAAGCACATTTTGGTTGTATAACAATAAATAAATGTGGTTATCAGATTAGGCCCATTCAGATGAGCATCAATCCCAATCCACCTCCTCCCCCCAAATCCCCCCTTTAGTAATATGAAAGAGAAACATCCAAGAATCTTGTAACACTTTGCACAATTTGATTTCAGACGATGTCTATCATATGAATGGGGTGTAGCCAGCAAGAGGATGGAGTTCTTTGTTGGCTATCTTTGGATTGCATTGTGCCCAGTCAAACTTCACTAAAATCAGAACATTTCCGGAGATCAGGACAAGATTTGGACACAGCGTTCAGAATTTCCACCATTTTAATTAATCGTCTATTCATGCTCGTCTCCTGCTTCTCAGGCGCTGACTTCTAGCAAAATCCGCGCTGTATTGTTTATCACCATGCTCTGATGGTTCCAATCTTAACCTATATTCTGCAACCATTGCTCTTCCGACCCTTTAGAGTCACATTGCAAAAGGAAGAAAAAAAGAAAAAAAAAAGTTTCAACTACCAAACAAACAAAAGCGTCTCTTTACCCACTCTCTCATGATGCCAGTACTACCGAGACAATCAGCTGCAATTTCATCAATTTCTAGATATCTATCAACTACAACTATATTAAGAAAAAAGGTCTCCAAGCATGTCCTGACTGATCTCGCCGTCTTTCCCGATGTCGCCAACAGCTTGCTTTCGCATGTGGAGATGCCTACAGGATCTGTAGTGCTGGATACTGTCAGAAAATACCGAAAGAAATACCCCCAATGTGCATTGTTGACTCAAGTTGGCGAATTTTACGAGGTAAACACACAGCTTCATCACCATGCACATCATGACTAAAAAAGAACAAACATAGCTTTATGAAGATCATGCAACCACATTTGCCCCCAAGCTTGGTATCAAGTTGACTACGAAAAGGATCGCAGCAGACACCATCGTTGATTTTGCAGGATTCCCTGCTCGAGCATTGGACAGATACTTGGAGATATTGGTTAATGAATTGCATTGCAAAGTGGCTTTATGCGAGCAAGCTGGACCTGTGTCAAGACAAGACAACACCATTGTCGCCCTGGATCGCAAAGTAACTCGAGTCATTACTCCAGGCACAGTCATTGAAGAAGGGTTCCTGAAATCATCGCAATACAATTATCTATTATCCATTTTTCCATATAAGGAACAAATTGGTTTAGCTTGGGTTGATGTGTCAGTAGGAGAGTTTGTGATGCAGCTATCATCGACAAGCAGTCTAAAGGACGATCTTGCCCGCATTAGACCCAGAGAAGTCATATTACCAGAGTCAATGCGTCCCTCTGATGCAGCCTTGGAGCGAGGATTAGTTGACCAAGACGATGCTTTTGATCCCATTACAAAGCTGCTCATGTCAGATGCCAGCATCGCACTCAGCTATCAAGCCGATCAAGACTTCAGCGATAAGAAGGCAATGAGAACACTAAACCAGATGTTTAAGCGGTTTTCGGCAAACACACTAGGATTTAGTCAAATTGAATTAGCCGCAGGAATGGCGTTAATGATGTATGTAAATGAAACACATATTAATCGAAAACCAAAATGGCAAATGCCCTCACGCTTCAGCACGCATGATTCAGTGTGTATAGACAGTGCAGCCATGGCGTCACTCGAGCTTGTCAAGACATTGCAAGGAAGAAGAACAGATAGCTTATTAAGCGTGCTTGACTGTACGTCCACAAGTGCAGGCTCCAGACTGTTGACGCAGTGGATATCCTCTCCTTTAACCAATGTGCCTGATATCAATCGTCGTCTGGATGTGGTAGAATTTTTTACGCAGGATCGCTTTCTGTTGGATGATATACGTCGTTTGCTGCATTCTAGCACGGATGCCCAAAGGGCCATCACTCGTTTGAATTTCAAGAAAGGGCAGCATACAGATCTGATGGAAGTATGGTCCACGCTGGATGTCATCAAGAGCATACACACCAAGTTACAGGCATTTCCTCCCATGCAGTCATTGATAAACGACATGGACCCTCACGACAGCATTGCAAAGCACATTCAGGACGCCTTTGATCACGAAAAGATTCAATCCAAAGAAGTCAGGGATTATGGTTTTGTCAATCACGCATTTCATCCAGCATTGCTGCAGCTACATACTGAACTGGATCAATTGGAGATGCAACGGCTAAATTTGCAGAATGAGCTGCGTCAGTTATGCGGTAATTCTCTCTCTCTGCTTACAGATGGCAGCACCTGGAAGCACATCATTGAAGTCAGCAGCAGACAGTCGAGCAAGCTCCTGGAACGATTTCCTCATGCAATACCGTTGCAGCATACCAAGTCCAAGAAGCGATACCAGATTGATGAATGGACTAGCATCTCTGTGCGATTAGAGGGTGTTCAATCACAAATCATTCAGGTTGAAAATGAGGTGTTTGAGCAGGTGGTGGACACGGTACTGGATGCCAGTGCAACAATACTACAAAGCTGCAGAAAGCTCGCGCAGTTAGATGTGCTCACCAGCTTTGCACAACTAGCCATCAACAACCAATATATACGACCCCGTTTGACGCGTGTCAACCGTACCCTGATTCAGGGTGGACGGCATCCGGTGGTAGAATCCAATCTAGCAAAAAAGGGCAAGAACTTCACAGAGAATGATTGTGATGTAGGTAACAAACAACGCATTTGGCTCCTAACTGGACCCAATATGGGAGGCAAAAGCACCTTCCTAAGGCAGCATGTGATTATTGTATTAATGGCACATATGGGATGCTTTGTACCTGCAAATCGTGCTTGGATTGGCGTCACAGATAAGATCTTTAGTCGAGTGGGTGCTGCTGATAATTTGGCTCAAAACCAATCCACGTTCATGGTGGAGATGTCTGAGGTGTCTACCATTCTGCAGCATGCCACTGCAAAATCAACGGTGATCATGGATGAAGTGGGAAGAGGTACATCAACCAAGGATGGGTTTTCGCTGGCGTTTGGTATCTTGGACTATTTGCATAATAAGATCAAGTGCAGAACCATTTTCGCTACTCATTTTCATGAACTAGCAGATACCGTGCAAGATTACCAGCATTTAAAATGCTATCGCACTGGTTTAGAGATGAATGAACACGGGAATTGGAGCTTTGTGCATAAAGTGGAGCCAGGTGTGTGCCGAGAATCGCATGGTATCAAAGTGGCGCAATTGGCAGGTACTGTATAACTTATCATTACGTGTAGTAGACTACTACCTAACATGCCTTGTACTAGGTTTGCCAGTGAGTGTTACTAAAACGGCAGAATCAATGTGGAAATCATTGTAATACATACATCCTGTATCATAAAATATGTTGAAAATCAAATAGCAGAGATGGCATATTATACAATAAATGTGATAAATTGATGGTTTAAAAACGATTTATTTGTAACATTTAAACTAAATAGAATCAGTATTGATCAAATGAGTTATATAATGGCACAAAAAAATGCAGTGCGAGTAAAGAAAATACGATATATTGACGTTGTATACATATTAATAGGACAAGCCATTAGCTTGTTGGATTTGCATCGTTTATTTAAAGCATAGATGTTAAAAGCATTTTCTGGAAGTTGCTTGAATATTCAAACGTAGTGGTATTACAAAGGTCAGAGAGACACACTTTATTTAGTATCGCCTTTGTGTCTATAGCTTGTATCATCTTACTTGAGAATTACAACTTTTTCTTAATTGTAAAATCCTGCGTGCACCCATTTAAAAGTGAGCAGTGTAGATATTCATGAGACCTTCCAATATTGATAGCGAGGTCATAGCCATTCGCAGTAGGCAAAAGATTCAGTACGAGTTCAGTATCAAATGGCCCTCCAACATTGATTACAAGAAGAGGGTCAATTATACAGTTTATTCACTTCAATTTCGTAAAAGTCAGACAAAGAGATTGATTTGGCTTGAAAGCTCCATGAGCAAGAGACTGACTCATAAAAGAAACCAAGTGGACAATATAGCAGAGCACCAAGGCACACCATGCATTGAACAGTTTGAACCTCCAAGGGATGTACAGCCACTATCATACAGCGAGTGACAGAACACAGAAAGGCAGAGGTAGCATTGACCGAAAGAGCCACACACGCACACAGGGTACATGTTGCCAATCATCCATTCGTGTACGCCTTTCTCTTATCACCCAGTGCACCATGACGCCCATCTTTACTCATGGGATTGATACTTAATCACGCAAGATTCCAAATACACTGTACCTTGCAAGAGAAGAAGCATTTGCTATGGAGCTAATGCTATCGAAGAGGTATTCAAATAGTAACCTACGGAAAGAAGAGAGACAGATAAGCAGTAGACATCATGAAGAAAACATCATCTTTGGGAATTTTGATAGAACTTCAATTGGCCAAATAAAGTACCATAGACGCCCTGAAGCGATGTAAAACCACGGTATATCAGTGAGAGAGACCTTCTTTATAGCACTGTGTCAGAGGCAATAATTGTCATTGCACAAATTCTCATATTATGAGAAATAGGGCAGTCTTGCTCATTTCATAGAGGTAAAAAAGAGACTTGAGGTAATACCAGTGGAGACGTACACATGTCTTAATACCTTTAGATCACCGTGTACTTGATATATTTGTGTTTCAGCCAGATAGACTTTTCAATAATTTCAATGAGACAGTACCAGCATGTGTCATGCAAAAAAAAAAACCCCCCGCGAAGACAGGGACAGTTGTCATAAAGAGAGGAGCCGCATTGAGCAGGAGCAGGAGCAGGAGTAGGAGTAGGAGTAACAGAAGGTCAACTAGCCTTGCGAGTATTCTTGGAAGCAGTGGAAACGCTAGAAACAATTTTGTTCTTGGGGTTCTTGGAAAAAGTTGTTATGTCACAACATGATAAATTTATGGCCCTTGAACACTTTTCAAAGCCTCAAAGAGGAAAGAAATTGGTCCTATAAGTACTTTGGTGGGCTGGCATTATCAAATATAGGGCTTCAAAGAAAAACAGCATGGATAACGACAATATTATGTATTTCACCACCTAATTTTCATTAGCTTCAAAAGCATCTATTGTTTCCCTCATGATTAGAAGGGCATTGAGTTTGCTAGCTGGCCGCGCCAACTGCCAAAATCAATTCAAATCCAGACTCATAGTTGGTTTCAATTTGGCCAAACCTTGATATTTTTCGACTTGATTGAACTATTTTTGCAGATTCGACTATATAATATATGATGATCATCCTCTGCTTCTTTAAGCTTTCTTGGAGTGCTTTTCAAGGCGCTTCCAATGGTAACAAGTAAAATAGATGTTTTGAATAAGCTTATTAAATAATTTGCGAAAATATGAAAAGAGGTCTTTGGCCAAAAAGTCGAGATTTTCCATATCAAAGTCCTACAAAGATGATTTCAAGGGTTACGTTGGATCGATAGAAACATTTTGATTCAATACATACCATAGTAAAAGTCTTCATTTTTTGGTGTCAAAAACATGATCGTTTGATTTTTGATGAAAACCATGAGGGATACCTCATGCTTTTTGGTCGATTTTTGGTCATAATTTTTTGGTCCCTAAAAAGTTGAGTAAAGGTGTCAGGAAGTAACTGCCAGATGAGAGCAATTGTTTGGTGCTATTCTGACCATCTAAAACGGCCTTGAACGTAAGAAAACGCAGCTCAAACGCACTGAGGTTTTGCTGTATCAGGGACCTTAAGGACTAAAAAGGGGAAATACCAGTATGCTGCTTGTCCCTATATGAAGTAGCTACCTGTATATGTATGCAGAGTATCACATAAAAGCCAGATCCACAGATAATATGAAGGGTTTTCATGTGTAAGTAGAGGGTCAACATGAAAGTAGCAGTATTTTGATAAGATACGCAAGAGCAATCAGTAGCGCGAGTTGCCGCTGCGCAGGTTAATTTTCACTGAAGCGAAGCGAAGATAGAGAGTCATCCAAAGCATAAACGCTCATATGATTAGTTATTTTATATCAATCAACAATCAGGGTTCTTCTAACATTTTAGCTATATTAATTTTGCGATATTAGCCAAAAGCCCGCGGCAGCGCGAGCCGTTTGAACGTAGGTTCGTTTCCATCGAAGCGAAGCGTAGGTCAGGAAATCACCCAAAGTATTGTAAAGCTCGAAATAATAATAATAATAAATGCGTGCTTATTGATGCTTTCCACTGTTTTGGGGGGCATTATCCATCGGTCGATATGATGATACTGTCCTGAGTTTACGCTCAAATTGATCAACACCAAGAAAGTTTATGGCCTCATTAAAATTTACCACTCAATTTATTGGTGTTTGACTCACTACACTCTGAATTTGCGTATATATATATATATATATATATATATATATTACAATGATGATACTATCATTCGAAAAACCTTTCGTATAAGCTTTTATTTTCAGCGACCTGAAAGGGGAGTGAACATGGGGCATTAATATTCATGTTTATGAAACATAACCAAACAAAGAGGCAAACTGATGTTGGAACATGGTTCGATTAATGTAAGACATGCCAATTTAACGTTTGGCCGTTGGCTTAATCATCGCTCCGTTAGAGAAGCAATTTTTGTATAGAGTATGACAGGTAAGTAGTACTTGAAGAGTGCGGTCATAGCATGAGTTTGTGTATGAGGTTATGGGCTAGATGACAGCATATTCGATATACATCTTAGCCATGCATACTGCCTTTTGAACGCCGGAATCAAGGATAGACATAATCATCAATGCCACACATGTGCACTCTAGTAAAGAGATAAGCCCGATATTTGGGTGTCAATCCCTTTTAAAATAGATCTTCCACATCCCAACACCTGCTCTTCTTTCACCTCAGCATATCTCGTATTAAAACATGATGCAGTTAGCCGACGATCCCTTCGAATTTATATCCCCCATTATCTGTATTGGCTCCTTTTTGCTGATGCTTTTGGGACCCATTTTCATGCCTCGTTTTTGGATCCTCTGCATGTCTGGCTACTTCCTCATCTTTTTAGGTACTCAGTTCAATCATTTAACGAAATTTTACATGACAGCTCAAAGCATGAAAAAAACCATTAATGCATACAACGCTAAATTAAAGAACCAAGATGACGAGAAAGCAAACCATGCCGTGGCTACTGATAATGACTTGAAAAACGCGGAATCTTCTTTGGTCAACACCTACGACAGTGATTTCTTGGTGCATGCTTTTGTGATACCTAACTATGCTGAACCTGAAGCATTGATGAGAGATACCATTGGACGTATCGCCATCCACAAGTAAGCATAGAACGTGTTGTTCGAGAGGAGCAGTGGTTTATCGTTTGGTTTTAATAGGAAAGCGCGCACAAACTATGTCATTATTCTTGCCATGGAATCCTCTGAAATCTACCACAGAACCAAGTCCGAGAACCTAAAAGAGCATTTCAAAGACGACTTCTTGCAATTTGTTATTACCAACCATCCTTCAGATCTTCCTGGCGAAGCAAGAGGTAAAGGCTCCAATATCAGTTATGGCGCTCGTAAAGGTACAGCCGAAATGATTGCAAGTGGGATTGACAAGAATAGAATTATCATCACTATCTGTGATTCGGATTCTCATGTGCCTGAATTATACGTATTAGAGGTTTGTAGTAGGTCGATAAATGAGTGCCCTGCCTAGTTTCTCATAGCCAAACTCATAGGTCGAAAGGGCATTCAGTCGTTCCCAAAATCCTTATTACAGAGTGTTTGCTCCGCCCATCTTTTTTGGAAGAAACTGTTTCAAGGTACCAGCTGCTGTCAGAGTAACAGACATTACATGGTCATCCATGATCCTGGCCAACCTCAGTAGCAGTCGAGGTATTGGATTTCCGTGTTCCACGTACAGTATTAGTTGGAAGTTGGCCGATCAAGTAGGCTACTGGGACACGGATGCTGATGCCGTTGGAGAAGACATGCATATGACATTGAAATGTCTTTTCAAGACCGAAGGACAAGCTCGAATGACACCTATTTTTGTACCCATCAACCTCACCAATGTCGAAACACAAGGATACATTGAGAATCTCAAAGCTCGTTTTGTGCAAGCCAAGCGCCATTACAACGGTGTTGCTGATGTTGCCTACACTTTGCGCAGTGCTCTCAATCTACCTACCTATTGCGTCGATGCTAATGGAGTAGGAGGTAAACCACCCACCAAAGCCACTGCCAAGCTGGATGAGAATGCATGCACTACATTCTGGTTTGATAGAATCGTCATTGTGCTCAAAGTATTGGAGACTCATTTTGTGCCAGTGACATCCGGATGGCTCATGTTCTTTGCTGTGCCTTTGATGCAATTCGCCTTTTATCCTCCTGAAGGCTATGGACCCTATCTAGACCCTAGCGTCAATCCTGTATTGGTCTCCAGCTTCTATCTTAGAGTTTGGAATGTGCTGAAATTCACTACCTTGTTTCTGCCGTTTCCCCTGTTTGGTACACTGGGCATCTATGAAAATCTGCACCGATTCATCGACATTGAGTTTTTTAAAAAGACAAAAGACGAAACTCGCACAAGGAAGAATTATTTTGACTATGTCAGTATGCCAATTGCTGCTTGGATGTTTATGACACTGCCCTCCAATATCGCATCATGTAAGCGTTTATTCAAGGCGAGAGATCAGTATATAGTGGCAAAAAAAGCCTTCGTGGAAAACTAGAGTCAACGATAGTATATAGCTACCAACTCAACTAATAGTATTTGTACAAATAAACATGAAACCCTCTCTTAATTGGAAATATTAAGCAAGCGAAGGAGGATCCATTCACGGCCGAGGCCTTTGAATAAGGGCTCTGCCCACATCACACCATGAAATTACATGATTCTGTGAAAAAAAAAGTACATTATTATTATTATTGATAGAAGGGGAAAGGAAGGAAAAAAGTGATTGTAGAGTATGGGATTATTGTAGTTGAATGGGCAAAAAGTTTCCTACAATGACAGTCTATTTGACATGGTGTTAGTCAACTCCATCAAACGCACTCAATGACCACCCTACTTACAGGAATGTTATATTTATCACGACGAATAGTAAAAGAAAAGCAACATGAGATGACACTTGTATTCTCGGGATTTGGACTTCTAAGCAAGCAAGATGTCAGCACAGCCTTTTGTCCAGGATCGAAAGCAATGTTTCCGTATTTCTCCCAATAGTTGACGGCCGATTCCTCTGCCATGAGTTCATAGATGCACAATCTTCCTTCTCTCAGGTTTTCGATTGGCACATTGACCAGTGCAGCAAACTCTTTGTTTCCCTTGTAAATTTCACCTGTACGTCTCCACAGACAAGCTGGTATACCCATTGAACTGAATACACGATCATAATCCAGCAACAAACGCTCAAATGCTTCTTCAACAAGGATTAAATCAATGTCTGTCAGTGACTGAGCCACAGATCTGAATGCAGGACGAAACGTGCCCATCACATTCAAAATGCGCTGTCTACTGGAAGCCGACATGTTGTTATCCATGTATTTCTGCAATCTAGCGTAGCCATTTACATAGTTGTAAGGTTTCAAGAAACCAGCTTCGTATTTGGCGTTTATTACTTCGGTAAGGCGATCTTCTAATTTGCCATCGGAAGGATCTGCAGCTGTCAGAAAGAATCGTTCGGTTGTGTTGACAGTGGTGGTGGGTGCAGTAGCAGGTGTACTAGTGTTGTTATTGCTGTTGTACATGGCTTGATCTGTGCCAGAGCCTAATGAATCGAGGAAATCACTTATCACTGATATTTCATTTCCCATCTGCTCGCTTGCGAATGTAAGCTGGCCTGCACCCATTTGACCGTAGAATTGAAGTGGAAGTCCACCCATATTGCTTTGATTTGATCCAATGGGGGCTGCAAATATAGAGAAAGCATAGATGAATAAATTTTCACACACTTTTTTTTTTTGGGTACCTACCATTTCCAATTGATGAAGTGGATAAAGGGGGGTAATTGCCTCCATTCAACCCTTGTTGGCTCATACCATCCTGTCTATTGTCCATCACTTGTTGGTGTTGTTGATGCTGTTGGTGTTGTTGATGTAATTGTTGCTGCTGCTGCTGTTGTTGCTGCTGCTGTTGATGTTGTTGTTGAGCTGAATTATTATTATTGCTGTTATTACTATTCTGCTTAACCTCGTCATGGCAAAGATGTCCGATACTACGCTTGATACAACGTTGGCATGGACGGCCTACAGATACCAACACATGAGCATCGACTTCATTCCAGATGCCCTAGACTATACACCCTTACCTTCATCACAAGTCATATGTGAACGTCTACAATACACGCATGCTACATTATTCAACAGTGAGTGTGTTGCCCTACATGTCAATATGTACCATCCAGTTTACCATGAGTTACTTTTCGTCGTTTTGGACCAGTACGCTTCTTTTTTGCATCTTGATTTTGGTTATTGGTATTGTCTTCTGTTGGATCTTGTGGTTGATCCGTGTTTGGATTCGGGTCTGGCATTTTTAGGCTTTTGTATAGTATTAATAGCTTATTTTTTTCATATCAAAACTATCTTGATGATGAAAAAAAAAAAAAGGAAAGAACCAGCAAAAAAAAAAAAAAAAAAAAAAAAGACCAGTCGGAAGGAATACAAGAAGAAAAGAGAGAATCGCTCTGGCTTCATGGGTTGGTAAATTGGCTCTGTAAAGCTGCTTACACATTCATTCCACTTGATTGGCTCGTTTCTCACGTGGTTGAGAAAAAAACTAAGCGCTTGTCAAAGAGCATCCATGATCTGATAAACCACATGTTGTCATGGCAACCATCCAAGTATATTAGATCATTGGATCTAATGCTCACATTGTGGATTTAAGTTTAGTTTAACAACTACTAAGATTAGATTTGATAAAGAATGTAAATACTGTGTCATTTGGATTTGCTAACCATTCTCCAGATCAAGCATTGTCTCCGCCTCTGTAACGATGGTGGATAGCAGATGCCTCCTATTGCAGGTCCTTAATGATTTGTTGAGATGGTATTTGGGATATGTCAAGTCAATTTGCCAGCTGTTAATATGTGTGAGTTGGCTATTATCATCTTCAAGCAATTACTTTCTTCTCATGTTGTTTCAAACAATACAAAAAATGCTATTGAAATGTACAAAATTGATGAACCGATAGATTTGCCTTGGAAACGATACAATGCTAGCTTTAATAATGTGCCCTGTGTATATTACAAGCTATCAATGCCGAGGCTCTTCTCGCTGCCAAGAAATCGTTGCTTTATTATACATCTATATAAGCTCAAATTACATGTCCTTAAATCAGAATATGATACATTCATCATAGTACACTACATCAAAAACTGCAAATACATTCTATTCTCAGTGAGCACTGATATGGATGACAAAGATGAATACTCAAAATAACCTCAAATCTTTCCCACAGCTATATAAAAAGAGACAAACTTGGTCTACATGCTTATATTTTCGTAACAAAACAACTCATAAATGCCAGATATATCCCTTATTTTCATACAATTGTATCTGTGGTAGAACACACACACATTCAAAAAGATATAGACACGAGCATTTTGTAAGCTTCTTCTGCTCGATACTTTTCAGTTTCTCTTTATTGTCTTACCAGTGTGTTTATGCTTCGGATGGCTCTCTATCTTCGCTTCGCTTCAGTGAAAATTAACCTGCGCAGCGGCAACTCGCGCTACTGATTGCTCTTGCGTATCTTATCAAAATACTGCTACTTTCATGTTGACCCTCTACTTACACATGAAAACCCTTCATATTATCTGTGGATCTGGCTTTTATGTGATACTCTGCATACATATACAGGTAGCTACTTCATATAGGGACAAGCAGCATACTGGTATTTCCCCTTTTTAGTCCTTAAGGTCCCTGATACAGCAAAACCTCAGTGCGTTTGAGCTGCGTTTTCTTACGTTCAAGGCCGTTTTAGATGGTCAGAATAGCACCAAACAATTGCTCTCATCTGGCAGTTACTTCCTGACACCTTTACTCAACTTTTTAGGGACCAAAAAATTATGACCAAAAATCGACCAAAAAGCATGAGGTATCCCTCATGGTTTTCATCAAAAATCAAACGATCATGTTTTTGACACCAAAAAATGAAGACTTTTACTATGGTATGTATTGAATCAAAATGTTTCTATCGATCCAACGTAACCCTTGAAATCATCTTTGTAGGACTTTGATATGGAAAATCTCGACTTTTTGGCCAAAGACCTCTTTTCATATTTTCGCAAATTACTCAATAAGTTTATTCAAAACATTTACTTTACTTGGTACCATTGGATGCGCCTCAAAAAGCACTCCAAGAAAGCTTAAAGAAGCAGTTTTTTTTTTTTTTTTTGTAGGGGAGTCGAGCTCCAGGTTTTATTTAAAGTCCTTTAAATGTCATGCTGAGGGATAGAAAAGACTGTTGGTGGACCCAATGTCTGCAAAGAAGGGGAATAAGATATTTTTTGAACTAAGTTGGGAAAGAAATCTACTACTAATAAGGTGCGACACCTAGAGCCAGTACAGTCTTGCGGAAATCGTCAAAATATAGATCATGGATAAGAGCACAAAACACCAAACGAGGACATCAGTACTACGTCAAAAAAAATCAAACAACTTGCGTTCACCAGGATTTGAACCGGGATCCTCCCGTTGGCATACGGGAGTTCTACCACTTCGCCCTACCACCAGGGACAAGCTTAAAGAAGCAGAGGATGATCATCATATATTATATAGTCGAATCTGCAAAAATAGTTCAATCGAGTCCAAAATCATCAAGATTTGTCCAATCTGGAGTAAACTAAAAGTCTGGGCTTGAATCTATTTTGGCTGGTGAAGCTGGCTGGCAAATTCAATGCCCTTTTCATAGGGCAATACACCGCTTGATTATAGTCCTGCTACTATTGTCTACGCGGAGCAAGTAATAAAAACCTTTAAAAATAAAGCAATACAGTAATAGATGCTTTTGAAGTGTATGAAAAGTAGGTGGCAAGTCATAAAGCTATCGTTAATCAAGCTATTTTCTTGCATTCCATATTTACTAACATTAGTCTGGACATTGACGATTCATGGGCTGCATAACATGTCTGCAGTAAATAGGAAAATCTCTGAGGCTTTGGGCCGTCGTTCAAAGAAAACGTTGACAGCATTGAGCAGAGGAAAGAGGGTAGAAATAACAGTGATCTTTGTTGGTTGATTGTAAAATCATTAATCATATATGAGCCAGGCCTGACAGATGCCTTGAAAGTCAGTTTGCATATTAGGGCTGTAAAAGTGTCTAAGAACTGAACATTTATCATGATGTTACGAAATATAAAAAAGATGATCGCTTTAAGATACACAGCAAATTTATGCATTTTCTTTTTTTTGGCCCTAAATCTTTTAGAAATTAACATGGGCTACCTTAACTATATACCTCCAAGCGATAATTATATTATTAACGATGAGTCTGAGGAACAGATGGAAGATATGGCCCAACGGCGACATCGAAAAGATAATTGACTTCGATTCACTTATCGAAATTCGCAAAGTGAACTCAACCATGGAGATCGACTCACGGAAAACTTGAAAACTGAATCTATTGACGACGGTAGCAAAAAGTATAAGAAGTACACACCCGAGCAAGTGCGTATGTTCATACAAATAATGCAAAATAAAGGAATTACTGTACCTGAAGCAACAGTACGTTATAGTATTCCACGACAATGTGCTTACAAGTTGCTCAGGGATTACAACGATAGCAACGGTAGTGTATTGCCTGGTTTTGCTCTGAAAACCAAAATCATAGGTACAAAACAAAAGCTTTTCCCTCAGCATACCCTTTTTTTTTTGATCCAGTACCTTGACAACCACCAGTCCTCAACACTTGTATTAACCAAAGAAGCTCTTCTTTAAGCAATTTCCAGACTTAGGAGATATTTCTATCCCTTCTCTGTGGAAGCATGTAACAATAGAGTGTTCTTTTTCCTTGAAAAGGGCATCTTTATACAATGAAGAAAGGGATAAAGCAGATACTTTGACATCTCGCCTTCCTGTAGCTTACGGGTCAGTTACTGTTCAGGACTGCCAAGTTTGGGTTAGACGTGCAGAGAGCTTCTGGGATAGGTGCATTAATAAAGAACTAGGCTTAAGGTAAATGTTACCACTATATGTTATCGTAATTCATCCAAAATAAAAAAAAAAGTGTGCCATTTTTTTTCAGAGTGTGTGTGCCAATTATTTTCGTAAAAGGTGTACATGTAGCAGCAACAGCAACGAAACGCAACATTAGGCCTAACGTTGGAAAGCTTAAAACGCGCTAGAACTTTACTTTTATGGTAGTAGTGCACTCAACGTGAGGCGTGCACAGCAGCAATGCCACATGGATGCAATTTGTTTAATTCAATAAATGACATTCGGATGAACGGCAGCCACATATTCCAGACATCTTGGCATTTATACTTGCTGGAAGAGTACAGAAATCTTGAATGCCGCCACATGCTAAATAAACAAGATTTAGACTTGTAGGTTGAAGCAATGGATGCTATTTGCTGGCCAAGATTACCCGATGGAATTCGTATATTTCTACACGTTGTAATGCAACAAAGGCCATGCTGCGGTTCATGTCACTAAATATATCATTGCTAAAACTGACATTTGTAGACTCGTGCTCTTTGTATGTAAATATAGCGATTTTATAGACTGTATGTTGCGCTCGAGAAACCGAACTCTTTACAAATGACAGGTGCAGCTAGCCTCGCTTCTAAATATCATATTTGATCGCATTGTATGTATCAAGTATTCGCTATCAAGGTTAACATTGGTCTCAAGATAAGGAATCTCAATAATATCGCAAGAGATGATGCGTTCTGAGATGCTTGCCTAATGTAAACTTTGTTTTCAGGCAATTCTTCTTGCATGATTAAAGATAAATGTCACTTAACTTGCAGGGCCTAAATTTGTACTGGTGTTCTTAAATCTCAATCAATGATGAGCATAATATCTACGTCCTAAAATGTGATGTAGCCTCCAGGTAAGGTATTGGTTATTGAATCCGTCAATCTCTAGCTGTGAGGAACACATCCTCTCCTGTTCCAAATGTGCAGCATACTTGCTTTACCTCTTACTACTCCAAAATATGCAAAACACAGCGTGTTTTAAGTAAATTTGAGTAGACATTTCTCGTGTTGTAGGCCATTTCAGACCGCCAGAATAGCACCAAACGATTGCTCTCGTCTAGCAACCGCTTGCTGACACCTTTGCTCAACTTTTTGAGAACCAAAAAAACATGACCAAAATTCGACCAAAAAGCATGAGGTACCCCTCATGATTTTCATCAAAAATCAAACGATCGCGTTTTTGACCTCGAAATTGAAGACTTTCACTATGGTATACGAGCCTTTCAGCACTTCGGGTGGTTTCCTGACCTACGCTTCGCTTCGGTGGAAACCAACCTACGTTCAGGCGGCTCGCGCTGCCGCGGGCCTTTGGCTAATATCACGAATAGATAAAAGCTAAAATGTAAGAAACTTTATTAAATGAAAAACTTTGCATTTTTAAGAAAGAATTTCTTGATAGACAACGTTTATAGTTTGTCTTGATTGTTCGTTTTCAGCCTTTTGTAAAACAATTTTGAGATGATTCAATGATGTTACTCTTGATAGAGCAACATACAACTGTCCATGGGAGAAAACGGGGTCCAGCAAAGAAACGACAACATTGCGGAGGGTTTGCCCTTGAGCTTTGTTTATAGTGATAGCGAAGGCACTTTGCACTGGAAATTGCGTTCTTGACAGCTTTCCCTCGAGTTCTGCGGTGTCTTGGTCACTGTGCAGCGAAACTTTTGGAATATATACAAAGTTCCCTTGGTGGCTACCGCATGCAATTTCGGCTTCAATCGTATTTCTCATCAAGTTTCTGACTATAAGACGGGTTCCATTGCATAGGCCTTGTCTTGGATTGATGTTTCGAAGACACATGATAGGCTGGTTGACTTTCAGCTTTAGTTCATGTGGAGGCATTCCAGAAGGTTTCAACCTATTCAGATACTCAACAGGTGTATTAGACGGAGACCCTGAATCAATGATATGTTCATCGTTGGATAGATATACAACAGATTCTCCAGGAAACGCTGCCAGAGCTAGATCGTTTATCTGATCCACCACCGCATTCGTTGCTGCCAGGATAGTTGTGTCTATAAAGGACGTCGGTGAAGACATCATAGATACATCACCAAAAGCAATTTCAATAATCTCTCTGTAGCTTTCAATGTAACTACAATCCAAATGGGGGTCAATGGCCAGAGTATCACCAAATTGATGTTGGTCAGATCCTTCACCAATACGGAGCAAGTATTGAGCGAAATTGTTAGAACCGAATTGAGATGAGGAAGGGCCTTCATCGTTGGTGAGTCTCATATTTTGAGTCAGTCTGAGACTTTTAGTATGAGACATCAAGTATGATGCCTTCAAAGAGGCTGCAACTGCATCTGCCCTTCTACCTTTCTTGACTACCGGGAGAACTTGACGAAAATCCCCTCCAAGAACAACAACTTTTCCACCAAAAGGCTTTCCAGCATAAGAAGGATGTACTGAGGACATCAAATCACGAAGCGATCTGTCTACAGCCTCAAATGCGTGCTTGTGAGTCATTGGTGCTTCATCCCAAATAATCAGCTTTGCTTCCTTCAAAAGTTTAGCAGTGTTTGATTGTTTTGAGAAGTGGCAGGTTGATGTTTGGTCTGTCTTGAGAGGTATCTTGAAAGTACTGTGAGCAGTACGACCACCTGGTAAAAGAGTTGCTGCGATACCTGAAGAAGCAGTTGCCAAAGCAATTCCTGATTCTGCTCTAACCTTAGTGAGAAGAGCATGATACAGATACGTTTTTCCAGTACCACCGGGACCATCAATGAAGAAACATGTAGGGATACCAAGGCCAGGATTGTTTACAGAATTAAGCACAGTGTTGTATATTTGAAGCTGATCAGCGTTCATCCTTTCCTCGTAAATTCGAACTTCAGTAGCCAAAGTCTCCAGATTATACCCAACTAACTCTTGATCAAATAATGATCGAAGCTCTTCATCCTCCTGATTGAAAACAGATTCATCGATTTGGGGCAGCTCTGGATAATTCTTGACTGATTTTCCATGCGTCATTAATTTTCTACTAATGTCAATCAATGCCTTTTGATAGCAAGATTCCAGCTGAGCATCAGTCAATTCTTGTGGAACAGCTTGAGATTGTTGAATTTCATGAATAAAATCTTCAGACAGTTGAACCTTGTGATTATCCCATAGTTGTTTGTAGGTGGAGATAGTGCAAAATATCAGAATGGTTACAAAAAGATCTCGCACCTGAGAGGATCCAGTTCTTATCATCGCATATCCTTCATCCAGACAAAAATGCCATTCATCCTCGTTTGCTAAGAGTCCCATGGATTGAGCAGCTTCACGAAATGTGACATATTGAACACCATTGACGTTTTTTAAATTATCAAAGCTTTGAGGGCCACGAACATGCAATAAAAGTAGACGCATGCAGTATTTCTCCATATTAGCAGCACTTGGAGGCACGAAATACATTCTGCCTATCCCTTTAACACGGTTCTGGCTGTTGATGCCTCGCCTTCTTTTTACCCATTTTTTCTGCTTTTTGTCGAATGAATAATGTCTTGGGACATCAATATAAAGCAAATTCTGCGCAAAGACGTCTCCTGATGCGTTCAATTCAAAAAATGCTTGCAGAGTAGTCTTCTTTGCTGTGGCAGCATTTACTACATTGGCAATAGTAGTGTTGTTGTTAAAGTACACCCTGTGCTGATTTGGAAGATCAACTGCCAGTCGAGTAACTGACGGAAAAGTAGAGTGTAAACTCTTTCCAAGTAAGCGCCAGCAAGCTTCAGAGGCGGAAATGTATCTGGCATTGACCCAAGTTGAGATCTCGTCTCTATCGCTATTATCTTCTTGAGGCTGCCCTACTGTAGGAGCAGATGATGTGGCCGTAGAGGTGGATGCTGCTGTCATAGTAGAAGTGGCAGTATTGCCGTTGGTTGTGATATTGACATCTTGGGCTTGGTCTCTACTTAATTTGACTTGAGATTTGTCACTACCCTTTGTGATATATTTGTGAAGATATTTGATTGCCTGGACTCCTGCGCAAATTTCAACGTTGATATGAGCATCATACTTTGTCACCAAGTATAAGTTATGAGGTACGACCCATCGATTATCTGCATAATAATCCCCAAATTTGACAGGCATGCTTCTTGGTTGACTTCGTCGTCTGTAATGAACAAATCCTTTAGAATCGATGAAAGTCTCTTCGGCGTATTGCTTTGGATATTGCTTGGTGCACTTGAAATTATCATCTAAGCATGGCCTTTTCTTATTGATGTTTTTTCCGCATGGAGTATGCATCATGTTTCTAACGACTGTAGCATACGCTTTGGGGTGCTTGCTTTGATCTGGGAGTTCGGCACTGACATACTTATCATACGTTTCAAGAGTAGGTCTGCTCGGTTCATCCACAATAATCACCATATGAGCATGTGGCAGGCCACGTTTCTGAAATTCAACGACATGAGTAAAGCCAATGACATTACCAAAGATGTATGGCTTTGTCTTAATATCAGAAATCAACTCCTTGAGCTTCATGTCGAAAACTCGTGCACACAGATCCGGTCTGTCAGTTGGGCTCAAACCACCGTTGCGTAATTCATTGACAATTTCGGGCCAGTTTGGATTGCAGGTAAATGTTATGAAATAGCTTGGTTTACCCAATGAAGAAACCATTGCCATTGAATCCTGATATAACTGCTGCATTGATCTTGGTGATCCAGTATGTGATGAGGGTAAAATAATTTGCTTACCAATCTCCTCAGTGGAGATGGTGCTATCAGATACCGCTGCATCTGTAAGCCCTGAATACAGCTCTGTTCGTAGCGATCCCTGGTTATTTCGTAGATATTCCAAACGTCGATGTTCAACCTTCACATACATGTCCACTACATATTGATGGAATAGCCGGCCGAAATAATGCAGCATTCCTGCGTTGGGTCTTACTTGCAATCGATGAGCATAAAATTGCATTACGCTAATGTTTTGCTGGGCTCTTCTAATGGTGGTAATAGGCCTTGTAACTTCTTGTTCGACATCATCGCCATCGATTTCAGTTTCAACTGCATTGGCAGTATTATCGTCATCAGTTTCGCTATTAACTGCATCACCTTCATCATCATCTTCGAAGGAGGCATTCGTAGTAATGCTGAGTGGCATATTGACATGCCATCCGTTCTCACCTCTCGGAAACATCAAAACATAATGCATTGAATCATAGGATCTATGGCATTCACTCATAATATGCTCCATAGTGCCATTTCTACGAAATGTTGCCACATCTCTCCTTAGATGAGGGACATAATTTGGATCGTCTGTGGAGACTGGATCTATAACAATGGCCGCCACTTCATCTATAGTAGGGGCAGAATAAGTTCTTCCTAATGTCGCTGTTGCCCGGCCATTGATCATGATGTGAAAACTGTCTTCATTATGAGCGAAACGTTGTCTTGCCATCTCAAAAGTCTGCGCAAAGGGACATTCTCTCATCATCATTTCTTGTAGACGCTCAAGCAGAGGTTCATGAAGCTGCGAAAATATACCTCTGCGCATGCCAGCTTGGTATTGAGGGTCCGTAAAATATATTTGAGCATACTGTGGGGCAAATCCTGGCATAGGAGAGATAGGATCAATTCTATGGTATGTTGAGCCTTGAACTCGAAATGTGTAAGTGCCACTGTTGAATCCACTGTAGCCCTCATCTTGCTGTGCACCAAGTGATGTAAAGGCAAAGCTGTTATTGTAGGCTCTAATGCTATTTCTGAAATGCTGACTTTCTTGGTCTGAATCAGTAAGTAGAGATCGTAGTGGCTGGGGAGGATTTTGCAGGGCTTCCAATTGAACCTTTCCCTGTCTACAACACATCGAAAATTTGTTTTTTAAAAGCTCTTCAGTATACAACAATGCGTTACAGTCTGGACATTGACGATTCATGGGCTGCATAACATGTCTGCAGTAAGTAGGGGAATTTGGATCATAATCAACATTTCGCTCAAAAAGATGGTCGGTTTCTTTAAACTGGGTGTTATCAGTAATATCAACTTTGTAACAAAATAAAAATTAATTCCATGTTTTTTAGTAATTCAAACAATATGTTACCTAGATTTCTATTACGACGTGGTCTTCTCAATGGTCGAGTATGTTCGTTTTGTTGTCTCGATCGCAGCCGTTGACTAAATCTCTGAGGCTCTGGGTCGTCGTTCAAAGAAAACGTTGCTGGCAGCATTGAGCAGAGGAAAGATGGTGGTCTTAGTTGATTGATTGTAAAATCATTATTCTCATATGAGCCAGGCCAGATAGATGCCTTGAAACTCAGGTTCCATATTAGGGTTGTAAAGTGCAAAAGGACTGAACATTTATTATGTTATGATATGAGCCAGGCCAGATAGATGCCTTGAAACTCAGGTTCCATATTAGGGTTGTAAAGTGCAAAAGGACTGAACATTTATTATGTTATGATATGAGCCAGGCCAGATAGATGCCTTGAAACTCAGGTTCCATATTAGGGTTGTAAAGTGCAAAAGGACTGAACATTTATTATGTTATTTCCTCCCCTCTCGCTGACAATGTTCCTCTCGCAGATCCAGTCAAAGTCCTGGCATATGCCGATGACACACTAGTTTTCCTCAACGATCTTAGTGAATTCCACCAACTTCAACAGTTGATAAATAAGTATGCCGCCGCGTCCAATGCCTCTCTCAACTATCACAAGACGCAAGCATTGTCTCTCTCTGGTGTACCGCACGAATCCTGGATTCTCGGCCTTCGCGCGTCTGGTATCTCGTCTTGGCATGACCAGAATGCTACCGCTCCCATCATCTATCTCGGATACCCTATTTGTTCATCTACCGCTCAAAAGAACTCATATTTCGATGCTCTTCTCACTCGTCTCCGGGACTTTTGTCGCCTTCATTCGGTACGCAACCTTACCTTTCGAGGACGGGTTACTGTTCTCAATTCACTCTTGTTCTCTAAAGTGTGGCATATTGCACGCTTGTTTCCTTTTTCGGCTAACGATATTCACAAGCTACAACAGCTGGGCGCCTCGTTCGTTAACCAAAATGCCAAACTAACTCGATTCTCTTTCGCTACTCTCTGCCTCCCTCGTTCTCATGGCGGCCTTGGTCTTTTGGATCCTGCTGTGCAGATCAACGCCCTTCAGTGGCGCTGGCTTCATCCACTTTTGCACCCATCCGATCCCACTCCTCCTACCAAGACTTCTCTTCCTTATCTCCGTGTCATCCTCAACTTCTTCCTCGCTACTCCCTCATACCCCACCTACCACTGGTCTCTCCTCTTTCCTGCCTGTAGACCATCAAGCGCCAGAAAGGTCATCGCTCCTCTCTACAACATTCTTCGCGCCGTAGATACCATTGTTCGTAAGTTTGGTGTCTGTCATGTTTCCTTCAGTACTTGTCTACGCCTGCCATTTTCGACCTTGGTTGAACATAACCTTCCACCCAACCATAGCTTATCGCCTACATTTCGCTCACCAAAGGAAGTGGTAAAACACTACCCCAGAGTGCTTCAACTTACAGGTAATGATGTTTTCATCTTTGATACCACCACTCAAGCTCTTCAACTTCGCACTTCGGTCATTGGCCTACCCCACCAACCCACCAGCTTACGCGCTATCAATTTTCTTCAGGCTCAAAACCTACTGCTCACCAACTTCATTCACTTCAACATGTTGCTCCTTGTCCCTCGTCCAAACATCACACATATCGACCTCTCCACCATCACCAACTATTCCGATAGTATCAGCCTCGTATCCACCCTTCTACTCTCTTTATTGGCAACTTCATTTTCTTTTGAGTCTCATTCATTCCTTTTATCCCTCCCTACTAATCAAGGATTCAAATCCCTCCCCCTTCACACTAACCCTTCCTCTTATTCGTCCCCTTTAGGTGTTGCCAAATGGAAGCAGTTTTGGACTCTCCAGATTCCTTTGAATGCTCGCAATACTTGGTTCCGGATCCTTCATGAAAAAGTTACTACTCGTCAATTATTACATCAACGGCTTCGCGATTCATTTACCCCGTACTGTCCTCACTGTCAGTCTTCGTCATCCACAATCCCCACCATCATCGAAGATACTGAGCACTTCCTCTTTTCCTGTCCTCGAAAATTGGACGTCTGGCGACAAACTCTCTCTCTTTACATCTCACCTCGATTCTCTTACTTTGCGTACGAGGAATACATTGCCATCCTCCACCTTCGCCTCGATATTGACCGCTCATCTCATGAACTTTTTCCTGCATTATCCGTGTTCCAGGTCTTTGCTTGCATCCAACAGGCTATCTGGTCTGCTCATTACCGCCAAGTTTTCCAGCACGTCCCTTTCATCCCGTCTACTGTCATCCACTCCATTCATCGTACTCTCCTCAATTTAGACTCCCAACTTTCCTTCGATACAATTATCTGAGCTTCCCCTTATATCCTCCAGTCTTTATATCCCCTCCCTCTATATTAGGTGACGATTTAAGGACTTTAAATAAAAACAGAAGTGCCTACTTCCTTATAAAAAAAAAACATTTATTATGTTATGATATGAGCCAGGCCAGATAGATGCCTTGAAACTCAGGTTCCATATTAGGGTTGTAAAGTGCAAAAGGACTGAACATTTATTATGTTATTTAGACTCCCAACTTTCCTTCGATACAATTATCTGAGCTTCCCCTTATATCCTCCAGTCTTTATATCCCCTCCCTCTATATTAGGTGACGATTTAAGGACTTTAAATAAAAACAGAAGTGCCTACTTCCTTATAAAAAAAAAACATTTATTATGTTATGATATGAGCCAGGCCAGATAGATGCCTTGAAACTCAGGTTCCATATTAGGGTTGTAAAGTGCAAAAGGACTGAACATTTATTATGTTATGATATTGAATCAAAATGTTTCTCTCAATCCAAAATAGCTCCTGAAATCATATTTGTGAAACCTTCATATGTAAAATCTCGATATTTTGGTCAAAAACCTCATTTCATATTTTCAATCATTGCTAAATAAGCTTGTTCCAAACACCTTTTTTAATTAGCACCATTGGATGCGTTTTGAAAAGTACTCCAAGAAAGCTTAAAGAAGTGTTAGATGATCATCACGATTTATATAGTCGAATCTCGTAAAATAGATTGAGGAAGTCGCAATTGACACAAATTTAGCGAAAAATGATAATCGGAGATTTAATTAATTTTGGCAGACAAAACCTGTCCTTGTCGACAACTGATGCTTTTGAAGCTCATGAAGGCAATTACGAATTGAAATGTATTGCAGCTTAAGCTGGCGTCTTATTTTGCTTCTGTTACAGTCTTTTATATTTTGGGATATGGATTATCGCATGTTGTGACATAAATGCGAAGCCTAATGTGAGATACAAACTCTTTACCGTATTCAACACATTACGTAGAATGACACTTTTAGTATCAAGTCTGTTGCGCTTTTGAATTGACGGTCCCTTTGAAAACAATAGGGTTTTACTGTCCCGTTTTGTAGTTTTTATTAGCCATCAACGTATACTTGAGAGTGTTGCAGCAAGCATTTGTGGCATGTGATGCATACATTAGACATCCAAAGAAACAACTGGCCACACACGCCACTTTGAGTTTAGTGTAACAAATCAAGTGCAAATTGGATAAATAGCACAAAAAAAAACTTGATTTCTTTTTCCTTTTTATTCTCTCTTTTCTTTACAAATTTCCTTTTCAAACCTTTATATGTTTGAACGTCCAACAAAGACACTTAAACATTCTTTATTCAACGTGTTTGAAAATGCACAAGATTATGTAGCGGATGTCTGCTTTGACTATCCCAACCAAAAGCAAAAAATATGGGCACATAAGGGTAGGCGTCCATAAGTTGAGTAAAGCAGTGTATGACTCACATTCTCTCTCTGTTTGAAAAATAGCTTTGCTGATTGCCAGAGTTCCTGAAGCATTTCGAACAAAGTACATGGCCCCACTCGAGCAGCAGCAGCAACAAGCAGCTGAACATGAAGAAACCACCACCACCACCACCACCACCACCACCAAACAAGCTACAATTACACTCGACATTAGCGTTGTCATCCCTTACACAACACTCCGTCAACTTCTCCGCTTTTGGTACATTGCTCAATTCTCGGCTCCTCTAGACGATGCCTCACTGTTATCCAGCCATGTAGCTGGCCTTGACCTGGAAGATGCAAGCTCCAGCTTACAGTCCGAAGTGGAATTGAACATTCGTCGTGAAATTACAGCATTGGAAGAGCGACTCGAGGTCAAACTGATACCAGTGCCATCCACTGTAGGACCGCATGCTGATACACACCAATGGACCAGTGATCTGAAACGCATGATGGATGAAAAGATCTGTTGCGATGTTGTGGTGAATATCTTCAATGTGCCTCATGGACAGCCAATCACAAATCAAGTGTCCTTCCCAGCACATCGTTTCATACTGGCAAGTCAATCACCCTACTTTTATTCTGTATTCTGCACTGAGTTCCGAGAAGCATCCACCTCATCAGTTCATATGCCATCCGACTTGTTTTCTTCCACTGCACTGCAAGTCATCTTGCACTACTTTTACACCGACATGTTGATTTTGCCCCCCTTTGTCTCAGCTGGCACCAAGAAATCTCAACCCCATATTGCTCGCTTGAACGAAAAAAAGCATGAATTGCGTATATTGCAAAAGGTGTTTGGTGCTGCTGATTTCTTAGGTCATTATGATACCATCTGTAAGGCAGTTTTGGTCAAGATGTCTGTCATTTGCCACCATTTCAAATGTGTGTGTACAGAATGCGCAGTGCTGTTACCATCCATGCTATTGTTTGCAGACAAGAATGAAAAGTATGTTTCGAAATTGCGACACAAATTGCTCTCTCTTTATGCTGATCCGCTGGATTCCTTGGCTCCTCTCTGGTCTCAGAAGCCATTCGCCATCTTGGTCAACTCACTGAATTCAGCTCAAGCAGCGACCACAGCGCCTGTGATTCCATCCACTACGACAGCAAGCACACTCAACAGTACGACAAACAAGGCTGATTCTGGAGCAGAAGTAATATCTCAAATATTCAGCAACAAAGCATCCGCCGTTCCACCTCCAGCTGCCACGACTACCAGCAATGCCACCGCCTCTGCTACCCCACAGCAAGCTAATTCATTGGATGGCACTCAATCTCTCTCCTCATCATCTACCACAACGACCATACCAACAGCAAATGAACTGGGTTTAGTAGCCGAGTTGACAGAGCGCACATTCGCCAACATTACCAAGCATAATTCAGTGCGTGCACTTCATTCGCTTCATTTGTGTCTTTCGTACCTCCGTGGAGCTGATCCCTTCCCGACATGGTCGCAACCTGTTCTGACTATTCTAAACCAGTTTTTGCACTACACGGTTGACATGATCTCCAGCAATTTCGACTATTACTGTGTTGAATATCCCATCTTGCTGTCTTGCGTAGATGGCATAGGGTTCGGATTCTCTGTGGACTTTTTGGGATTTGTGTTAACTCGGGTGTTGACGGAAGGTATTCATGATGGTAATGCAGCGATCTTGTACCAGGGTATTGTGCGTGATCTTGGAGGCAGACAAGAGATGGTGCGCAATGTGGCTGTAGACAGTGTCTTACTGGACGCTCGGGTCAAGTGTGCCTCTTATTTATCAAGGCGCTGGATGGCCGTGAAAGCCGAAGGCGGATTCGTCAATATTGACAAGGAGATTTTGAGGCTCATTGCTGAAGGTACGCATTATACAAATATGGATCTATTGTATATTTTTATATTGATTTGTATTTATCCTGTTTTGGTAGATATTAATGTACCCACAAAAGCCTTGACTAAGCCTTTAGAGAACGATTTCTCAACCATGTTTAGTTTCAAGCCTAAAAAGGCATCTAATACCACTGTGTCAAGAGCGGTGTCTAAGGAAGACGCTCTAGCAACAAGCACAATACCATCCTCCAATGCATCAAAGCGGTTGTCATTCGGAAGCGCTACTGCATCGATCCATCCTCAGGATAACGATACCCAGCTACCAAGTGGCCAAAGGCTAGGAAGAAGTCGTTCTTTATCAGCATCCAACAACACTCAGGAATCCATCTTGAAGAAGGATTCTCAGTTACGCAATCATGGTCATCATTCTGATAATGAGGATATTGTCATGTCAGTAGGTAGTATTCGACGCAGCAGTAACAGTAATAGCAGTATCCATTATCGATCTTATCGGCGTCAGGGATCGACCGGCTCTTTAACAGACGCATTATTACCTATCGACACCATCTCCAAAGATGCAACAGCCGCTGATACATCAAAAGACGGCAAAACCGAAGCTGCACCGAGACCCACCCGGTTGAGATTTGCATTACCCGACACACCTAGTCGAGTGAAACCCAACTCGCACAGATTGTCAGCGATCCAAGGTAGCCAACAGCATAGTGGAAATATGAATCATGCACAGAAGGCAGCCGCTAGAAAAGGACGTAGAGCTAAATCACCCGGTAAATCTAGATGGAGCTTGGGCTATAGTACCAGTGACAGCAGTGATGATGAATCAGGTGGAAAATACAAACATATACCATTGGTCGGCCAAAAGGTAGAATTGCTGAGACGTCCATTACCGACACAAGGCACCATAAAGTACATTGGTGAAGTCGAATTTGCAAAGGGAACTTGGGTTGGCGTAGAATTAGAATCAAGACGTAGGTGTATTGTGCTGATTTCGCATGCATATAAGCTTACTAACATTTAAATATCAGTTGGTAATAATGATGGCTCCGTTGATGGTAAACGTTATTTTGAAACTTTTCCTCAAAGAGGTGTATTTGTGAAAATTGATGATTTCAAAATTATTGCTCCTCCTGCAGAAAAGAAATAATTGCATTTGGGATACTTAAATTCCAAACTATTAAAATCTTATACCCATACAAGCTATGCACATGGTGCACCACTTTGATGAACTGGCATTGGTTTATATAGCATTGAAAATTGATCTTCAATTTGTATATGATGGATGACTATTAAGCTACTCAGATCACTGAATACTGTGAATGACATGGCTTTCTTTTGAGAAAGAAAAGGGTTTATTAAAGTATGTTTGTTCAAAATGATTCCTTCATACCAGCTACACTTTGAGTATAGAACAGAAGGAACCGTAAATTATGAAATGCCATGAAAATTAAATCTCTTCTGCTTAAAGACAAAGACCCTCATTCAGATCGTAGTAGCTAAAATGTAAGAATGGTATCATGTGAGCCAATGTAATTAAATAACAATTTAATATTGAATGAAACTTACGTCAAATGATCCGTGAAGCTAGTGAAAGGCACAATGGAGTTGGAGCACAAGCCAGTTTCAATGTTGGGTGTGCAAATTTCTGTAATAGACTGTCAGAATGTTGCTTAATTTACCAATCTCGAAAACTATACTTACGAACATTACTTGAGCTTCTAGCCCAAGCTTCTACACCAGGATGAAGGAAGCCCCAGGCTTGAGGAGGAACATGAGGCACAACTAGCATATGGATTAACATACTGTTATAAACGGTTATCAAAGATGGACCTTACTGTCTCTGTTGTTGACACTTCTGGAGAAAGTAATACCAGTTGAATCAACATAGTAAGCAAAGGCAGGATTGCCTACTCTAGGACAGCCAACTGTGTAAATGGCGAGGTTGCTCTTGGAAAGTCTTGGTTCACGTTGATAGAGATCCATACCAGCAAGCAATGCTTGAGCACCTCCAAGTGAATGACTGGAGGAAAGATATATTAGGTTTACATGCAAGCTTTTTGATGGTTAGTTATGCTTACCCTGTAACAATAACTTTATAACCAGGGTAGGCGGTCAATTGACTTTGAACAGCAGGGAAGTAATCACTGACAACTGCCTTGTAGGAAGCGTAGAAGCCTGTGAATATATTAAAGTCGGTAAGTATCATATACATCCCATCATATTAGTAAATAAACTAACCAGTATGAACCTTGGCACCAGACACAGGAGTATAATTAGTCAAATCAAAGACCAAATCCTATATTCAAAATGACATTAGCCTTTTCTGCATGCATGCATCCAGTCAATCGAATGATGTATAAACTTACAGTGATGGCACTTCTGATGGAGTTGGTACCACGGAAAACGACATAGATGGTCTTTTGGGCATCACTTCTCAAGACGAAACCATTGGTATCAGTAACCAAAGAAGTGAATGTCGTGATGAGCTTGCCATCAGGAACAAATTTCAGACAGTTGGTACAGCTCCATTGATTGAGAGGGACGACAGATCGGCAATAAGCGGTAGAAGCAATGCCAGCATACTTCTTGAACTCGGAAATCTGAGCAGTAGATGCGATAACTACAGTAGATGCGGATGGCACGGCAGGGACTGGTGGTGCATTGGAAGGAAGGTCCATGGTATAGCCTCCGACAGTTTCATCATTTCGTTTGGTGACATTGAGTTTACCACCATGAGCTTCAAACCATTTCTTGTTCTTGGCTACATTGGCATCTTCCACATTATGGTTTCCAGAGGGAACCTTGGGAGGAGTAACACGGCTCGAAATGATAGGAGGGAGCGTAAATGTAGAGGCATCAGAAGTAGTAGCATTCTTACTGCTACTATTGTGAGAAGAAGCAGGAGCAGCATGAGTGGAACCAACCAGCATGCTAGAGACGACAATGAAGAGACTGATGCCTTGAGAAATGGAGACAAAGGAGACCATGGTTTAGTTGATAAAGGATTTTGGAATGGGATGCTGGATAATGAAGCTTTTTCCATTGAACGAGCTAAGATTTATATACAAAACGTCAGGACATATACAACTTTTGTGTACCTGAATCAGTAGCTTAAATCTATTTAGCTGGGAACACAAAATTAATAAACATTTTGCAAAGCTCAGGGTAGGAAAACTGATCATGTTGCCACGGATACCATGGTTTGTAACCATAGCATTTAGAGGCAGCTCTGAATTTGCATGTGTTTTTCTCATTCTACTATGATCGAGTAGTAAGAGCTGGTGGAGAACACGAATTCCGCATTTTTACTGTGTTGCCTTGAATTAGAATGTGTAATATTTTAAGTAACTGACAAATTGCGGATTCTTTGAAAGAGTTGTGTACTACTATCAGGCAATCAGTGAGTTGTGGGGAAAAAACGCTTATAAAATCAAATGTCAACCCAACACTTGTAGCCATGTAGCAGGTCTACTAATAAAATATACTCTAAATCCAGTATCTCTGCATTCTGAGAAAGGAGAAGTCGCGAAGAAAACTGCTCATAATGTCAACAATCATGCTATGTCAATAAGAAAAGAAAACCTATTATTCTCATGTACTCCAAAACATGCAAAAATAGGATTTTTCTTCGATTGTTTCATGCTGTGGAACGATCAAGTTTAATTTCGTATCACCGTTGTGAACTTTACATGAAATTACAAGCTTATGAATGTGCTTAGTTACTTGTGGTTAAAACAAGTATTTTCATGTCTGGTCGACCATATTCTCTCTCCAAGCAAGAAAATCAGGAAACTCTCGTCTAGAGAGCAAGCTGATGGCCATGATGCACTAGAAACATGAATATAAACGCACAGCATATTCAGACTTTATGATGTGAGCAAACCGTCGGTTAGGACATTATAACGTCTCTTATATACACTGATAGATTGAGCCATACTACTGTTCTGATATATACAGTACAAGACACTACCCATCTATCAAATCAGACATTTCAGTTGTAGTCAAATTGATGATTTAATATCGCTGTTTTGCTTTAATTCAAGACTTGTTGTATATGTGATGCAAATGGACAAAATGGTAACATGATTCACAATGCAATGATGCGACTATAGCAGCCAAACGTTCCCATGTTGCATTGATCCGATATTATTCGAACTGGAGCACGAATCCTTATTACCAAAGAAGAATGTATGCTTCAATATAGTATTGTGGTTCCAATTGATTTCAAATCAGATCATGTTATTCCTCTATTCGCTCATGTGCGCGTACGCGTGTGCGTATTTCAAATGTCTTGTAACGAGAACACATTTGTGCTGAGAGCCTTATGCCTTTTGTGATTATTAGAGTTGGTGCTTGGCGACGCTTGGCTTATAGATCTTGCCTTTTCAGATTAACAGCCAATGCTGCTAATATACTTATTTGCTTGGAGCTATCCCCTCATTCTACGCAGTTTCCGTTTAGACGGCATTAGTGGTGTAGTGTATCATATCATCGTTAAGAATTGACTTTATGGGAGCACGAAACACGTAAAATTAATTAAATAGCTTACCAGTTCCCACCCTTTGGAATTCAGAATCTGGTCAGATTGAGCATAGAAGAACAGCTTTAATTAATTCAGCTTACTCAAGCATGTATCCCTCATGTTGTTTCGAACCAGATCATATTGAACATCGAGCACAGATTACGTAAGATGCGATGTCATTTTTTATTACCAAGTAGACCTGTTTACACTCTACATTGGCATCAAGACTATGAATAATTCTATAGCAATCCAATGAAACAACTTGACAATAGTCATTTCACAGGAGACAAATATACCTATGTGCATGTTTATTCATTCTACATAGCGTGTGCTCTATTGTCTACAGTGGCATATTGTAAAAGTCTATTTAACAAAGACGTAATAAAGACCGTAAGCAATGCCGTACAAGGTGAAAAAACCAATAAGGGCTTGACGGGTAGGTGGGCCACCCTGCGATAAGCTTTTGTAAAGCGCAATGAGACAAGCATCCATCAGCATTTGGAACTCAAAGAAATCATAGACTGTGAATTCACCGTAGACCTTGGTATTGAGGAAAACTGTAAGCTTGGCTGGTTGAATCTCATCGATAAGATTTTTGTAAAACAGTTCGACCTCTTCAGGATTATTATTTTCTGGGCAATATTCTAGCGCAAGAGATGTTATTAGGACGGGGCACAGACGTATCATTGCTCTTGATCAACCTACTGCCAATTGTGTTCTTGGTATAATAACTAAGCTTCGTGGTACCATCTTCGTTTGGCATTGCAGACATCTTGAGGGGAATGGAATCAGCCTTAATAAAGTAGAGGCAACCTTTATCAGCACCTAACATAAGACTGGTTGGACAGGGTCTATAACTGCAACCTATACATATTTACCGTGTCTCACTTCTTTCCATCTGATGCCGTACTCGTCTACTTTTGACCAAAGGGAGAAGGCGGTAACTTGATCCACAGCAATAGGTTGATTCAAGGATTGGCAAGCCCCGTATTCAATACCAGAAAGCAACAAGACCTCACAGATTCTTCGGAGGCTCTCAGACTTCTTATCTTCTGCTTCAACCATCAGTCCATCGTCTTTCCCTGTTCCATATTCAAAAGTTGCCTCGGGTCGGTGAAAGTTATTGGAGTCTGCCCAAGCATTAATTGCTAAAATCCGGAGAGAGTAAAGCAGAAATAGTAAGTATTCAAGAACAAATGGGAATGGTTGGGCGGCCATACCATCTGTGTATTCATCTGAGTAGTAAAAATTGCCATCATCACCTTGAGATGACTTTGCAGGCTTCCAACCAGGCTCTTGATCACCGAAAACAGGGTCAGACTTTGTAGGCACATTGCTTTTGATGACATTCTTGCGGTTGGTCTGTTGATAAGTCTGTGAAGGAGATGGCAATTGCGTTTCAAAGAGGTTCCGGACAAGAGTATAGGGATAACTTCCTGCAATATATTTGAGGGATGGATAATCATATTCAACGTGAGGGGCCATTAAGAAAGAAAAGATGGTCGCCATGACAAACATGGCAATGTAAGGTGCTAAAAACATAGTGATTGATGTGAGGTAAGAAAAGAAGCAAAGCGTCTCCAAAAGCTTAAAGAATTTTTTTATATGCTGCAAGTGCGAATCATTGTTGCAGCCTCTTCTTTGTTCATTGCATCTCGAAAAAGAAGCTCTTTTTTTTCAAAATAAAGTCCTTTGTTAACTATTTTGATGAGATGCAAATAGCATTGGCCACATTTGTATGTTTATTGTTCATTGATACTTGCTCGAAGAATTATTAGATTGAACAACGAAGTTTAATTTCGGAATATGCCATCCAATTGCCTCAGCCTTCATAGCTATGCCCCTGAGCAAGTTGCTCCTTGATTTAATAGCTCTTATAAAAGAAAGCTTTGTTTATTAATGATCACACATCTGTTTTCTCTTTTTCGTCAATATGCTAATAAATGCAAAGTCGATCAATGTATTTGAATAAAGGCATGTCCAATATGATTAAAAGTCATCATACCATCATAAAGATATATGGTCCCTAGACACTTTCAAAGCCTAAAAAAGGAAAAAAAGTTAATCTAACAGGTATGATAGACTGGCGTTATCAAATATAGAATGCAAAGAAATTAGTATGGCTAACTGTAATGCTATTTAATTTGCCATCTACTTTCCATACGCTTCAAAAGCATATATTATTCTATCGCCTTCATGTCGAAAAGGGCATTGAGCTTGCTAGCCGGCCACGTCAGCCAAAAGTAATTCAAACCCAGATTCTCAGTCTACTTCAGATTGGACAATTCTTTATAATTTTCGACTCAATTAAACTAATTAAGCAGATTCGACTATACAGAATATGATAATCATCCTATGCCTCCTTAAGCTTTCCTGGTGCACTTTTTAAGGCACATCCAATAGTACTCAATAAGATAGATGTTTTGAATAAACTTATTGAGTAATTCGCAAAAATATGAAAAGAGGTTTCTGGCCAAAAATTCAAGATTTTACATATCAAGGCCCCACAAAGATGATTTCAGGGGCTACATTACATCAATAGAAACATTCTGATTCAAGATACCATAGTGAAAGTTTTCATTTTCAAGGTGAAAAACACGATCGTTTGATTTTCAACGAAAAAAAATTCTTTTGTATGTTTTTCGATGAAAACCATGAGGGGTGTCTCGAATTTTGGCCATGTTTTTTTGGACCTCAAAAAGTTGAGCAAAGATGTCAGTAAGTAACTGCCAGATGAGAGTAATTGTTTGGTGTTGTTCTGACCATCTAAAATGGCCTTGAACGCGAGAAAACGCAGTTCAAATGCACTCAGATTTTGCTGTATTGGGCACACTCTTGAACAGTAAGGGAGAAAACCAGTATGCCTGCACGTATAAGAAGTATCTATGTGTGTACAATTGTGTAGCATCACATCAGAGTCAGATTCATAAATAAAATGAAAGGTTTTCATGTGTAAGTAGAGGATTAAAACGAAAGTAGTAGTATTTCGAAAAGATGAGCAAGGTCAGTCGGTAGCGCAGGCAGAGAGCCATCCGAAGCATAAACACGCTCGTATCATATAGTGTCAATTAATCAAGTATATCAGTTTGCCTTATACCAATACTACAGCAAAAGCGATCAACAAATGCCATGCGTATCCACACATATTATGCAGAAATATACCAGGCCAAACAGAGTGTTGCCCAAGCGTATATAAAACCTATACTCAAATTATACAGCTATCGTGGACTTGTAACAGTATTACCAAATGTCTCAATAACATTGTGTATTCTGATCTGACACAATCGTGTTATCCGAAACGACATCAGTATAATAAATCGACTAACAGATAGTGATGCTTGTATTTTAATTCGTTCAATGCGCTATGAAATAGCTCAGACGCTCCAATCTACCACCTAAATAAATCAACGTACATGGCATGTATCAAGTTTATACAGTTTTTGCACCAGATTAAAGTTTTAAGCCTTACTCGAAAGCATTTCTAAATGAAACCGTGACCATTCGTCGAGGGATCTCTTCATCATGCCACTACACAAACACAGCTTTATTCATTTTAGTCTCAAACTTGACCATCATTCATGTCTATTCCTACATTAACGTATCGCCCCATTCTCAATACCATCTCTTCGAGTAAGCTACTCCAATGTAATGCCTTACTACTGTATTTACTCGAGATTCATTAGATATTCGTCAAAGAGCAGTTGTCAAAACAACCTCTAGTGTAGGTATAATAAGGTAACATTTCGTGTAACTCGTAGTACAAACTGTCAGAAAAGAAGCTCAAGCGTATGCACAACACAGACATTTTCAAGCTTCTCGTATAGCATTCAAACAAGGTGCAGATGCAGAATCTGACATTTTGCGTGCTCAACGAAAATTAAGACCTAGCTCGCCTCATTTGACCATCTATCAACCTCAATTGACTTGGTACATGTCAAGTGCTCATCGTATCACTGGATGTGCAATGGGTGGTGGTAATAATTTTGATTTCTTCTTTCTTTAAAAGGTATCCGAAAACTGACGTCTTTGATAGCATTGTATCTGGGCGCTATGGCCTATCTCGCTGCACCCGTATTTGGTTATTCTGTGGATGCTAACACAGTAGTATCTTCATTTGGAGCAGCTCCAGAAGCTGTCAAGATGTCAGCCAAAGCAATCTTGGCTTTACCATTTACTTTCCATGCATCTAACGGTATCCGACATTTGGTAAGAGTCATTATTGTAATCGATCTGATGCATATCATTGCTCACTCATTCAACTGTATGATTAGATCTGGGACGCAGGCAAATGCCTTGATATCAAGGGCGTCTATAACACGGGTTATGTAGTTCTCGCTTCTACAGTTATTGGCACTGCTTATTTGGCAACCATGTAAATCGAATATAAGTTTATAGCATTTATTTTCTATTTTTTTAAATTGTAATTTTTGTTTCTTTTTTCTTTGTCTGTCTCGATGTTGCTTAAACAGGCCAACCAGTGGTGAATAATGGGTTTGAACCTGTCAATGCATCCATTTGAGGAGCACTCGATACTCTGGATAAGGCGTCTTTGGTTCCTTTTAGCCAGTTGGCTTTATGACCAGCCTCATAAATTTCTTCCAACACTTGACCAAATGTACCATTTTCCTTGTACTCGAGATATTTCTTATACAATATGAGTGCCTACAATTCACACTATGAGCTTAACATGCCATGCCGTCATCGAGATGACGCAAACTTACCGTGCGAGCATCTTCAATACTGTCGTGCGTTTCAGACTGAATATCCTGATGCAAGAGATGCCAAGCCAAAAAGCGCAATGAAATCTTTCTTTGTCTATTGCGAATATGATAGATATCCACTGTATCGATGATTTGCTCGGGAGGCACCAGTATATCTGTAACGAGTCATCAATGACACAGATCCATAAAACAACTGCCCAGAATATAACTTACTAATAATTCTGAAATCCTTATTCAAACCATGCCCAATAAAGATACAGCCCAAATCCACTAGCAAGCGCAACTTTTTGTACGCCACTTTGAGAGGCACCAATGTATACTTTGACTGATTACGATCCAGATCGCCTGCCACAATACCGCTAAACTCTGTCAAATAATCCACAATCGGTTCACTTGTCGCAATGTAATCATCAATGAACGGCACTTGTTCCTTGGGCCCATCATTTCCGCGTAGCACACTCACACGCGCCAAGGTCAATGTACTCGGGCGAATCAATGACTTTGTACCATCACTACGAATTTCCGTCTCTTCTTGTTGTAGCGCTACGAATTCTGCATCGATGGCTACCAGTGTACCAGGCTTTGGCATCTCGTCCTTGGTCAAGACTTGATGACGAGGATGAGGGTTGGGTTCCTGCGCCACGGTCAAATCTTCAAACAAAAGCGAGTAGTCTACTTGCGATGGCAGGGCATCAAGATCCAATAGCGTATCCAAGTCCACTCGTGTGTATTGAAGTACAGCAGGTGTCTTCCAGTTACCTTTGAACGAAAACACTTCTTCCGCTCGGATCTTACGGACCAAAAAGTCATTGAAGAGATACCAAGGCGTGGATGGTGCCCCATCTGCTTCTGATGTCTCTGGGACTAAAAATGCCATGGTGAATCATCCATCCTGATAGTAATAAAAATTGCACTTACTCTTGATTTGAGACACGAGATGAGTTGCTTCTTCCTCTGCTTGTACTTGTAAGATAGTGGATGACAATTCATAGATGGCACATGTCTCTGAGGGACCCTTGAACTCAGGCGGAATCTCTTTGCCCATCGGCAAAGCCTTGATGGCCAGTTCAGTGCCATTAATATAAATGCCGAATCGTTCAGGCAACCAAGAGGAAGGAGTGTTGACAGTAGTTGCATCTTCATTGATAGATCCTTGATCACTGTCTGCATTGACTGCCTCCTGAGCCACTGAGCTGGATGCTGATTTAGGAGTATTGGGCCCGTTTTGCCTCCAAATCAGTGCTTCTTCGCTATTGGCAGCACCTGAATTGATCAACATGACACTGGGCAATCCACAAATAATTTTCTTGGTCGTTGTAGGCTGATATTGGTGGCAGTGAGCGCACCAAGCCTTGGTTTGGTTTTCTCTGTACATGCTGGCTTTAAGAATGCTGGTAAAGGATCGTTTTCTCGACTTGCGGTCGTTTTTCTTGGGATACAGCATGTCGACGACAAAAGGATAAGTGATGCGAGACACTTCGGCCTGACAGCTGCCACACTTGCTCTGACTGAGCGTCTGTAGACCAAACAGTTGCTGCATGGTTGATGGTATTTCCAATTCCTCGTTGGTCTTGTTGTGTATGGCGATATCTCGCACCAGGGCTTTTGAAATCAACGGATTGGCAGAGGGCACATTCGACTCTTGGTGGATCTGCTCCATGATGAAGCGAGTAAAATTTTGCATCAGCGTAGAGAACGACAGGTTGCGATTAGGCGTCTCTGGCTCAAACAAGCCCAAAGCAGAAGCCTGTGGAATGGTGCTGAACGCTCTGAGGAAATTGGTTGCTTGACAGTTTTGACCCTTTGAATCCTCCAACATGCGAAACAAGAATCCCAGTTCGCAAAGCAAGCAATTGTCCTTGGGACAAGCAATCTTGATGTGTGATTTGGCAATCTTTCGCAGCGGTTTGATAAAGAACAAGACTTGCAAAAACGAATTGCAGTATGAGTTTCTAATGTGCGTCTCTAAACCGCCATACTGCGTTGAATTGTAGTATCCAAAATCAAAATCGTCGACACCAAATTTACTGTACTGAATTTCCACACGCTGGTAGTAGCGAGGCATGTTCAGCACAGCGGGGTCTGCTATGGTCACATCGCCTACAGAGGAGGAGCGTCTGCCCGAATGCTGTGGCTCATCGTCTCCTACCAGTACGTTGCTGGCCTGCAGTAGCTCTCTTTCTTGCTCTGATCTGAATTTGGGCCCGTTCTTTTTAGTGATTGGCTTCTTCTTTCGAGGTCGTTGGTTTCTGTGAATGTTGCCTGGATTAGGCGCATATCCCACAAAGTCTATCGTCTTCATATTTTTGAGGATTTCATCATCGATAGGTGTAGGCTGAGCACCGACTTCATATATCTTGTTGTTGGGCCAGACAGATAATAGCGGATCTGTGTAATAAGGCATGCCGACTGTGGATAAGGGGCTGTCTTCTTTTACAGTGGTAGTTAGTGGCTGAACAATGTCGGGTGTTGTCAGTGGCAATGAATAAGGGTTCACATCAAAGTCTTCACGGTCTGCATACTGATACACAAAACTAGCTCCATCTGCAAATACCAATGTTTGCGCTGAACTCGATATATCCATGGCTGTAATGTAGCTGGACGTCTGTATCTGATGAAACTGTGCTGGTGCCGCATAGGATCCCATAATTAAGCTGGACACATCGCACATCTGGAACTGACCTGTTTGAGAGGCAACAAGACATGTGGTGCTCAATGTTGGGTGCATTTTCAAAAACATGGGCCCGCTGGGGAAGGGAATTGGAGCCAGCGTTCTTACTGCCATTCTGATATCATACACTTTGACTAGCGGATCCATGATCAAGGAGCCTTGTCTCTGTGAGAATCCACATGTCAGTAGCAAGTTACCAGAGACGTCCAAATCCGACAAGGTGGCTGTGTGTGCTTGTACTCGTTGCTCTACTTTCATGGTGCGCGGATCTCTCAGTGTCACTTCTCCCAGTAGCGAGCCTGCGCAGATGGAGCGAGGCAAGCTTTTGAGTACAACAATGTTGGATGCATTGGCTATCTTTCGAGTCACTACACCACGGGCCAAACTCACCACCAGCATATCGTCCTGCTGTCCTGCAACCAGTAATTCGCCGTTGGTCAATGTGGTTGAAGTCATGCAATGCAAATCCTGCGTTTGTTCGTTGCTGTGTTTGTTGGGTAAGTATCTAGGCAAAGCAGAGTGAGGACTTTCCATCATACTCACCTAATGCTCCATTTGACTAGTCCTCGTCTGTCTCGCATTTGTATGCTCTTTGGGCTGAGACTGATAACACCTCTATCTGTTACACGTATCTGTCGCACTTGTTCGTCTTTATGTGCCTTCCATGATGTATAGCGTTGCAATCCTTTGCCATAGTAGGAGCAAACTCGGCCCTATCAATTGGTATGGAGGTTAACTGAATGAGTCTTTTGGTTTTCTCAAGTGAACAGAGATGCTTACAGAATCGTTGCCAACCCATAGCAGCTCATGATACGGATCCCAGCACACAGCCGAAACGGGTGATACTTTGTTGAGGTTGGGATCGCAGATGTGCTGCACTTCGCTCCAAGAACTATCCATGAATTTATGTTGTATATGTAGAAAGAAAGGTATTTGAGTTTCAGTTTTTTGATGCTCCTGCCCTTTTTGTTCTGCTTTGTTTCTTAGAGTGACGTCTAAATAATCCATCATCTCACTAATTTGATGCTATGCTACCATGGTGTTGCTCTTGGGTTGGCTCGCAATGTGTTTGTCTTGGAGTGTAGCAGCTAAGCATATTCAATGATCTTTGGTTTTGCCCGTGAAATGGCACATTTATTGGGTTATTTGTGCTAGCAGTATTGCATCGATCAGACATGATCCATCAGATCAGGTATGCCGCAATTGAGTCAAACTGGTTTGACGACTTTGCATCATCCAACGGGCTCTAAGCTGCAGTGTACTCGATATTGAAACAAGCTGGACAGCCATTAGCCAGCTTTTTACGCTCCTCGATCGAGAACCAGACTGTCTCTTTAGAGCAGATGATCATTTTGAGCAAGAATCTTGGGCGGATGTGGCTATGAAGAGAGCTTCCGAGATGTCAATCAAGAGATGTGGTTTGGAGCACAGTGCCTTACCTTATATTTCTCTGTAAATCAAGCATTGAAACAAGGCTGGTCCAAGACATACACCAATATTAGGGGTTGGACACGATAAACTTGCCGTATTTAAAAACCAGGCGATTAGAAATTAACATTTATTTCTTGTTCTTGATTACACTTTTTACATTGGAATATGGAAAAATACTCTAGATGGAGAGTAGGATCAGCACAGGCCAAACTCATACATGGAGATTGCTCATCCTCAAATTTCAATCTAGGACGCTAGCACTGGCATTCAACCTTTCTTGCCTCCAGTTGTAAGTTGTGCTGAAATTCGCCCATCATGGAGACGACACTCACCTCCACTGTAAAACAGCCACCTCGCACAGATTCGAGTCTATTAATCACGCTATCCAATGTCATTCATATCATTGTGGGACCCATTCAAGGCATTATCAAGTTGGTTTTGATTGGCTTGGTTACCTTGTTATACATCGTGCTTGTGCCTGTCTTGGGCACTGTGTTGGTAGGCTACTCAATTGCATATCACCACACGGAGACTCATACTACTACTCCAGACGCCGGTAGCACCTTTGAAGCGAGTTTGGACCAGGCTCTTCTCGTCTATTTTCCTTCGACTTGTACTATTTTTGAGTGGATTCTTTCACATCAAGACAGAAACTGTCTCTATTCGCAAAAGGTATGCGTTGTCATATGTCAATCCTTCACGAAAACTCAGTTCAAAGTATCATATTTAGTCGTGGTTCCAATGGTACCAAGGAAGCACCACATGTCAAGCATGGCGATGTCATTATAGCTAATTGGACTTCTTATATCGATATTCTATACCTTGCATCAAGGTAAAGATCATGCATTATTCTAGGTAGCTGGACACCCGTCTCAATCGCTGAACCGCTCCGTCTGTAGATTCAATCCTATATTCACTCAAATCTTCGTGGACACCAACAAGATCAAGATCATTTCCCTATGGGAAGCTATCCGATTGGTAGGTAAAATCCCTGAATCAAAACCATCAAGCGAGGATACAGTGTACACAGTACAAGAGCTGTCTCAAAAGGCAAAGAAGGGTAAATGGGGACCTGTTGTCGTGTTTGCAGAGGGCACAACTACCAATGGACGCGCCTTGCTGAAGTTTGCACCTGTCTTTGAGGATTATAAAGTGGATCAAAAGGACGGATGCTTTCAGATCATGTCATTCAAGTATGAATATGGAAATATGCCACCCACATATACAGTTGGAAACCAGGTTTACCACTTTTTCAAGTTGTGTTCTCAGGTAACTATCATTCAGAAGGTTTTTGATCGTGTACCTGACTTTCATGCTTCGTAGTTCCATAATACACTCATTGTCAAATCGCTTGCTCAAGGTGAAGCTCCATGCTCATCGCATTCTACCGCTGATGCCACTACCCCTACCACTAGCTCGAATGATCCAGTAGGAGACTTACTCATTTCATCACTCGGCAATATATCAAAACTGAGAAAGACCAACCTAAGCATGTCTGATAAGCGTGATTTTATCTTGTACTATGAATCTCGTCAAAAAAGCAGAAAATAGAGAGCAATAAAGCATCATAGTATATTTTTTAGAATTCTGTCAGACCCTCTAATGCCAATGCCTCCAATGTTCTACTGATGGGCTCTGTGATGAATCGAGCTCCTTGTTCTCCATTGTACATATCGCCTTCATCATCTATAAGCAATACATCGTCATTGCCATCACCATAGAAACGGTTGCCAGATGATCCTCCATTGGCTCTGTTCATGTATTCCACTTGATCTAAACCGTCCATCATGACGCCGTCTACATCCACATCGACATCCACCAAATAGGGGTCCTTTGCATGGTCTGCCTCATTTCTTCCATGTCGTGTCGAGCTATCTGAGGCAATAGAGGCAGAGCTTGCTGTTGCATATATGTCATCCATGCCAGGTGTAGACGGTGCCATTGTGCTGATGTTACTATTGTTTGCATTGTGGGAGGCCATGGATGAAGACGCATTGTTGCTACCATTATTACCACTGCCACCACCCCCAGCGCCACTACCTCCATTGCTGTTGTTCATAATATTTGATCCGGATCGATGACGAGCGCCAGCTGCTGCGTTTGGATCAAACAGATTATCCAGTAAATCTACAACATGTGTATTTAGCCAACCATTTCTTTTCCAATACCAAAAGCAACACACTATACCATTCTTTCTCTTTTTGTAATAGTCTTCTTTCTCCTTTTCCTTCTTCTCTTTCAGATCCTTCAGCTCTCGTTCCTCTTCCGTCATCATATCAGGATTCAAGAATCTGAGTCGCAGACTTGTGTGCTTTCTAAAGTTCACTTGACCACCCCATAACCACAACGGCAGTGTCATTGGGATGGTTACTTCAAAGTTTTTGAAATTTTCCACAAATTCGAATTCTTCACTGGAAATAACACTTGTATGCAGGTTGCGGACAAACTCTCCCAATGCGCTGGATATGCTCCACATTTGTAGTTTGCGTAAACATGCAATCACTAGGCCAGTGACATCTGCGCCGTCCAAACAATGGATGTACAGAGGGTGATTTGCTGGATCTATCATGAGCTAACAATAGTTCGATGAGTACATTTCATGCTATTGGTGTGCATGATGGGAAATGTCACCTGTAATGCCATCAATGTCTTGTTGTATGTCAATGGGATATTGTCTTCTTTCATCTTGTCCACCGTTAAATGGAGCAGCTTAATGCTGTTTTCCTCACAAAATTCTTGCATTTCAGGCATCAGTTTATCAGGAATGAGCGACAATATGGTCTTGAGCCGTAACCTAAGCAAAAAAAAATAAAAATAAAAAAAAAATAAAAAAAAAAGCACCATATGAGTAACGAACGAAATGTGTTGATGCTGTACACCGAGATACCTCTTTAAAAATCGCTTATTACGTGGTTTAGGATATCCTCCTCGAAATAGATTTTCTTCGACCATGGTAAATCGAAATGGTGGTATTAAATTGGGTAGTTTCACTGCCATTGTATATGCGTTATATATATATATATATATATTTGTACAAGATGATAAAAGATGTGAAAGAAGGAAGAGCAGAAAGGGTTCCATATCAACATTTACGTGACTTTTATTAGAAATTGAGATAGGGTTTATGTGTTGCATTGTAACTGTCAAGAGCATCCCAAAACTGAGAAACGGTAGCTCTATCCATGTGCCTTTTACTTCTATGAATCTACAATTCGTGTTAATCATCAGCGCACCATTACCATGCATTCACTTACATTGATTTCAGTTACTGCCCACTCAGATGCAGGTGCATTGATTTGATCCGAGTTCCACTTGGGATAAAATCCCTTCACTGTAAACCACAAAAACCATTAAATACCATCATACATATACACACATGATAGCCCTCCTTACCATTGCTAAACAACTCAACTGGCTTCTCCCACTTCCAGCCCTTAAATTGCCACAATTGACCTGCAACAAACACACAACACACACGATCCCAATCAGTCTGCTTGAATTGTGATACTGAGTCGACGATATGATAAGGGACCACTTGTCCATTGGCTTTCTTGCGTTCTACAGTGACACGTTCAGGCTTCTTTAGTCCTTCTTCTCTCAACTCTTGCGAATCCACATATCTATAAGAACTCATTTAGCGAATTCTGCTCATTGCTCTATCCTTGCTGTCTAATGAACATACGCTTGATCCTCCAAGAATTGCTTGATATTGTATAATGTAAACTTGGCTGTTGGTGCTGCTGGGACAATAATAAGAGGAATTTTGTCTTTACTGGATAACTTATGTCCTTTAGCTGCAATAGCTGCTGATTTCATTGTTGGTTTAACAGTGTTGCTGGATGCCTTCTGTCTGGATGTACTAGGTTGTGCTATTGTGCATGTTAGATTGGTCTCTTCTAATGTTGCCTACTTCATTATGGGTACCTGATTTTTGAGTGCCACCTGAACGGCCTGCTGGAGGTACATCTTTACCGAGTACCAGCTGTCTAGCTAAATTGATAGCGTGTGTAAAATTCTTGGATCCTTGAAGTACTGAAGACCTCGTCATAATCTCTCGTTCTCTCGCAAGCACTTCCTTGATAAGCTTTATAGAGTCATCAGATTTCAGCGGTGTTGTCTTTTGCTTTTTGATAGATGATGTATCTTCCATAGTAACATCATCACCACCTCCTTCTGCTTCTTTTCGAGATCGTTTCTCTGCCAGCAACGTACTCAAGTCAGCAACAAACTACTCTACAGCTCTTTCTCTCTCTCGCACATCACTTACCCTGCTTATTGGCAGATGTCACATTAGGCGATTGATTCACTTTACCCGTGAGGTAATCTAAAATCTTTCTTCTATCCACGATGGATACGTGTTCAATACCACGAGCACGGCATTCTTTGAAATAAGCAGAGTTGTCTAGCTGTGCGTTTTGAACAAGAAATATCAACGTCTCCAAGGTATATGTCTCGTTATCGGCTGCGTTGGTCTTTTTAAAGTTGGTGGGTGCGTCGCGTGGAAAGGCTGTTTTATCATCATTGTTGAATTGAATAGTTTTGGCATCTGAAATTGTCGTAACAGATTGTCCACTTTCGTCGAGTAGAGAAACGGGTTTATTGCTAATGGTAAATTCTCGAAGGAGTGAAAGTGGGTCTAAGGTGGACATGTCTATCGTTTTGACAAGGTAAGATGAAAAGAGAAAAAGAAAGGTCTCATTCGACAATTGCTCTTGTATCGATTACTGGTGTTGAAATCTAATGTACTGTAATGGGCAACAAGTGACGTCTTGTCACCTGGAAGACATTATATAACACTAACGACATTCTGTTGGTATGCGCCATAGACTCACTAATCTCTCGAATTAATATCCCAAAAAGAGCCTATGTGAAGTTGCCTTGATTTCAATACAACAAAGGGCGTGTCATTTCATTCAACTCAAATTGGTGCATTTATGTGGATGGTAGATCAAATACAAGCTTCTAATTTGATTCACACTTTACAAGATCATACAGTTCAGATCAAGTCCTTTCCTAATGTACCAATTAAAACCAAATTGATTCTCTTCAACACCCTTTGCGTTTACTTGAGATAAAATAAGTTATAAGTGTGAGAAGCACACTAAAGACAGACAGATATAAAATTGTTGACATGTTGTTTCAGGGATCATCTATTGCTTTATGTAACTTCAGAGGAAGTGTATACCGTCATTCATCTGATACACCGTGGCTGGTTCATATAATAAAATAAGGTCTTCTTTGCACTTCACAACAAGTGATGCTTTTGATGTATTGCCAAAACGGCGACACTAGTAAAAGCATTATGTTGAAGTACAGGTGCAACAATTTCAATAGCCATGATTATAACAAAAAACCGTCCGCCATGGCTTTTTCTGGTTTTTTTTTTTTTGCTATACCTTGGAATCATCGCTCCTCCCCTTTTCTCTATTCCGTTCTGATTTCTCTTTTGATTTCTCTTTGAATTTCGAATTGAAATTCGCATTGAAAGTAGCATGTTATTATACCAGTTTTTTGCCCTTTAAACGATGGTGCAATTGAAATTTGGATAGGTAGGAGGATGGTTGATGAGAAAAGGGAGATTTTAGAAAATAGTTAATTTTGAATAGAAGCTGCTAGTAAAACTTTTTAAATTACTGTATGAATGTGGGATGTATGTGTGGAGAAAGTTGTAGAGGGTACTTTTTTTGGCTGGGACATGTTTGATGTGAGGTTACCGAAGATGATGCCAATGAGTAATGACGAAAAATGTTCCAAACGACCGATTTTCAAAAGGCCATACCGCTGAATTTTACTAAGTGAACGAGAGCTTCAAACTTAATAGCTTCTGTTTTTTCAATTCTCTATACTATGGTATGGTTATTATAGATAAATAAAAAAAGTTTTGATTATCCCCTGCTTGTAACTCATGATATAAATGATTTTGAGCAAATTTATGAAGGGAGCGTACATCTGGTACTTAAAACCATTATATTATTATGAATATAACATAGAGTTATCGAATGGTCTTTTTTTTGTGCGAATCCAGTGAGTATTTGTCGAGATATGGTCAAAAAAAAGTATCATGCAAAATCATGGATTTTTCTTCGAAATCTGCCTGTGATAGCAAGCAAAAAATTTGGATGACCTCTTTTTGGTCAGGACAATATTGTCAATATTTTATGATAGAGTTATACTAGAGCTTCAAGCGATAACTCATTCGATAGGAAATTTTTTGATCTACAATTTTTAGTAATACTTAACAAATTGTTTTGATGAAAGATAGTGATTAATCTTTAGAAAACAGTGAAAAAATTGCAAAACTTATCTCATTAAATGTCAGGTGAATAATGTACACCAGAGACTTGAAATAAATACCATTGTATTCTCCTTTCAATTCTCTACAGGTTTTGTATAAGTTTGAAGGGGTGCTTACTATCAAGAAGCAAATAATTTTAAGGTCGATAGATTTCGGAATCCCATGGATTATCATTCAGAATAATAGAAATTGAATCTCCGTCTAGCCTTTGCATATGTACAAGGCACATGTATGAATTTGACCAAGCATTTTAAAAGTCGAAGTGTACGAAAAGGGCCATATTAACTTGTTAGTTTCAAGTTATCAGTAGTGTTTAGAATAACAAAATATAGACAGAGGAAATACAATTAGAACTGAATATATTTATTATGTTATTCCAAGATTGAATGAGGATCAAAACTAGTGCAGATTTCAAAGGTATTTATAGTTATTTGACAGTGCCGCAGCAATAGGACCTTGATCTTGAATGTGGGATAATTGTATAAGCCTTGAACCAGTCAACGAGGATGATGTGCTGCGTAAGAGCTCATGAACCACCAGTCAGGGATAAACAACAAATATGATCCAGGATAGAATGTTCTTCCTAATAGCTTTGACGAAAGAACATTTGTCAGAATTGAAACCCACTTCCAGGGATGAAAGGCCATAGGCTGCCATTCTCTAGGAACCAGGATATAGATTAGCCATTTGATGGTACCATTCATGTTCCTTCGTGCTGCTTGAATAAATGCCTCTCACTTCTACTACGCATCTCTGCTCATTCTCAGATCCTCTTATGTAATATACAACGTTTAATACATTTGCCTCTCAGAGATGATCTATATCCTCAACAAATAGATACCTGACATGATGGAGAATCTTAATTTCAAGGTTAGATAGTTGTAGCTTGCTTTGTTCGATTATAATAAGATTTGCAATTTAAAGCATGCATATTCCCCCGCTTAAAAATAGCATCTCCAATGTCGATTATCTCATGAAGTAGACATTGTTTCCCATATAGATGTGATGTGATACGATAAACATCATATCGTGACCGACAAAACTGTCCCAATGTTTAGCAGTTTTAACTTTCAAGCCTTACCGCCGGACGAGAAGTTATCCAATAATAATAAATCTAGTATTTTTTGAGAGCTAAACCTGTTTTCTTTATATTGTTTAATTTGTACAAGCATATAGCTGTAGGAGCACAAGTTGTGATTGGCCAAAGTCATTAGGTACATTGGGATAGTATTGTGAGATATTTTGAAAAATCACAAATTCGGTGATAACTGAAACCCACAATTTGGAATAACCTCGAGAGGGTCGTATAAGAAAGCCTCATGTAGTGCAAATAGTCTCCATTATTCAACTCGGAGTTCTAAATATCAGGTAGGTCGATTATGGTGTAGGATAAAAAGGGTGTATAAAAGTTAGGGTGTAATCCGGATAATAGATAGACCGTGGGGGTATAGGGCGCAGGTAGGGATAGGGTGTATAGGTGTAGGTAGATAAAGGATGCATAGGGTGTAGGTAGACCTAGGGAGTGTAGAGGAAGGGTGCATTATTTAATTCTCAACTGGAGAAAGCAGTAAAAGTTTTTTGGCACGTGGGAGGATCAGGCACATCTTTTTGTTCATTACCTTACTCCATTTCTTTAATACTTTGAGCAATATGGATAACTCAAGTTATGAAACTGCATATGATTTTGTCAATAAGTTTCCTGACGAAACCGTCCAAGAGGTTCTTCCCGCTGTATTTGACCGCACCACCAATACATTCAGAATCAAAAGAGTGAATATTGGATAGGCTTTGAAGAAAAGCTACACCATAGCTTACAACGAGAAGAAGCCGGTCGAAAAACTCGCTGATGATGAAAGTATTTACGATAGAAGAATTCGAAAGTTGTGCGCTGGTGCTTTACGATGTTTAAGCTTGCATTGCAAGAGACCTGAAGGGGTCAAAGATCAACGGCCATCCACCAAGGAAAAAGACAGTTACGGCTACTCCAAAAGGTTTGAATGCCCATATTGTAAGGCGCCATTGGAGAAGGTTCCTTGTGGTGTTCCTGTAACTTTTACCTTCCGTGTAAATGACTCTCGCAGAGAAGACAGAGGCAGTACCGTAACAATGCGTCAAGAAATAACAGAAACGAAGAAGCACACACACACCATTTACAACTCGCTCCATCTCGATAGATACGAAAAGAGGGAGCTTAACAAGATGATAAAAACAAGACCAAACATCACTGCTGATGCTGCAATTTCTGGCATTGATCCCTATACTGGTGAAATTACGAAAAGTATCAGAAAAATTAACAATTTGATGGCTAATCATGGACGTACTAAGTATGAGATCCGAAGATCAAAGATCCAACAGGATCTGTATACTACAAAAGAAGATGCTGTGGCTGCGTTCCAAAATCTTGATGAGAAGTATCCACACTTCATGGATTCAGCCCAAATTCTCCCTAGCAAGTTTTTTGTAAGCTTTTGCTCACCAGAAATGCTTAAACGCAATCTGCCTTTTTCCGACCAACCCATCGTAACAGATGTTACGTTCAAGGCCGTCCCAAAGGGGTATTATCTTTGCTCAAGTGTCATATACATCGAGCAACTCAAAAAGCATGTCGTCTTTTATCAAGCGATAATCAAAAGCAAAAACGCTCAAGTTTTCAAGCAGTATTTTGTTGCCTTGTTTAGAAAGTTCGACATCAAGCTAGAGCAGTTTTTGGGAGTCATCATGGATTTCTCAGCTGCGCAACACGAAGGGTTCATACTAGCCCTTAGGGAGGTTTTTGGTGTCAAGCAGCACAACGCATTGCCCTTTTTGAAAGGTTGCTATATGCATTGGATGCAGTCAGTCAGACGGCTGTCTAACAATTATCAAGTTGTCAAGCCAGATGATATTGATCTGATTTTGAAGTTAGTTCATCGCTTCCGTACAACCAGCAATTCAATTGAATTCTACCGTACCGGCCAAGAGATTCTCTCTAAATTTCCCAACAGCAAAAAGTGGCTGCAATGGTGGTTACAGCCTGGCGTATCAAGCATGATCTTCAGATACAAATTATTGATGAAAAAGGAATTGAGACAGCACAAGAGCCGCACGTCCAACGCGATTGAGGCATTCCACAGTGCGCTCTACAAGCTGATGCCTGAGAAGAGACAACCTGTTGCCACCAGTCTTTGACTGTTATTGCAGGTAGCCGAATATCATGGCATGATGATGTTGGACTTGTATGAGAACAACATTCGTCCTCATTACGGGAACAATCAGAAGAAAACAACGGCAAAGAAGTACGCGACTCTTTACGAAATCAATGACGGCCGTGCGCCAGACAACAACGCTGCTCTCTTTGGATACAAGAAGAGAAAGCAAGAAGTAGTAATCATTGGTGATGAGGAGAATGGCAAGCGTAAGAAGGCCAAGAAACTAGAAACTCGCGGTGCTGATTTGAGCGCTGCGATCAACGAACATTTGGATAAGGTTATCGAAATAGAGCAGAATTGTCCAAAGATTGACGACATTGCAGATGGCAATATCAGCGATGAGAGATTCTTCCTTGAACTACTCTCAGATAGTGATGGTGAAAACGATAAAGTAGACGACAGATATCATAGAACCGAGAATCTAGAAAACGACATTAAGGATATGTTTAAAGGTACGGATACTTTAGGTGGTTTTTACTTGCTCATGTTGTAACATATCAGAAATAATTAGGTGCTGGTGTTTCTGTCGAAGATGTTGTTGTCAACTCTGATGAGAGCTTCGAATCGTCTGTTATTGATCTTGTATCTTCCACTTCGTCCTCTTCTTTTTCTTCTTCCTCTTCTTCCTGTTCTTCCTCTTCGCCAATAATGGAGACCAAGTCTGAGCCTACTGCATCTAAGATGAGAGCACCAACTGATTCTGATTTCTCGTTGTCTTCGTCTTCCTCGAACTTACCCTGTCTTGCAAGTAATGACAAGCACATTGATTCTATTATACAAAGCATTCAAAAGTCCACATCTGCTACTATAATAGATCTTTTTTCCTCTCCTCCAATGCTCCCTGAGATTTTGGCATCAGTAGCAATTGAACCTATTGCAAGCAGTTCAACCACAACAGCAGATCAACCTTCGCTTGAGAACGACTCATCTACCGCTGCTGGCTTCCTGTTGCCACAAAAAAGAACATCTCTCTTGCAGAAATATCAGTGGCTCGTGAAAGATTATCAAAATAACCATCCAGACAGCCACCCATCTCTGCCCGTTCCCACCTACATAGTGTCAAACGAAAGTAACTCCTGCTTCATCGATGCGTTTATTGAGCTTCTGTTCAATGCTGTCCTTCCATTTGTGGATATGTCTTTCGCTGATGAAAACAACGCCTATGATTGTCTTCTCATGAATGCTTTTGAATCATATTCTCAGCAATCACCTTCTGGTATCCGTGCTGCTACTTCTACTGTGAGGCACTTTATTTGAAATATGACAGAATACAAGCTTGTCTCTGGTGTTCGTCAGCTGGTTAAGTCATTCCCAAAAGGTCGTCAGGGTGATACTGTTGATTTGGCGAGCATGGTATTGCAGCGTTTGTCGAGTGTCTTTGCCAGCAAGGTTTGCACATTTCCATCGTTGCAATGTGAAAGAAAAGTGTCTTGCTCTGTGGAAAAGCGCATGCGCATGCGAGAGATGACTTTTTCTCATTTATCTACATGCTCCCGACCAACGTCATTAATAAATTGAGAGATTGCCATGGGTTTTTCAATGAAGCGGCACTGGATGCGAAATTCAATGACTTGTTCAGAGAGAAGGCGCTCGAGGAACACCAAAAAGGAATATGCAACGCTCCAGGATGCGATGAAATCTCTACATCATACAGATCATTACCTCAAGATAATCAGTTTCCTAAGTTCATGTTCGTACAAGATGGTGCAAACTTTGTCCTTGGCAGAACAGCCGGAAACAATGTCTATATGCCTGTTGAGGATATAGATCATCTCTGAGAGGCAAATATATTAGGCGTTGTATATTACATAAGAGGATCTGAGAATGAGCTGAGACGCATAGTAGAAGTGAGAGGTCTTTATTCAAGCAGCACGAAGGAACATGAGTGGTGCCATCAAATGGCTAATCTATATCCTGGTTCCTAGAGAGTGGTAGCCTATGGCCTTTCGTCCCGGGAAGTGGGTTTCAATTCCGACAAATGTTCTTCCGTCAAAGCCATTAGGAAGAACATTCTATCCTGGATCATCTTTGTTGTTTATCCTTGACTGGTGGTTCATGAGTTCTGATGCAGCACATCCTCGCTACTGGTTCAAGGCTTATACAATTATCCCGCATTCAAGATCAAGGTCCTATTGCTGCGGCACTGTCAAATAACTATAAATACCTTTGATATCTACACTAGTTTTGATCCCTATTCAATCTTGGAATAACATAATAAATATATTCAGTTCTAATTGTATTTACTCTGTCTATATTTCGTTATTCTAAACATTTTTTACAATTAATTACTGTACCTCTATATATTGCATTATATTATCCCAATCCTAAATCAAGAATGTCTGCTGGTTCTGTGTCCTCTAATTCTACTGCTGGTTCAGCAAATGGTTCGATTCAAGTCCCTGGGGCTACTGCGGCTGGTCTTCCTGTTACGCTGGAAGATTTCGATCTCAATCCTTCTATGGATGGTCTTACCGAGGTTCTGTCTCAAGACGGTCAAGTGCTTGATGAAGACGAATTGATGGCTGAACTTGGTGGTGGTTCTTCGGCTTTGTCTGCGTTTGAGCCTCTGGAGAGCGTGAGTGGAGAGGTTGGATCTGGGGGGAAGTCCGCAGCTGAGCCATTGAGTGAGGCGATGGAAGCAAGTGAAGAAGCTTCATTAGAGCATGCGTTGAAGGCATTACGTGAAGAAAATGCGAAATTGTTGAAGGTGGTAGCAACGGCACCTACTGCGAGAGAGCGTCATGAGGCTCTGCGAGTGATTAGCAGCAATAAGGATGCGATTGTGGAATTGCGTAGCTATCGGGATGTGGTCAAGCCCAAGACAAGTGCGATGAGTCGTGGAATGATGCGTAGTGAAAATTTGGCTCTGAATCGTCGCGATTTACCCAAATTCCAGTTGGCTTCTGCAGCGGTGAAGGCTTTTCCCAACGAAGAAGTGTTTGAGAGCGTAGATCATTACTTGCGTACTTTTGAGAGCATCTTGAATTCATCATCGTTGGACTTGGAAGCGCAGTGGGCCAAGTTACTTCCGTTGTGTATGCCCAATGGGGATCGTGCGTGGGTCGACAAGACTTTGTTGAAGTGCAGCTCGTGGTGGGAAGCGAAGCAAGTGTTCTCTAGACGCTTTGGGTCTGCAGTGATTACTCGTCGCAATACGGATTTAGTGTTTACGATGGTGATGAGTGCGTCTGAATCCATTATGGATTACTCGTGTCGATTTCAGCAAGCAGTGTACAATGCGGGCCTCCAGTTGGATGATCCAAGAGTGGCTGATCGTTTCATGGCGTCGTTAATCTTGCCGGTGCAAACGGCTGTGCGCATTACCTTGGTGAGAGAACAAGGCACTGAGTCGTGGACAGTGGATCGAATTACCCAAGTGGCGCGCGATGTCTTGGGAGATGACAACCGTTTCTATGCGCATGCAACAGCTTTGCTGCCAGGTGCTGCGGTGAATGAGGTGGGTTCTGCGATTGAGGATCGTCAAGAGCGTCGTGGGTACCAAAGATCGTCAAGAGGGATGTCATCAAGTGGAAGACGTAACTATGGAGGGTTCAAGCGAGTGGAGAGTAGTGGTGGAACCAAGAAGTATCATTGTAAGCAGCATGGTCCGAATGATTCCCATGGATCTAAGGAGTGTCAGTTTTTGAAGTTCGAGAAGGCCAGGAGTGAAGGCAAATGCGTGAAGTGTTGGAAGCCATTTGAAAGGGGACATGATTGCAGCACTCGTCGTCCTCCTGGGGTTGGTCCGTCCAACACGGCTCTGAATCATGAGGTCTTCGCGGCAAGTGTGGCTACCAAGGACAATGAGTCGTCGTCCTCGTCAGGGGCATCAGCTTCGAGGGATGTCAATGCAGACGATGCCAATAGTGTCGCTGATCAAGATCAGCTGATGAGTGAGTTGGCTTTCCAATGTAAGTTGCCTAGTGTGAATGTGAACAAAGCAGAAACTAATTACTTTGCGTTGTTGACCCCGTTGTTGATATGTGTAGAATCTAAGAATATCAAGGTCATTGGCAAGGTGGACACCGGGTCCCAAATTAGTTGTATTAGTTTGAAGTTTCTAATAAATGTGCTTAAGATCAAAAAAGTGAGAAAAGTTGATGGGTACCTGAAATTTTTATCCAAGTCTGTGAAGCGAGTGGCAATGACATTTCCATTGAAATTTAAATATGCTAATGGCATTGTATTTGAACATGCATTAGAAGTGGTCCCGTTTGAGCAAGGGTTGGACTTTGATGTCCTGTTGGGAGTGGATGTGTTGCCAAAGATGAATATTGGGCTTACTGGTGTGGCGTTTCGCATCGACAGTGGACATCAGCATTCAGATGCTACAGAACATAATGAAAGAATGTTTGAGAATATCAATTTGGACTTTGAGGGCAAACATTTAGAGGCGGATAACTCACCTGCGGGTACTGAGGAAGAGCGTCAGGAGTTTAAGACATATATTAGCGAATCCTTAAAGAGAAATGAAGAGATACCTATCGAGTCGTGTTGTCCATTGCCAGAAGCTATAGTGAAATTACCTACAAAAGAAGGAGCGACGGCGCATCGTCGTCCCTATCCGATTGCTGAGTCGTTGAAGCCTGTAGTAGAGAGACAAATTCAAAAGTGGTTGGATACCAAGACGATCGGACGTTCGAGAATCAATTCGTCCTTTAATAGCCCTTTGCTGGTGGTACCAAAGCGTGACAAGTTGGGAAATGTAGTGGATCATCGTGTGTGTCTGGATGTGCGTTTGTTGAATAGTATTTTGCCACCTCCCTACAATTTCCCAATTCCTTTAGTAAAAGACATCTTTGAGAACTTGAGTGGTATGAAGTATTTTGGGACCACGGATTTGAAGGATGCTTACCACAGATTTCCTATTGAAAAAGAGAGCCAATTTAAATGTAGCTTTAGTTTTAACGGCCAAGGATATTATTTCTTGAAGGCTTGTTTTGGATTATGCCAGCTGCCAAGCCAGTATCAATTTACACTATCTACGTTGCTAGCAGGATTGCAACAAGTGCGTGACGAGTCAGGACGAGTGGTATCTACTACGCAGAATTTTCTAGACGATATCATTATCGCTGGCGTGGATTTTGAGCATTACAAGGTAGCCGTAAAAACGGTGATTGATCGGCTTACAGAGGCAAAATTGATTTTACAGCCGAGCAAGTGCCATTTTATGCAGAGAAAGGTGCGATTGTTAGGCTTTGTGGTCGATGAAAAGGGCATCCGAGTAGACAAATCCAAATGTACAAATGTGGCGAATTGGCCTGTACCCTCAACCAAGAAACAAGTGCAGCAGTTCATGGGATTAGTGAATTATTTGCGTTCACATATTCCAATGATCTATAGAGTGGCGGCTCCGATCACGGACCTCATTAAAGACAACAAGAATGTGATGAAGCACTGGACGAATCAACATACAGAGTGTTTTGAGGCAATTAAGAAGATATTGCAAGCGGATTTGTTGATCAATTACCCAGATTTCGACAAGGAATTTATTATTGCGTGTGATGCCAGTTTGTATGGAGTAGCGGCTGTGATTTACCAAGAAGATGACAAGGGGCGTCATAAGTATGTGGGTTTTATTTCAAGCACACTGAGTCCAGCGCAGCGTCGTTGGTCCACAACGAAGCGAGAATTGTATGCGATTGTGTTGGCGTTGCGGAAGTTTCAAACGTACATTTATGGGCGTGCGTTCCGGGTACTGACAGATCATCGAGCATTAGTGTATTTGCATTCTCAGAAAGTGGTAAACCCTATGATGGCTGGATGGATTGAGACTATCCTAGATTTTACATTTGAAGTCGTGCATTTACCAGGAGCAATGAACATTTTTCCGGATTTATTGAGCAGACTATATCCACCTGTGGAGAATGAGAGTACGTAGTTAATAGTGGAGGAAAGTGAAGAGCGTAGTCGGGAGAGACATGAGCAAAATCGCAAGAATCGTGATGCAAAAAATATGATTAAGAAGAAGCGGTATAGCAAAGATCAAGCAGTAAATATCTTTGCTACACAAGTGATTGAAAATGCGAAGGAAGATCTTGATTACATGACACCTCCTGAGGAAGAGCGAGATGAGATTTTACAAGAGATTCACATGTTTGGGCATTATGGCGCACAGGCGATTGTGAGAGAAGTGCACTCGCAAGGGTTGCATTGGGCTAATGTGTATGAAGATGCTAAGAGGTTGGTCAGTAGCTGTCCAGAATGTCAGAAGCACAATATTGCAAAGAGAGGGTGGCATCCGCTCAAGAATGTAGTTTCGCTTCAGCCGATGTCGCATGTGTCAGTGGATTTGGGTGGCCCAATGACGATGACCTTTGATGGATATGTGTATATAATGGTTGTCACAGATCTGTGTACCAAGTATGTGATTGTGCGCCCATTAAAGTCGAAGGAAGCAACGAGCATTGCTAGAGAATTGATTAAGGTGTTTGGAGATTACTCATTTCCTATTATTATGCAGAGCGATCATGGTGGGGAATTCGAGAATCACTTGCTTCAGGCAATCAGTGAGAACCTAGGTTTGCAGCGCAACTATTCTACCCCATACGCAGCCAGAGGTAATGGGAGTGCGGAGGCGAGTGTGAAAATTGTGATGAATACGCTGAGAAAAATGTGTAACTCTAATGCGCGAGAATGGAGCGATTACCTTCCAATTGTGCAGCTTTGTTGTAATCGTTACATCAAGAGTAAGTCGATGACTTCGCCGTTCTCGCTGATGTTTGCCAGGCGAGTTACACTGCCAGAGGATTATGCCAACAAAGACAAATACCCGATCCCCAAGGATATCACGTCAGTAAAAGAGCTTGAAGAGCGTATTGACTACATGCACAAGGTGGTATTTCCAGCGATCAATGAACGAGAGGCCAAGATGAATGCGATTATGCAGAAGAGGTTTAATGACAAGCATATGCTCGTGGACATTCCAGTTGGTGCTCATGTGATGGTAAAGATACGTCAACGACCAAGCAAGTTGAGTCCCATTTATGATGGTCCATATACGGTCATTCGTAGAAATCAAGGCGGGTCATACGAGTTGAAGGATGAAATGAATGAGATTCTTCATCGCAACTATGTACCATCCGAGCTAAAGGTGGTGAACATAGATGAAAAGGCCATTGATGATGAGTATTTCGAAATTGAGGCGATTCGAGATCATAGGGGCAAAGCAGCGAATCGTGAGTATCTCATCAAATGGAAGGGCTATGGGGAACGCATGTGTTCGTGGATAACTGCAGAAGATGTATCGGATCCCCATATTTTGCAAAGATATTGGCAAAAGCATGTGCAGCTGCAGAAGCAAGAAGAAGGGCGCATCCGAGAGCGAGTGGCTCAAATGCCGAGGAAGCAACAGAGGAAACGTGCTGCCATTGGGAAAGCAGATCAGGCGGGGGCTCCTCAATCCCCAGCGAAGCGGCGTCGGGCCACTTATGTTAGGAAGAAGACAGGATAAGTGGGAAGGTGAGCGACAGTGGGGACGAGGTAAGAGTGGTGATCGAGAGGGTGTTGTCATGTGTTGTGGTAGCAGTGTACCTTTTTACCTGATCATTGTTTTTTTTCCCATTGGGTTTTACATTGATTGGGATGTTTTAATGGCCATTGTTCCGAATTCATGATAACACATAGGAAGTATTTCAACGAGCCAAGCTTGTGTGATCTATCTCCTGTGGTGTAGTGTTTATCGAATCGACAATTCTTGCAGTATTATCGATTCTGGTGGGGACGAATGTTGAGGATATAGATCATCTCTGAGAGGCAAATGTATTAGGCGTCGTTTATTACATAAGAGGATCTGAGAATGAGCTGAGATGCATAGTAGAAGTGAGAAGTCTTTATTCAAGCAGCACGAAGGAACATGAGTGGTGCCATCAAATGGCTAATCTATATCCTGGTTCTTAGAGAGTGGTAGCCTATGGCCTTTCGTCCCTGGAAGTGGGTTTCAATTCCGACAAATGTTCTTCCGTCAAAGCTATTAGGAAGAACATTCTATCCTGGATCATCTTTGTTGTTTATCCTTGACTGGTGGTTCATGAGCGCTGATGCAGCACATCCTCGTTACTGGTTCAAGGCTTATACAATTATCCCGCATTCAAGATCAAGGTCCTATTGCTGCGGCACTGTCAAATAACTATAAATACCTTTGATATCTACACTAGTTTTGATCCCTATTCAATCTTGGAATAACATAATAAATATATTCAGTTCTAATTGTATTTACTCTGTCTATATTTCGTTATTCTAAACAATAAGAAGGATCATCTACCTGGCCAGTAGAGAGACTTCAGTTTACTTTACACCTGTCAGTTTGATAATAAAATATACCTTTATCAAGTTGACATTACTGTTTTTTATTCTTTTTTTCCGTGAATTTTAGTCTATAAAGCCTCAAATTCCACACAAACTATATTGGATAAAATCAATGTTCAAATCTAATATCAATAAAGCACCTTTTTTATCCATTCAAATAAAAAGCTATAACATCTTCCTGCACACTCTCTATATCTACTTCCATTTATATCTCGATCAGATCTCAGATTGCATATACTATCTCTATGTATTAGCATCTGACAACCATGATAAATATCAAGCTCTCTATAATGATTACCTTGGTAGTTGGTAATCAAGATATAAGTATTGTTGTGTGGAAAGGAAGACTGTAAGAACTATCCCAATAATTATGAGAGATGAATTTAAGGGTTCTTTTGGTTTGTTCGTACTAGATTGGCACTAGTAACTAAACTCCAGATTAGAATAAGAAGAAAAAAAATGGATGATGTTTATTAAGATGCAATTCAAAATACTATTTATATATGTCATTGTTCTATTGTTATTCTCCTGTTAGGCTCAATTCAGATCCGAATGTCAGTGCCCTGATCAAATGTAACCTCAAATTGGATTGCCTTCAATTTAACGTCAATTTCATGTACCCGCGTTCTTGAGTCGATCCTATCGTTTAAAATAGTAACACCCCAATTCCATTGTTGTAATTCCACTTGAATCTTGCATCGATTCGACATTAATTGGTTTGCATCTATCCTGAGTCAAAGTCCAGAGTCAAATCCACATTTCAAAATAGTAATGCTTGGCTATTAGCGCGCAATCTCATTTAGATCCCTGACTAATTCATCGATTCAACATTATCGGCTCCAAATACTGATTAGATTTCGGCTAAACTTGACAAGAAGCACCACGATCAAACGAATATGTAACAACAACAAAATAGAAGCGACACCAATTAAGCACCAACATTGATTAGCAATACACCAAATAGAGACCACATCGACTAGAATAACAGTATCAACGCACCATCAAGAGATAACATACAGTTTTACAACAATTATATGAGTGTGTCAATGCACCAGAACACCACACCAACGAGGAGTAACCCTTCAAGTAAGACATAGTAGATAAGTTAGAGAATTATACCTTGGATCCACCACATTTCGCCTTTTCCATATACGGTATATTGCCTTTTTAGGAAATCGAGATAGAGCCAAGTAACCAAGAGAAAAATACACACGTATCAACCTGTCGTGCCTAAATTTAGGTTTAAGCCAAATTTGAAGAAAGCGACTAAAAGGCGCCAGCGTATACTCGAAGGTTCTGGAAACTGATAGCAAGCATTGATCTGATTATCAGTTGCTATATCAAGTACTATATCTACTCGAAAGTTCCATTGATTAAGTAATTATCGATCGCAGAAATAGTATAAATATAAGTTGTAAATGCATTCAATAAACAGCATCTTCGAACATAATCTCAATCTAATAGTTACACTCTAAGTTATTTGTTAACTCCTACCATTGGATCTATCTATCAAGACGACAACTGGTAGCAGCAGGACAAAAAATAAATTCAAAGTACAAAGTTATTTCTCAAGGTTATTCTAAAGGTTATTCTAAAGGTTATCTCTCAAGGTTATTTTTCAAGGTTCTCTTGACGTTCGTTATTGGTTTCTCTACAAGTTTCTTTGATTTTCTCTGGTTTTCTACAAGTCTATGAACGAAGATATTACTATGTCAAGTGCAAATATTGTTGGTAACAACTCTGGTTACGTTCGCAAGGTCCGTGAACCCGATGTTTTTAATGGTGAAAGAGACGCTATTGTTCTGAACGCATGGATTTACTCTTTGGAGTTGTATTTCTCCTTGGTAAAAATTGAAAATACACAAGAAAAGCTGTTGGTTGGTCTTTCTTTGCTGCGAAACGATGCTCAATTATGGTATTCGCAATTGAGTGCCTTTGACAGTGACCATGCCCCTCAAGATTGGGATGAATTCAAAGCAGCCTTGCGCAATGAATTCATACCAATTGATGCTATTGCCAAGGCTCGTGATGGTATGGCTAATCTGGTTCAAGTATCAAGTGTCACTAGTTACATCAATTCATTCAGACGTTTGCTACTACAAATTCCAGACATGACTCCAGGTGTAGCTCAAGACAAATTTATTAGAGGCTTGAAACAGCCTCTACGTTATGCAGTTCGATCCCACTTCCCAAAGACTTTGGAGGAGGCTCAACGTGTGGCTCTAGCTATTGAAGGTGCCGGCGGGGATGAGGTAGCAGTTGAACCTATTAGAACAAACGTACCTCAACCTCAGCCTGAATCCATGGATTTGGACACAATTCGTGAGCTGGTCAATGCTATAAATGGTATTTCTGGTAGTCGTCGTAACTTTAATGCTGGTAGTAAGCCCAGAAACAATGCCAACATTAAATGTTACAACTGTCAAGGTTGGGGACACATGCAAGGTGAATGTCCCAGTCCTCGCAATAATGGCCGTGGCGGTGGAAAACGATTTGGTGGCTCTTTTAATAAGCATTTAAAAGAGTAAGCGTGTCTGACGAGGGGGGAGATCAGGCACGCTCCAATAAAAGATCCCTCAACAGTATCAATGTAGGAGATACTGTTCCCAAGGCTGGTGGTAATGGTGTTGATCTGTTAGATTTGGATAACGATCACGAAGTGGATGATTTAAAGGCTGAGAGCAATTATTTGTTTAATTTGGAAAAGAACAATAAAGCTACTACTGACTTGCCATTGTACTCTTTTGACCTCTGTTCTAATGATGGAACTCGTGATTGCCTCAAGCCTATCAAGGTACTGTTGGATACTGGTGCTAGCTCAAACTACATTAGTCCTACATTAGTTAATCCTACAACGATGAAGATCACACCATTACATTCTAAACACGAAGTGGAAACAGCTAATGGACAAGTGTCTGTTATCAAGGAAAAGGTGGAATTTTCGGTCTCGGCTAATGGTGTTGGTCAACGTATACAGGCTTATGTGTTTGATACTAAATTTGATCTTATTCTTGGTCAACAATGGTTCAAACAGTATAAACCTGTTCCCAATTGGTCTAATAACTCTTGGTCTATCCCTGGCCCTCATGGTATTGGTATGGCTGTCTTGTCTCCGGTAAATCTGGTATCTAATGCTCAAGATTTGGTGTATGTCATGTCCAAAAGACAAATGCAGCGCTCTCTGCGAAAAAACAAGATTGATGAATTGTTTTTGGTACATGTCAAAGAGTCTGGTAACTGGCACAACATGGTGGATACTAGTGATAATCTCGGAAAGGATATCTCTAAACTGTTGGATGAGTACAAGGATGTTTTCACGGAAAAACTACCTCCTGGTTTACCTCATGATCGTGGTATCGAACATGTTATCGAGACTGGTGATGCTGAACCTCTATGCAAACATCCTTTCAAAATGAGTCCTTTAGAATTGGATGAACTACAACGTCAATTAAAGGAATTGTTAGACAAAGGCTTTATCCAACCTAGTTCGTCTCCTTGGGGTGCTCCTGTTCTGTTCGTGCGTAAAAAGTCTGGTGAGCTTCGAATGTGCATTGATTTCAGAATTATCAATTCTCTTTGCACTAAAAAGCTTAATACTCCCTTACCTCGTATAGATGAGTGCCTGGAACGTCTCGGTGGCGCTAAATACTTTGCTCAGTTCGATCTGACGAGCGGCTACCACCAAATTAGGCTGTCCAAGCAAGATATTCCCAAAACTTGTTTTGTTACACGCTATGGTGCTTTTGAATGGCTTGTGCTTCCTTTCGGACTCCGAAATTCTCCGTCGGTGTTTCAAAATATGATGAACAAGTGTCTCTCTGGCTACATTGATCGATTCGTCCAGCTCTACTTAGATGACATTTTGGTGTATTCTCCAACTGCTGAATCGCATCTGGAACACATTCGTCTAGTTTTGGAAAGATTCAGGCAGTTCAAGTTATATGCCAACCCAAAGAAATGTAAGTTCAATCAGCGTGAAGTGGAGTTCTTAGGCATGAAGGTCTCGGCAAAAGGCATTCTGCCTTCTGATTCAAAGGTCAAGGCGATCAAGGATTGGCCTATTCCCACTAATGTGCAAGAGGTTCGTCAATTTGTTGGTTTGGCTTCCCATTACCGAAGGTTCATCCGTCAATTCTCGTCTGTGGCAGCCCCTCTAACTGAACTTACTAAGGGTACTGGTTCTAAACGTCGTGGCATTGTCTGGAGTCAGGAGTGTCAAAAAGCTTTTGATCAATTGAAATTCTTATTGACTCATGCTCCCTGTCTACAACCTCCTGATGTGACTAAACCATATGTCATTGAGACAGATAGCTCTGACTTTGGTTGTGGTGCGGTACTCTTGCAAAAAGATGATCAAGGCGTTTTACATCCTTTGGCATTCGAATCTAAGAAATTTTCTATGGCTGAACGTAACTACCCTGCGCAAGAGAGGGAACTTCTTGGTGTTTTGCATGCTTTGCGGGTCTGGCGATGCTTCATTGATGGTGCTGACTACGTGGTATATACTGATCATAATCCGTTACAGTATCTAAGATCGCAGTCTAAACCTACAGCTCGTTTGGTCCGTTGGTTATCAGAAATCGAGACTTACGCTCCTAAAATATTGTACAAACCTGGCAAAATCAATGAAGTCCCGGATGCTCTTTCCCGTCGTGATGGTGCTGACTGTGTGGCCGCTAATACTAGTGTGGAACCTCGTTATTTGTACTCTGTCGAGTCAAATATAATGGTACACCCGTCGGATTGGCCAACTTTCTATTTAACCAAACAGGAGTTAGTTCCCGATTCGGTGAAATCTCTAATCGAGTCCAACACTCACAGGTTTGTCATAAAAAATGAGAAGGTTTATCGCAAGGTGAAAATTGGTGAACGAGAGTTTGAAACAAGGTTCTGTCCATTCTCAAACCGTGCTACCTTGGTGAACAGATTCCATGAAGGGTTTGGTCATGCTGGTCAAAGTACTGTGTTTGAGCTTATGCGCAAACGCTGGTGGTGGCCCAATATGCGATCTGATATTCAAGGCTGGTTATCTACTTGTAAGGAATGTCAGTTGGCTTCTAGTTCTGGTAAAAATAAGCATCATGCTCCAATGGTTTCTCTGGATATTCCTCCTGCTTTTGGTCGTTGGCACTTGGATTTTGTTAGTGAGTTACCTCTGACACCTCAAGGTAACAGATGGCTTCTTACTGCGGTTGATTACACTACGAATTGGCCTATTGCTCGTGCGGTACCGGAAGCCACAACAGAAGCCGTTGCTGATTTCATCTATGAGGAAATCGTGATGCGTTTTGGATGCCCCCAGGAAATCTTGACAGATCGTGGTGCTAATTTTATGTCAAACGTGGTGAAACTCTACATGCATAGAGTCAAGGTTAATCACAAGTTTACTTCTGCTTTCCACCCTAGAACTAATGGTAAATGCGAACGTCTCAATGGTATTCTCAAGGCTATGTTAAGAAAATATGTTAACGGTGCTATTTTTATGTGGGATAAATTTGTTGACACGGCTCTCTTTGCTGCTCGGGTTCGTCATCATCGCTCTACTGGTTATTCTCCTTTTTATTTGGTATATGGTCGTGAACCACTGCTTCCTGGGGATTATACTCGTCCTTATTTCGATAAGTTGACAGCAAATGATCCTAGAACTGTGGCTGAACATACTGCTCGTGAATTGGAAAGCCTTGGTCAAGTCCGTGCTGCTTCTGCTCATCGTATGAAAATGGTCTCTGAATCCGACAAAGAACGTTGGGATGCGGCTATTGAGAAGCTGGAATTTGAAGTTGGTGATCATGTCCTGCTTAGAAACGAACAGAAATACGGTCTTGAATACAATTGGATGGGTCCCTTTATTGTCGTTGATAAAAACTCGGAAAGCCATGTCTACAAGTTGGTTACGATTGGTGGTGAACCTTACTCGTCTTGGGTACATGTTGATCGTTTAAAAGGTGTTAAGGCTGAATCCATTGATACTCCTTGGTACAATCCCACTGTGTCTCGTGCTGCTTGGCGTGAAGAAATGGGTCTCAACTCTAGTAATCAGGCTGTATCTTGTACTTCTCCTAGTTTCTCTGGTACTTCTGGCTCTGTCGATCAAGTTGATCAGAGTCGATCAACAATCTCGGGGGGGAATGATGTCGTGCCCAAACTTAGGTTTAAGCCAAATTTGAAGAAAGCGACTAAAAGGCGCCAGCGTATACTCGAAGGTTCTGGAAACTGATAGCAAGCATTGATCTGATTATCAGTTGCTATATCAAGTACTATATCTACTCGAAAGTTCCATTGATTAAGTAATTATCGATCGCAGAAATAGTATAAATATAAGTTGTAAATGCATTCAATAAACAGCATCTTCGAACATAATCTCAATCTAATAGTTACACTCTAAGTTATTTGTTAACTCCTACCATTGGATCTATCTATCAAGACGACAAACCTGTTACGATGGTAAAAGGATTTTGTGGTGGTGCTGATTTCAAGAAGCGGTATCTGAACTCTGAGCCTATTAGAGTGCTGTTCCTGAACTGGTGTTCAAATCGATTATTCTTACATTTTTTTATTTTGACATATATACTTGAATCTATACAACACATTTGAAATAAATCGAACTTTCTTACGTTTAAATCTTTTGGGTACATAACTTTATATATACATTTAATCGCTGAGATACTGTCTACATCAAGGTTATTGCAACACATCAGCAACTTAAACAGCTTTAATTACTTGGTTTTGTCTCGGGATCAACTATTACTGCAAGATCTTCCACACATTTCGCTACACATTTCACAAAACCAGCACCGCAGAGTATCAAACCATAAGATTCCTTGATGGTCTAGTGGCTAGGATTCGTCGCTCTCACCGACGCGGCCGGGGTTCAATTCCCCGTCAGGGAACTTTTCTTTTTACACCGAAATGTGGTGACTGTAGTCTCTTTTTCGATTAGGGCTTTTCGATTCATTATTGTAAGCATAATGATATTAATAAAATAAGCTTGCAATGTTTATTTATTAGGAATAATAAAAGTAGAAAGGTATAGAGGGAAGAACCAGAATTATTCTGTAGCAGCAGTCTCCCCATCAGTCAAAGCAGACAGCTGATCAATGGCACGAAGTCGACGCATAATTCTATCCATTTCTTCCTTGACAACGACCATACTTTCCTCGTGTGATAAAGTCGAAGCTTCAGATTGCTCCAGCTTTTTGCGCAATTGATCAACTTCTTCGTATACCTGCTTCACAGCCTCCATTTGTTTCTGCTCCAAAGCGCGATGCTCTCTTTCCAGTGTATGTATATCAAAACCTGGCATTTCGGCTTCCATCTTTTGTTGAATTTCTTGTTGTAGTTGCAGAGCTAGAGCAGATGTCTTTTCCAGTTCAGCATATGCCTTATCAATTTCAGCTTTGAGAGCCTCTTTTCTTTCCCTGTGCTCTTCTTGCATAGATTTGATGGTGGCCTTGACACGGATAGCTTCTTCTTTGGATGTTTTTTCAAGCTCTGCTTGCTCGGCCTTTGCTTGATTCAACTGATCGTCCAGCTCCTTTAAATGGCCCATACCTTGCCTTGCTGTCTCAATTTCATCCATATATTTTTTAACTTGCCCCTCAAAGAAAAAGGCAGTTGCCTTTGAGTTTTCAGCTTGTCTGTCCTTACGATTACTCATGTCGGTAAGCGTTTGTATTTCAGTTTTCAGTTTTCGATTTGTTCTTCCACTTTCTTGAGCATAGATCTCAGCTTGCTTGGCTTGTTGTTTTGTCTGATCTAATTCTAATTTGAGTTGTCCTAATTCTTTCTCGGCTTGACTGATTTTCTGTTGCAGCTCTCCAATATCAGCACCTGTGGTGGGGCGTCCAAGCCTAAGGGAACCACCATCTGCTTCATCAATGAAATTAATAAATAAAGTATGTTTTTGTTTGCTATGCATATTGACTCACTTTCTGAACTTTCCTCGGATGCCATTATATCTGCACAACAGTTGAAAGAGAAAAGGAAAAAGAGAGAAAGAGCCAGAGAAATACTCGTTTATTTTAAATTAAAGGGGCGTGAGTTTGAATGCTAAAACCTAAAGCCTACATGAGTGTTTGCTAGAAAAGGAGTACATAGTGGACATTTGGTTGAGCTGAGCTAAATGTTTGATCAACGATACCATGCCCCTAATTAACTCCTTACAGTGTGTGATGCTCATGGGACTTACCGTTCAGATCCTCTTTATAAATTGCTGACTATTCGCTCTTGAAACTACGTTGTTTCTCGTTAGTACAAGTTTTCCCAACATGCGACATATTTTTCTAAATAATGTGCAACATTAATTGCTCGAGTTGCGGAAGCAAACTTCACTATCTTGCCTTTATCATTAGTAACTTCCGTATACAACATTGAGGCATACCCATATACTACACCTAAAGGGGTTCCTGTGTCATATCAATCCAATCTTTAGTCCTGTCAGGCTTGCAGTTGCCGTCCTTTGCAAATCCAAAACCAGCGATTTCAACTCAAACGAAACGACACCTTTCAGTTTTCATTGCAATGAGCATCAGTATATCGATCATATAATATAACACATAATATCATAGCGTATATTGTTTAAGTTATTCTGTTGTCAGCATATTCAAGTAGAAAACCCTATACTAGATGCAGGTCAGTAGAGTTCAAATGAGACCATGATTGGCCTACCATCATTTTGCATTGTAGTAGGCTGTCTAAATCAAGTGGTGGCTTATGTTTTGATATTTTTTCTTTTTACAATCCAAATTGAGCAATACCCTTCTCTTCAATCCACATTACTACACAAATCATGAGCAAAAGACCAGAACTTGTTCCTCTCAATTTGAAGATTGAATCCAGCAAAGATGCAACTATTGCTAACGCAACTGCGTTCCTCGATAAATTCTTACATGAGGGTATCGCCATCCATGCTGCCAACAACACAGTAGCTGCTCAACTCCACCAACTCCATCAAGGCTTGAAGGACGAAAAGAAGAGAAGCCGTGGCCATACAGCAACAACCGAAACTAAAGAATTCTAAATCACCACACAGTCGATAAAACCGTAGACATTTCACACCAAAATCATCACAATACGAACATCTCAAGTTTTTTTTTTTTGTTTTTCAACACTTTTAGAATGATAGCAAATAATAGCACATATCGCACACTCCAATTGTACCTTAAAGAGGCTGATATCGACTAGATATATATTTTATTATAATTTGCTACAATATCCCTTTTTTTCTGCATGTAATAAAGCCAAAAACAATTCAAAATAGTATTAGGCAGGATTTCATTGAATAGAGACATTTGGATGTTTAGGATTCAGGCCAAGAATCAATTAGTGGTATCTCTTCTTTTGTTGTCTGCGCTTCTTCTTGAGACGTCTTTGACGCTAGATGCATAATCAGTACACTTCTCACCTCGAATAGCATACATGTTACAAACCTTCTTTTTCCACTTAAGTCTCACTTGAAAAGAAAGATGCATTTTAGACATTTGACCAGACATTGGCATTGCACTACTTACTTTTGCACTGGTTTGAGCAGATGATTTAAAAAACAAGAGAGAGAAAAACTAATGAGAAAGTTGTGAGAGAAGGCACAGTTTATATACGGGGCATTGAGATTGATGTCATGTTGTATCAATCATGTATTTTTATAGAAAGCTGGTGTGATTTATTGATCTATTTACAAAGGAAATTAAATGAGCAAAAATGTAATATTCACACAGACAGTGCTCTCGGTCTAGAAGGAGAGCATGGCCTCCTCTTCGAGATAGCATTGGGATGGCCCTCTCCTTCATCATCTGTGTCAGTAGTGTATTCATCCCAGTAACTCTTTTCCGTAATGACTGTGGCAACTGCAATAGAAGATACTCGACAAGACGACGAAGAAAACGGTAGTTCTAGTAAAGAGCTTGATGTAACATTTGATAGCGGTGCAATCATGTCGAGTAAATACACGCCTGAAAATATGATCAGAAATCCGCAAATTAAGCTGACAGTGTTTGTAAGACTCGCCGTATTCCATCCTTGAAACATGATTGCCGATGCAACGATTGTAGCAGTTGTAAAGCATACATAGTAAATAGGATTTACGCTACAAAGGGAGAACAGTTCCTTGGGAAATTAGAACATTAATGCAAACATACGAATCATATGACTTACACATTAGTACAAAACAAATCCAATGCTTTGTTGAAGTAGTTGACTTGAATTAGTATGAAAAAAGCGCACATACAGCCAAATATATAGGTGGATGGCTGATTGAATTGGTTGTTCCCCGCAATCGTCAGCTTGACAGCAATTCCAAAAGCTTTCACGGCCATGACAGATAATGACCCAATCAAGGAACATATAGAGAGGTATACAATAGGTTTGGTTTTGCCATATCTAGGTACTACCTTCCAAATCATTCCCACCACAATCAGTATGACCAGGATACCATACACTAAAAAGCCTGTATCGAGAAAGTCAATACGGTGTTCGCCACTAAATACACTGTACAAACCTGGTTTAAGCATGTATGCAACTAGCTCTTGTACACTTTGAACATCTGGATCTTCAGGTGCATGAAAAATGATGATCACTGCACCAATTACAGATAGCAAGCATCCAATAATGCCTATAGGACCCATCTTTTCTTTCAAGAATATAGACCCCAAGATAGCCCTACGAATGAAATGAATACACTAGCGTCTTTCATCAATTGAGGTGTTATAGTCTACCCCACAATCACACTCAGGGCTCCCAAGGGTGTTATCAAAATAGCAGGAGCAAATGTATATCCTAATCTTATTATACTTGAACATTGAGTAACGCATCAATTTCCTTTAATTTTCGCATTACCTATAAAATTGAGTATCTCACCCATTACCATGACAATGAGCCCAATCCACCATACAGGATTCTTTAAATATCGATGCGAATCAGAGGCTCGTCCTGTAGTTGCTATTTAGTGTCGTGAAAGAAATTTGCCTCTAAAAAAGTCCCAATGTTACCATGTTCAGCTGTCGAGGAGTTTTGCAATCCCTTCTTAGTTACCACAAATGATATGCCAATGAGTAGGCTTGAGCATATAGCCAGGATGAGTCCGATATACCTCCCTTCCAATGTCATTGCGAATATTCAAGTGGAAAATGTTGAAGAGAGAAGTAAGCCAAAAAAAAAAGGAGTAATGCCAATACATAAAGAATGTGCGTCTTTCACCACAAACATTCATAAAAACCAACCATATCCTATATCAAAATCAGGGGGTGTAAATATTTTCTTTTGAGAGCATGATGATAATCACTGCAGCTACAATTGATTTATCAAGGCAGCAATGATAAAACTGGGTCTTGAATGAGGGGCCTGTTGTATACATGTGTTGCACGTTATGGGCGTGGATTTTCGAGCGACTGATTTGTGCATTTGACTCTGCTTGACCTGATTTTAAGCATATTTGGGATCATAAAATAATAGGCTATGCATACCATCAACATTGTGAAATCAGGCATCAAGAGTACTCTATAGCTTTTTTTTTACTGCAGATAGCGAAAGTATAAAATACCTCTAATCATGTACCAGAACATGACTTCTACTATGTGGTATACAGTACTTAATTTAGAAAGTAGATTGTAGTTAGCCATGGCTGAATGACATAGTCTGTATAGGCTGATCAAATGCTTTGAGTTGCAACATCTGTCGTATAATATTTGGTGATGTACTACACTGCATATGATCATTTTCATCGTGGCACCATCTTTGGCCTATACTCCAACAGCCGCCTCCGTCGCGAAAATTATTTGTAACACCACTTGACATGATGCTTTGATTTGATGCTTTCTGAACATTTTGGACTCGACTTGGCCTATTTTGACAGATTCGACTAAAAAAATGTATGGCCATCCCATGTCTCCTTAAGCTTTTTTTTAGAGTACTTTTCAAGGCGCATCCAATGGTGCTAATTACAAGAGGTGATTTGAACAAAATTATCGAGCAATTTAGAGAAATATGGAATGAGGTTTTCTGCCAAAATGTCGAGTTTTTACATATGAAGGTATTACAAACAAAGTTTCAGAGGTTGCTTTGGGTCGAGAGAAACAGTTTGACTCGATATGTGCCATAGTAGAAGTCTTCAATTTCAAGGTCAAAAACGCGATCGTTTGATTTTTCGATGAAAAACCATGAGGGGTACCTCATGGTTTGAAACCGATTTTCGACGATCCTAAAAAAGTTGAGTAAAGGTATCAGAAAGTCAGCTCCAGCTTAGAGTAATCGTTTAATGCTATTCTGGAGGTCCAGAGAAGCTTCTAACACGAAAAACCATGTCCTAAATACACCCAAATTAGGCCGTATTTTGCATATATTGGGGTAGTAAGAGGTATTGCGAGTATGCTATCTGTCAGTATTTAAGTTATTACCATTGATACACATGGGGAGTATTGTAAAGAGTCAGACAGACAGTTGCAAATCATTGATGGACGGTTTTCACTTGATTGCAAAGAACCACACAATGGGATTTCGGCACATTTAGAAGGGTATCAAGTAATAGCATGTTGGTAAGTTATACAATTGCCTCAAAATTGTATATTTGCATCTTGTATAAAACATTCAAACCTTCAGTTGACGAGCATTGCCACTCTTTAAGCATCGTTTACGCTAGGGCATTGCTATCCTCGAACTATGCAACATTTGACGCATTTTGCGCGTTGATGTACTATTTAATAGTCGTTTTCTATATTGCCAAACTGATGATAAGCCATTGCTTTACATGAGCAGTTACTCTTTGATACCTTTCGATTCACAATATGTGCACCACTGACAGTGATTTTAAAAATTGATTGGGGACGTTTAGGAAACTAGCCATTTATTATGCTGCCCTGAACGGAGACAGCATTCTTCAGAAACCCCACACACTTAGAGGAATAATCACATCATAACGGAGATTCCACACATGGCAATCAATTAAAATACTATGGCAAAAAGTGCCTATACCTTGCCGCATCCCGAGAATCTTTAAAGATAGTAAAGGATCAGTAGAACTGAACATCCCAGAAAAGAAAATACATACAAAATGTAAAAAGCGGAAAAAGAACGAATATCTGAAAAGTGATACAGTGTACGTTTATGTAAACTTGCAAGTTCTCTTGAAATGATGGGAACTCTTTTTCATTTATGGAGATGTTTTGATCTGTCAAATTAGAATAATCCATGTCGATAGGTATTGTCAATTAAATTAACATGTACTGGTTGTACCTTGTTAGAATTTTGTGTCATCTAAAACGGATCTAATTATGATTTCATTCAACATTTGATATCATTTCATTTGATACGTATACAACATCATGATAAATGCGAAATTAAATTAAGAAAAATAGCTTAATATTCCTACGTTGTACAATAGTCATCAAAGCGAAAAGAAAAAGATGAGTGATGAAGAAGGTTACCTGTTTGTAAACATGAGTTGAATGGTCTGTTTTTGTTCTTTCAGAGATTCAGGAGGAGGAAGAGGAGCAGTATAAGCGAATTTGCTATGAATTTGTTTCCTTGAAAAAGAAGCCAGAGAAAAAAAGGAGATATTGGAAGGGGATTTTGCTCAAATGTACATAGATTTGTATATAGAGGAGGGAAAAAGGAACAAATAAACCCAATGTAATACATATACTTTGCTCCCTTTGGGAAAGTATAATGCTGTAGACACTTGCAATTCATCAAGGTGACACGTTTATTGTCCTTTTGCGTTACATGGCAGCACTTTTTTTATCGCTTTATGAATGAGAAGTTCCTTGTTCTTGCTCTTCTTTCGTTCCTTGTTCTTGCTCTTCTTTCGTTCCTTGTTCTTTTCTTTTTTTCCCCAACCATTTTGTCGTTTTAGCCCATCTTAATTGTACATATAATACATACCTGTAAAAAAAACGAAATGTCAATATCATCGTCATTTCTGCCATTCAACCAGCCCAGCATCATGAATGATTTAAGTCGAGATTTAAAACATCAAGCAAGCATCACAGCAGAAAAGCTCAATTCCAAGGAACGACTTGAACTGTTGATCAATCAAGTCGATGATGAGACGCTGGCTGACTTAATGCACAATGAGTTTCAGCACCTGATTATCGATCAACAACGTCTGGTAACGATGCTTGAACAGAGGTCTGAATTGGTGGAAACTGAAAACGAAGAGCTCAAGTTGATTATCAATGACAGCCAGAGACGCTATGAGAAAGCAGTTCGAGAAATGCAGTTTTTCAAAAAGAAATATGACCGACTTGTAGAATCAAATCGATCTGTCGCAAGCGACCAGCAGCACAATGTACAAAACTATCTCAATTTGACACCCTCCAGCAGCCCCCAACCACCACCCACATCTTCATCCGTTATAGCACCACCGCCAGTATCCGATGCTGCCTCATCCATTTATTCCTACAATGCACCCGAAAAGCTAAATTGGCCCACGTCTCCTACGTATTCTGAGCATGCCAGTACCAGAAGAAGAAACAACTCGAATACAGCAGCAAGCATATTTAGTAATTTTTCAAGCAGTACTGAATCCAGCACTTATTCCCATTTCCAACACATGCAGCAGCAACAACAGCAAAGGTATGACGAAAACGGCAAGAAGCCACCAACTGCCTATCAGTTTTCTCGTAACCCATCCATGGCTTCGTCCTACTCTACACCAAGCACTGCGCCCTCCATGATTTCTTCCTCTGGTGCATCGTCAACCATCACTGTGCCCATGACACCTGTGCGCTCTACTACTTCTGTGTCTGGATATACAGGAAATTCAATGATTCAGCAGAGAAGAACAGATCCATTGAGCTTTGGTGGCTCAGATGCACTGTGGGATACACTGAGCAAAAGCCAAGGGAGTGATGTCACTGTAGAAAAGATCATTAGGTAAATACATGAATTCATGCATCTTATTTTTTTTTCCTCACACGCACACACACACAATAGCAACTTTCTTCGTCGAGGAGGATCACCTAACACTGCTAAACAATCACCTTCATCACACGCTGTCAAGTACGGATATGGTATGATTCATGCTCTAATTGTCGCCAAAGCTCCTGGCGCTTTAGATTTACTCCTACAGCAAGGAGCTAATCCAAATGTTGTGAGTATAAGTCAAGTGGATGGAGAAAAAGTAAGTGAATAGAGATGTTTGCAGACACGGAGAATGAGAGAGGCAACTAACATGCAAACGATGCAGGTATCACCTTGTTTCTTGGCTGCCCAAGTAGGTTGGCTGAGTGGATTGCAGAAACTAGTGCAAGCTGGTGGCGATTTGATATCTGCTCGAGGAGGTGGCAGTAAAAAGAAAACAGCACTTCATGTTGCAGCAGAGCATGGGCATGCAGCCATAGTAGAATACATTGTCAACATGACTCAAGGCACACTGAATTTGGAAAAGGACATATTAGGTAAATCCAGATAGCTATCAACAGTAGGGAGATCAATCGCAGCTTCTTACCACTTGTCTGCCTCCCCTTCAAATAGGTGCCACTGCTTTGCATTACGCTTGCACATCGGGTCATGCAGACCTTGTTTCTTTCATGATCAAAGTGTGTCTTATTCCAATAGACGAGCAGGATCGCAAAGGAGAAACAGCGTTACACTGGGCCACACGCAGTGGACGACTCGAGGTTGTCACACTGTTGATTGAAAGATACGGATGCGATGTGAATACGTATGTGAGCAAGAAGGTGAGCACACCGTACGATCTCGCCAAATCAGCTGGGCACAAACGAGTCGCTGAATACCTCAAGAACAATGGTGGCATTACATCCAAGAAAATGGACAAACGGCGAGAAGAAGACCTTGCAAACCAGGTGCCTCAGCATTTGGAGTCTGCTCTTGCGAAAAACGGCTTTTTCATGGGTGGATTTTAGTTGTTTTTTTTTGTGTAATAAAGACTTAATGATCGGAGTGCAGGTTTAAATATACACACATTCATCAGATTGTCCATTTGGGTCAAAGAAGCATGTTTTCTACCAGAAATAGATTTATATGGGGAGGAGGATAAAGAAATTTGTGTGTTTATATTTTTTCTTGTGTAAAATTTTCGTAGAGAAATGAGTGTGCAATCACCTCTCTTTCTTTTTTTTTTTTTCCTTTCTCTTCTCTTCCTTTGCTCATAGTGAATATGGGATTCAATGCTGTTGCTGACCACATAAGAAAATGGAAGAGAAATTCCAACCAGCCTGTCATTCATGAAATTGCACCCACCGTTGCCACACATCTTGCAAATGCATCAACAACCACCAACACCACCACTGCCAACCATCTCCATAATAAGAAACTCCGCAAACCACCATCACCACCAAAGAAACAACTTCCTCCTAGTCCAGATAGCTATTTGCAAGGCATTGGCGATTACACATACATCAAGCAAGTGGGGCAAGGAAAATTCAGTAGAGTCATGTTATCTACACATTGTTTGACAAAGAAACAAGTGGCTGTAAAGGTACGTATGTGTGTGTGTGTGTGAGAGAGAGAGAGACAGAGAGAGAGAGAGAGAGACAGAGGTGTTGAAAAAAAAAAGGAATCATCACACATTAATATGGCTAACACACACATACACACTTTCTGGATAGATCATTGACAAACGAGTGCATGATTACAGAGTCATGTCAAGACTTGTGCGAGAGATTTCATTGATGGAAGCCCTGGATCATCCCAACATTGTGCGATTATACGAGACGTATGAAACCACAGATTCGTTGTATTTGGTCATGGAGTATGTGGATGGATACAACCTGGACGAATTCTTGCAACAAAGAGGCGGTAAATTGCCTGAAAACGAAGCACGAGATGTATTTCGACAAATGGCTGCTGCAATGGACTATTGTCATTCTCGGTGGGTGGTTCACCGAGATCTGAAGGTATTGTAAAACATTAAATTTTGGTCTGTAAACCTTAAATTCATATAAAAATAAAACCTAGGCACCAAACATCTTGTTGACAAGGGATTTTCAAGTCAAGATTGCAGACTTTGGGTTGGGAAATCGATATGGAAGAAGACGGCTCAAGACGATTTGCGGTTAGATAGATGGCACTGGTCTTGTTGTATCAGCCATGTACTTACTGTTCTTGCATAGGATCCATGCTATATTACAGTCCGGAAATCATCAATGGACAAGGGTACACAGGGCCAGAAGTAGATTGTTGGTGCTTGGGTGTGTCTTTGTATCGTATGACTGTAGGCGAAGAACCATTTCACAGGGCAAACAGTATGTGTGTATCCAAGTGATGTCAAATGTGCAACTTATATAGACTCTTATATTTAGCTGTCGGTGATCTTAGGAAGGATGTAACAGGAGGCAATTTCATTATACCCAATCACTTGAGCGTAGGATTAAGAAATACCATCATGAAATGCATGTCTGTGGATAAAAACAAGCGCACCCGAGTTCACTTGGCCCTGAAAAACGACCCTTGGCTCTCGGATGACGGCAAATTACCCAATATATTCATTTATGGCACCACGCAAACAACAGCAACCATGGCAACAGTCGTTACAGCCGCTACAAAAGAGGAGGAATTGGCTCGTTTGAAAAAGGAAAAGGAGAAGCTAAAGTACCAGCATTTACGGGACATGGAGGAGGAAAAGAGATACAAGAAATTCATCAAAAAGACCATTGTATGTCATCCCAAGAACCCATCTATTTATTTCACCAGTGCGATCCCTCATTCCCCTAAACCAGAAGACACGTACACGAACAGCGAAAAGCAGAGACATTTGTTCTTTCAAAAAGTCAACGAACTATCGCATCAAGTCCAGCTTTTGCCTGCTCAAAACACAGGCAACAAATCACCCATTCGGCATTTACTGAGAAAACTAAAGCAGCCTGAGAATCATACCACCGCCAGCAGTTTGAGTCTATCGCTTGCGAATAGAAACGGATCACAAAATAGCTTGAATGCCATTCCCTGTGGCAACGCTGCTACTAGCACTATACCAGCTGTTGCACAACAGCAGAGAAACCCCATCCGAAAAACGTCTTCCAACATGAGTCTGTCTCAGATATACCAACGCGTTGCCAAAGATCAAGTCCACTACTACACTTTCCAACTGACACCTCAAACAGCACTACGTATCACTGGTGTGGCAGGCGAATCCTCCTCCATTTCCATGCAGCAGAGCCAACAAGACGAAATCACCATGATGCTGATCATTCGAGGCATTTGCGACATTATGGGTATCACGTACCATCGAGACAAGAACGACCGCTTAATCTGTGTGATGGCATTGAGCGATTACATCAACGAAAAGCCCAAGTCATTCTACAAACTCAAGCGCAGAGACAGCAAAATGATATCCTCAAACCAATCCTTGTATACCAATAACAACAACATCGAAACTCATGATGGCAGCCAGGCTTCCTTTAGTCGTAGTAGTGCAGGGCTATCTGACATGAATCGATCCTCGCAGTTTGTGGGCGGAGGTAGTAGTCGATTTAGCAAGTTTAAAAAGATGACAAGCCATGTGCTATCCAGCATTTTTCCCTATCATTCATCGACACTGGTTGTGCAAGATAGCCGATCCGTACGCTATCCTCCATTCCCTCATATCAATGCTGCAGCTAGCAGTAACTATGCAAGTCGATTCAATACAGCCGTCAATAGAACAACGACGCATGTAGGCTCACAGTCGTCTCAGCAATCCACGCATGTAGGCTCACAGTCGTCCCAGCAATTCACGCATGTCAGTGAAGAAGATGGGCAGGACAAAAAGTCGGGTGTGGCCATTTTCGCTATTGAGATCATATCGCTTTCCAAAGACTTGCAAAACAGAGTGGCTGCCATCAAGCTATCCAAGATTGAGGGCTCTTCTAAGGTATTCCGTATTGCTTGTGGTTGGATCACAGGTGTCATTGGCCAAAACATCACACCAGCACAGCTGACAGATCAGTTCAACCACACCCTGCTCCACTATGATTTGAACGCCAGTGCAGCAGACATCCCTTCATCCACAACTGCTGCCATGATGAGAACATCTCCCTCCCAGCAGCGACTTAATAGACCCAAATCCGCCATTACATTCATACCCGTCCATGCTCAACAAGCAAGCACTCATAACACCATTCAGAAATCGCCCACGACAGCTGTTCCATCTACTACAAAATAAAAATTGTCTTTTGTTTATTCCAGTTGTCTGATCGAAGCATTTGTATCATCCAATGCTACTTGATCTGACATGATCTCCAATTGCGTGTCGTCTTGCAACTGCTGCATGGCATCATCGTTGAATAATGAAGTGTCTTGTTGCTCTGTGGACTGAGCAATAGGCCCACTAAACAATGTCTCTTGTGCTTGTTGCTTTAATTGATCATTTTCGTGGATAATCTTCAACAGATGAGAATCCTTGGGCAGTGATTCGCGAAGTTTGTGCATTCCCTTGTCCATGCCAAGTACACCGCCACATGTCAAGCCTGCAAATGTGCCCACTAGGATGAATAATAAATGAGTGATTTGATTGTGTCTCGTAGGCTGTTTACTTACAGATCGTTGGTATAGCGGTTGCTGGTCTTTGAGCCGTTGCCCTTGATCTTGCTATAGGGAGATTTGTAAATCAGCAGCGTGCAATGCATTGTGTTGGGCGGTGCTTACCCCAGAGACGTGCAGACATGCCAAGTGAAGCGGCGCCAATGGTGGCTATTATATGATGCGTGTTGATGAGTACAGACGATACCATGCGCCTCACAGCAACATACCCAATGTGATGAAATTGAATACAGCAGACCGAATCACTAACTCTTCCTCCTTGGATGGCTTGTAGTTAACAAGTTCAAATTTGATTTCGTCTTTGCTTGACATAGTGCTGTTTAGAGTTATTAAAAAAAAAAAGAGAGAGAGAGAGAGAAAGAGAGTGAGAGAGAGAAAAAGAAATGGTTGCCCCTGCCAATGGATGCATGTTTTATCCTTTGCCATGGCAGTGGGGTTTCAAAAAGGAGGCCGAACAAGCCAAAAATGAGGATGGCCAATGCATGATTGCACATCTCAATTCATTGTTGTATAGAATAGATTCAATGTTTTGCAGACACCTTCAAATGGAGTTGTGTTTTGGTTGATAAAGTGTATATATATATATAGTACGTTTTATGGAAGTGTCTTTTTACATCTGCATCTCTTTTTTCCATCCTGCACAGCACCAATGCGACCATTTTACGTTACCTGTAGCATCATCTTACTGCTCTTCTTTGCCCTTCTATGCGACGGATACGCTATTGACAACAAGAACAGCTCTCTGCTACAAGAGAGATCCAACATGGATATAAAAAAGGATTGCGCTGAAGTGACAACGACGACAACGCCCCACACAAGAGCAACCACGACTACCACGGCCCCCACTAAAACTCACTCAAATGCCAGCTCAAAGAGCGAGACGTGCTGCCATCCCAAGAACAACACCAAATGCTGCAAAGAAGATAAAAAGCCACTGTTTGAACCACAGGTCATTGCAGCAGGCGTGTTGTTGATCATTGCGGGCACTTATCTACTGGTGTACGGATTCCCCATGTTTAGAATTACGATGGCAGTGATCGGATTCATCTTTGGAGGTATGTATATATATATATATAGAGAGAGTGGAGGGAGATCATGCAATTCACAGTCGAGTTCTACCAGGTGCTGTTACGTGGATTGGTCTTCAAGCATGCGAGCCTACAGAGAGCTATCCAAATGCATCTGATCTCTATATTGGCACATGTGTAGGCGTTGCTGTGGCGGCAGCTATTATCTGTGTTGTTCTGTACAAGGCGGGTTTGTATCTACTGTGCGGCATGGCAGGCGTGCTGTTGGCCATCTACATTTGCTGCTGGCAGGCCGACTTTTTTCTGCAAAACATCTTTCATCGTACCCTGTTTACGCTCTCCTTTGTGGTGGCGTTTATCCTCGGCCTGATCTTTATGGAATTTGCAACCGTGATTCTATCCATGGCAGTGGTGGGCGTATACATGCTGGCACTGGGCATTGATTTATTTGTAAGGACAGGGCTGGTAAAGGGTTTGGAAGTGTTATTGGATTTCAATCCTGAGCGCAATGCCAACAGCAAGTACCATCTCAACAGGATAAGTCTTGGAAAGCGAAGTGCGCCTGGTGATTACAACCCTGATTGGAAGACACATGTTACCATGGGCTGTATGATTGCTGTGGTTTGTCTATCTGCTTTATTTCAAGCTTGGCACAACAAGGGAAATAGATTTGGGCTTCGCATCATTAAAAACTCGAATGATACATTACATAAAATTAAATAAATTTACTACGAGAAGACGCTGTAGCCAACGAACGGTGTGGGTTTAGCTTGAGGTAAAAGATGTGCTGCATGTCTGGTCTTTGTGAATGGGTCATGCAACCTTGTATGATGGTGGCTTCTGTGCTTGAATGAAAGTGGGTTAATCGGATCTGATCACCAGGTATAATTTGCACTAGATCACCCTATGTCATTACATGATAAGTAGGCAGTCAACTGGATATCAAGTCCACCTACCGTGTCCACATGGCGCACTTCCATGAATTGGTGGTCAAATGCAACCACATAAGGGTATTGGAATGCAATGTTGTCTGGATTTCCCTCCCATTCACACAACAACGGCAGTCTATTGTATACATCAGTAACGCGCCGACTTGCTCTGTGCCTCACAACTTACTTTTGTGGCCCTCGTTGCACCAAAGACCCATTTCTGTTGTTGACATAAAACGCGAGCTTGTTGTAGCACAGCATGAATTTATCGTGCACACGGTACATGGCAAGCGGTTTTAATGAATCTGATTGTCGATGCACAAAATTGAACTGTGGATCCCCTTTGTCAGGGATATCTCGCCCGCCTACACTCAAGTTTTCAGGATCGATAATCTCAAATCCGCGTTCACACACAATCAGCAGCTTTGATTTCAAGAAATGAACGTTGCTTGATTCAGCGCCCACATAGAATTCCTAGTAAAACAGATACGACATGAGCTTTTTGCTACTGAAACCACACCCGCAGGCCAACGAACCTTGTACTTTTTGAACCAAGAATGGCTGGATCGATTACCAAGCTTGAAGCCCGTCTTTTGAGTAATGTACTTTTGGTTTTTGGGATCTCGTAAATCCAACGTGGGCTCCAGTGATGTAAAGATACTGGAAGTGTTCTTCTTTTTCTTAAACACCACAAGTTCTTTGTTGTTACAAAATCCAACTTGAAAGAAATGCACATGTTGACCGAGTTCCTGGCCAAGTCGCTCTGGTGATTTGGTGTTGCTTGCTGTCGGTGAGTTCAGTACATCCAGGGGGTACGCTTTCAATGTTTTGTCTATGCAGCAATGTGAGTGGACCTTGATAACAACCCACACAGCATCTCCTTACCTGCCAGCACGAGGAGGATATTGTACCTGCCCAACACTGCCAGTTGGGTGACATTCTCACTGGACAAGACTCTTTTTATACCGTGTCCATCAAACGCTTTAAAGTAGATGCCTGTGTCTGTGCCTACTGCCAACTTTCTTTCGCCGTGTTTAGACACTAGAAAACAGAGTGAGAATCTATCCAATACACAAAAAAAAAAACCTGCGACGTACCGAATGGCACAGTGCAATTCACCTTGCCATGCTTGGTAGATCCACTACTGGCGGCAGCTACATATCTAAAAGAAGTATCATCCAGCGTAATCAGATCGTACACATCCTCTCCCAGTCGTTTCTTGAGCGACGATTTTGCCTCCTCGATCGCTGCAATCCATTTCTGCTTTTCATCCACACTGCATGAAAACGTATACACGCCACCGCGTTGACCCAAATGATGAAACGTCAAGGGCACATAACCAGCGGATGAATAAGAGGATGCACCGTGAAGATACCCTGTCGTGGTAGTAGCCAACAGGTTTCTTGTAGTGGATGACGATGCAGATGATGTGTGGCTCAAGCTACTGTCGCTGGCACCACCCACGTGCAGCATTTGCAAAGGAATGGGTCTTCTCCACACTCTGTATTCGTCCACCGTGTTGCTGCTGGCAGTAGATTTTCGTGCTTTGGTCATCAACACCATATGGTCAAAGATGAAGAGATGAATGTCTGACTTTTCTGTCACCTCAATGCCGTTGCTTCTTCGCTTGATATCGCCTTGATAGTACAGTCGGCGATGCGGACCTGTCAGTTGCAAATCTTGGAATTCGCCCTGCTTGAAGGTAATCATGTCATTGATCTCAAGTATTTCCACCCGCTTCTTGAATATCTCTGCCAGCGCGTCTGACTGTGTTGCCACCTTCTTGACCATGTCCAGGCATTTACTGAGATACGTGTGATCTGGATGGTCCTCGTCTGTCTTTTTCAGAATGGCATCCAGGAGCAGTGGGTAACGCTGCATACGAGTAACTGGATTCAGCAAGAAATGCCGGAAAGCCAATCGACGCATACGCTTGCTCTTTTCCACGTGCACTATAAACCGCTCAAAATCCGGATTGTTTCGCTCCTCTTCCTTGACCAGATACTCTGCAAGCGACACGCGTGGACAGTATTGACTAAATGGATCTTCAAAGTAAGCAAAGTGCTTGATCAAGATATCGCCAATCATGGGCACACATTCATGTTGATGTTGATGCTGTAGCTCCAACAGATCGGCAAACAAAGCCGTGCTCACTTCAGTCAGTTCCTTGTAGTTGCCAAACACTTCGTGCACAAATTCCTCTCGTTTCTGGGTGGATGCAATGATGGACTTGCTGAGCAACGGTGCTATTACGACTTCAGACAAAGTCTCCAGGTCCTTCTTGTACACTTCCTCTGAATAGATCATTTCGTTGATTGCTTCCTGTCTCGCAATCTCTCTCTTGGACAAGGACTCTAGCAGCTCCTGTGGCACGCGTTGTGCCCAAGCCATGTGGGGCTGTGTCGCTGATGTGGTGCTGCTGCTTGGTTGATCCGATTGTGGACGAGGTTTTGTGGTTGTAGCTGTAATGGCGGTTGTGTCCTGGGCATCAAATTCCAGTGCAAATACATCTGGCTTGTTGGGACATCGAGGAGCATAGCATCCACCTTTTCCAGGAAGACAGTCAAAGGTATAGCACTCCAGTAAACTTGTCAATATACCAGCCGGCACATCCTCATCCAGCATGTCTTCTGGGAGTGTGTAGTATTCATCAGGTGAGTTGAAAACGGTGCCTTGAATAATGGATTTTTGAGAATAGTGAATTGGTTCAAACAAGGGTGGTTTCGACTTCATCAAGGCGTTTGCTACGTGCATGCAGTACGCTTCCGGAATACCATCGAGCAGATCGTGCAGCATTTTCTACAGACATGGACAGGTCAGTATATTCATATGGCATACATTACAAGTGTCATTACAATTGCTTCTTGTCCAGTGAATGACTCTGGATACTCGTTGGCACAGAACAGTTCACGCACATTCTCCAATCCTCTTACACGTCGCACAAACGCTTTACCAAGAACAGACAGAAGCGCATACGCTGGTGGTGTGGATGCAGCAATAGGTGTATTGATGCCATTGGTTGCAGGAGGGGATGTCGTAACTGAAGACGTGCTGGATGAGTACTGCAAACTGCCATGTGCTCCAGGCCGATTACTGTTTGATGAAAGATGGTGTTGGCCATGTTGAAGAGAACCGTTGCGTTCCGTTAACAAGGTGGCGTTCGAGTCAGTTGTCAATGTGGATGAACTGCTGTCTCTAATACTGCTCTCATCCGTATAAGCAGCTGTTTTCCCCTCTTGTTGATGTCTCTTTTGATTAGCAGCGAGGTACGTATTGACATAGTCTGAATGTGTGTGATGGTAGCTAGAAGAGTTTGGATAGAGAGGAGGTTCGTTGTGTGCGGCATAGTAAGGTGATGATGGATAGGATGCTAATGGTGGTACAATGTAGGGGTGGGGTTGAGGCATTGACATGCTGGGTTCCACAAGCGTGGCGGAAGTAGTGGTGGATGGTCGAGGCGGTAGTCTCGGTGGAAGAGGTGATGGCATGTATGGTTCTGGTGTTGGCAAGTCGTATTTATGTGAATTATATACATTGTTCTAATGCGAGCGTGTTAGCTACATTTCTAAACACCTGTACTCACAACAGCCAGCTTACATAATGAGGTCGATGGGTGGTATTGGCTCTACTCGCCATCAAAGGGGATGGTTGTCGCTGTGGTGATTGCAATGAATGAGCCCTTGTGGGTGTGTTTAGTGTCTGTTGCTGCTGCTGCTGCTCTGCATTCAGTTCAGATATGTAAGTATCCACATCTCGCATTAACCCATTCAAGCTAGAATCCAAAATATCGCTATCGTTTGTATGCTGCTGTAACTGCTGTTGATGTTGATGATTCCACATTATGATGCAATTGCCATTTGACAAGCCAAATATCAATACTGAGAAAAAAAAAAAAAAGAGCAATCCAGTGGAAAGAAGAGAAAAAAGAGTATCCACATGGAATGGTCACGACATGTCAACTTTTGTGCACTCGAACTCAACCAATGATCCCATGTCGACCTCTCAAAATTGCGTGTCTGGATGCTAGGCGGGAAGTTTTTCCCTAATTATCTCGAATAGCCATATCAAGAAAATCAGCAATGCAGGGTCTCGAAGTTTTACCAAACATTTTCTATTACAAGCAGTTTGTACATGGATCTGGCTTTTTTTTTTTTTTTTTTTTTTTTTTTTTTTTTTTAGGATACTCCATATTCATATCAACAAGAAGAGAGCAGATACCGTACTTGCATCATCTCTTACAACTCAAATCTATGCATATCGCAGTGAGTTTTGGACAGTGATTCCTCATGTTAGAGGCCATTTTAAACCACCAAATTAGCACCAAACAGTTGCTCTCATCTGGCAGTTACTTTCTGACACCTTTGCTCAACTTTTTGGGGACCCAAAAAATATGGCTAAAAATCGACTCCAAACCATGAGGTACCCCTCATGGTTTTTCATCGAAAATCAAACGGTCGCGTTGTTGATCTTGAAATTGAAGACTTCTACTATGGCACATATCGAGTCAAACTGTTTCTCTCGACCCAAAGCAACCTCTGAAACTTTGTTTGTAATACCTTCATATGTAAAATCTTGACATTTTGGCAGAAAACCTCACTTCATATTTCTATGGATTGCTCAATAAGTTTGTTCAAAACACCTCTTATAATTATCATCACCGGATGCGCCTTGAAACGTACGCTAAGAGAGCTGAACGAAACATGGGACAATGACCAAGTTTGCTATAGTCAAATCATGAAAAATAGATCAATCAAGTCGAAAATGAATCAAAATGATCAAATCAGAACAGGATGTCAAGCGGGAGATGTAATCGTTTTTGGCTGCACTGGTTGGTGGCATTATCAATGTCTTTCTTCTTATCTGGAGGTACTATGTGTTTCTAAAGCTAATATATAATGAAAGCCACAGATTAAAAGGCTTTGTAATTTAGTATGGCACGTTTATCTCGCTCTTTAAGCTCTCTTTTTTTTTTTTTTAGCACGTTCAAGGGCTGAATAAATGAGGTTGGATCAACCTTGGTTATATTGTACTTGGAGCTCAAATGAGACTCCGTCTGTAAACAACTTTGTCTCATCATCATTATAGCATGACATTGTTAGAATGAGCTTTGGCCAAAAAAGATTCTCTGCTAGTCATAACAATCAGCCACACAGCTGCAGCTTGAAATCGTTGAAAATCTAGAATTATACCATCGACACGAATGATGCCCTATCAAACCAAAAGTTCTTGGCTCTCGTAAACTACCTAACTTTTTTCAGTTAAAGGGGTCATTTTATATATGAGCTGAAGGTTAAACTGTCTATTAGATGATGACATGCTTTCAGTTCGTTAAAGCAATTCGTGGTTTGGTGTAATGCCTGTGCTCCCAAACATCCCTTTTTAATTGAAAGTTTAAAAATCCTATTTTTACTCATTTCTTTTTTTTCTCTCTCTTTTTCTTTCTCGTTTCTGTTTTGTATCATGTATCAGACTACCTTTATTCTAGACAAAAAGAGAACGCGCAAGGCAATGATGGTGGGGTCAACTAGCAAGTCAATGTCGTGGATGGCAATGCTGTTTCTTGTAACCATCATTTGTGGCACAACAGCAACCATTGTCAATGCAGAAAAACTTGAGCAAAGGAACGAGTACATATTGGAGTTTAATAGCATTGATGAAACTACAGCATTTACCCAGCAACACACAAACAACGTTCATGTGCGTTATACCTACGACAGTGAGCTACTCGCAGGCGCTGCTGTCGAATTCAAAGATGATACAATTGCAGAGAAACTACTCAAGCATCCCAACATTAAAAGATCTTGGCCCATTCATCACCGTGCTCATTTGCATGCCCCTGTGCCAGATTTCCAAAACAGTGATAGCGACAGTAATGAGGCTCAAGTCAGCGAAAACGATACCACTGTTACAACATTTGCACCACAGAGAGCGGTTTGTTAAAGACAGAATTCACAAACCGGCACGGCATTAATCCTGACAATCTCATTATACAGAGTACTATTCCTCTATTGACTCAAGCCTACACCAAATTCCAAGATTTGAAATCCAATGGCTCCGGTGTTAAGATTGGCATTATTGATACAGGTAACATCAATGCAAGCAATACATATACATGAATCAAGACGCTAAGCCCTTATAACTCAGGCGTTGACTACACTCATCCTGCACTGGGTGGATGCTTTGGAAAAGGCTGCAAATTTGCTTATGGGTATGATTTGGTGGGAAATAATTACAATGGCAGCACAAGCTCCATCGAGGAAAGCGATGACCCCATCGACAACTGTCCAGTCAACTCAAGTAATGTCAAGCAATCAGGACCAAAAAGTTGTCATCCTCATCTCATTTGACATTGATTTAGCTTCAGCAACTGGGCATGGTACATTTGTCTCTGGTATCATTGGCGCTCAAGATCTCGTTTATGTAAGCTCCATATACATAATTTGAACGAAGCTGTTGTACTGAACATACTTGTATATATAGAATTGGACAGGCGTAGCCCCAGGCGCAACTTTGGGCATGTGGAAGTAAGTTTTTGCGTATAGCAGGAGAACCCGAATATCAAAATCCTAAATTTATTTTTAACAGAGTCTATGGCTGCAATTATGCAGGTTCACCCAACGATGTTATATTAAAGGCAATGGAAATGGCCTACAAGGTAAAAATGCCAATCCTAAATATAGTGCCATCACATGGTCGTATTTAATTTTAGGATATTACATTTAGGCTGGCATGGATGTGATCAGCATTTCTCTTGGTATTAGCGGAGGTTGGCAGGAAGATGTGCTATCAGTGATGGCAGATAGATTAGTGTCCAAAGGAGTCCATGGTAAGTTGGAATTTAGTGTGCTACCATGTAATGTAATAAACTAACAAATATTGCAGTGATTACCGCAAGTGGCAATAGCGGCACAAGCGGTATCTTTCTAACTGCTTCACCTGCCAGTGGCAAAAATGTCATTGCTGTTGGTTCCACCATGAACACACATGTACCTGGATACATCTTGAAATTGATCCCACCCAACAAAACAAAGGGCTCTATCGACATCACTTACCGTACATTTGTCAGCAAGGCACTCACATTGAACGCTACACTCCCCATCGTTCCAACAGGCAAGGAATTCAATCAAGAGAACGACGCTTGCAAAGATCTCGGTGATTCAGACAAGTACAAGAACACTATTGTCTTGATCCATCAAGGCGGTAATTGCGATACTCTGACCAAAGTGAAACATGCTCGTTCTGTCGGTGCCAAAGCAGTCGTCTTGTACACAGATATCAGAAACGCAACTACTTCATTCGAGACTCTTTCCAGTGCTGTATTGCCTATTGCGTTCATCAATAACGACGATGGAGAGATCATTTACAAAGAAGCACATCGTATCAACAACAAGAAGCAAGCCATCAAGGCACAATTTACCAACACGCTTGTAGCCATGGAAGCACCAGAAGGCGAAGCAGAGAGTATATCCAGTTTTTCTACACTTGGTCCTACCAACAAACTGCAACTAAAACCTGAATTAGTTGCAGTAGGAGGTAACGTATTCTCTACTGTGCCTAGATACCAGGGCTCCTATCGATTCGCATCAGGAACATCCTTCAGTGCCCCTTATGTATCTGCCAATGTAGCGCTCTTCTTATCCAACTGTAACCAGAGCAAGCAGAGCCCAGATCTGGTAAAGAGCGTCTTGATGAATTTCGCTAGTCCAGGTACGGATCTTTTGTTCTTTTTTCATATATACACGAGATATTATTTTCTAATTAACCACAATTACACTTACTCACACGTTTCGATACTATAGTAAAAGGGCCCATCTCCGCTTCACCTTATGGTGATTCCCCTATTCGGCAAGGTGCTGGGGTGGTTGATGTCGCACAGGCCATACACGGTTTTGAGCAGTTCCACGTATCACCTGCCAAACTCAGTTTAAACGACACGGCACACTCTCACTTATTGGAGCATCAAGAAATCACAATTTACAACCATGATGCAACAACGCTCACATTTAATATATCGCACCAACCATCCTTGACCGCTACAGGTTACGCTCTCAATCAAAAGCATCCTTCTTATACGCCAGTTGAACCGGTTGGACTCTATGCAGACAATCAATCGTCAGTGGCGACGTTGCATTTCGATAAAACTTCATTGGTAATACCTGCCGGAGAAGCAGCCAAGGTCCGTGTCCATATCAAACCTCCGAGCAAGACATTCAGCTTGCAAGATCATGTCTTGTACGGCGGATACATTATGATCTCTACTACTACTACTGACGCAAAGGCGTCTGTGCCTTATTTTGGCATGATTGGTAACATGAAAGACCTTCCCATCTTGGACAGATCCAACAAGCCATCACCAGCAGCGCCCTATCAGTTTCCTGCTATTGGACTTACCAACGGCAACTCTACTGTAAAGGACGGTTCCGTGGGCCACTTCAACATAACATACTATCCAGATCTGAAATTGGCCACTGGCGGACCCTATATTCTCGCCAGATTACTTACAGGTACAGCATTACTTCAGGTCCAGATCATGGACAAAGAAAACCGGCATGTAGGAGACGTGCCCATGACAGAATCTCGCCGCTACATGATGCGCAATACGCTTGGTATCACTGAATATTCTACCTCGTTCTATTCGTGGTATTGGTCAGGGGAATACACGCCCAAAAATAGCAGCTCCTCCTCAGCCAAGCCCAAACTGCTGCCATCTGGCGAATATCGACTTAGGATCAGAGCCCTCAAGGTGTTTGGCAGCGCTGAAAATGACCATGATTTCGACACCTGGACATCTGCTAGATTAAAATTAGAAATCAATACAAAATAAAATCACAATCCGCGGAATTCCTCATTATTGCATGTCGCACGAAATCTATTTTTGCCAGTAATTTCACATTATGAATTAGACAACCCCGCTATTCAGTCTTATTTACGGACGTATTATAAATAGGGACAACATGAATTTCTTGCTCTTCTCTCTTCTTTCCACCAACTTATCCACAAAATGACCATTTCAAGCCTCTTGCCTGTAAACGACGCTGAACTCCAAGCTCTCAAAGACCACTACGAAGCCAATGGCCAAGGCCACGTCTTTCGTTTCTTTGATGAACTGGAGATTGAGCAGCAAGCCCAGCTTTTGAATCAACTTGTAGAACTTGATGTAGAACGCTTGAATCAAATCTATACAAAGGCTGTGCAAGGCGCTGAATCTGCTGTCCTCAACCAAGATGCTACATTTGAGCCCTTGCCTGAATCCATCTTTGAATCTGTCCTCAAGGCTCCTCAGCAGCAAATCAAGGAATGGGAAACCATTGGTCTCTCCCAAATTGCCCAAGGTAAGGTGGCTGTCATTCTCATGGCTGGTGGTCAAGGCTCTCGCTTAGGCTCCTCAGACCCCAAGGGTTGTTACAACATTGATTTGCCCTCCAAAAAGTCTCTCTTCCAACTCCAAGCTGAACGCATCTTGCGTCTCCAAGACATTGCGCGTCAATATCAAAAGCCCTGCCAACTCAAGGACTGCATCATTCCTTGGTACATTATGACCTCTGGTCCAACCAACGGCCCTACTATGGAGTTTTTTGAATCCAACAACTACTTTGGCCTCAAGAAAGAAAATGTCATCTTTTTCGAACAAGGTAAGCCCATCTTTCATTATGAAAATATGGGGAGGGGGAGGGGGAGGGAAATATGTGTACCATAGTTGCGTGTCTATGTATGTATACACCAATTAGGACATACATATTTAGTGCTTGTTTGTTTATCGACCAGCCCAACTAACAAATAAATTCTTGATACCATTCAGGCACACTTCCTTGTTTAACCATGGACGGTAAGATCATCTTGGAAGCAAAGGACAAGGTAAATTGGACATTGAGCAGCGTGGCTTGAATCAACACTCATCATCTTATCTCTGGATTAGGTTGCTATTGCTCCTGATGGCAATGGTGGTATCTATGCTGCTGTCCAAAACAAGGGCATCATCAAATCATTGAAGGAACGCGGCATTCTTTACTCTCACTGCTATTGTGTCGATAACTGTCTTGCCCGTGTTGCTGACCCCGTCTTTATTGGTTACTCTGTGTCTAAGGGAACTGACTGTGGTGTCAAGGTCGTACGCAAATCTGCCCCTGAAGAACCTGTTGGCGTTGTCTGCGTTCGTGATGGCAAGTATGGTGTGGTTGAATACTCTGAGATCTCTCAAGAGCTCTCTGAAAAGCGCCAAGCTGATGGCGAACTCGCATTTTGCGCCGCCAACATCGCTAACCACTTTTTCTCTACCGAATTTTTGGAACGTGTGCCCACTTTTGCCTCTCAACTTGAATATCACATTGCTAAAAAGAAGATCAAGTACGTTGACGAGAACGGACAAACTGTTGCACCCAAATCAAACTCTGGCATGAAGCTTGAATGCTTTGTCTTTGACGTATTCCCTTTTGCTCAATCCTTCTCAGTTCTCGAAGTCGACCGCAAGGACGAATTTTCACCCCTTAAAAATGCCCCTGGAACAGGTGTTGATTGCCCTGAAACATCTAGAAGAGATATTGTAGCACAACACGTGCGCTTCATTGAAGCTGCTGGTGGTAAGGTGGAGCACGAGGGTGATTTCGAAAAGCTTGAGTTCGAGTTGTCTTCTTGGGTATCTTACTCTGGCGAAGGTCTCTCTGAGATTGTTAGTGGAAAGACAATCAAAGCACCTGCTATCATTGAAACTAAGGAGGATTTGATCCGTTTGGCTCTCTAAATAGAACTACACAAACAAAACAAACCAACAAAAAAAAAAAGTTCTTTTCCTATAGATATTCCTCTCTTCTTCTGTACAGAATCTCTCCTCCTCCTCCTCCTCCTTCTTCTCCCTGCCTCCACATAATTTGGTTTTAATCAATCAATTTCACTATTTTTGTTTATTTTTTTCTTATACCTGCTAAATTTCCCCCTTTTATTCTCTATGTTTGATTAAAATAAAATATTATTTGTGTCAATCTTATATTATATTCCAAATTTTCTTGCTGTGACAAAAGCGCATGGGCAAGGGGTTGGCACAGACAATCAAAATGAGGCGTATACAGAGCTGCATAATCAAAGGCGGATTATTATTGCGATATGGCTGATGTATTATATGCTACACGGCGGGTCTGATCTGTCAGATCCTCCAACGACTGACCGTAAATGAGGCATCATGTTGAAGTTTCAATGATAATTGCAGACTCACAAACACTCTCTCATACAAAACATTAAATACGAAGCTTTTATTACTGCGACAGAGTGGTCTATTGAGTGAAACTTATTATAATTTTGATAAAGAAGGGCAGAAGACAAGAAGGATTAGATATTAAGGAAAGGAAAGATGCAAAATAATAGGTGATTAGTGTAATTAGTAGTAATTCTATTGTAACTTGGGATTCACAACGTCGTAGGCAGGTGGTAATTCATCGGATCCAGAGCTCTGACGGTGAATGACTGTAGGTCGATGTTGTCCATCTCTGATCTTCATCCAATCTTTGCCACTGCATTTTCTCTTTTTTTTGTATTCTAAATAGCATGGGCACATGAAAAAACCAGTAGGTTTAGTGCTGGAGTCTGACATGTCGTTTTCATCAATCACGGAATCGTGCAAGAGGGCTTCTTCATAGGTGGGTAAAGCATTATAGTCCTCCTTGAGACGACAATCCAGGATGGTGATGGGGGTTTCTAAACGGATGTGTGTTCTAGCGTGGCCTCCGTCATCTGCAAGTCCAGCGACTTCAATGTGGATTTTGAGTGTATGACGAATGCTGATCTCTGAGAATGTGGATGTGTGATTGAGGTGTACGCAATTGGGTAAGGTGAACACAAGGCGGTGGTGAAATGGTCCTTCATCTAACGGGATGTGAGCATTCTTGACACCGAGTGCACGGCGCATTTCTCTCAATGAAAGTTCAGGAACCAAGCCATGTGTCGAGGTGAATGCCGGATCAACACAACTGGTAACATTAGCCAGTGTTACTTTGAAATCGTGTAATTCACATCGACGGGCCTGAAACTCTGGAAGACGATATACTCTTTTTTCCGTCAGTATAACAGAAATAGCTTCTATAAAGACGTGCTTTCGATTGGGTGACAAGGAGATTGAAATAGGGAACTGAGTGCCAGAGGATACATTTGATTTCTCAATGCAAATAGATGCATCACAGATATCGAGTTGTCTTTCGGATGTGATGGAGGTGGTGGGTAATGAATTGGCTGTGAGTGCGTTGTCGGACCAGTTGGGTGTACGAAGCAAAAGAATATCTCGTCGACAGCGTAACTTGGTAGCACCCATTCCAACTCGATGCACAGATGCTGCCAAATAGTAGAATACTTTGGCCATGTCGTCTTCAATCGTTTCGATGAGCTGATTGGAAAGTAGGAATTGAAAGGGCCAGCGATGCACACCAGCTTCTAGCACGCCCTCATGCTTGGGTGGGTTTTCTGGAAACGATTGCAGAAGAATATTTTGTTCATGAATGATCTTTTCATGGTATAATTTGGTCTTTCTGGCTCCAATGCCTAGATAATGCCAAAATGAGCATCTGCATTGCATCAATTGAATGTATACATACCTTCAGGCCATAAGCTATATGATTTTCCAACAAATTTGATAGCCACTCGGGAGATGGCGACTGGTCTAGTCAAGACAATGTTCACTTCTCCTTGGAGAACATGGGTAATCTTATCATCCGATGTTCCTCGAAGGATAACCACGGGCTCTGCAAGATCAATTGTGAGTTGCTTTGCTCCAGAAAAGAAAGGAACAACTACTGGCATTTTTGCTGATGACAATGTTGGGTATGATATATAGTGAGAGAAAAGGGAAGAAAGTGCAGACTCTTGCGCTTCCATCACAAACCATGATTTTATAAAATATTTCTTGATTCGGGATTTGTAAAAGCGCTGTCAAGGTGCCACTGTTTAGAACAAACATTGGCCCGAGATGGCGGGAGAACAGCAAAAAGGAGCTTCCAGACAATGAAGCCAGCGAATCAAGCAATGAGAAATTAGCGCTCACCTTGAATGTTGAGGTAGCTGATATGCAACATGTTTTATCTCGATTTACTATATAAACTTGCTACCAAGACCACGTTAAAAACATTGCTATCATTTTCTAATCATTATGAGGAAACTTTTAATAGGTAGAATTAATACATTTGAACATCTTAAGCAAGCTACAGATTTTATTTCATGTGTTCACAAGACCCGACGATCTCGACCCTTAAAAAACTCAGGATAATAGGCTCTACATTTCTGTCATGTTCCTGAAACCTAGCAATAATGACAAAATTTGTATAGATGAAATTTTTGCATATGACGAACTCACTACAGTGATAGTGATTTTTGTAAAAGTAGTGTGCCACATGTATTTAAGAGATTCTCTCATTTGAAATTCTCATACGCGTTAGCACGGACAATCTTATTACAAATGATGGTGTCTCCACATTTTTGAATGCTTACTTTGAAATTGTGCGATAAATTTAGAAATTTGGAAGCTGAGACCAACATTTGGGCTCGATGCTTGGTAAGGTATCACAAACCGTTGCGCAATGAAATGCTTGCAATTGCCGATCTACTTCATTCCATGGGTCAGTACAGTCCACTGGCTACAGCCTCATTTTGATGCTACAACCCATGAAACTGTATTTAGAGCCCATTAGTATTTTTGTGCTATTGGGCTTCTTTAAGTCATTTGATCGCGAGTACATCGCGACAATCGATATATCAATAATTTCACTATTTTATACGAGCCTTTCAGCACTTCGGGTGGTTTCCTGACCTACGCTTCGCTTCGGTGGAAACCAACCTACGTTCAAACGGCTCGCGCTGCCGCGGGCCTTTGGCTAATATCCCAAAATTAATATAGCTTAAATGTTAGAAGAAGAACCCTGATTGTTGATTGATATATAATCACTAATCATATGAGTGTTTATGCTTTGGATGGTTCTCACCGAAGCGAAGCAAAGGTAGAGAACCAACCTGCACAGCGACAGCTCGAGCTACCGGTTACCCTTGTGTATCTTATCATAATACTACTACTTTCATTTTGACCCTCCACTTACACATAGTAACCCTTCATATTATCTGTGGATCTGATTCTCATGTAATTCTCTACATTCATATACACGTAGTTACTTCATATACGGGCAAGCAGCATACTGGTATTCCCACTTTTTAGTCCTTAGTGTCCCTAATACAGCAAAATATGAGTGCATTTGAGCTGCATTTTCTTGCGTTCAAGGCCGTTTTAGATCGTCAGAATAGCCCCAGATGGTTGCTCTCATCTGGCAGTTACTTTCCAACACTTTTGCTCGACTTTTTGGGGACCAAAAAAACATGGTCAAAAATCGACCAAAAAGCATGAGGTGCCCCTCATGGTTTTCATCGAAAATCAAACGATCGCGTTTTTCACCTTGAAAATGGAGACTTTTGCTATGGTATATCTTGAATCAAAATGTTTCTATCAATCCAAAGCAACCTCTGAAATCATCTTTGTGAGACTTTGATATGTAAAATTTCGACATTTTGGCCAGAAACCTCTTTTCATATGTTTACAAATCATTCAATAAGTGAATTCAAAACATCTATATAACTTGGTACCATTGGAAGCGCCTTGAAAAGTACTCCAGGGAAGCTTAAGGAAGCATGGGGTGATTATCATACATCACTTAGTCGAATCTGCAAAAATAGCTCGATCGAGTCCAGAATCATTAAAATTTGTCCAATCTGGAACAGACTATGATTCTGGGTTTGCATTAATTTTGGCTGGTGGGGCCAGCTGGAAAACTCATGCCCTTTTCATAAGGCAATACAGTAGTAAATACCCTTGAAGCGTATAGAAAGTAGGTGGAAGGTCATAGCACTATCGTTTATGATGATATTTTATTGCCTTCTATATCGTTCATAATGATATTTTATTGCATTCTATATTTAATAACGTTAGTCTGGACATTGTCGATGCATGGGCTGCATAACATGTCTGCAGTAAATAGGAAAATCTCTGAGGCTTTGGGCCGTCGTTCAAAGAAAACGTTGAGAGCATTGAGTAGAGGAAAGAGGGTAGAAATAACAGTGATCTTTGTTGATTGATTGTAAAATCATTAATCATACGAGCCTCTCGACACTTCGGGTGGTTTCCTAATCTACGCTTCGCTTTGGTGGAAGCCAACCAAAGAGTGGAAATGCTGGTCCCTAGACACTTTCAAAGCCTCAAAAAGGAAAGGAGTTGATCTAACAAGTATTTTGATGGACTGGCGTTATTAAATATAAAACACAAGGAATAGCATGTCTAGCAGTAGTGCTACGTAACTTGCCACCTACTTTCCATAGGCTTCAATGGCATTTATATATTAATGTATTGCTTCTACGATGATTAAAGGGGCATTGAGTTTGCCAGCAGGCCCCACCAGCCGCCGCCAAAATCAATTTAATCTCAGGCTTTTGGTTTACTCCAGATTGGACAAATCTTGATGATTTTGGACTCGATTGAGCTATTTTTGCAGATTCGACTATATAATATATGATGATCATTCTCTGCTTCTTTAAGCTTTCTTGGAGTGCTTTTCAAGGCGCTTCCAATGGTAACAAGTAAAGTAAATGTTTTGAATAAACTTATTGAGTAATTTGCGAAAATATGAAAAGAGGTCTTTGGCCAAAAAGTCGAGATTTTTCATATCAAAGTCCTACAAAGATGATTTCAGAGGCTACGTTGGATCGATAGAAACATTTTGATTCAATACATACCATAGTAAAAGTTTTCATTTTTTGGATAAAAAACGCGATTGTTTGATTTTCGATGAAAACCATGAGAGGTACCTCATGCTCTTTGATCGATTTTTGTTCATGTTTTTTTGATCCCCAAAAAGTTGAGCAAAGGTGTCAGAAAGTAACCGCCAGATGAGAGCAACTGCTTGGTGCTATTCTGACGATCTAAAAAGGTCTTGAACGCGAGAAAACGCAGCTCAAACTCACTCAAATTTTACTGTATTAGGGACACTAAGGACTAAAAAGTGGGAATACCAGTATGATACTTGCCTGTATATGAAGTAGCTACGTGTATATGGATGTAGAGCATCACATAAGAAACAAATCCACAGATAATATAAAGAGTTTTTATGTGTAAGTAGAGGGTCAACTTGAACGTAGTAGTATTATGATAAGATACGCGAGGGCAATCGGTAGCGCGAGCTGCCGTTGCGCAGGTTGGTTCTCACTGAAGCAAAGCGAAGACAGAGAGCCATCCGAAGCGTAAAAACTCGTATGCTATCCTAATGTATCAATCATGTGGACTGAGACATGTGTAATGCGAATCATTACATAACAGACAAATCTTTACATTTAAAGGCACCTATTATGTTTCTACTGGCGTGTTATATATGGATGCCATAAACAATGAAGCGTGCGCTTAGATCAATAAAACTTGGTTTGGTACAGAAATCAAGCATCATTCACATATTAAAAGCAAGAGCAAAAACGACCTTTATTGTCTGATGCTATTCATATCTGATCTGAGCTGTGTGTAGACAGTCATTAGATCGTTGCTTTCAAAGTATTCTATTAATCTATGTTCGTCTTCTTTCCACTGTTTCAACACCTCGTCTATACGGTCCATTTGCCACGCCAAATCAGGCTGATTTACCGGGACATCGGGTTGCTTGGCTCTGTTTGCTACCACGTGGGCCATCATATTCAAGAATATGCGCCAATCCCAGCCACTATGCACCATCAACAACTTTTGACATTCCTGCAAAAATTCCATCGGGGACATGGTGTCCTGTAGATCCTCAATAGCATGCTTGCAGTCATTCCAATCCTTTCGCAAAGATGCATAGGTGAACATCAGGTTGCTTGCATTAATCCAATTGTGATTGATAGAGATAGTAGCACCGATATTCTCTACTTGATGAAACCAGTTGGAGGGTACAAACACAGTTTCGCCATCCTTTTGGTACACCTCTATTTTTCTTGCTTGATCGAATTTCGTAAATTGGGTAGAGTCAACATCTCGTATATCGTATACAGCATTGTTGAATTTATCTTGGTATAGTGATTCCTGTCCAGGTGGGAACAAGGTCCATTTTTTGATACCACAAATGTTGCTGGACCAAGAGTAGGATCTATAGACGTCTGCATGGAGTGGCGTGAATGTTGTATGGCCTCCAAAATATGCAAATCTGTAGTCATCATCTCCCTTTTGTTGTAACCAATACTCATTCAGCCAATCATCTATATAACGTTATTTACAGATTGAATGCAGAAAACACCCGATACAAACCTTCAAATAAATCAGGCACAGTATAAAACCTATCATCTGGAAAAGCTTTCTGCAGATGCAAATCTTTGAGATAGTCAAGCGAAGGTTGGCCATCATCCTCCTGCCATTTTGCGCAAAAGTCAGCAAATGGCATTTCGGTGCGTTCTTGATCAGTGAAATGGCGCTTGTTACATCGAGCCACTTGACCCTGAGCGGTGCCGTATTGTTGACGCAAATGTGTATAATTAGGTTTATACTTGGATTGATGCTGCAAGTTCTCTTTACTGTTGTCATTTGTCACTATCCATTCCTTGTTTGCTTTCCAACTGCGGGTGAAAGAAGGGCCAATAATGCATGGCTTGTTTGGTATAAGATGATTTTTGAGAAACTCATCATAGGTTGGTGGTATCTCATAATAATGGATGTCTAGCTCATCATCTGTTGAACCCGCCATCCTGATTAATGCGCTCTCTCACATGTACAAAAAGAGTTTTCGCACTCTTTTCTTATCTCTCATCTAGTCACACAACGACGACGACGACGGTTTTTCATAAGCAAAAGGCCCGAATGTTTGGTCAGCTACTATCAATTGATCTCATTACTGCTACTAAAATAGCCTCGCTCGCTAAAAACAACATTATGGGCTGATCTTTTTTTATCTCATGTGAACGCAGAAACTCCTTAGTATCCGAACTTTACATGTAATCATTTGCGGGAACACTAGACATTGCATACATGCTAACTTGATTAGTGTATTTTCTCATGTCGTGTAAGGAATGACTAAATCAAAATAGAGTTCATATTGCTCTAAAGACAGTTTGGAGCATTTAGTACAGACAACTATTACCAGTGTTCAGAGGTACTCATCGAGATATTTAAAATAGGACCTGATTTGGATTTCCAAAATGATGGCATCTGATATTTCCATTAAACTGATTTTTATGCTCATAATCCCAGGGATTCCTATCGAGAAAATGCCAGAAAAGCAAGGCATACATATTCAAGTACGCAACAGAATGAAGAAGCCAGAGTTCCATATTCGTCTATGTCAGAATAGGGGCTTCGAGTATCGTAAGATCATGGCCATTGTGCATGGAAATTTGATTATGAGAGAAGGAGCCTTCACTCGCCGCCGAGCATTGTAACTGTCAAATGTTTGCAATGTGCCGATACGTGGTTGTGATAGCCACAATGCTTAATAATGACCCTTCTAGCATCCATCATTAAACAGATACTACTCGAGTCTAAAAATACCAAATTAATTGTATTATTAATAAATGTGGCACAGCATACAATATGTGCTGACAGCAAGAGCTATTCACTTGAGGACAATCATTTGCCATCAATTGCAGCAATAAGTCGCATCTCAGGTAAACACAGTAATCTTCAATGCAAACATTTAGTACCAGAAAGTACATGTATCATACTAAGCCGAAAGGCCGGCTTAAGAGCAAGACAATTTGACAGCTTATCAACATGTTTTATCATGTAATGATGAGGCTGGACTGAAAAATTAAGCTCTTCAACACGTGTCTTTGTGTATTGTATACATTTCTTCTGCTGTACGCCCAAATTACACTGTATAACAGTCTTTAATAACGCACATTTTACAAGAAATGCTATTACACGATGTGCTACAAAGCCAATTAAGCTTGCATGTAAATTAATTGAATGTTTGGGAATAATGACTTATTCAAGAGTGTCTTTGTATTCGTGGGGTCTGGTGCAAAGTAAAATGAAAGAGGGTCAAGATCAGTAGCATGTTGAACGGGACATTGAGATAGGAGCAATCTCAATCTAGCGCAATTCATAGGAGTCAATGGAAATTGCTACACTCCATGATCGCAATTGTATTTTGTGGCGAGATAGTACAAGATATAAAGTAATGGCGCTTTATCTCGATGTACTATGAAAAGATGCACGCTAGAATTTGACACATATTACACAAAAGGCCTAGTGTATAGCAGAAATACATCGTATGGGATAAATTACGGCAATTAAATCCGAAAAACAACTAAAAAAAAAAAAAAAAAAAAAAGATACAGTTTGAATCTCCCAGTCAGCCTTGTTTACCTTGGATTATTACTCCTTGACTGCAACAGAATACTAGTTATTCATCCTCATGGCAAGCAAATACCAATTGCCAAATCTGTTTCATCGACTTGCTAGCCAGCACAACACACATGTCAAGCATTTCCTAGCGCTGAGAGAGAAGAAACAATACAGATTAGATCATGGCAGCGTCATGATACAAGGCTTCAAGACAGTGCAAGAAGTTCGCGACCAGGGCATCCAATTCAAGTCAATGGTAGTGACCGCCAAGAAAGACCTGAACACAGAAACAGACATTCAATCTCCCTCTCTTCAAGTGATTAAGCATCCTGAACTGTTTCCAGCTCAACAATACTACGTGGCCGATATCAATTTAGCAAGGCGGATATTAGGCACTGCATCAAAACCTGGTAATCATGACATCTTTGCAGAGGCCATTATTCCACGCACCAGAGATGATGCTCAGATACTCAGCCATGATCGCATCTTGGTGTTTGATCGCATCTCTGATCCCGGTAATTTAGGCACACTGGTGAGAACAGCCAAGGCATTAGGATGGCAATCAGGACTAATTACTCATCATTCATGTGATCTTTACAATGATAAATGCATTCGTGCAAGCCGAGGCACAAGTCTTACATGGCCACATTTAACGTTAAAAGCAAATCAAGTGCTGGATCAACTGAAGGCTGGGGGATATACGCCCATTGTAGCCGACATGCTACCAAGGAATTCACCAAATGGCGAGGTGTGGTCCCCGGAAAATCAGTCCAATGCAGTACCAGGAACAGGAGTATGGTTTTGGAATCAACCAAGATCTGTCTTACCATCAATCAAGAAGATGGCATTGATCCTTAGCTCAGAGCACCATGGCGTTGATGATGCGTTTTCCAATGAACTAAGAGTGTCCTTACCAATGGATCCATCTGTTGAATCATTGAATGTGGCCAATGCTGGCAGCATTTTAATGTCTGACTTGAACCGCCTAGCATTGCCCAAACAAGTACATGGCATGGGCTATAAATAGATTGGCCAATAAAATATTAATTTTTTCATCTATTTATATCAGTGTTACTATTTCTAATCCTCTTTTCTATTTTTCCCTTTTCTTTTTTCTTTTTTTCCCTAATCACTATCAAGGTAAAAATGAATACAAGAAAACGATTTGCTTGTGTTGACATGTGTTTATGTATTGCAGATATACCCCCCCTCTTTGCTAACATACTATGGGTCGCAAAAAGATCAGAATTCAACCTATCACCGATGATCGTAACAGACAAGTTACATTCCTGAAGAGAAAGCATGGTCTCATGAAGAAGGCCTACGAGCTTAGTGTGCTTTGTAACTGCGAGATTGCATTGATCATCCTCAACAACTCCAACAACAAGCTTGTGCAGTATGCCAGCACTGATATCGATAAAGTCCTGATGCGATATACAGAGGTTAGTACCGTTTAACCATTCCTTTATTTACAATTTATCAACAAAACAAAACCTAATTTAGTACGATGAGCCATATGAGAGCAAATCGAATGATGATGTATGTATACCATTCTTATTCAAATTACTTGAAACTCTGACCATGTCGAAACTTGCTCTAGTTTACGAATGCAAGCGAGAAGGGCGATGAGGACAATTCTCATGATTTATCTGATGCAGATGAAAGGGACTCATATCAGATTGTTCAATCTCAACAGTATCAGCCGAGCCCTGCACCGATGATGCATTACAATGCTCCTCCACCGCCAACAGGAGCAACAGCAGGTGATCCAAATATGGTTCAACGTCAAATACCACCTTACGAAATGTATCCAATGTATATGGTAAGTTTTACATTCTATCCAATGGTATAATTCACTCATTTGTCTTTACAGCCAAACACAAATTATGCACCACAACACCCTCAACAACGGCCAATGATGTACGCTCCGCTTCCACCTCCACACCATCAACAGCAAGTGATCGTGCAAGGACACAATGCAATGACCTACCCATCTCCACCTCAACCAATGTATGTGCAGCCTCCACCTCAACATCACCACCAACAAGCGACAAAAGAAAACTCGATGCCTCCCCCTTCGCAACCCATGCCAATCTCATCTCCTTCGTCAGAGTTGGATGTCAAGAATGATGGCACAAAGAGACCAAACCTCAGAGTGCAAATTCCAAATGAAAGCCCTGAACCTACTAGCTATAACCCAGACCAACGTGCTCAACACCAACAACAGCAGACACCACCACAGCAACACGCACAGCAACAGGTGAGAGCTTACACTTTGACGAAAAAAAAAAAAAAAAAAAAAAAAAAAAAAAAAAAAACTGACATTGTATACTAACTCCAATCTGATTAGATGCAATCAAATCGATCTACCACATCTGCTGCTGTAGGCCCTCCCTCTGCTCTGCCATCTCAATTTGCTCAAAACTTGCCATCACCATCTACATTCTACCCCGAGTTTTATCAACAGAATGAACTGCCTAGCCCATTGAACTTTTCTGCTACACCCACAAATCCAGGTGCGTTTCACTGGCCATCGAATGCAAGGGATTATCGACCATCGCCTCTGAGTGTTCGACCTGAATCAAATGCGGGAGCACCGCCACCAGCAGGAGGAGCAGCAGGAGGGTAAGTTTTTGTTGTTGATTTAATGGACATGTATGCTAAGCAATTTTCCTTTTAGCTCCTACGAAAAGAGATCCTATCCGTATGCTGAGAATCCTCCTACGACATCCAAGAAACTCAAGGTCGAGACATGAACAGGACAATGAAAAACTCAATTTTATAGATTTTCTTTGCCGCACCAACATTCTGTAATATATTCCCCCCCCCCTCCTCTTCGTATCTATTTTTACACACTGTCTTTTTCTCACACAAAGCATAAATTACTCTTATTTTCTCTGAATAAATTTTTCTTGTTTCTCTTTTTTTTTTTTTTTTTTTTTTTTTTTTTTTTTTTTTTGAAAAAAAACACTCACTACGGATACTATGGCTTATTCTGTTCGTCTCAGTGGAACTGTACTCTCCTCTCTACTGTACGAATGTGCGAATTCGAAAACTGATATTGTGTGTGTGGAGATGCTTCAGACAAAGAGATTGACAACTAAGCGAATCTGACTGTGTTCTAGGAAGGCTTCTTGTTGGGCGTGCTCTCGTACAAAACAACCCTCACAAACGACGATTCTTCTGAACAGGCATACGAACGACGAGAGGACTTTATCATCATTCATGGCTTTCAGATATTGAAGGAAAAGCCGTACGATGATCATGGCAACATCAACAAAGCCCTTGTGCAAACTCAACAGAGGGATCTCTCATCTATTGTAGGATATTTCAAATTTAGAAGACAAACAGATATAGCACTGTCTGTTCGAGATCAGTTATGGATGCAATCCTACTCGCAAAATATACCACATGGCTGCATTGCCATCATATCATCCACACTCAATAACGCTTTGGCCGATAAGTCGACACATAGCTACGAATTTGCTTTTTGGGATATGAAATCATCCATTGCAAAACTGCCAATTGATATCACAAACATGACGGAAAGCACACTTGGATACAAAAACTTCATGTCAAATACACCGTACAAATTAACAGAGGGATCTAGGTAGGTTTCTTTAGCTGTGCAGAGCAGGCAATAGATGTTTGACGTTTTGTGTAGCAATCATATGCTAGCCTCTATTTCACCAACCAGCCTTATCATTGAACAGTATGACAGCATGTACCAACAATCAATACAAGCATTAAGGACAGCATCACATAGAGTCGCCGAAAAGGAGGCAGAGTTAGAAAAATTGAAGAAAGAAATAGAAGGATTACAGCAAGCTAATAATAAACGATTCTAAACTTTGAATTGTTCAAACGTGATGGCACAATTGCCAGCCCACTCTCTACTCATTGTTCACCCTATACATTGTTCATTAGTCCATCACAATCCAATGACACCAGACATACTGTATGCGTTGTGGGTTGTAACGTTTGAAGTGATCTTATAGCAGATTTCCGGACCTGCATCTTTCACTTTTGTTGGTATAGCTTGATGTTTTTTGTTGTATATGTTAGGTAGTAGAACGTACAAAGCACTCTCCGTTTAGTTGTATGCACAGTTCAGTCCTTCGAGAGCACCATCGTATGTCAGCGACAATAGCCATTTGACATCTTGCCATCTAACAAAGGCAGAAACTCGTGCAAACACTTGCCTTATATTGTGTTAAGGGAGCCAATCTAAAGAAATAAAGAGGGATGAGGCAAGAGATGTATCTAATTGCACCCTCCAGATCACTGAATTCGTTATGCAAGCCCTGAAAGCATCGGACAGTAACAACGCATTTGACATCATAATTTGAAAGAAACATGTAGATTTGGAATCTTGTTGATTGATCAACATGAGTTTTATTCAAATGGTTATCACAAACAGCGTTGCCATAGAGCTTTGAAGGGTGTGTAAGCCTGATACTCATTGTCGTCTATGCATTTCTGCTGCAATGAACAGATAAAGCAGACCATTCATAGTTGTGCCTTGATCCGGGACTGTGTTGGGCATGCTTGTGACCACTGCTCGTTTGGATTGACAAGAAAAAAATGTCGAAAAAATTATAAGCATTACTTTTTCTACATTAAACCAAGCTACACATGAAGAGAGTTGTTGATTTCCAAGAAAAGGACGCTGCAAATGAAGCCGAATGGGAGTTCAAAGACTCAAAAACCGAGAACAAGAAGAGGAAACACAACAAAAACAACAACAGGGACAAATTCAATGCCAAGACGAAGCGTTTGAGCCATGCTGATTTTGTACAAAAGAAGGAGGACATGCTGGCATTTAGAAAGCAATTGCCCATTTACACAGGTATTTGTCAAGCACTTGCGTAGATGGACAAGGTGGTTTACTCATTTCGCAATGTAGGTCGCGATGCTATCATCCAATGTTTAGAAGAAAATGACACAGTGATTGTGATGGGTGAAACTGGATCTGGCAAGACAACCCGTAAGTGCTTTTTTTTTTTTTTTTTTTTTTATATATATTCACATCTGGATGGATCAACTCATCATCGTGGCTGCAGAGATTCCACAGTTTTTGATCGAAGCAGGTTTAGCATCCAAAGAGATTGGCAGTGTCGCAGTAACCCAGCCTCGTCGAGTAGCAGCTGTCAATCTGGCCAAGCGTGTTGCAGAAGAAACAATGACAAGACTAGGAGGAAAAGTGGGTTACACAGTACGTTTTGACGATACATCCAGTCCACAAACCATCATCAAATACCTCACCGACGGTATGTTGCTTCGAGAGATTTTATCAGACGAATTACTACTGCGCTACAAGGTGGTTGTTTTGGACGAAGCGCATGAACGCACGCTTCGAACAGACATGTTATTTGGTATGATCAAAAAGATCCAGAGAGTGAGATTGGAGAAGCACAAGGAAGACGCATCTATTCAGCCCCTCAAGATTGTCATAATGAGTGCTACTCTGGATGCCGAAAAATTTAGTGAATTCTTCAACCATGCAAAGATTTTGTATGTGTCTGGTCGATTATACCCTGTGGATACCATGTTTACAGTCGAACCGCAAGCAGATTATTTGGATGCCTGTTTGGTGAGCATATTTCAGATCCACGTCAATAACCCCAAGGGTGATATCTTGGTGTTTTTGCCCGGTCAAGATGCGATCGAAAGCTTAACAGCCCTCGTCAACGAATATTCTGCTCAACTGCGTCCTCAGCAGCAGCGTTTACTAGCATGCCCTTTGTTTGCTGCTCTCCCACCATCACAACAACAGAAAGTATTCGATCCAGCACCTGAAAACACTCGCAAGGTCATCTTATCCACCAACATTGCAGAAACCAGTATCACCATTCCAGGCATCAAATATGTCATTGATTGTGGATTGGCTAAACTGCGAGGATTTAACCCCAAGATTGGTGTAGAGTCATTGCTACTGCATCCCATTTCCAAGAGTTCGGCATGGCAGCGTACAGGTCGTGCTGGAAGAGAGGCTGCTGGTGTGTGCTATCGCTTGTATACAGAAGGTGCATTCAGAGAGCTGGAGGATGATACTGTGCCTGAAATTCGTCGTTGTAATCTGGCAGCTGCGGTTTTATCACTCAAAGCAACAGGCATTACCAATGTATTGGAGTTTGACTACATGGACCGCCCTTCCAGGTCCTCCTTAGTGCGTGCTTTAGAGGAGCTGTACGCATTGGGTGCCATTGATGACAAGGGCGATCTCTCTGATCTGGGTAAACAAATGGCTGAATTCCCCTTGGACCCCAACTACTCCAAGGTCTTAATCCAATCCAAGGAATATGGCTGTTCGTTAGAGGTCATCGCCATCATCTCGCTGCTGTCTGTCGATTCCATCTTTTTCACACCGTCCGACAAGCGGGAACAAGCATCTGAAGCCAAAAAGAAGTTCCTTCATCCTGACGGTGATCATTTGACACTCTTGAATGTGCTGAAATCGTACTGGGAAGTCAAGGGTGATATTGAATGGTGCAAAGAGAACTTTATCAACAACAGAAACATCAAAATTGCCTTGGAAGTTAGAGACCAATTGATTCGTTTCTGCGAGAGAATCGACATGAACCCCAATAGCACCTGTGGATCAGATACAGACAACGTCCTCAAATGCTTCTTGACTGGATTCTTCCAGAACACTGCCCTGCTGCAACCAGATGGATCTTACAAGAGTATTGCAGGCAGCCAGTTGGTGAAAATTCACCCAGGTTCGGCCATGTTCGGTAAGCGTGTGGAGGGCATCTTGTATAATGAATTGGTGTTTACTACAAAGCATTATGTGAGAGGTGTATCTGCTATTCAGTCTGCCTGGTTACCGTTAGCGGCTCCCAAATACTTTAATAATGTAAAATCATCAAACTAGAATAAAATACGGCTCTCCCAAGCGCTTTAGAGTCGAATAGCGCTCATTAGAAGCGTCGTAGGATGTACCCCGTAAGATCTTGCTCTTTTATCCTGTGTTTTGCAGTTATTAGATCGTATCAAGTGAAGCAATGCCATCATGTGTCTACTGCATTGATACCAGGTTGCCAGGTCACTGGGTATGTCTTGCAGTTGCACCAATGAATCACCACAGCTTATCATACAAGAGCACTGTCAAAATTGTAGATCATGTCAATAGTATGTGCACACCATATTCCATCGCATAAACAAATGAAAAGTCTCAACCCCCTTTTTTAACTCTTTTTCTCTTGAATTAATCAAAATGCAAAACAATACGATCCTACCCCATTCAATGCAGCAGTACCAACAGCAACAACCACAGCAGCAGCGGGTATTTCATCCTCAGGTAGCGTATCCACTCATGTCGAATATCATGCCATCAGAACGAACCCAAGGTGTCTTTTCTGCCTATCCTGCACGACTGAAGCATTCTGACGACAACGCATTATTGCTGCCTGAGTCGTATGTGCCTAAAAAGACGCGTTTCAGAGGAAATGAATCAGAGGACGAGTTTGATCAAATGATGGAGGAATCTGATGAAGATGAAGATGAGGATATGGACCAAGGTGTTAGTCAAAATACCCCCAAAAAGACTGCTGCCAGTGCAAGTGATAGGAATGCTGTTGCAAGTGAAACAACCCACAGCACTCTGCCAGGCGTTGCAGCACCACCACCGCCAGACTGGCCTAAAGTGATTCGTCAAAAGAACGAGATGGTATATTCCACTCATGATTTAAGCAAGATCTCGGAAACAGAGGAGAATTTGGTGCCTATTCGACTCGACATTGATATTGACTCCATCAAGCTGCGAGATAGATTTCTGTGGAATTTGAATGAGCAGTATTTGACACCTGATAGATTTGCCATTATGCTGTGTCAGGATCTTGATTTACCCATCCACAAATTCCTTCAACCTATCGCCGAGTCCATTCGTGCACAAATCAACGACTTTGAGAGCTACAGTCAAGCAGAACTGCCATCAGAGCATACGCGGGTGATTATCAATGTAAGTATTTCTATACATTCGGCTGAATACCGATCACAAGCTGATATTCCACATGCAAAGCTTGATCTGCAAGTAGGCAAAGTCAACTACAGAGACCAAATTGAATGGGAAATGCAAAACGAAAAGACAAATGCCCCTGAAGTATTTAGCCGTCAATTAGCATCTGAGCTTGGTGTGGGAGGAGAGTATGTGGCCATCATATCGCATGCTATCCGAGAGCAGCTGCTGCTGCATAAAAAGCAATATGTGGATGAGGTATGGTGTTCAGTACATTGCGAGCATGGTTGCAAAGGCTCTGATGTTGCTTCAAACAGTTTTCGATAGATGGCGAAATTCGTACACATTTGGATAGCGGGTTCAGATCGATTGAAGAAGCCAAACAGTGGGCGCCACACATGGATATGCTGTCAAATGACGAACTGGAGAAATTGTTAGTAGCTCAAGAGAGAAATATTAGGTAAGTGATGATAATCCGCATGTAAAGACTGAGTCCATCATTGGGTTGTGTACTGATTCTTTCGTTCAACTATAGACGCATGCGAAGAGAGACACGATTCAAGAGGCAAACTAGAGGTCGTCAGTAGTATAGTAGTCCAGACGAACGCAGGGCGATGCTATCCATTTTGCTTTTATTCAGAGAAATATATATAATAAAATAGTTAAATTCGGTATTTAATGGTGTTCGTCGTGGTGATCGTCTCCATGGTGATCCCAAGGATGTCTCCAGCCCTAAATAGATACATAACATGTCAATTTATACACACACACACTAAAGCGTCTCATCGAGCGATATTACCAAAAGAACAGGGCCGTCTTGCTTGGCACGGTACATCATCCAAAACCACATGGTGGCACCTAATGCCTTTCCAACGAAACGGTGAGTGAATCCAGCGAAATGTGGATGAAATCCTAAACCTCCTGCAGCAGAACCAGCCATGATGTATGTAATAGTAATTCAAGTAGAGTGGGGTGTTGTATCAAAGAGAAAAAAAAAAAAAAAAAAAAAAGAAGAACACTATGTTTGTGTTGTTTGTTCCCTTACTCATTCGGAGTTGCCATCAACCTTCTGTCCTTCAACAATACATGGGGAGGGAGGATGGAGCTGAAGGAATCCAAGTCATCATTGTCTTTCATTCCTCTAAATCCGGCTCGGATAGCAGCTCTCGCATACCGGAATCAAAGAGATCAACGTACACACACCCAAGGCATTTGTAAAATCCCTAATCAAAGCATCAAGCACAAGATCCTCCTCTTCCAGCATCACTAAGAAGGTAATACATGGTGTTTTAGATGTAGCGCAGAGAGACATAGCCATCGATCCATCCATCCGTCCATCCATTACGACGCACCGATTTATAATGAAAGGACGACAACATCATCCATGAAATGCGATCATATCAACATGTGGATTTTTGTATTGGATTGCATTTGAGGTTTTGGATATTGGTGATATCGAGATTTCCACCTGACAACCGGGATACACCAACTTGTAGATGACACTTTGCAATACTATACATGCACACACGCAGTGAGCAACCACTACTCAACATTTGAAATACACACGAATGGCTATGTCTCGACGACGCTCTCATCTATCATGTCAAATCACTCAACATTTCTGTATTAAACTCTTGTCTATTCATACATAGCTTTAAAAATGGTCACTCCTGCCGTAAAGCACACCATCGTGAAGAAGCGTACTGCTACCTTCAAGCGTCACCAATCTAACCGTTTCATGCGTGTCGGTGTAAGTATTTTGAGAGCATAATGGATTTGTGTTGTTGGAAAAGATGGCTAAACGTGAGCAAATGGATTAGGAATCTTGGAGAAAGCCCAAGGGTATCGATTGTAACATGCGTAGACGTTTCAAGGGTCAAGCTCCTATGCCCAAGATCGGTTACGGTTCTGCCAAGAAGACCCGTGATCTCTTGCCCAACGGTTTCCGCAAGTTCACCGTCTCCAACGTCCGTGAACTCAACCTCTTGTTGATGCACAACCGTTCTTATGCTGCTGAGATTGCCCACAACGTTTCCTCCAAGAAGCGTGTTGCTCTCCTCGAACGTGCTGCTCAACTCAACGTCAAGGTCATCAACGCTGGTGCTCGTCTTAGATCCCAGGAGTAAATTTTTCGTTGTACTTAGTTTATTATTAAAAATTGCTACGGGTTTCCATCTATAGTTGTCCACAGTGTGTAATGGTAATGGGAGTTTGTGGTTGCTCTTTGAGCTGGGATACCGCATTGATGGATTTCAATACGTCCAGGCTACCCTCGACAACTTGACCAAAGATCACGTATTTGCCATTGATCTTGTCAAACTGAGGGTGTGTGTCGCTGAGTGTGATGAAGAATTGAGATGTGTTGGAGTTTTTGCCAGAGTTGGCCATAGCGACCAGACCAGTTGCATTGAACTTTTTTGCCAGGCCAGGCTTTTCATCGTTGAATTTGCCATTGTAAATACTGTCGCCACCAGAACCATCCCCTTTTTTTTTATGATTTTGCATAAACAATGAGTCTTTTTCAAATATGCCATGCTCAGCCCATATAAAACTGTTAAAATTACCTCGGGTAACATCGCCTCCCTGAACCATGAAATCGTTGACTAGACGAAACATGCGTGTGTCCTTGTAATGCAACGGTTTCTTTGAGCTTTTACCTACTTTACCACCCACGCAAAGCTGAGCAAAGTTCTCGCTGGTCTTGGGGCAATCTTTATCAAACAACTCAATTACCACTCGACCACCGGCTAATGCTGTAGGTGCATCCACAATCCACTTCTCGCTGCTTGCAGTTGGGTCATTGGATAAAATGTCGGTGAGTGTTTCTTTTTCCTCTGCTGAAAGCTGATCGAGGTCGTCGCTGGCAAATCCATAGGTACTGTGCCATTGCTTGACCCATGATTTTGCGCTGTTATAGCGTTTGAGTGCGTCCTCGTAGGATGGAATGTCGCCAATTGCAATATCGAGGAATACTTTACGTGCCATGATTCCAGTGTTTTAGAGAGGAGAAAAGAGTAAAATTTTCTTAGAGTGCCTTTAAGCTTTGATAATAGGAACTAATCTGCGCGGCGGCGGCTCGCGCTGCTAATTGCCTTGGTCCATCCCACCAAAGTGCTGCAAGCTCTGTTGAATATCTTGGTAACGTAGACTTCTCAAATTTAGAGCATTATGTGAAGCCCTCCATAAACAGCTTTAAGCCGTGGATACGACTCCCTTTCAATGCTCCACGTCTGTAATAATGTAAACAATGCATGTACGGGCTGTCTGCATAGTTGCAATACCTCTTAATACTCAAAAGTATGCAAAACGCAGCAAAATTTCGATGCATTTGAGCTATGATTTCTCATGTTAGAAACCGTTTTTAGACCGCCAGAGTAGCACCCAACAATTGCGCTCGTCTAGCGCTTACTTTCTGACACTTTAACAAACGTTTTTCGGGATTGTCGAAAATTGACCAAAAAGCATGAGGGATACCTCATGGCTTTCATCGAAAATCAAGCGATCGCGCTTTTGACCTCAAAAATGACAATTTTTACTATGGTATATATTGGATCAAAATATTTCTCTCGATCCAAAGCAACCACTGAAATTTTGTTTGCAAGATCTTTATATGTAAAATCTCGACATTTTGGCCAAAAACCCCATTTCGTGTTTTCAAGGATTACTCCATAAGCTCATTCAAAACATAGGTTATAATTAGCACCATTGGAAGCGCCTTGAATAACACTCCAAGAATGTATTAAGAAGTATGGGCTGATCATTACAGCTTACATAGTCGAATCTTAAGAAGTAGATTAAAGAAGTCGAAATTGATCAGAGATCAACAAATAAAAGGCAAAAAAACCAAAACGAAGTTTAAACATCTTTAGCTGGCAAACTTAATGGTGATGCCTTTTATATGAACAATCAATGTTTGTGAAGCCGAGAACAGAGGAGTCGTGAATCGAACAAGTATTAAATCTTAAAGCGATTACTCATTTTTGTTATGAGCCCTACATATGCTAGCCAGTTAGCTTGGATTATCCGCAAAATGATTCCCAGGTCAATTGGAGTGCTTAACGGCTGTAAATATTATGTTGGATCATACGAAAGCATTTATTCTAGCTAATGCAGTGCCAGTGAGAGCCGAGCCTCTTTACAGTGATAGCTTAATAGGCATATGCGCATGAATACCCGATTTCAAAAGTAGTACTAAAGGTTTTGGCTAGATTTGAATGAATTGAGGTACTTCCAAAAAGGTGCAGCAAGTCTTTAGGCAGGTTTTTGAGATTCACTGGGCTCTCGCTTCTTGATTAACTTTCGAGATTCCATCCTGACAGGAGCCATGACTACAACATCTTCAATATAGATGTATCCTGATGAAGGAGTGAAGAGTGACCCAAGTGACGTTGAATAAATGGGATCTTCCCGCCGGGCAAGTAAGCGAACAAGCAATGTACTTGAATATACCATCATTTTTTTTTCTCTCTCCACTCTTTTTTTTTTTTTTTTTTTTTTTTTTTTTTAAGCAGGTATAGAGGTAGCATTTGGGGGGGATATATAACTCGACAGCAAAACAATGCCCAATACAGTGAAATCACTAGTTGTCTCTTGCCAGGATATCTTGACAAAACATTTAGATGGTATGATTGATCAAGAGTTGGACAAGATTTCATGCTGACTACTTTGCAAATGTTTTAGTTGTTTCTGAGGTCGGCTGTGTTCCATATTCTTTGATGAAGAATTCACTCGTTCACGCAACGCCACAGCAACTATATAAGATAGAGAAAGCAAATCCAGTAAGTTGACCCTATACGGAAAGAAGTGATGTCGTATTGACCATAATGGGTTGTAGGATATAGCTGCAGAATCAGATGGTAATGTTTGCATTTAGAAATTGTCATCCATTGTACAACTCACACACTTGCATCTTAGAATTATGGCTCAAGCATTGCCTCACATACAAAGACATCCGGGAAGACTATTACGAGCATGGCTTATATCGTGATCCCTCAAAATGGCGAGAACTCTACTTGGTAAGAGATCCAGCATGAACGCTTTGCAATGATTTATCTCACATATGCCACAGAATCGATATAAAGAGACTGAAAAGAAGCGACAATTGATCAAACAAAAAGTGAAGAGCCAATACAGCAAGATTCAAAATGAAAAGGAAAAACGATCCATCAAAGTGTTGCATGGTGTTGTGCCAACTACCGGTAAACGTTCATACGAAGCAGCGAGTAAGTTCCTTTCTCAACAGAAAAACATGCCAAAAAAAAAAGATGCGATACTAATACAAATGCAATTAGGGCGATCGACAATGAGTAAGCTATTTCAGCAAACCAAAAAGGAGACTGATAAAGTGTAAGTTTAGCTAATATAGCAGACAAAACGATAGTTGACTCATGTGCCATGGTGTAGTGCATCGATCTATCAACAAAAACGACCTACTGTCACCTCAGCCATGCCAATGTCTCTTCACCATCCACCATCGACATCCTCTACCGTGATCAGGGTACCCAAACCAGCATCTCAATTGACTCGAGCTTATCAATCCTATCAATCCAAATACCCAAGACTCAATTCGCCTCCACCACCTGCTCCACTTATTGCGCCTGGACCCCAACTTTCTGACGAGCGACATCAGAAACGGCCCAAAGTAGGTCTCTTTCCCTTTGAACTACTACGCAATATGCTGATACATTTTTTTTTATGATTAGTTGAACATGGATGACGATAGAAAACCAGGCGAAAAGAAAAAGAAACCTGTAGCCATGGTAAATTTCAACATTTTTAACGAGGTTTGTATGTATAGAATGCTGGTTGAATCACTGCTAAAGCTTACATTTATAGCTATCATGAATTGCAATAAAAAGAAGGGAAACAAAAACGTAATATTCTCATGATTTGAGTGATGTTACTGATCAGGTCTTGTCATACAACAACATATTGCAAACATATGCAAGAAATCAGCCAAGGAGAGGGAGGAAAAGAACGCAGATGATGATGGAGCTGGAGATGATGACCATGGGATTATGGACAAGGATGACAGGGTGTCTAGTTTGTCTACTGGTGGGTTACCTTGCAGGGATTAAGAAAGAAAAAAAAAGTGTCTGACTACCATGATGGTGCTCTTGATGGCTCTGATGAGAACAATGATTCATACAAGCTTGGGATTGACAGATGGAGGCTGTATATATATTTATTCATACTAATAGCGATAGAGTAAAATAAAGGCTGGTTTTTTTTTTATATATTATATATAAGAGAAGGTTTGAGAAAGGCGATGCATAGGATGTCTTTAGTTGGATAGAGCCATTTCTTTTTTCTTTTTTTTTTTTTTTTTTTTTTTTTTTTTTTTGATTTATTAGATCTTCTTTCCAATCTTTGTGTTTCCAATAAGGGACTTGTGGATATGAGGAAGAACACCACCACCAGCGATAGTAGCCTTGATGAGCGCGTCAAGTTCTTCATCACCACGAATAGCCAATTGCAAATGTCTGGGTGTAATACGCTTTACTTTGAGATCCTTGGTAGCATTACCAGCTAATTCAAGCACTTCAGCTGTAAGGTATTCAAGAATAGCAGCAGTGTAGACAGCAGCCTTTGCACCAACGCGTGCATTGCTGTTGCCCTTTGCCTTTAAATAACGATGAATACGACCTACAGGGAACTATTTTGGTTGTGTGGCAGGTGGAAATGAAATGAGTGTAAGTAGGTTTTGTTGAATAGACATGTGCCATTTCTATAGCCTTAAATAAACAGAGTATTTACCTGAAGACCTGATCTAGCGCTTTGAGATAAAGCGGTTACTTTATCGTTATGATCCTTCTTGTTGTTGTGATTGTCAGGTGTAGTATCAGCCTATTTTACATGGAATTTTGTTACAAATGTTACTCTTTTTAACGGATGTTTTTTTTTTTTTTTTTTATAAATGATGCATACCATGTTGGTTATGTATATATATAATATATCAATGAATTCAAGTGTTGATGTATTTTATATATAAATGATATTCCCTAATATAGTGAGAAGAGGAAAAAGAAGAGAGAAAAAAAAAATGAAAAAAAATTGATAAACGCGCCTTTTGTTGCGCTGATTGGGAAAGGGAGAATGCGAGAGAGGTCGCAGTGTGTCTGTATCATCCAAGGCAACAAAGCCAAGAGGGCAAGGGGCACTTGGAGGAGCTGACCAATTGTGTTGCCGCTTAATCGTTTTGATTGAGGGTCATACAAATGAAGCAAGTGCACAAAATGATTTCATTTTCGTACTACAGCAACTAGATTTTTTTTGGTGAGGGAAAAACCAAAATCCAATTTCTTCCTTCTTCTTTTCTTTTTCTTGTTTTTTTTTATATACATCATACATCAACATGGCCAAGGTAGTATTGGGTGCATTGATTGAGAGCAGTGTAACTCATGTTTCGAGCGTTAGAAACTATTGGGCAAGAAGGGTGAAAAGAAGGCTATTAAAGCAAATCGTCCAGCGAGGGCAGATTGGAAAGAAGGCGTCAAAAAGAAGCAAGTGGGCGTCTCTGATATGACACTGCTCACCAAGATTACAAACGAAGCCATCAACGAAAACTTGCAAAAGAGATGGCAAAACGCCGAGATCTATGTAAGTGTGAGCCCTTTTCTTTGGACTAAATACATCATCTCATATCCAAAACACAGACATATATTGGCCATGTACTCATCAGTGTCAATCCTTTTCGAGATTTGGGTATCTACACAGACGATGTGTTGGCTAGTTATCGAGGAAAGAACTTGCTAGAGGTAAAGCATGCTACCAGAGATAAGCACGCAGGCAGGCACACTGACCAACACTATATTTAGATGCCCCCTCATGTTTTTGCTATTGCTGAATCATCTTACCACCATATGAACAGTTACAAGGAGAATCAATGTATCATTATCAGTGGTGAATCTGGTGCTGGTAAGACGGAAGCAGCCAAGAGAATTATGCAGTATATTGCTGCTGTTTCTGGTGATGGCCAAAATTCATCCATTAAGGAAATCAAGGAAATGGTCTTGGCAACAAATCCCTTGCTGGAGAGTTTTGGTTGTGCAAAGACCCTTCGTAACGATAACTCGAGTAGACACGGTAAATACCTCGAAATTCAATTCAACACACAAGGTGAGCCTGTGGGTGCTGTCATTACAAACTACCTGTTGGAAAAGGTAAGTAAGGCTGTTTCTTGGAGTTATATAGTTGTGTAACCCGCTGCTTTCATCTTTATTAGACTCGTGTTGTTGGTCAAATTGAAAACGAAAGAAACTTTCATATCTTTTATCAATTAACAAAAGCTGCACCCCCTGAATATCAACGTGAGTAGTAGTGTGTGTATGTGGATTACAAACGAAAGAGGATGCTTATATATCTCCCTTGATAGAATCATTTGGTCTTCAGGGCCCTGAAAGCTTCTTGTATACGAGCAAGAGTGGCTGTTTGGATGTGCCTGGTATCAACGATGTCAATGATTTTCAAGAGACGTTGGTAAGTGTGGATAGAGTGGGTGGGGATGGATAAGTGCTGATTCTCTGTCTACAGAACGCCATGGGTATCATTGGCTTGCAAAAGCATGAACAAGACGAAATCTTTAAAATGCTGGCCATCATTCTTTGGCTCGGTAACATTGTCTTTGTGGAGGATGATAGTGGCAACGCTGCTATTTCAGATGGAGATGGTAAGACTTGAGATACATGTTGCAAACACACACTCTAACCCAATGGATGGTGTATAGTGGCCAATTTCATTGCTTATTTGATGGAAGTGGATGGTGAATCATTATCAAAGGCACTCACCAGCCGTATCATGGAGACTCAGCGTGGCGGAAGAAGAGGCAGTGTATACGAAGTGCCACTGAACGTTGTGCAAGCAACATCCGTGCGAGACGCCCTTGCAAAAACTATTTACGAGCGATTATTTGAATGGATTGTCACTCGTGTCAACGTCTCATTACAAGCTCGCAGCGCTCATCAATACACGATCGGTGTGCTGGATATCTATGGTTTCGAGATTTTCGAGGAGAACAGCTTTGAACAACTGTGTATCAACTATGTCAATGAAAAGCTGCAGCAAATCTTTATCGAACTCACACTGAAAGCTGAACAGGAAGAATACGTGCGTGAACAGATTCAGTGGACGCCCATCAAGTTTTTCAACAACAAGGTCGTGTGTGATTTGATTGAAGAGAAGCGTCCTCCTGGCTTGTTTGCTGCTCTGAATGACGCCTGTGCTACTGCTCATGCTGATTCAAGTGCTGCTGATAATTCGTTTGTTCAACGTTTGGGCTTTTTGTCTTCTAACCCTCATTTTGAATCGAGAGGCTCCAAGTTTTTGATCCGTCATTATGCTGGTGATGTATTGTACAATGTGGAGGGTATGACAGATCGAAACAAGGATTCCTTGCTCAAGGATTTGTTAAATTTGGCTACTGGATCTTCCAACCAATTCATCTCCACCACCTTGTTCCCTGAACGCATTGACCCCAACTCCAAGAAGAGACCTCCTACTGCTGGTGACAAGATCAAGGCTTCTTGTAATACGCTTGTGACAAAGTTGATGCAATGTCATCCCAGTTATATCCGTACCATCAAATCCAATGATAACCGAAGTCCCTCTGAATTTGACGAAAAGCGAGTATTGCATCAGATTCAATATCTTGGTTTGTGTGAAAATATCAGAGTTCGTAGAGCTGGTTTTGCTTATAGAACAGTAAGTCATTGGCAGTGTGTTGGTGGTGGTAATAACAGTGTACTCATCGACGCTTTTTACATGTAGACTTTTGACAAGTTTGTGGAGCGATTCTATCTATTGTGCCCTACAACTGGTTACGCTGGTGAATACATATGGAATAGAGATGCCATGAGTGGCACATCTGAGATTCTGAAGCACAACAACATCCCCACTGAAGAATGGCAAATGGGTACCACCAAGATCTTTATTCGTCACCCTGAAACGGTATGTTTATACGGACGCAGCATCCCTGCCGTTATCAGCATACTGACTCTTTAGATTAGATTTTTGCATTAGAAAATCTGCGTGACAAGTACTGGCACAACATGGCCACTCGTATTCAACGTGCTTGGAGAGCCTATGTCAGATACAAGATTGAATGCGCTAAAAAGATCCAACGTTTCTGGAGACAAAACAAGTATAACATTGGATACCTTCAGATGCGTGAATACGGTCACCAGATCCTGGGAGGCCAAAAAGAAAGACGTAGATACTCGCTTGTCAGTATGAGACGATTCACTGGAGATTACATGGATATCAAGACAGGTTCTGGTTTATCCACCATGATTCGAAATGCCATCAGTCTCAAAGGCAATGAAGATGTGGTGTTCAGTATGCGCGGTAGCACGTTGGTGCCTAGAGCAATGCGATCCAGTGTACCTAGTCCTAGAACATTTGTCTTGACCAACCAAAGCTTGCATATTGTCATGGCTACCAAGAACGGCAAGGTGCTCAGTATGGTAGATGAAAAAGCCATCAGTTTGAACATTGTCAGTGGCATCAGTGTGTCCACACTGCAAGATGATTGGGTTGTACTGCATTTGGATGGCTCTCCTGATGGCGATACTATCTTATCCTGTACTTTCAAGACGGAATTACTGGCTCACATGTTGCAACAAACTGGTGGCAGAATCAAGGTGTCTGTGGTTCCTCAGATTCAATACAAAAAGAAGGGCAATAAGGCGGTCACCATGAAGTTTGTCAAGGATGAAGCTGCCAAGGGTGATGGTATCTACAAGAGCCATGTCGTCAAGATTTGTTCTGGCGCTCCTCCCAACAGCCGTAAGTGGTAGATGCTTATTAAATGTACATGACACTGACACTTTTTCTCACTAGAATCTGCTCCTCCTTGCGCTAGAAAAGCAGCTCAACCAAGCACCAGAACCACTGCTGCTCCCCGCAAGAAGGCTAATCCAATTCGCAGCACGCCTGCTACTGCTGCTGCTTCTGCCACCAACACTCGCCCCATGTCCAGCAGCATTGGTCGCTCTGTTCCTCCGCCTCCACCACCTCCAGCCGCCAACAACACGCCTCCCCCTCCTCCACCTGCCCCAGCAACACCTCAATACAAGGCTATTTATCCTTTCGCATCTCAAGAAGCTGGAGAAATCGCCTTTGAAAAGGGAGATTTGTTGGAAATTGTTGAAAAAGACGAAAACGGCTGGTGGTTGGCTCGCAAAGACGGTATTGAGGGTTGGGTACCCAGCAACTATTTGGAGGAATACGTACCTCCTGTTGTTAGATCGACTCCTCCACCTCCACCTCCACCTGCCAGAAGAGCTCCTCCCTCTGTGCCTACACCTACAAACAATACTGCCAGAGTATCTCCTCCAGTGCAAGCACAAGCACCAGCTGCTTCGTCTAGCGTGCCCGCTTGGAAACAAGAGTTAGAGGCTCGTAAAGCAGGTGCTGTGGCCCCACCTTCTGCTTCTTCCACACCTGTTCCTGCAGCAAGAAGAGCACCACCTGCTCCTGGACCCAAGCCAGTGGTACCTGCAAAACCTAGTATCGCTGGTAAGCCCATGATTCCATCTAGACCTGGTGTTGGCGGTGCCAGTATGCCTACACCTGCTCCTCGTGCTCCTCCCCGAGCTTCTAATGGCACACCTTCTAATGCTGCTGCTTCGTTAGCTGATGCTGTAAGTGTAGTTGTATGCGATCACAATGAATATAAACACTAATGCCACTCGCTTGATAGCTTCGTGCTCGTAGACAACAAGCTCCTTCACACCATGACGATGATGATGATGAGTGGTAAAGAAGACCACGCTGCATTTGACTATAACGTGGTTCAACCACATCAAACAATCCAATGCAAAAGCGATTAGACCTACTTTTATATATATATATTTACCAAGAAAAAAACTTGCTATAATCGATCTTTGTACTCTTCTGCTGTAGATCTTTACCACTTGCTGATACAAGCTGTGGATAGCCTTGAGATGATATGATTTACAATTGGGTTCTGTAGCTTGCGTTTTCGGTTTGCTTGTTTGATGATGACAACTGGATTTTGAGCTTTACTTTTCGGTTTCATTTGTAGAGGAGGAATAAACGAAGCATGAAAGAGATTCATGCCTCTGCATTTATCAATTTTAAGCCACGTTTATTAGGAGAGGAGCAGGGCAGTGTAGCTGTTGTCAGTCATTTGCTGTTGCAGCTTGCTGATCTCATTTCAAAGCAAGCTGCATCCTATCAATCTGGGAAGTCATGGTACTAAAAATACCAACATCAGCTCATCAGGCATTGAATTGCAATGAAAGATTCATACCCACCGAATAGCTTTCAAGCTACATGGCTTTCAATAGCGGATGAACAGTCGTTCATCAACCAACTGATATCCAGCAAATCAAACAGATCTAAGCCATCCCTTCTCGAAGAGAAGAGGGTGCGAATAGTGACACATCTCGTCCCCAGTCTTGGACCCCACCCTCTTTTTTTCTTTTTCCCTCATTGAATTGATTGCGTATAGTGGGTGTCCATATAACAACGATACTAGAGACAGACAATATGAGTGAACAAGTCAAAACCGAAATCTTAGCAGATGTGAATAGTACTACAAGTCTTTCAGAAGCTGCTGCTACTTTATCCAATGCTCTCAGTCTTCAACATCAGCAAGCACAAGAACAACATGACTCACAACAACAACAACAACAACAACAACAACAACAACAACAACAACAACAGCCAGAAATTGATTATACACAACAAACGTTAATGGATGTAAACAGTCAACCTCTCATGCATAGCCTATTAGAGTCTCATCAACACCATCCTCTGTTAGACCATCATAATGCCGCTATGAATACTACGGATACTGACCTGCTGAATGCCAATGCTGCTGCTGCTGCCATGATGAAGCATATGGCTGGTCCTCGTCTGGCCGCTACTCCTATGTCTATCGCTTCTTCTGCCGTAAACACTGCTGCATTCACCTCTCCTCCACCACCATCTAATGCCAACAGTAATAGCAGCTTTACTGAAAACTGCGCTATTGAAATCACTGGCAATACCTTGGATCCCTCAAGCCCTATCATCACTGAATTTTACGAGCGATTTGCTGTTGGAAGGATGTTTCAAAGTTTGGAGGAACTTCGCACAGAAGCTTTTGAATATGGCAGAAAGCACAATGTCGCATTGACTACAAGCAAATCTGATAAAACAAAGGTGTACCTGATCTGTAAACATGGCGGCTTTTACCGCAAAAACAACAAGAAGGCCAGTGATCTCAACCAAAACATCAAGCCACGCCTTCGCAGATCGCAAAAGACGGGATGCGCATGTATGATTTATGCTCGTTGCTGTCGTGGTAGCTTCTGGGTCATCCGTAAATGCATTGGAGAACACAATCACCCTATTGCCGAGGATCCTCGTGCCTACGCCATGTACAGATCTTTGTCTCCTGAACACTTGTTGGTCGTTCATCGCTTGCTGAGAGAACATGTAGGCGTCACCTTTATCGTCAAATCCCTTCGAGCAAACGGCGTAACAAACATATTGGCAAAAGACATTGAAAACATCCAGCAAGATCTCAAGAGAAGGGACGTGCTTGATTTACCAGTGGATGACGGCACACGCACCGAGGCTCAGAACAACATTATCGTAGCAGCAGCGGAAGCAGCAGCAGAGGCAGCCGCCGCCGCAGCTAATAACACTATTCCAGTCATTCAACGATATCAAGAAACACCAGAGCCCTCTTCCACTACCACTACCACTATCACTGAGAGCCCTCACACCACTACCGCGTATGCTCCCTGTATCCCTGCTCCAGCAGATGCTTCCATTGTAGTCACAATCCCTACTTCCTCTATCATGATGCCAGAGACGAGCGAACAAGATTCTGAAATGACAGGTACTGCTACCTCGTCCCTCATGATGCCTGACATAATCGATGACAAATCTCAAGTACAATCTAACACTGATTAAAAGCACCTATATCCCTTTCTTTCTTTAGCTTATCACACACATCCCAATGAACTACACTACATAACTTCGCCCTGACGGGAAAAAAAATCAAATAAATGCATACATATCTTTATCTTTTTATTTACAATGGGGTAAATGCCTTTAAGCCCTGTTCAGTGGATCCAAATCTACCATCCACGACAGAGAAGATGTTGTTGACAAACTCAGGGTCATACTATAGTGTGTTATAATTGATTAGTTTTTTCGCCTTTTCCTCTTGGTCTACCGTCAAGATATTTACCTGGCAAGCTCTGGTGCAATCGGGAGAGAAATTGGTCTCAATCACAACAGGCTTAAAATCATCAGTCAACATGATATCGAAACCAAGCACACTGAAAGCATCAAACTTGGAAGTATCTCTGCCGGCCAAACCCAATGGCTCAGGAGTGCTAGCAGCAACCACCAGTACGTTTTTTATGGCAGTATTGATATCCTTTTGCACTTGATCCCACTTGATATTGTGCTGCTTCTCCATGTTATGAATGAAACTCTTGTTGTCCAATTGAGTCATTTCGTATTTGGAATAGTTCATGACAGTAAATTGACACTCGTAGTCATCCAGGTTGTCCAAGTCGTACTTTTTGTTGGCCAGGCGAGTCCAAAACATATTGTAGACAAGTGCAAGCAAGTTGGGCTCAGTGCGACGCACAAGCACAATATAACGAAGATCAAACTTTTTACCATTGTAGAGACAAGGCGACACCAAGTAGCGCTGGGCAATTTTGGGGATGGGATTGTCGTGTTGGCGCACAATCTCAGAGAGATTGTTGGTGATATCGAGGCCCAATCCACGAGCCATGTTCCATGGTTTGAGGATCCAGAGGTTGGTTTCTTCGTTTTCCTCAGACTTGTACGGCATAAGTATGGCTTATCGAGTGAGACCCTTAAAAACACTTACATTCAGATAATCACCCACGACTTCTGATAGTTGAGTCATAATGTTGTATGTGGGCATAAACCAATCTGGCAGGCCATAGGTTTTTCTGTACGAAACAAACACGTTGAATGTCCTTCTTTGAGTTCAACATTTAGTAGGCTGTACTTACTGGATCAATTTAGCCATGTTATGCTTGTATGTAATACACTTTTCGTTAGGGAATTGATTGACAATTTGATGAGGTTCGAGAGAGTCCCAGCCTTGGAAGTCTTGAGTGGTCCAGAGAATATCGGCCTTGGCAGGATCAGTAGTAAACTTGACGTTATCCAACTTGAGAAACTGTTGAATGAATGATGTATCTGTGCAAACAGTAATGGATTCTCCCTTGGTCTTACTGTTTGCCTCGTTTCTCAAAGCTTCGAAAACTTGCTCGGGCGAAAAGCTGTGTGCTTCTGGAGGCGTGAATATTTGACTCTGTAACTTTTCACGCTCTTGTTTAAAGGACTTGACCAATTCATCACGTTTTGATTGGAGTTCAGCAGTTAGCAAAACTCTGTCCTGGAAAGCAAACAAATAAGCCAACTTGTCAGACTCACGCTGGACACTTTTTGGCAGCAGATCGCAAGTAATGATTTCACCAGCTTCAATGTCCTTGATAGGGAAGAAGACGCTGTAGGGGATCATACCAGTAGCACCACGAGAAAAGATAAAGGGCAAACAGACAACATTGGGATCAGAAGAATGGCAGATAGCGGACCCAACCTCATCGTTAATGTACCAAGCAGTTTGAGAGGCGGGCTGTCCATCTTGTTGGAGAATGGAGTACGTGTAGGTTTGGATATAAGACCACATCTTTCTGTAAATGTTGTTGGCTCGTTGATTGATCCAATCCTTTTCTCTTTGCTCTCGCCTTTCGATTTTGTCTTTCTTTTCCTTGTCTTCCTTCTCTTGAGGCTTACCACTGGCAAGGATCTGCTTCATCATAAGGTCATCCAACCTTTCGGACTCGGCTTTTTGTTCAGGGTCTATCGTCAGTCGCTGTGTCAAAGGTAAATGTGTCACTGACTGTCTCATCACTCCAATGTGCTGCTGCTTACCATAATAGCGTTTACAACCTCGTTGTTTTCAGCTATCAATGCCTTTTCAGCCTCTCTTTCAGTGACATTTGCTTGAGAGGCGACTAATTTGATCAAATCATCGCTGGGTTTCTCATCCTCATCCTCTTCATCGTCTGAATTCTCGGGTGCTTCAATTTGCTCGATATCCATCAAGTTCTCAAGACGGTCCATCAACGAAAGATTGAGCTTGAGCTCTTCTTTGGCTGTCTCGGGAGATGTAGTCCAAGCGTGATCCACCAAGAAAATATCACTAGTGTCATGCCATGTCAAAAATGCCATGCATTCACGCGCCCCTCTGCTGTGAAATGCACTTACCTGTGCTTCTTGAGCGACTTGTCAGCCTTGACATGGAGTGAATAGCCTTCCATAGGATCGCCATGATGAAGTTCAGCAAAGTTTCCTACATGTTGAACGGGCATTGTCAGTGTTTTGTATCAACAATGTTGTTTAGACACTTACCCGCATCGAGATAATCCTCGCCAAGCTTCATAAAGAGCGGCTGCCACAAGTCCTCTGGGATGGAGCTAAGCTGGTATTGATGTACAACCTTGAACGATTCGAAAGCAGATGCCATGCTGTTGAATAATAATGAAAAAGCGAGAACAAGGGTTTTGTAGGATGAATGATCTTTTTATATCTGACGGACAATCCAAATTTTTATTGGGCTAAACCTTATAACAACTGTTGGAATCCAGTCACCGTAAAATAACCTGATGTTGCATTTGAGACAGCCTAGATTTGCATGAATTATCGCATTCAAACGATGAAATTAAGATCGAATGTCTTGAAATTCGACATGAAATTCCAGTTTTGTATTTGAAGAGGTGAGCTTTTCAGAGCTGATCATGAATATTGGCATTCTAGCCAGTTCTAGAAGATCAGATAGCGTTGGATCGGCAAGAGGAACAACGGAATCCCATAGAATAAATATCATGTCTGCAAAAATCTCAACTCCTTGTTATTGTCTCTTCGGTACCTCCTTTTGGATAACTAAACTATACCCTTTCGCCTTTCAATCTTACCCCTTAAAGATCAAAAGGTTGAGGAGATGCTTCAGGGTTGCTTAAACTTTGTTTCTCGAAGAGGGGGATAGAGTTAATTCATGGACATAAAAGGAGAATATATAAATGATCGAAATCAGTCTCTTTTTTTTTTTTTTTTTTTTTTTTTTTTTTTTTTTTTTTTTTTTTTTTAGTGGTTTTATGTATTTAAGATAATGATAATGATAGTACTATATAGATGGGATTAGGTAAAAGAAAAATAAAAGGAAAGATGGGAGTATATTGAAGAATACTAGCAGGCTTGTGCCTATAAATGTTGTTTTTACTTATTGCGAGTGAATGGTGCCTTCAAGATTTCCAACAAATTACGAAGATTCAGGGTAGCAGCCCACGAAGGAGGTGGTGGAAGAGTTTGTCGTTGTTGCTGTTGTACTTGCTCTGCACCTGCATCACTTGATATTACGGTTACAGTTTCTTCCTTGACTACTGTGGCGGTGGTGGTAACAATTGTCTCGGTATTGTCACTATCCACCTTGACCTCTTCTGCTGTGGAGCAGCTTGTAGTGGTAACAGATACATCTGTACTGCTTTCTACCACTTGCAGTGACTCCACCAAATCCCTTTCAGTAGCATCAATCTCCATATCACTAGATGCGGATTAAATTAATGTGCTGTTTCATACAAATAAATGCAAAACAAACTTACTCAGCAGCTGCAACATCAGTAGAAACTTCCAATAGTTTTTCAGAAGCAAGTTTGTGGGCTGCTTGGTATCCGTCCTCGTTGTTGGCAGCAGAGCGCTGTAGAATAGGCAATGATTAGTAGAGATTGGCAGACACTGCTCTATGTAACTTACGATAAATGTTGCACCCTTTCTATTCGCAATCTTTTCCTTGATCTGTTGGCAAATGTCGTCTTGTTTGTTATCCTGGTCGTCATGATCTAAAACTATAAGGTTTATCAATATCATGCCACAATAATCAGATATTTTAGATTTACCTACCAGATTGAAGTACTTTGCTACCTGTATGAATAGACAGTGTGCTTGAATCGTCTTCGCATTTCTCTAGTGCGCGAATCGCTCCCTAAAACCATAGTATGAGATGTGCTGCCGCCATGTACGGTCTCGATACGATAGATACCATAATGTAGACATGATCGATATTTTGGTTTTGATTGATGCTGATTTTTTCAGTGAAATTGCGAGTATCATTTACACCATAAAAGATGCTAAAAGTAGCAGTAGTAGAGGGAACATCCTCAGTTTTAATACTGCCGCTGCCCTTCTTCTCTTCCTTCTTCTCGCCTCCTTGTATTTGCATCAAAGAGGCGCCAATCCATACAACAGACTTGGTCTATAGGTATGATGGGTATGTTGGTAACCAAAGGACACAAGAACACAACATGTATCACTTCCACATTAGTTACTTACAATGGTTACAGATGATGGTGTGCTGACAGTAGCAGCAGCAGGAGCAGTGGTGGCTGTTTTCTTGGCTATACATCAATGATATACGAAAATAAGTTTGCAGTCCATCTACCTCACACTTTTTCTCTAAAGTTGGCTTACCTTTGGATCGTTTGTTAGAAACAAGTTTATCGTTACCATTGTCTTTTAAAGTAGCAGATGATCTCTTTCTCTTTTGCGAGTTTTGAGGCTGGTCGATAGGTTGGAAAGGAGTCCACACGTCGTTTTTAACAGAAACTTTGGACATACTAGAAAAAATATATAAAAAGAAGTTTAGAGATAGAGGGAGAGAAAGAAACTAATAAAAAAAAAGAGAGAGGCAAAGTGTGTATATATAATACCCAGAGATGGGGTTCATCTCCCCCACCCCCCTCCTCTCTAACTCTCCTAGCAGTAGGCAATAGACTACAGCAGCTGCAATTTACCCCTTCTTTTTTTATAATGTAACATCGACCTTGACTTTTAATGCAACTGAATGTGTCACAGTGTTACCATTAGTTTATCGTTCGTGTGTGTGTGATTTGGATTGGTGCTGGTACATTGATCTGATAGTGTACCGAAGTTCGCATACATAATGGATCTGCTTGTCGAATATCTTGCCCTTGAAACAAGTGCAGCAGTTTTAAAAGGTCTCTTCAAATGAATTGTTTCATGTAATTTGCAGCAGTATTGCCCATTGCGATGCAATGTTTTAACAAGTTTAATTAACGGTTACTCAAGAATGAGATGTAACCAGAAAACGTGGTTAGTGAATCCTCAATTTGATTGTTGTCCCAAACTGCTTTAGCAGCGGGAAATTCATTGTGTCATGTATTACTGGTGTAAATCTACTTACACAGCCTTTCAGTTCAATGAATTTATTCGGATGTAGCAACACTGAATCTCTTCTTTGCGATCCAAAGCGGGATCATGCTCTAGACGCCATTGCCTGCAGTAATCAAATAATGAGAAACGATACGCAATACAGCCTATCATGCCAGTAGCTTTCGGATTCATCGAGCAATCTACAACTTCAAGGCAACATTGTAAAATGTTAACGTTACCATCTTGATGCTGAAATGCAGTCCATGGTACTTGTTGATTTGCACTACCATCCAATATAAACAATGGCCAGAGTGGCTTATGTTCGTTTGAAAAGAGTAGCCTTGGTGCTGATTTGACTTGTACGCGTCCTTTTCAAAATGAAATTCAAGCGTAAAAGCAAACCCTTTAACACCAACGTAAAAAACGAGACTAAAGCAACTGACGCCATGAAATATGAAGCAGTCAACAACAAAGCATACATATTATACAAGAGATCTTCGAAAGAATCAGCAATGCGTTCTTTGGAAGCTGTAAAGCAAGAGGATCAGAAATCGAATAGTCTAAACGAAATTCTCATGCAAGCTAAAAATGAAGACATTCGACATGAAAGAAGCATTTCCCAAGAAAGCACAATAGCAGAAGCTGATCAAATTAAACAGGAAGATTCAGAAAAAATAAACAACTGTCTATCGGAAATGGGTAAGAGCGCATAACCATGGCCTCAAAGACAAACAATATACTTATTATGAATGTAGAGCACTGCTTAGAGCAAAAAAGCCAGAGTTTCTACTACCGTTGCAGTCTATGCAAAGAAAGCCAAGATAGTCTTCAAGCGGTATGGCAGCATCGTGAATTAGTTCATCTCATCAAGAAGACTAAACATCAATCCATCAAACACTTGCACTTGGAACCGGATGTTCATGACCCAAACTACTACTGCCAAACGTGTGAAAAGACATCAACGTCCAAAGCTGATTTCCGACTACATTTGCGGGATGTTCACCAAATATGCTTAAAGCTGTTGCCCCATACACCATATTCAAATGTGGAACCTGATCCTGAAGATGCCAATGGCTATTGCTCAGCATGCAATCACACATACGCATCAAGAAAACAATACTGTTTACATCTTAAGGCCTTTCATAGGATGAAATTGGCTCCATTATCGAATGCTCGGAAAAACGTCAATATTCTGCCTGACTGGAACAACCCTGATTTTTACTGCATTTCATGTGAAAAAACTTTTGCAACAAAACAGAATTACCATTCCCATTGCCGCTTTCTTCATCATGTAAAGAGATTTGCCTGGAAAATATCAAAGAACCAATTTACTGATGCAAACAATCTCAATTGTCATTGCAAAATATGTAATACAACATTCAATACCAAGCCCGAATACAAACTGCATTGCTATGAGGTGCACAGAATGAGATCGACGTTACCAGATAACACCATGAAGTATTGTGATACTTTTAGCAAGACTTTCAGTGAGCCACGTAGATATCAAAAGCATAAGTTTATCATTTACAGTAACGATCATAAAACGAACGGCCCTATACAGCCAGAAACCTGCACCATTTGCTCCAGGAAATTGGCGAGCAAGATCAGTTACCAAAGGCACCTCATATCTGTTCACTCGATTGGAATGCAGACTCAGCACACAAAAACATCCAGCTCAACCACTGACAACATCGCTGATTATTTCTGCAGTGTTTGCTTTCGCGCATACTCTTCAAGGAAAACCTACAAGAGGCATCTTAGCTATGCTCATCAAATAAAGTTACAAACTCGCACAGAATACAACCACAATCAAGTGCCAGATCCTCTCGATGCAAATTGGTACTGCAGTGCGTGCAAAACATCTTACAAAACCAGAAATAAATACCGTACTCATTGCAGGAGAATTCACCGTCTGATATTACCTCCTGCTGCCAAGACGTTCAAGAATCCCAACGCTGAAATCGACATCCAAGATCCCAAAAACCTTTACTGTGCAAAATGTGATGTTCGTGTCAAGCGAAGAGATTCTTTTGTGAGACACATGAAAAATATCCACAAGGTTGTTTTGCCACGAAAAGGTTTCCCCAATCCTGATGCTATCATTGACAAGAACGATCCCAATTTGTATTGCGCAAAATGTGAAATGAACTTATCATCAAAACAAGCCTTTATAAGACATGCAACGAATATACACAAATTATAATAACTGTTACTGATGACATGGCAGCACTAGTAGTTGCCAGTATAACCATTTAGCCATCATCATCATATAGTGGAGTGGTTATAAGTTTTAAGAATGATTAGCGAAAGGGTTGTTCAATAGTGACATTAATCTGAAGCAGCATCTCTTGTAACAATCATGAATGAATACTATTGTAAAAACAATGCAAATAACACTGTGCTAAAGTAGTTTTTATACTGTCTAAATTCTCCGCATAATGAATAAAACATACATACTTCACATCCAACTATGATATGAATGCCAAGTCAAGCAACTGTACCTTATCTTACTATTGAATAAAAAAGTATTCATGTATATTATTTAATCCTTTTATTACAAAAGACATTATCATATTATATGGCATATCAACAGAAAATCAACTAGTTGTAGACCTTTTCTCTTTCAACTCCAGAACCAATCAAATCGCTTGAAAACTCCGCTGACCTAAAAAAATTTTTGCGAGGGTTTCCCCCTGTTTTGATGTGAGGCAAAATTTTAAGCTCCGCTATATATAGCAATATAGCTGTTACTATCATCAAATTTCCCTCAGGTGCTAGAGCATGCCTTACTTACACCACCTAGCTTTAGATTCTGGCGTTGAGACTCTCAATCATCACTAAAGTAAGTAGTGATAACCAAGTGGAGGCAGCCTATCCATCTCCTAGTCTCGGATAAGTTCTTGTTGAGCTTCAGCGATAGGCACATCCACCACAACGTAATAAAGAGGTATGCTTCAAAGAAACATAATAAAAGAAAAAAGGAAAAGAAGGAAAGAACATGCTACAATACTATAGGAGTATAGTAGTAGTATGTAGGCAAAAAAAAAGAAACACTCACACAAAAAAAGTGAGTCAAAAGAAGAGCATAACAACAAGCACAGCATCAAAGATGTTCAGGACAGCTCGCAGTTGTTGCAACAACAAAAATGCATACATGAGCAACGTGTATGGTAATAGTCGGATGTAAAGCAACACAAACACGCACAATTGCAGAAGCAACAGCAGTATTATAAGTGTGCAATACAACATAATGACTAATGTTGTTTCATGTGAAGCGACAGAGGCAACACAAACAACAGTCCACGGCCATATAACAAAGTAGTACTACCAAGGCAATACAGGTATATAGCAGCACATCGTGCTTGTTGTTCGTACATACAAAGAAACAACATTGCAAGCATCCGTTGAACTGATCATATCACAGCCAACAAAAGAAAAAGAAAGCACAACAAAGAAAACCTCATGAATGCATTATCATGAGAAAGGAAACAACAATAAAAGCGTCCAGAGAAGCTTTATATCATTGCGACCAGAAGAAAAAAGATACTTACCACTTACCATAGCCACGAATAGACCAGAGAATAGGCAATCACCATAGATACACCAGGGAACGAGCAAATACCACTGATAGTACACCAGAATAGACCAGACTAGCAGCAGCAATACCATCAGAAATACCAGCAGCGTAGAAAAACTGAAGAGCGAGTGACACTAGAGACCAGACAAAGATTAACGAAGTAACCGCCAGAGATAGAGACCAAAGAAGCAACCACTAGACATGATAAACCAAAGAAGCAAACAGCAGAGATAGCATAGAAGTAATAGCAGCAGCACTTACGTTAAGCAGGCAAAAAAATTATCGAAACCTAATAAACAAATTCGATTATTGCTTGTTCTACATCTTTCTGTGCTCGTTGTCGAATGGTACTACCTATTATATTCCATTTCAAAGAAGCAGTATCAAATATTTTTGACAGTGCAAAGTCGTGTTATCAGATGATAGAGTGTTATTTTCAATCAAAAAGGTTCCAAAACCAATATGGTTTGATACTAAACGCGTTTTGCAAAAAGGATAAAAAAAACGGTGGTATGGAAAACTGAGAGGGCGCCCTAACCGACGTCACGCCCAGTAGATTTGGCCTCAGTCTTCGGCCGTGGCAGCCGTAACTGCTGCACTTTAATTTGAATTTCTGCAGTGGGTATTTTCGTGTTCAAATTTGACTTGATTTCACATTCTTTAAACGTTTTTGCTCAATTTGACTATGAAAACTGTCGTTACCATACCTTACTGTCTAATGCATCAATAAAGAGTCAATAAAGGCGCATCGAATGATGCTAATTATACACAGTCCTTAAACTGAAAATAACAAGCAATTCGCAAAAATATGAAAACAGGCTTTCTGTGAATATGTCAGGATTTAGCATATACAAGCCTCATAGAAAGAGCTTTCAATGTTGCATTCCATCTTTACAGTCAATTTGATCTAATATGTATCATAGGAAAAGTCTTCATTTTTGGGGTGAAAAACGCGATCGATTGATTTTAAAGAATTTCCCCTTACTAATACTCATGTAAAAATGAGGATTTTTATGAATTTGCTGACCCAAAAAAAAAATTGAGATAAAGCATCAGTCAGTAAAGCGTAGCCAAAAAGAACCGTTTGGCGCTATTCCAAGCGCCCAAAACGCTTTGTGGCATGAGTTATTCGTGCTTGAAAATGGTAGATTTGGACAAAGATTGATCTGAAAATAAGGCGTAGTAATAGGTTGTCTGATGATCGAAACCAGTATGATAGAAAAGAACAGTGTTTGGACGCTATTTCTTTATCAACTATCAATTGAGCTTGGCTTCTCCACTAATTAAATTTTGTTTCTCTTTGTTTGCTCTACGAAATGAGACCACATTTGGCGGTGTGCCATGATTCCTGTTTAGGATATAAATCGTCTCTGAGAGGCAAAAGTTTATATGTTGTATAATACAGGAAGAGATTTGAGCACGAGTAGAGATGCATAGTAGATTGAGATCTCTTTATTCAAGCAGTACGAAGGAACATGAATGGTGCCATCAAATGGCTAATCTATATTCTGGCTCCTAGAGTGTGGTAGCCTATGGCTTTTCGTCCCTGTGCGGAATACATCCGCTATGACCTGCATTCCGACAGTTCATCCAGTTACCAGATTTAGATATAAACGGTATGTACACTGGATTAGATGTACGATATCGATTTATACTATAAGATATGGACTTCAGATACGCTAGTACTATAAAATTCATACTATATAAGATATAGGCTATAGATGGCACCACGGACATGGATGGCACTATAGACTTATACTTGTATTCCGACATTGACTACGGATGTTTACCATATCTGGATAGGCACCAAGATTAATGCAATATGAGCTTGTTGCTTCAGATGTGCACTTTATGATCCACGCTATAAGACACATGCTTATATCCGTGATACTAGCTACAGATACTTTATGTACTACAGACTTGTACTATATATGAGACATGCCATATATCCAGATACATGCTAAAGATGTATGCTCAGCGATATACACTCAGATATGTACTATTAATATAGACTAAGAAGACTGTACCTATCGGATACATGCTACTAGATCGATATTAATTATCCTTATAGAAAGGATAGATCAGGGTACTTTGGATGAGAGTCTAATTATTCATCCAGGCAAAAGCTAAATCATGATTAGCTTGCTGGAGTTGTCTTTTAGCATGATTAGACATTAGTTAATCTGAGTTGACTTATTTGTCAGTCTATTTAATAGAACTTTTATCCATTGTTATAGTATATAAGAAGGATCATCTACCTGGCCAGTACAGGGACTTCAGTTTACTTTACACCTGTCAGTTTGATAATAAAACATACCTTTATCAAGTTGACATTACTGTTTTTTTATTCTTTTTCCGTGAATTTTAGTCTATCAAGCCTCAAATTCCACAATAGTGGATGTATTCCGCACAGGGACGAAAAGCCATAGGCTACCACACTCTAGGAGCCAGAATATAGATTAGCCATTTGATGGCACCATTCATGTTCCTTCGTACTGCTTGAATAAAGAGATCTCAATCTACTATGCATCTCTACTCGTGCTCAAATCTCTTCCTGTATTATACAACATATAAACTTTTGCCTCTCAGAGACGATTTATATCCTAAACAGGAATCATGGCACACCGCCAAATGTGGTCTCATTTCGTAGAGCAAACAAAGAGAAACAAAATTTAATTAGTGGAGAAGCCAAGCTCAATTGATAGTTGATAAAGAAATAGCGTCCAAACACTGTTCTTTTCTATCATACTGGTTTCGATCATCAGACAACCTATTACTACGCCTTATTTTCAGATCAATCTTTGTCCAAATCTACCATTTTCAAGCACGAATAACTCATGCCACAAAGCGTTTTGGGCGCTTGGAATAGCGCCAAACGGTTCTTTTTGGCTACGCTTTACTGACTGATGCTTTATCTCAATTTTTTTTTTGGGTCAGCAAATTCATAAAAATCCTCATTTTTACATGAGTATTAGTAAGGGGAAATTCTTTAAAATCAATCGATCGCGTTTTTCACCCCAAAAATGAAGACTTTTCCTATGATACATATTAGATCAAATTGACTGTAAAGATGGAATGCAACATTGAAAGCTCTTTCTATGAGGCTTGTATATGCTAAATCCTGACATATTCACAGAAAGCCTGTTTTCATATTTTTGCGAATTGCTTGTTATTTTCAGTTTAAGGACTGTGTATAATTAGCATCATTCGATGCGCCTTTATTGACTCTTTATTGATGCATTAGACAGTAAGGTATGGTAACGACAGTTTTCATAGTCAAATTGAGCAAAAACGTTTAAAGAATGTGAAATCAAGTCAAATTTGAACACGAAAATACCCACTGCAGAAATTCAAATTAAAGTGCAGCAGTTACGGCTGCCACGGCCGAAGACTGAGGCCAAATCTACTGGGCGTGACGTCGGTTAGGGCGCCCTCTCAGTTTTCCATACCACCGTTTTTTTTATCCTTTTTGCAAAACGCGTTTAGTATCAAACCATATTGGTTTTGGAACCTTTTTGATTGAAAATAACACTCTATCATCTGATAACACGACTTTGCACTGTCAAAAATATTTGATACTGCTTCTTTGAAATGGAATATAATAGGTAGTACCATTCGACAACGAGCACAGAAAGATGTAGAACAAGCAATAATCGAATTTGTTTATTAGGTTTCGATAATTTTTTTGCCTGCTTAACGTAAGTGCTGCTGCTATTACTTCTATGCTATCTCTGCTGTTTGCTTCTTTGGTTTATCATGTCTAGTGGTTGCTTCTTTGGTCTCTATCTCTGGCGGTTACTTCGTTAATCTTTGTCTGGTCTCTAGTGTCACTCGCTCTTCAGTTTTTCTACGCTGCTGGTATTTCTGATGGTATTGCTGCTGCTAGTCTGGTCTATTCTGGTGTACTATCAGTGGTATTTGCTCGTTCCCTGGTGTATCTATGGTGATTGCCTATTCTCTGGTCTATTCGTGGCTATGGTAAGTGGTAAGTATCTTTTTTCTTCTGGTCGCAATGATATAAAGCTTCTCTGGACGCTTTTATTGTTGTTTCCTTTCTCATGATAATGCATTCATGAGGTTTTCTTTGTTGTGCTTTCTTTTTCTTTTGTTGGCTGTGATATGATCAGTTCAACGGATGCTTGCAATGTTGTTTCTTTGTATGTACGAACAACAAGCACGATGTGCTGCTATATACCTGTATTGCCTTGGTAGTACTACTTTGTTATATGGCCGTGGACTGTTGTTTGTGTTGCCTCTGTCGCTTCACATGAAACAACATTAGTCATTATGTTGTATTGCACACTTATAATACTGCTGTTGCTTCTGCAATTGTGCGTGTTTGTGTTGCTTTACATCCGACTATTACCATACACGTTGCTCATGTATGCATTTTTGTTGTTGCAACAACTGCGAGCTGTCCTGAACATCTTTGATGCTGTGCTTGTTGTTATGCTCTTCTTTTGACTCACTTTTTTTGTGTGAGTGTTTCTTTTTTTTTTGCCTACATACTACTACTATACTCCTATAGTATTGTAGCATGTTCTTTCCTTCTTTTCCTTTTTTCTTTTATTATGTTTCTTTGAAGCATACCTCTTTATTACGTTGTGGTGGATGTGCCTATCGCTGAAGCTCAACAAGAACTTATCCGAGACTAGGAGATGGATAGGCTGCCTCCACTTGGTTATCACTACTTACTTTAGTGATGATTGAGAGTCTCAACGCCAGAATCTAAAGCTAGGTGGTGTAAGTAAGGCATGCTCTAGCACCTGAGGGAAATTTGATGATAGTAACAGCTATATTGCTATATATAGCGGAGCTTAAAATTTTGCCTCACATCAAAACAGGGGGAAACCCTCGCAAAAATTTTTTTAGGTCAGCGGAGTTTTCAAGCGATTTGATTGGTTCTGGAGTTGAAAGAGAAAAGGTCTACAACTAGTTGATTTTCTGTTGATATGCCATATAATATGATATTGTCTTTTGTAAAAATAAGCGTGTAATTAAATGGAAACAATTTAAGTCTTTATTTATAACCAAACTAAAATGCAATCATTTGTTTAATGAAATAGTCACCCAAATGCAACTTGGTTGAAAACCGGAATGCATCAAATATCATTCATTCAAATTCATGCTATTTGAACGTACCAATAAAGCGCTCAAATGTGCATCAAAACACCAATTAAACATACTAAACTAAAGATGCATACTTATCCTCCCACATATCGTGTGAATGAATCACTTCTGATCACAATGTATTCAACCACACCCACCATGATGGTCGTAATAAATGATGTTATCTTTATCCAAATAAAATCAAATTAATAATAACAAGCATATTCAAATATGACAACTATGCACTGGTGTCATAGTTGCACAATACTTCAGATAAAGGTGTTATGTCAAAATACAATGTAAAATTGAATTTGCCAAAGAATTACACTTTTATTGAGAATGCATCCCAAGGATGCATTTATATACTTTTTCATTATGCTAGGGTTTACAGCATGATGATGAACTATAATACAAATAGGTTTACTATCTACCCAACAATTGATTTGTAAATCATGATTAGCATGATTTAACCAAAGGACCTAAGAATAGCCTAAAACCTTTAGTGTGAGACCTTGCTATAACATTTGATATAACAAAAGGGTTCTACACTTCAATAACAAACATCACACCTTAAACTGCCCAGGTTACATTAAATCATGCTATGACAATAGCTCATCCAAGCCCATCAAAACTACTCAAATCGACCCTTATGGCCAGTGCTCTTGCATTGATTACCACTTTAAATCAAGCATCAACAACATTTGCCAGATATCGCAATAGCAGCACCTATTGCTCTCTATCATCACTATAAGCTATTTGCAAATGTATAAATACTCTTCTTTTTTTTACTCAATTCCAAGATCTTCAGTTCATTTTACACACAATAAAATACAGTAGTTGAAATTCTATTGTATTTTACTATTGCTTAATTTTTTGTGAAATCTATTAATAAACCTGACTTCACTTCAATTTGATCAAGCATACATTAAACAGTTTCATGTGAAGTGTGTCTTTTAAATTTTTTTGTTGTAGAAATGTTATATAGGAATTACCACTTCAGTACAGAGGTTTTGCGGCTACTATTAGTGCTTATACCAGATCTTATATGCGACTTCAACTGGCCTTTACGATATGTTGAGTATTAGCAATTTGTATAAGCGCAGCTATAATTATATATCAAAATGATCGATATCATCATATATACCACGAAAAAAGTGCATCTGCTATACCCTCCCATTTTACTCATGGGTTTCGGAATGTTTTTTCAATTTTGATTTTCTTAAGAGCGTCAGTCAATTCTTGACAGAGAATGAGAGCAGTAAGCCATCACAAGAGCAGTAAATTGATGAATCTTGGAAATTGGTTTGCTTGAATAACTGCTCTAATTGGTCAAACATAGCAAGTAGTATCACACGTCATGTCTATCGATACCAAACCATCTCCACATCATTGTCGCTTATGCTGAGGAGTCTTAAACTGTAGTATATCACTGTGCACCAAGTTACATCAAAATGACAAAATTGGAATTCTATTCCCAGTTGCCTCTTTCTTTTTTCAATTAATTTTTTCTTTTTAAAGCAAAACCAAAAAGCTTTGCTTACAACCTTAGATGTCTTCACAACTAGGAGTCTCTGCACGGTTCTTACAAAAGAGTGTTCGCCATTACACTTCCAAAGGTATTGGTTAAGTAGCATAGATTGCTTACACAAAAGACTAAAACTAAACATCATGTAGCTATTTTGACCCCCGGTCAAACATTGCAAGGTTACCAAGTTCAACAGGTATGTAAAGCAAGCTGTGGTATGAGCAATTGCATGTACTCATCTGGACAACTAGGTTCGCAAAGTACCCGAGCTCGAGCTTACAGCCATTACACTGAAACACGAGGCTACTGGAGCTCAACATTTGCATATCGACAGAGATGATTCCAACAATGTATTTGCAGTTGGATTTCACACACCCGTCAGCAATGATACCGGTGTTCCGCATATTCTGGTAAGCATTGAATGGTAGTAATGCGCATGCTCGAATACAGGACTCATGGAAGAAACCTGCCCCAAAAAATCAGGAACATACAACATTATGTGGAAGTCGAAAGTATCCAGTGAGAGATCCCTTCTTCAAGATGCTGAATCGTAGTTTGGCTACATTTATGAACGCATTTACTGGTAAACAAAGACAAATTACGGGAAAAGGTATGAAGTGTGTATTCATCATCCACTATAGCCAGCGATTATACAGTTTACCCATTTGCTACCACCAATCCAGCTGACTACAACAACCTCAGAGATGTCTACATGGATGCAGTCTTGCACCCCAAGTTGGACAGATTGGATTTTAAGCAAGAGGGATGGCGCTTAGAGCATCAAATACCTACTGGTATGTTGAGATTGCTTTTGTCGGAATGGAGGGTCAATGCGATATTAAATATACAACTTAGATACAACTACGCCAATTCAATTCAAGGGTGTTGTATACAATGAGATGAAGGGCCAAACAGTGAGTTGTTGAATTAGATGGACACACAATATTTGCATGGCACTAACGTGTTATTAGTCTGACGCCAACTATTTATATTACATTCGCATGCAACAAGCCATGTTCCCTGGCACCACCTACGAATATTGCAGTGGAGGAGATCCCAAGTATATCACAGATTTAACACATCAACAACTGTTGGATTTCCACAAGAAGCATTATCACCCCAGCAACGCTAGATTCTACACCTACGGCAACTTCCCATTAGAGGATCATTTAGCAGCTATTGGAGAGCGTCTTCAGGGATTCGAAAAGTCTAAAGTGCCATTTGTAAACAAGGTAGCTACTCCATGGACTGAAGCAAAGAGTGTGGAAACAACATGTGCATTGGATCCTAGTAAGTACATATAAGTGAATATTGTAGCTAGTTTGCTAATGGCTGTTGTAGTGAGTCCCATTGATAGACAAACCAAGCTATCATTGTCCTATCTCACCAACGAATCTACCGTATGTACAATGTTCAATGATCATCAAATGCAATGTCGACTAACATGTGTGACAGGACGCCTTTGAGACATTTTCTATGCGTTTGTTGTCCTATCTTTTGTTGGATGGACATGCCTCTCCCATGTACAAGGCTTTGATTGACACCAATCTTGGCTCAGAATTCTCCTCCAATACCGGATATGACAGCAGCACCAAGTTAGTAGCTGATATAATTAATTTAGCCATGTTTACTGATCATTTCTTTGTTGCTTAGGACAAGTTGCATGTCGATTGGTTTGCAAGGTGTCAAGGATTCAGATGTGGATAAAGTAAAGTCAACCATTACATCTGTTCTTGAACAGGTAAAGCAAGAGGGCTTTAATCCCAAGAGAATTGAGGCTGCTATTCATCAAATGGAGCTTAGCCAGAAGCATGTAAGTTGCCATGACAACCTAATTGACGTCAAATCCAACAAACTTGCTACATTAGAAAACCGCTGACTTTGGTCTTTCTATCATGCATGGTATTACCTCTGGCTGGTTTAATGGTGTAGACCCCGTGGATCTCTTGGAAGTCAACAAGGTAGGTGGCTAGGTCACAGCATGAAATATGGTACTAACACTGTGTGCTCTGCAGAACATTGAGCGGCTCAAGTCAGAATTAGCCAAGGGAGACTTTTTCCAAAGCCGTATCGACAAGTACTTTTTGCAAAACAAACACACGTTATCCTTTGTCATGCGTCCTGAAGAGAACTACGGCGCCAACTTATTAGCAGAAGAAAAGGATAGATTAGCCAAGAAATTAGAAGCATTGACCGACGAAGATAAGAAGCAAATTGCTCAAGACGGCAGAGATTTATTAGCCTCTCAAGATGGCACCGAAGATTTATCCTGTTTGCCCTCACTGCAGCTCAGTGATATTGCTCTCAAGGCCAAGCACACTGTTTTGGAGCACACTGGCCTTTGCAACACACCTGTTCAGTGGAGAACTACATCTACCAATGGCATCACTTACTTTAGAGCCATCAGCACATTGCCCACCCTCTCCGATGATTTAAAGTTGTACTTGCCACTGTTCTGTGATTCACTGTTGTCATTGGGTACTCGCGATCAATCCATGGCTGAAATTGACGACGAAATCAGACTGTATACCGGCGGTCTCCGTGCCTCCACCACATTGACTACCAATCACTCTGACATTGATCACATCGAGGAAGGCATTGCATTGGTTGGCAACTGCCTGGACCGCAATATTGACAAAATGTACACTATTCTAGCCAAGCTGATCCATGAAACCAACTTTGATGATGTAGAGAGACTCAAGACATTGATCAATGGCAACGCCTCTTCCATGGTGAATTCGATTGCAGACTCTGGCCATGTCTTTGCCCGCACTTTTGCTGGATCCAGCCTTACCCCTGGCATGCATAATTCTGAACTCTTGGGTGGCATGACGCAAGTAAACTTCATGAGCCGTCTGGCTGCAGAGGAGGATGTATCTGATGTGGTTGACAAGTTGAAGCAAATCGCATCTACTGTGCTGACTCAATCATCGCTTCGTATTGCCATTACATCAGGTGAAGATGCAGTTGAGAGTAACACAAAGGCCTTGGTCAAATTCATTGAAGGACTACCTGCTGAGGGTAAATCAATTGCCAGTAGCGTCGATTCCGTAAGTTTACTTGGACATGTGCATTCATGTTTGCCGTTTACATAGTTACTAATACTGTTCAATTATAGAACGTTTTCAAGCCTCACTACAAAAAGACATTCTTCCCATTGCCATTCCAAGTGAACTTTTCTGCCAAGGTGCTCCGTGGTGTCCCTTACACGCATGCCGATGGCGCTAGTCTGCAAGTATTATCATCATTAATGACTAATCACTATCTTCATCGTGAGATAAGAGAGAAGAATGGTGCCTATGGTGGTGGCGCCCGTTATGCTGGATTGAATGGCATCTTTTCGTTCTACTCTTACAGAGATCCTCGCACATTAGAGACGTTAGATACCTACAATCAGTCAATCGACTGGGCTCAACAGCGCAAGTTTACGGATCAGGAGATCACTGAGTCCAAGTTATCCATCTTCCAAGGCATCGACTGTCCTCAAAGCGTATCTGAAGAAGGCATGCTTCAGTTTGTAAATGGCGTATCAGATGAAATGAGACAAATGTAAGTCCTGCAGGATGTATTTATAATGATAAATACTAAATAATTCCACAACAGGCGCCGTGAAGCACTTTTGAAGGTGACTCAAGATGACATTAAACGAGTTGCACATGAATATCTGGATGTGCCCTCCAAGCAGACCGAGTACTCTATTGCATTGCTGGGCGAGTCCAATGACAAGATCGCAGCCGAGCATGGTTGGACTATCAATCAGTGGGGAGAGGCAGTGAAAGATGTTTAATTTATTGTATATACACTACACTATAGAATTGTCAAATCAAGTAATAAAAAAGATAAGATAATGAAACAAGAAATCGATGACAAATGGCATATTCATTTTTGCGGAGAGCCCGGAAACAACACTGGGTGGACCAATGATCCCACTAGTCCCCCCACATTTCGTATTTCACGTGGGGAAATCTGAAAGTTACAACTCTAAAGATTTCACATGCACCACTTTTATATTATGCCATTTTATTCTGATCATTCTGTTCTCCGAGTTTCTCCACATACTCTTGTTAAACTATAAAAGACGTTCCATTCATCAATGAACGTCTGGTTTTTCTCTTGTTTTCTTCTCTCTACATATTTGTAAAACACTCAGCAAAAATGACTATTGATCACGAACAACAAGCTTTCCTCGATGAGGTTGAAAAGGTCAAGCAATGGTGGGCCTCTCCTCGTTTTGAAAACATCAAGCGTCCTTACACTGCTGAGGCCATTGTCTCCAAGCGTGGTTATTTCCCTGTTCAATACCGCTCTGACGTCCAAGCCAAGAAGGTCTGGAAGCTCTTGCAAAACCACAAGGCCAATGGTACCGCCTCTCACACCTTTGGTGCTCTTGATCCCGTTCAAGTAACTCAAATGGCTCCTCATCTCGAGACCGTCTACGTTTCTGGATGGCAATGTTCTTCCACTGCCTCCAGCTCCAATGAGCCTGGACCTGATCTTGCTGATTATCCCATGGACACTGTCCCCAACAAGGTCGAGCATCTCTTCTTTGCCCAACTCTTCCACGACCGCAAGCAACGTGAAGCCCGTCTTGCCATGACCCCCGAGGAGCGTGCCAAAACTCCTGCTATTGACTACCTGAGACCCATTATCGCTGATGGTGACACTGGTCATGGTGGTATCACTGCTGTCATGAAGCTCGCCAAGATGTTTGTTGAGCGTGGTGCTGCTGGTATGCATGGTAAGTAGATTTCCCACCCAGAAAAAATCTTAAAATAAGGCACGTATTTGGTAACCAAACAAATTACTTAAATGTTTTATAAACTCTAGTTGAAGATCAAGCTCCTGGTACCAAGAAGTGTGGCCACATGGCTGGTAAGGTCTTGGTCCCCATTGGAGAGCACATCAACCGTTTGGTCGCTATCCGTGTTCAATATGATATTATGGGTGTTGAGAACTTGATCGTTGCTCGTTCTGATGCTGAGGCTGCCACTCTCTTGAGCTCCAATATTGATCCCCGTGATCACGAATTCGTCGTTGGTACCACCAACCCTGATATTGGCGCTTTGGCTGAACTCATGAACGAAGCTGAACAAGCTGGTAAGAACGGCGCTGCCCTTCAAGCTGTCGAAGATGAATGGATCGCTAAGGCTGGTCTTAAGCGTTATGGTGCTGCCGTTGCTGATGAGCTCATCAAGCAAGGTAAGCCTGATGCCGCCAAGGAGTTCCTTAACAAGATCCACTACAAGTCCAACAAGCAAGCTCGCGCCATTGCAAAGGAATACGGTGTCGAGATCTTCTGGGATTGGGATTTGCCCCGTGTCCGTGAGGGTTACTACCGTTATGAAGGTGGAACTGAAGCTGCTACCTCTCGTGCTGTTGCTTTTGCTCCTTATGCTGACATGTTGTGGATGGAGACCAAGAAGCCCATCCTCTCTCAAGCCAAGCAATTCTCTGAAGGTGTCTTGTCTGTTTACCCCAAGGTTCTCTTATGTTACAACTTGTCTCCTTCTTTCAACTGGGATGCTGCTGGCTTAGATGATAACAATATGAAGTCTTACATTCACGATTTGGGTAAGCTTGGTTTCGCTTGGCAATTCATCACTTTGGGTGGTCTTCATGCCAATGCTTTGGCTTCTTCCACCTTTGCCAAGGCCTACAAGGAAGATGGTATGCTCGGTTATGTCAGCCAAGTTCAACGTAAGGAACGTGAACACGGTGTTGATGTTCTCCAACATCAAAAGTGGTCTGGTGCTACTTATGTTGATGAGCTTATCAAGGTCGTTACTGGTGGTGTTGCTGCTACTGCTGCTATGGGTAAGGGTGTTACTGAAGATCAATTCAAGGCTTAAATATACTCTTTTCTCATATATAAAAAATAACTGTATTATACTCAATAAAATGTACATCATTTGAATCATATTTGTGTTTGTGAATGACAATCGCCTATTCGTTTTGGAGATCTTTTTAGCAAGCCAAAATGCGGGGTGGATTTCCCCACATTTACGTGCGGATAAAGGTTATGGCAAGTGGAAACACACAGGCCCAATTTAGAAGGGGTCGTTAATTTTTGCTTCATCTTGAAGTGTGTCGCTCCCCCCCCCCCTATTTTCTTTTGGTTCCATATATTCGTGTGAAAATTGAAGCAATTGGACAATCTGATCTCATATGAAAACATCTCAGGTTACACCCAAACTCAAAATGTAGGGTTGGTTGATAAAAAAGCAGCGCTTTCCATTCTTGATGTAACTAGATAACGATGTCCTTTTATAGTAAAGAAGATGGGCTGTTGTTTGTAATGCGATTTGGCAAAATTGTGTGTGGTCAAACGAGTTGAGAGTATATATGAGTCATCGATAATAGTCATCAATGTCCCATGTTGCCATGATATAAGGTTTCTTGGGGAAAGGCATTTATCCGTGATGGCTACTATATGATGGGGTTGGGGTGATTCTGCTTGGATGCAAAAAAAGAGAGAAATGGTATTATCAGATAGAGGCTATATCGCAACTCACTTAATGTTCCTTTTTTGACATATCCCACTAACTGGGAAACTCTTAAACGACGCTTTATTACCAAAACAGGTATCAATTTGTGTACCTGAAGGATTGCAGCTGCAAAAATCATGCTGGATAAAATGCTTGGGTTCATGCAAAAGCGCAATTAAATGCAGGATCAGTACAGTGTGTTGATCTGCTTGACCTTTGGTCTCAATATTCCGCATCATTCGTCTAGTTGAATAGCAGAAATATGGCATGTATTCATTAACTCTTTCAAAAAATCTCCTTTATTCGTAATAAACTTTCCGATGTTTGCTGAATATACCTTGGATGTATTATCAGATTTGTAATTAGCTTGATCAAGATCTGATGTTGGCGATAGCGAGCTTATAAATTGTCAATCTTTACCCGTACAGCTTGTCCTGAGCATGAACAAGCGAGATTCATGCAGACACAATAGTCTGCCCCCCCCCCCCCTACGTATCACCATATTAAAGATTCAATAAGCGTACCACAGATAAGCATCATTATTGCCAACTCATTCCGTGCTTGTACCTGATCGGTTCCTGTTATCAACTCTTGTAAGGCACAAAATGAGGCTATAATATTCAAGTTGCTTCATTCTAAGTTTTATTTAACATACACAGCATTAGATACAAAATGAATAGCTACTTGAATATAACAACAGATGCATATATAGACTAGAAGGGGGATATGAATACAAAAGAAAGCACGGTAAACGAAGCCCATCCAGGAGGCTGTGCCGATGGATATGTCCACAGGAAAATAGACAAAGTTGTACATGGCTGAATTCAATCGCTCAATACCTTCGTATATCCTCCGAATTAAATATTCTGCCCAAATAAACACTCTCTGAACAAAAGCTCTTTTAGGCCCAATGAATCCATCAATAATAGTAGCGAATCTGACAACGATGAGGTGCCTTCTCAGTTGATAAACTCTCCTAGGAGCATTAATTATATAGCGCGCAAAGGCAAGCAAAGGCTCGATGTACTTTGCGAAAATCCAGATAATAGGAGCTCTGATAATACGTTGATATATCGAATAGACAGCTCTGACAGTGGCTTGAAACGTTGTAGCAATTACCTTAGAGATATAAGTATACAGAACCTTCAAAAGGTAATGAAAGGCAGAATAAAGAGCCCTCAGTATAAACCAGCCAAACGGAACGATGGTGTTGGCACCGATGCCTCTTGCATTTTGATAGAAACTGTCAAAATAGCCAGTTGCAAGTGGTACGAAAGCACATATAGCCGTGTCAACATTTTGGTAGAGCTGTCCAGGGAAGTTTTGCATAAATTGTATACAAGCTTTGGCAGTTTCATAGATATAGACAGCAGGAACCATGATGATACAGTGGTAAATTTGATATAAACGCCCTACAAGAAATCCACCGGCAGGGGCAACAGGAAGAGTAGGAATAGCAGAGACGCTAAAGGCATCTCTCGCAGGACTATAGTATCGTTGAGAAAGGTTGCCTAAAAAGAGGAGAATGGGAGCAGTGGCATTGCAGGTGGTCATTATAGGAACAGCAACAGTGTAGTAACAGACTTGGTAGCATAGCCATATAACTGGCCAAAGAAGCATCAGCGTCAGACGCACGGGAAAAAGGACAGGGGCCACCAAAGGGCCAATATGGTCATTCTCTGGAATTTGATTGCGTTGATTGATATTATTCAAGCAATTTGGAGGATATAGTATGTGACAAATGAGTTCTCTGTAAGTTTGATAGTAAGCTGCGTCACAAATAGGGCACGCCATCACTTCTGCAATCAAAATGTTAGTGTCATTGATTTGTAACAAGTGCCAATACGGATACTTACTCCAGCGAACCCCTCTATTTATAACAAAAAATTCTTCGTTGTTGGCAGGGACAGTGTCACCCATGAGTGATATGTATTTTCTATGTATAAAATTGCGAACCCTTTTGAAATTTAAGATGTCTTGGTATTTATAGTCAGTTTGAGGCAGCTCGATTAATGTAAATAGTCGTTTATAGCTTTTATTATCCAGCATCAAGATTAGTGTAATCAATCAGGAGTAGAACAATCGTCTTCATTGTTTTTAACTGGCTAAATCGAATTTCTTTGTCTCAAGAACAACACACGGTATTATGCCTTCTATAGTATCAATAGCAGATAAAAGCAACGATCATTCTTCTATTTGCTGCCTTATATGTGCACATTAGCCATATAAACATTGCTCCGTTTTAGCAGTGTAGTATAAGAGATGTTGAACCTTGTCCTCCTTTCAAGTACTTGTAAAAGGGAATGCCTCTATCAGTGTTAGCGAGCAACCTTATATTCTCATTAAAGATATACGTATCTAAATTATAGAGCACTATTATTTTGCGCCAATCCGTCTCTGTTATGCTTGAAATCTTTGCTGATGACAATGCACTTGATTTTGCAGCCTTTGAGAGTATTTCAAGTTAAAAAAAAGACAATGGGGCTATTCCCAGCTAATGACAGCTCCAGAATGGATACAATTTACTGCTATTTCACTTCTTGACAGATCTTTATCACATGTGAATCCTTCGTCACCAGCCTACTACTGCCGATTTACCTTTTCTAAGATGCTCCACGTTTGCATCAATGGAAACAATCCATATACGAGCAAACGCCCTACTGACATTGCCTCTTACTCCACAAAAGTGTGCAAAACACAGCATAATATGGACGTATTTGAACTGTGATTTTTCGTGTTAGAAGAAGAACCCTGATTGTTGACTGATATATAATCACTAATCATATGAGTGTTTATGCTTCAGATTGTTCTCTACCTTCGCTTCGCTTCGGTGAGAATCAACCTGCACAGCGACAGCTCGAGCTACCGGTTGCCCTTGCGTATCTTATCATAATACTACTATGTTCAAGCTAACCCTCTACTTGCATATAAAAACCCTTCATATTATGTGTGGATCTGATTCTTATGTGATGCTTTACATCCATATACACCTAGCTACTTCATATACGAGCAAGTAGAATACAGGTATTTCCATTTCTTAGTCCTCAGTGCCCCTAATACAGCAAAATATGAGTGTATTTGAGCTGCTTTTTCTCGCGTTCAAAGCCGTTTTAGATTGTCAGAATAGCACCAAATAGTTGCTCTCATCTAAGAATTACTTTCTGACACCTTTGCTCAATTTTTTGGGGACCAAAAAAACATGGCCAAAAAGCATGAGGCACCCCCTCATGGTTTTCATCGAAAATCAAACGATCGCATTTTTCACCTTGATAATGAAGACTTTTACTGTGGTATATCCTGAATCAAAACGTTTCTATCGATCCAAAGCAACCTCTGAAATCATCTTTGTGGGATTTTGATATGTAAAATTTCGGCATTTTGCCAGAAACCTCTTTTCATATTTTCATAAATCATTCGATAAGTTTATTCAAAACATCTATATTACTTAGTACCATTGGATGCGCCTTGAAAAGTACTCCAAGAAAGCTTAAGGAAGTATTGGATGATCATCACAATTTTTATAGTCGAATAGTGTAAAATAGATTGAGCAAGTCGCAAATTGTTTAGAAATTAACAAATAAAGGGCAGAAATGGTATTCGAAATTTAAATTATTTTGGCTGCCAAAATGACGTTCTGGGTGAAAGCAATCAATGATTTAGCCGCTAATGAGAAGGGAATTAAGGACAAAAGAAGCGCTACCGCTTAGCAGAGGGCATTATTTTTGATAATGTTATGCATTTTTATATCCGAGAGATTTTATTGTTGCGAAAAAGACGTCAGCATGGGGGGGGGGCTATTGCGATATGCACATAACTCTTGTTTGTATCTGAATTCAATGGACGGTTGTCATCAACTCGAATAGTCGTAGAGAAATGGTCAGATACTATGATGCTGCCAACATGATTGCGCACTAATAATTATTTTGTATTATCAGAGGTATCAATTGCCACCAAATTGTAGCTGCAATAAATAAGTAGATGTGTCTAGATTTTTCAAATCACTGTCAAAATATGCCTTTTCTGTACAATCGACATCTATGTCATTGGTAACAGATTGTATCGTCATATGATCAATTCAAAAGTCTTTTTGAGACTCTCATCATAATTGCCATATAGCGCTAATTTACATTTATATGGTGTAATCCCTGATTGACATCATATGAACCTGTCTTGAAGTAGTACGAACAGTTTAAGGTATTGAAGATCATGATTTATTACTTTATACAGATTAGTCATATACACACCAATGAAGTAATTTTAATTTATTTGGAGTCGATTATGAATGAATGATTGAAAATGTTTAGAGAATAATATGAATACAATATTTATATAAAGATTAACTATGTTACAAGGGGATACATTGCTTGGCAGCAGCAGCAGTGCTACTGGAGGGATGAACCCAAGAGTTGATATTGACATACATGGTATAAATCATGATACCCCAGCCCCAGATGACAAGGACGATGTCAAAGAATTTGGCCTTCTTGCTCTTGGTGACCTTGTAATGAAACATACCAGGGAAGATGAAGCACAAAGGCATGCATGCAATAGAACCAACGAGAGCAACAAATTTATCAAGGCCACCAGAACCAACGCCAAAGCTAACAGCAGCACAAACAATAGGGATAATTGATCTTGTCAAGTTCTTGAGCCACTTGTAACGCAAACTAATGCGGCCGCTCTTGTGGGTGCCAAAGATGCCTCTTTCAATGATAGTCAAGGGAGGATACAGCATGAAGGGAGAGGTCAGGATCATGGCAATAGAGTATAAAAGCTGGACAGTGACAGAGAGAGGCTCGCGAGGCATGTTTGCGACTACACTAGCTTGAGTGTTCTCGCCATAAGCAATGTAACCAATGGTACCAATAAATATAAAGATGGCAGTACAAATGGCCATGCCCATATTGAGGACTCGACCAAACTTTTGAGGTTCTTTCATGCCTTCGACAATAGGAACAACCATGCCGATACCTTTAAAATACAGAAAATCAATACACATCATTGAAGAAAATTGAGAAATAATTATACCTTCAAATGAGAAAACGGCAGTTCCAATCATCAAAGCAAAGTCTGATGGATTGATAAGCTTAATACCAGGGCCGGCTCCACCATTATGTTTGATTTCGCTGGAGGTATAGTAAACAACACAAATAAGACCAAACAAGATGAACGTATCAGCAATGATAGCCAAATATGAAAGTTTTGCGATTTTTCTAACCCAAGTAATTGGAATGATGGCAACCAAGACAATCCAAATGTAATACTTGGGTTCAAGAGCAGATGAACAGTTTGATAATGTGTCTGCGACAAGGCCAATATTCTCAGAGATAAAAATTAGATATGAAGCTACAAATCCCATTTGAGAGAGACACAAGAAGAACTGAATGATGTAACGAAGCCAATTGCCATACAGTGCTCTAGCCACATCGCCATAAGATCCACCTACGGCTTGTTGCGCTTTTACAAGGATTTGGAATGCCGCCAGACAAATGGAGGCAATGAACACCATGAGACAGATGGAAAATACAAGTCCACCCGAGACAAATCTAATGCAGAGTTAGTACGAGCTGAAATCATCATTTGAATGCTACGATTTACGTACGACCCAGGCAAGAAGATGACACCAGTGCCAACAAATGCCTTCAAGAGCATGAACAGAGCTTTACCAGGTGAAGCAGTCCCTTCAGGTACATGCTCAATCTGCACCTCTTCTATGCTGCTACTGCTTGTTGCTTTCTCATTGTCATATAGAACCTGTGAATTTCTCCGGCTTCCATAGTAACTGCCATCTTCTTGATGTGGAACAACGACTTCTTTGCTGGTTTGTTGCATTGAGGCTGGTGCAATCATACTGAACTCACTTTTTTGATTCACAGCAGGTGGACGATGACTTGAAGCAGGATTTGACATTATGAATGAAAAAGTTTAAAGTAAAAGAGAAAGGATCCGAACAATGACATCAAAACACTTCTGTTTGTTCTCCTTTATATGTTTTTTTTTTCAGTCTAAAATTAGTTTCTGTCTGCGTTATCTGTTTGTTTTTTTGTGGGGTCTCATTATCTCCACACTTACATATACGACATTGGGTGAACGATGCCTCACCAAGTCCGAGAAGTCCGCCTTGCTTCTTGAAAGGATCGTGTGGTACAGGCTGCTGTGCTTGTTTTGCGTGAGAAAAAAGTGTAACAATTTGATCTAAAGTTCACCGTAATGGAACGGGAAGAAACAAACTGAAGGGTCACTGAGTATTAATGTTCGTTTCATGGCAGGTCCTTTACCAACACAATACTGTTATATAATGCTTAAAGCCATGACATTCAACACGTTTGTTTGTAGATCATTTTCTGTATATATATATATATATAGAGTGAAAATCCCAAAAGACCAAGAATTTTCCTTATAAACCTTGTTTCCGTATACTCTTTGATTTTAACCAGTCAGTTCCCATCTTGTCACATGAAATCAAACATGGCGGTTTATTTAGAGAGACTCCCTGCATTTAAATTGATACGCTTCAGAGGATAAGCATAATAAAAGGCTCTAAACTGAGAATTCTTCCATACTTGTCCATTAAACACAAGCTGACATACATGACCTTGTTTGTATCATGTTCTGATTTAAATGACATATACATTAGATACAACTTGGAAGCCATGGTGCCTCATTGTCGCAATCTAAATTCTAATATGCAAATATCAATTTTGGTGACATTAATTTACATCTGCTAGAAATCCTGGTAAGTTCCTTTCAGAGACAACAGCGGTTAAAATGATGCTCCATTCAATTTATTGGTTAATGACCAGTTTTGATCGTTTCTAAGGTTAACCTCTTTAAGAATTCAGAAGAAAAATGCCTTGTCTAGATGCACATTAATCTTTTGCTATCACACATGTATCCTATGGAACTATATATATATATATATTTGCCCGGTACATTAATTAAACAGGCTATCGTGCATGGATGATAAGATACCATCAGCAAGATAAACGAGATAGAGTAACCTTATTTTTTGGTACTAAAATGTACAGGTTTGGAGGTGTTCCTAGCCATCTTGTAGTGATGTAAGCTTGGCTTTTCTTTTGATTGTAACAACGGATAATCTAAAGTAAATGATAGCAAATTAAGAATCCATATTGTGTCTTTGGCCGCAAGGAAAGATATGATGCTTTCAAACAAGCACTTGCGACCGAAAGTACATCCTCAACTGGAAAGATTTCTCAAGATGACATGTTACATTCTACAAGTAACCTGGAGTTACATTTTCTGGTTATTTTAGATGCCTGACAAATCGCCACCAACAGAGATGCTCTTCTAATTAGACAAGCTACAAACTATGAGGTTATCATAAGCACTAAAATCTACATTTTAGCCTACTTGCTATAGTGATTTCACATCCTGTGAAATTAGTAGAAAAGCGCTTAAAACCTGAATGACATTTGCTCCAATGGGACCTCACAAATGGGATCAACGGCCGATGCTCCGAGTTTGTACCTATTCTTTAAAGGCCTTTTGCATATTTGCTGCAATCAGCTTCATCTAATGCTTTGTCTGTGTTTAACACATATGATACATATAACAGTGCTGGCATCATACTATTTGAGTCTGATCCATGTCAATACACAAAAGCAACGCTATATCTCGACGGCTAAGGCTATATCCGATGCTCGGGAATATTTACCCCGTTATAGAAGCGCAATCTTCGATTAGATCAGAGAGCATATATATATCTTCAATCAGGGCAGCTTTGGAAATAGAACCAATGTACAGAAATTTGTTTATTACAAGACAATCCCGTGATCACCAAAGCGCATTCCTCCAGTTAAAGTGATTCCCTTGCATTCGCGACAGAACATATTGATGCTATGCACATGTTTAGTTGTGGTTCTGATTCTCTTTTATTCTTCCTCGCTCACTCGTTCTAAATAATGATTAGGTGTAATTGTGAGTTCTGATCGTTGTATCGGTGTAAAGAGTAGTCAGATACTGAAGCCAATATAATTTGCATGTATCTCATCAAAGATTGTGTACGGCATAACGACATCGGTCTCCCGCTGATTTCCTATCGGGTTCCAATTGTCTGAGATGTTAGTAATGTAATGAACAGTAAAACTCTTGACAAAACTTAGTCGCTGAGTCAATGGAATAAGAACCTGTGGATACACAGCACAACCATTAATATCGAAAGAGACTAATTGCAATGTTTCGATTGATGCCGTGATTGATACTGGCAGTTTGCCGAAAAATAATGCTCAAAGCACAGTATCTTTGATTCCAGGGGGTGCTGCTGAGCATGTGTTTCAGTGATTCGTTGTAGATTTCAAATTTACGATTTCCGTGGCTGTGTGACATACTCCAATATGCCCTCAAATGTATCTGATTAAGTTCTTTTATTTTGATAATAAAGAATGTATGTTAAATAAATAACTGAATATATAAGAAAATTAGCACATGGATAACATAAGAAATATACATGATATATCGGGAAACATAAGTAGTAGGCGTCAAATTAGTTTAGACATGAACTTTGAATACAGTGGGTTCAGATGCTGGTGTATGATCAGAAGTGCTCAATCTTGCGGAAGCATCATCCGATGTACTTTGTCGACTTTGGATGGAATCCAAGGTAATGATGGACTCCTTCTTCTCAGCTTTATGACGATTGGCAGGGTTAGGATCTGCTGGCTTGGGAACACCCATCTCCTCAGCCTTTGTAATAGCCAGGTTGACTCGCATAGCCAATCTATACTCAAAATCAAATTTGTTGAATCGAAGAGCTGATTCCCAGAAGGATCTACTGCGGGTCTTGTTGTCCATACCCCAGGCTGTGACACCGGCTTCCCAATAAGCAAAGGGAACAATCCACTTGTCCACTTCGATTTGTTCCTTGTGATCAATGATCCAATTCAAGTGAATGATAGACTCTTTGAATCGACCCATCGCGTTAAAGAGAGATGCCTTGATGAGCAGTAAAGCGCCGCGTTGGTCAAAGTACTTTGGTGCAGGTGTTTCTGGTAATAGCTCTCTAGTGCGAATGCCGAATTCGGTCTTCTCTGCCTCCATGATAGCGTCTAATGCATGATCCACAGTGTCTAATGATCCTTCCAGCAGTTCAGTGTTCATGAAATCGAACCCAGTAAATAAGCACAAGTACTCCAATGCACACAATGCCATATCCATGTCCTGATAACCACACTCTTGGAACGCCGTAACCTTACGCAGCACGTATTTCTCTGTGAGGGCTGTACTATGTGTCTTGGATCCCACCAAATCGGGCACTTCAGCAAAAGCGAGGATTGCTTCAGTGCGTTGACCCATCATATCCAAGCAAGCACCTGTCAAGTAACGGAAGATAGCAGGAGACCAGTATTTCTCCTTGTAAAGCATATCAAATACTTTGGCAGCTTCCTCCCAATTGTGTTCCATCATGTAGTTGTAACCAATTTCGTAACTGCAGGTGTGTAGAACTTCAACTTCGGCCCATTCGCTCTTACTGATCTCGATGGCGTAAGTAAATGATTGCGTAGAGAGTGTCAGATTACGGGCAAGACGAGATGTGCGGCCAGCAAAGTAGAGAAAGAAAGCGGAATTAGGGTATGTTCTTTGAGCATCGAGCAATGTCTAGGTTGAAGGTGAGTACAGCTGAACGTGCAGGTGTATCCCTTGATGTCTTACCTCAATAGCGGGTTGAGTATATTCGTTGGACAAAATTTGAGGGCATAGCGATGTGAGCACTGTATAGTAAGCCAATAACCTGGTGGTACAACATGTAAGTAAAAGAATAGAATAGGGTGCATACTGAATACTCACATGAGAGATGCCATAGGAGAGCGGATTCGTCTCTCCTCCACACACAACTTGAGCAAGGCAAAACCGAGATGCTTGTCCGCCTTCCAGCCGAAAGCAGATACGATACGAAGCACTTTTTGAGGCAGAGTGGACAAGACAAGGTGCACAGCCCCGATACTAATAGCCATCATGAGTAAATATTTCTCTTTCCCTACACACCTAGCAGTTAAAACTTACCCAAACTGAATACCAGAAATCGTATCTCTATCTACAAAATCATGATAGATTTGACCCATACGCTTGTACTCTTGCCACACCAAGCTGTAACTTGCATAAGCTATTAGCATATAAAGGTTAGTCCACTGATCAACGGGATTCAGGGCTAATGCTTACCTCTTCTTAGATTCATACCACACTTGATGTAGCCCATCACGTTTTCTTGCAACAGCTGCAAAATAGCGATTTGAAGGCAACACTCTGCCTTAGCCACATGGGCTCGCAACACGCCGTTTGGCACAAAAGTAACACCATCCTTCTGGATCGATTTCAATGTGGCTGGTTTAGGACTTGCGGGTAAACCACCTGATCCTCGTGCAAATTTGATGTAATTATAGTAAGAGCTCATTGCTTGGTATACGGAATTGCCGACCGTCTTTTTGGTGGCAGCATCGATCTGTGCATTGGCAATGCTGTAAGTGGTTGTCAACACATCGATAGCGTTCTTTGTCATGGATTCATCAGATGTCTATACAATAATGTGTGTCAGAGCCTTGCACAAAAAGAACACGTAAATAAACATGCAACAAATATATCATACCATAATAGCTATATTTACATTAAAATTAATACACATGCAATAATAACGAAAAGGCGTGCTCATTATCTACCTTTCAAAAACGCCATGGAACCGAGGCCTAACGCATGCAAAGGATCACTGCAACAGGAAACACCGTGGTGAGCATCTCGAGGGCAATCCAAGTCTCATAACTTACGTTTCAGCTTGCTTCTCAAACAGCTTTTTCGCCTTCATGAATCGATTGTTGAACAGGTGACGGATAGCGCGAAGCACAGGCTCATCTGTGTAGACAAAAAAAAAAAATCAGCACAAGAAAAGCTACCATGTAGACAAAAACATACCGGCTCTCTCTTGTTGTCTTGGCGATAGTGTGTTGGCCTTGATCTCCTTCATATCAATCTTGTTGAGTGCAATCAAGTTGGCGCTGTAAGTATCAATGTCACTGATATCTTCACTTGGACGTCCACCGAAATCGAACGTTTGTCTCTGAGGTGCAACACCAGGTGTAGGAGGCAGGATGTCCTGAACAATCTCTTCAAACGTGGAAGGCATATTGGGATCCTCCACAACCACCTTCTCTTCTTCTTGACTCACGTTTGTAGTGGACGTTGTAACAGAATTATTATCATCCACGCTGGATCTGCCTATACTGTGAAGTTCCTCCTCTTCCCCTTCCTCTCGCAGTCCTTGTTGTTCTCCCTCCTTTTGCTCCTCTGGCTTTTCGCCGTCATGCTTCTCCTGCTCAATAGGTTGTGCCCTTTCTTGATTTTGCTTGATAGTAGATTGTAGTGCGCTAATCACCAATCCCAATTCTTTGGGACCATCGCCTTCATCATCACTGGTATGTGTAGATGATTCTCCTTCACTAGAACCATCTTGCTTGTTGTCCTCTGTAGCTTCCAGTCTCTCTTCATCCACTTGCTCTGTTACTGCTTTTACCCCTTCATCCTGTTGGTGTGGTTGCTGTTGATGCTCCTCGTGAATATCAGCTTTGGATTCGGGTTTCGAAACCTCCAAGTCTTCAATCTGGGCTTCCAATGAAGTGGTAGCAGCGTCTTGTTCCTTCTCCTTTTGCTGTTGCATATCCACAGCGGGTTCAGAGGGATTTGTTGTAGCGTCAGTAGTCATTGGATGCGTTGTAGTAAAGCAAAAGAAAAAGGTGAATTTTAGCAGGAGAGATTTTTTGTTATATTATATTTAACTTTAAAAACGGCTGAAAAGGTTTGGATTGGTCCAGCTGCTTAGAAGGAATCAATATTGTGCAACAGATCACAAAAGTTATGTGATAATTGTTTGTGCATTCAATTTGGCTGCTTGCCTGCTATCATTGCTTTAGTCTTTTGCTATACTTGCTTCTGCGTAAATGTGAATAGATCTGCACATTTGAGTGTAATTCACTGCTTCAAGTCAGTCCTAAATGTGTGAACAAACATGCAGCGTAAATACTAGTGGCATCCGAAAACAGTAAATAATTTGTGCTACTTGATACCTTGATTAAGATCCGTTGTTAATGAGAAAACAAACTGTAATGCGTAAATGTAACATACAGGAGAGTGCATGATCAAAATTTCAACACAAGTGTACAAATGTAATGCAATCGCACTGATCCCTCAACCATGACTTTCTCTCTACCCCTTCAAATATTGTACTTTACGCAGAACAAGGCCATTCTACTTCGATGATCACCTTTCACTAGTGTCACACTAAACTCGATGTAGAGCTCTAAATTAACAAGCAACTGAACAAGTCTGCCTTGTGTGCATCGTACAACACATGCCAACCAGCATCACTGTTGCTGAATCAACGTACCTTTTTCGAAATGCAGTCGAGAGATACGAACAGTGATGGAAATTACAGACATTCTAATCAAGTTTTGTGATAATGAACTAGTATAATCTTTGTTGGATGAGAAGCTTTCTCGACTTGGTACAGTAGCTGCTGTTTTACGTGTTTTCGGCTGGGGTAAAAAAAAAAAAAAAAAATCTGACACTCCATCGCCTATCGTAGTCAATGATGAGACAACGCAACGACCTGTTCCTGAAGGATAACTATTCATGTATCTGAGACAAGGCTACATAGACTCACGACAAATTGAAAGATGGCAGCAGCATATGTTTGATGCTGGAGCTGCAACTAGGTAGGTACAATGGTATAAAGACGAATACTATTTTCCAGATAGGTCTACTACGCTTACATGTAGATCGTATTTCGCTACATAGACAGTGGCTATTACATTTAAATGTCATTAAGTGATGTTACTGCCATCAAAAGGTATGCCGCTGTCTTTGTCTTTGCTCGGAGTGGTTAACTGATACGGATGATGAAGATAATGCATGTTGAGCATTAGTGTAAGTGCGGTGATAAAGAAAGTTATAAGCTATCCTTTTCTTGGTGGCCCTGATGAGTATCAAAGGTTATTAGTAATATGCACTATCAAAATAAGTAGGCAGCACTTCCAAGGGGTCCACTGATGCCATTCAGAATGCACAAGGCTACTCTCAGCAGCATTGATGATCTAAAAATTAGAGCATCGATTGCTCAAATGTATTCTTTCCAATAATAACCATTGTTTTCAGTCCATAGTAAGTTTGTACAGAATCAAATGGCACCACATTTGATAGTTATCCCACAGCCTCTATTCAATCAAGCTTGTCTTTCAGATATTTTAAAGGGTTTCAAACGAAAGCATGTACTAGTATTAAGTCTAAACCAATTTACCTGATGTAGCAATATTCATTGCGTATACCCAAGAATTAACTATCGCTTAAGATCTTAAAGTTGCAGCATCAGTTTTCATGGATCTGCAGTACTTAATAGGCCATCCCCCGCAAAATTGTCAGAAAATGATTGCTCAAGGCTAGCTCTTGCTTTAGTCGCGCATATAAAACTTTTTTTATGCACTGCTATTACTCATGCTACCGCGCCATCAATTTATTTTATAAACTCTAGCACGATATAGACGGTTTCGTGGTGTTATAAAAAAAAAGCGCGTTTTTGCCACTGTAAACTCCAACGTGAGTGATTTATCAGAAATAAATTATTTATAAAAAAAAAAGAGTATGAAATTAATCAGGTAAAGAATATCGTTTATTACATTGAAAATAAGAGGGTTTATATACTATTCGAATTGAGGGATTTGATGTGAGGATAAGGTATTAGATGGGTTGATTTGGGTGATAGGATAATAGATACAATCTATTATTCTGAACATGCCATGATATGGATTGTAACTGAATCCTGTTTCATGTCAAAGTTTATGATCTGATGTGATCGGTGCTTGAACTGCTTGTTTCTACGCATTTGGAGATCCGGTTTAGAAATGATACATCAGTGAGGGTCAAACAATCGATTTTTGAAAAGAAGTATTTAGAATAACAAAATATAGACAGAAGAAATACAGTTAGAACTGAATATACTTATTAAGTTATTCCAAGATTGAATGCGGATTAAAACTAGTAGTGTAAATTTCGAAGGTATTGTTTACAGTTACTTGGCAGCGCTGCAGCAATAGGACCTTGATCTTGCTGAATGTGGAATAATTGTATTAGCCTTGTACCAGTTAACAAAGACGTTCTGTATAAAAGCTCATGGACCACCAGTCAGGAACAAACGGCAAAGAGGATCCAGGAGAGAATGCTTCTTCATAGTAGATTTGACGGCAGAGCATTTGTCAGAATTGAAACATGTACCAGAAGGGCTACAACTATCTATAAAGATTAAGGTATTCTTGATGGGTAGACATGTCTGTGTTGTGCAACAACATGGACAAGCTATGATAATTGAAGTGCATCTCAGCTATCTAATAAATGCTATGGTTTAGCAGATGTGTTGAGCGTTGTACAAGATAAATTGCTACTTTGGCATTCAGAACTTAGTATAAATAGAATAACTCTTGTCTTCATCAATAAATCTTTAGTTTTTGTGTCTGATCTTATTCAAATAAGTCTTTTCTTGTTTTTATAATATCGAACATTTTTTATAAGCAACAAATAATAATCCTTTTATTCTTTGTGCTTAACAGCGTCCAAACACTGTTCTTTTCTATCATACTGGTTTCGGTCATCAGACAACAATCTACTATTACGCCTTATTTTCAGATCAATCTTTGTCCAAATCTACCATTTTCAAGCACGAATAACTCATGCCACAAAGCGTTTTGGGCGCTTGGAATAGCGCCAAACGGTTCTTTTTGGCTACGCTTTACTGACTGATGCTTTATCTCAATTTTTTTTTGAGTCAGCAAATTCATAAAAATCCTCATTTTTACATGAGTATTAGTAAGGGGAAATTCTTTAAAATCAATCGATCGCGTTTTTCACCCCAAAAATGAAGACTTTTCCTATGATACATATTAGATCAAATTGACCGTAAAGATGGAATGCAACATTGAAAGCTCTTTCTATGAGGCTTGCATATGCTAAATCCTGACATATTCACAGAAAGCCTGTTTTCATATTTTTGCGAATTGCTTGTTATTTTCAGTTTAAGGACTGTATATAATTAGCATCATTCGATGCGCCTTTATTGACTCTTTATTGATGCATTAGACAGTAAGGTATGGTAACGACAGTTTTCATAGTCAAATTGAGCAAAAACGTTTAAAGAATGTGAAATCGAGTCAAATTTGAACACGAAAATACCCACTGCAGAAATTCAAATTAAAGTGCAGCAGTTACGGCTGCCACGGCCGAAGACTGAGGCCAAATCTACTGGGCGTGACGTCGGTTAGGGCGCCCTCTCAGTTTTCCATACCACCGTTTTTTTTTATCCTTTTTGCAAAACGCGTTTAGTATCAAACCATATTGGTTTTGGAACCTTTTTGATTGAAAATAACACTCTATCATCTGATAACACGAATTTGCACTGTCAAAAATATTTGATACTGCTTCTTTGAAATGGAATATAATAGGTAGTACCATTCGACAACGAGCACAGAAAGATGTAGAACAAGCAATAATCGAATTTGTTTATTAGGTTTCGATAATTTTTTTGCCTGCTTAACGTAAGTGCTGCTGCTATTACTTCTATGCTATCTCTGCTGTTTGCTTCTTTGGTTTATCATGTCTAGTGGTTGCTTCTTTGGTCTCTATCTCTGGCGGTTACTTCGTTAATCTTTGTCTGGTCTCTAGTGTCACTCGCTCTTCAGTTTTTCTACGCTGCTGGTATTTCTGATGGTATTGCTGCTGCTAGTCTGGTCTATTCTGGTGTACTATCAGTGGTATTTGCTCGTTCCCTGGTGTATCTATGGTGATTGCCTATTCTCTGGTCTATTCGTGGCTATGGTAAGTGGTAAGTATCTTTTTTCTTCTGGTCGCAATGATATAAAGCTTCTCTGGACGCTTTTATTGTTGTTTCCTTTCTCATGATAATGCATTCATGAGGTTTTCTTTGTTGTGCTTTCTTTTTCTTTTGTTGGCTGTGATATGATCAGTTCAACGGATGCTTGCAATGTTGTTTCTTTGTATGTACGAACAACAAGCACGATGTGCTGCTATATACCTGTATTGCCTTGGTAGTACTACTTTGTTATATGGCCGTGGACTGTTGTTTGTGTTGCCTCTGTCGCTTCACATGAAACAACATTAGTCATTATGTTGTATTGCACACTTATAATACTGCTGTTGCTTCTGCAATTGTGCGTGTTTGTGTTGCTTTACATCCGACTATTACCATACACGTTGCTCATGTATGCATTTTTGTTGTTGCAACAACTGCGAGCTGTCCTGAACATCTTTGATGCTGTGCTTGTTGTTATGCTCTTCTTTTGACTCACTTTTTTTGTGTGAGTGTTTCTTTTTTTTTGCCTACATACTACTACTATACTCCTATAGTATTGTAGCATGTTCTTTCCTTCTTTTCCTTTTTTCTTTTATTATGTTTCTTTGAAGCATACCTCTTTATTACGTTGTGGTGGATGTGCCTATCGCTGAAGCTCAACAAGAACTTATCCGAGACTAGGAGATGGATAGGCTGCCTCCACTTGGTTATCACTACTTACTTTAGTGATGATTGAGAGTCTCAACGCCAGAATCTAAAGCTAGGTGGTGTAAGTAAGGCATGCTCTAGCACCTGAGGGAAATTTGATGATAGTAACAGCTATATTGCTATATATAGCGGAGCTTAAAATTTTGCCTCACATCAAAACAGGGGGAAACCCTCGCAAATTTTTTTTTAGGTCAGCGGAGTTTTCAAGCGATTTGATTGGCTCTGGAGTTGAAAGAGAAAAGGTCTACAACTAGTTGATTTTCTGTTGATATGCCATATAATATGATATTATCTTTTGTAAAAATAAGCGTGTAATTAAATGGAAACAATTTAAGTCTTTATTTATAACCAAATTAAAATGCAATCATTTGTTTAATGAAATAGTCACCCAAATGCAACTTGATTGAAAACCGGAATGCATCAAATATCATTCATTCAAATTCATGCTATTTGAACGTACCAATAAAGCGCTCAAATGTGCATCAAAACACCAATTAAACATGTGGAATTTGAGGCTTTACAGACTAAAATTCACGGAAAAAAAAGAATAAAAAAACAGTAATGTCAACTTGATAAAGGTATATTTTATTATCAAACTGACAGGTGTAAAGTAAACTGAAGTCTCTCTACTGGCCAGGTAGATGATCCTTCTTATATACTATAACAATGGATAAAAGTTCTATTAATTAGATTGACAAATAAGTCAACTCAGATCAACTAATGTCTAATCATGCTAAAAGACAACTCCAGCAAGCTAATCATGATTTAGCTTTTGCCTGGATGAATAATTAGACTCTCATCCAAAGTACCCTGATCTATCCTTTCTATAAGGATAATTAATATCGATCTAGTAGCATGTATCCGATAGGTACAGTCTTCTTAGTCTATATTAATAGTACATATCTGAGTGTATATCGCTAAGCATACATCTTTAGCATGTATCTGGATATATGGCATGTCTATAGCATATCGTATGCATGTCTATAGCATGTCTCATATATAGTACAAGTCTGTAGTACATAAAGTATCTGTAGCTAGTATCACGGATATAAGCATGTGTCTTATAGCGTGGATCATAAAGTGCACATCTGAAGCAACAAGCTCATATTGCATTAATCTTGGTGCCTATCCAGATATGGTAAACATCCGTAGTCAATGTCGGAATACAAGTATAAGTCTATAGCGCCATCCATGTCCGTGGTGCCATCTATAGCCTATATCTTATATAGTATGAATCTTATAGTACTAGCGTATCTGAAGTCCATATCTTCTTATAGTATAAATCGATATCGTACATCTAATCCAGTGTACATACAGTTTATATTTAAATCTGGTAACTGGATGAACTGTCGGAATGCAGATCATAGTGGATGTATTCCACAGTCAGTGCTCTTGCATTGATTACCACCATTCTACGTCAAACATCAACAACATTTACCAGATACTGCAATAACAGCACCTATTCCTCTCTATCATCACTAATCCTATAAGCTAGTTGCAAATGTATAAATATTCCTCTTTTTTTTTTACTTAATTCCAGGATCTTCGGTTCATTTTACATACAATAAAATACAGTTGATTTCTATTGTATTTTACTATTTTTTAGTTTTATATTTTTTGTGAAATCCATTAAACCTAATTGCACTGCAGCCGTTAGAGATGTTACTTTTGAGAGGAAATATGCATAGCTTAAATTACAGATCCTATTGTTATTGTCGTGCCAGAAGGGCTGCAAGTGTCTATAAAGATTAAGGTATTCTTGATATACGATGGGTACTGTAGATATGTCTGTGTTATGCAACAACATGGAAAAGTTATGATAATTGAAGTGCATCTCAGCTATCTAATAAATGCTATGGTTTAGCAGATGTGATGAGCGTTGTACAAGATAAATTGCTCCTTTGGCATCCAAAATTTAGTATAAATAGGATAACTCTTGTCTTCATCAATAAATATTTAGTTTTTGTGTCTAATCTTAATCAAATACGTCTTTTCTTGCTTTCGTAATGCCAAACATTTTTTTATAAACTACAAATTATAATCCCTTTATTCTTTGTGCTTAACAGTTTTCAAACAAAGCAAGCTACAGCTTTCTCGTCTTAAAAGCAAGATTTTTCAACATGTCAAGGAACTATTGATAACCTGAAACCAGCAAGTTAATATGGCCCTTTTCGTACGCTCCAATTTTTAAAATGCTTGGTCAAAAGCAGACTTGTGTGGTGTACACATGCGGAAGGTCAACTGAGATTCAATATCTAATATTCTGAATGATGATCCATGGGATTCCGAAATTTATCGACCTTAAAATTACGCGTTTCTTGATACTTAACGCCCCTTCAAACTTATATGAAACTTGTAGAGAATTCAAAGGAGAATACAACGGTATCCATATCAATTTTATGGTGTACATTGTTCACCTGATATTTGGTACGATTGTTTTTGCGATTTTTTGACTGTTTTCAGAAGATTAGTCAGTATCTGTCATCAAAACTTTTTTTAAGCATTACTAAATATTATAAACCAAAAAATTTCCTATCGAATGAGCTATCGCTTGAAGCTCTGGCACGACTCTATCATGAAATATTGAAAATCTTGTCCTGACCGAAAAATCGTCACCAGATTTTTTGCTTGCTATCACAGGCAGATTTTGATGATTTTGCATGATATCCTTTTTCGACCATATCTCGACAAATACTCACCAGATTTGCAAAAAACAAAGACCATTCAATAGCTGTACGTTATATTCATTATAATATAAGGGTTTTAAGTACCAGGTGTATGTCCCGTTCATACATTTGCTCAAAATCATATATTTTATGAGCTACAAGCAGGGGATATTTAATTATTTATTTATTTATCTATAATAACCATACGATTGTATAGAGAATTGAAAAAAACAGAAGCTATTATGTTTGAAGCTCTCGTTCACTTAGTAAAATTCAGAGATATAGCCCTTTGAAAATTGGTCATTTGAAACATTTTCCGTCGTTGCTCGTTCGCATCACCTTCAATTACCCCACATCAAAGATGTCCTAGTCAAAAAAAGTTTCTTCTATGACTTTCACTAGACATACAATCAACATTCATATAGTATTCCAATGAATTTTATTAGTAGCATCTGCAAATCATATTGGACCGTTTTACGGAGGATATTGTGCAAAAATAAGGACGGTAACCTGTGAGGAAAAAAATAAAGAAGCCTTGCTCCCTTTATGACAGTACTTTGAATGATCTGATGGTACATATTCGGTCCGAAGACTCTTACATCGACACTGAATCGGCCAGGTCCCTCTATAACTAATATCTATTAACTAGCAAATCATGCTGAGACCGTTGGCAGTGATAGTAGTTTATATTTGTTTTTGAGATTATCGATTTCACACACAACATTTAAATTGAGCAATTTAATGAAGAGTCTTGCTTTGCCACCTTCATTTGTATGCTGATAACATGTTGTAAGCACACTACCTATTGTATTCAGCAACCGGATTTACGTAGGCAACATAAAGCTTTTCTGTCTACAAATTGTTTTTGGCCTCAAGTGAATCTTATTGTGAGGTTTGGTATAAAAATCTTCCTTGTCTTGGTCCAATTGGCAAACAAAGCACCGTATAATCATGAAAGAACATAATCCCAGTCATCAAGTAGCTGGAATTTGCAGGAAAAAGACTTATGCATCCGTCAAAATCATCATTGCAAGCTGCCTGTTAGGTGTGATGGCGAATGTTTTATGGTGTCTCCTCCAAATTTTGGACAATGACCATTGACATGTTGTTGTCCAGTTTCTTGAACTTGATATCGAAGAGACTACGAAAACTAATCATTCACTGCAATTTCTAAGTATCAACAGGCTATCACTAAATGCCAAGACATCAAATAATAAACACAAGTGGCAGCTCTCAATAATAGTAGTATACGGTGAGTGGCCCCAAAAAGGTTGATGGTATACATCAGTTGTGAAGGACCTTTCTATACTATAATTCATAGCCATGTTGACGATTTACTTTGCTGTCTTCACCTCATTACAAAACAGACATGAATGTGAGACACAAAAATAACTGGAATGATGGAGGATTTCTTCAGAATCCAAATGAATACAATTTTATCAACGATTTTATTCCTTTGTAACCATTTTTTTTTTTTTTTTTTTTTTACAAATATCTGATACTGGGTAAGGCTACTATTTACAGTGCGAACAAAAGTTGCTTGATCAAGTCCATTTAGGCGATGTGAACTAATAAACAAAACAGTGAGAAGACATCATCGACTAAAGATAGCGCAGCTTACCAGATTTATCTTCTTCCATGAATTCGACATAGGGCTTTGAGCTCAGAATGCTTACATGTTCGGATGGTAAGGATACGAGAACAGCCTTGAATGCAGCACGGAATTCATAAGTGATCTTACCACCAGCAGACTGTACATCAGCTCTTGCTTCTTTATACGTTTTATCTGTCACTGGTGCTTTCAAGGCTATAATGTAATCAACATTGGTAGCTATAGATAGAGAGACATATTTAGTCAACCAGTATGTACACAAATCTTCAGCGAAGAACACTTACCAGAGATGAGCGCTACAAACAAAAATAATAAAAAGGTAGTAATTTTAAGCATAATTGTGGTATGAAGAAAGAGGATGAAAAAAAAAAAAAAAAAAAAGTGATACCAGAAAGCAAGCTTTTTCAAGAAAAGCTTGGTTGTGGTTGATTGGACAGGAATCACTTGCACCTGAATATAATCCACTTGGTCATTTTGTAATTCATGCAAATCCAACTGTGTGGATAGAACTTTATTAGTATTTACAATATTTGAGAGAAGAAGATAAGTTGTGATGAAGACAAAAAAAAAAAAGAAAGAGATTAGATGGCATCTTCCAAGATCATTCTAGGCGAGATATTCATTGCCATTAATTCTTGGAAAAGCAATTTAGCAGCATAGGGTATTTCCATAGTCTTCATGTACTTGGAACTCTTACAGTATTGGCACCAACCAGAGTAACCGATCAAACCACACTTGTCACAGATATGGACCTCAAAGGCATCTGAAGAGATCATGAGACGCTCAAGCAGTAGCATAGAAGCACCGTAACCGATCAAACAATCGCGCTCCATTTCACCAAGACGAAGACCACCATCTCTAGAACGACCTTCTGTGGGCTGACGAGTGAGAGTAGCACGAGGGCCTCTGCATTGGAGTGTGAGTCATTTAAACATAAATCAATTAATCGCGTATGCTATTTACCTTGCTCGAGCGTGCATTTTATCCATCACCATATGTTTCAACTTTTGGTAGTAGATGGGGCCAAAGAAAATATATGCAGACAATGGCTCACCGGTAATACCTGATGTCACATAGTCCTTACCAGAGTAATTGAAGCCATGATTGATCAAAATCTGACTCATGTCCTCCACCTTGGAGCCACCAAACGCAGTACCGTACTGTAGTGAACCATCCAACACACCTGCTTTACCAGCCAACAACTCAATCATCTTACCGACTGTCATACGAGATGGGAAACCATGAGGATTCATAATGATATCGGGACAGACACCCAGATCAGAGAAGGGCATATCTTCTTGTTGGACAATGATACCACATACACCCTTTTGACCGTGACGAGAAGAGAACTTGTCACCCAACTCTGGACGACGTGTTTGACGAATGTTGACCTTAATTAATGTTTGATCTGACTCTGTAGTGGTAAAGAGAACCTTATCGACGTAACCCGTTTGAGGCGACTTGTAACGCTGGGGCTGAGGTTTATAAGCAACACTTTGAGCAGCCCCAGGCACACCAGCATCGATGCCGCTGCTGACAGGTGTTTGTTTGTTAATGAAGACAGAGCCCATTTCCAGAGGTTCGCCCACACCGGCAATACCATCTTGCTCAATAGCATCGAAACTGTCATTCCACATGTCCGAGTCTCTAGCGGGAGGATCTGCCAAACGATCGTGTGTGCCATTAGGGTAGCGTTTGACCAGGTTGGCATATTTACGCATCACTTGACAACGACCAAAGCCTCTGTCCAGACCAGACTTGTTCAACACCAAAGCATCTTCAATATCGTAACCCGAGTAACTCATGACAGCCACAGTGGCATTTTGACCAGCAGGCAATTTATCGTAACCAATCAATTCGATGGTCTTTGTTTTGACCATGGGCTGCTGGGGATACACCATCAAGTAGATCAATGTCTCGATACGGTTCAACTGATTGTAGCCAATAGCACCAATAGCTTGCTTACCCATAGCACATTGATAGGTATTACGAGGCGACTGATTGTGATGGGGATAGGGAATGAGACCTGCGACGGCACCAAGAATAGTAAAAGGCTCAATTTCTAAATGGGTAGTTTGTGGTATAATATCCTTTTCATAAACTGCAATGTTGGAATCACTCTCTTCATTGACGTCCACATACTCTACGAGGCCCATCTTCAAAAAGTCGTCGAATGTCAGCTTCTCTGCAATCAAATCGTTGACATGTTGTTGAGTTACTGCTGGCTTTTGGCTCTCGACAATGATAAGAGGTCTACAAATACGGCCACCATCCGAAGACAAGTTGACGGTTCTTTGATGTGTATTGACAAACACAGACACAAATTCAGAGACACGGCCAGCACGGCGCAGACGACGAAAGCTGCCCACAAACTGTTGCACACGACGAGTGACACCCAAAATAACACCATTCATGAGCACAATAAAGGTGTTGGGCTGATAGAGTTCTGCACCAGTCAACAGATTGACGTCCTCGATACCCAGTGCGAATGCAATCTTACGAATAGGATCTTCTTCTTGATCGGTTGTAATATGTGTCATGAGAGCTAAATTCTTTACCAAACCACATGCTTCACCTTCAGGTGTATCAGACGGACACAACATACCCCACTGTGAAGGCTGCAGTGCTCTTGGGCCAGACACCTTTCTGGTCTTCTCGAATTGAGATGAGATACGAGTCATCATACCCAGAGCAGAGATATACGACAAACGAGACAGGACTTGTGTGATACCTGCACGGTCCATCTTGAAACGCTTCAATACCCAATTACCGGTGGAGATGGCACGAATGAACCCGCTGGTGATATGATCGCCATGCAACACCAACTGATTAAAGATATCAAACTCTTGTGTGCGGTTAGGTTTCTTGAGGACCTTGTCCGCATTCAGCTTGAGATCAGAGTTGAACTTTTTGAACAAATCTTCAAACAAAAGGGACAGCAATTGACCTGCCAATTCCAGACGCTTGTTACCCACATAATCACGATCATCTACTTGCACTTCATCGGTCATGGCAATCAAGACACGACGGATCATGACAGCAGCGTAAATACTCTTTTCTCGGAAATTGAGGTTCTCGACAGGCACATGGGCCAGAATGACAGTGGCAAGTACTTCCAATGCTTCTTCAGCCAGTGTTTTGCGCACAGTCGATAATTTACGGTTGACTTTGACTTTAGCACCAATATAATCCAAGGCTTGCATTTGAGTGAAAACACGCAAACGAGAGGATTCTTCAATGTTGATGGCAAACACATCGTTCAGGTCATGATCATTACCGCAGACCAATTGAGCGATCTCTCTATCTGACTGAACACCCAGTGCCTTGAGGAAGATGGCAACAGGAATGTCCTCTGCAATAGAGTTGTGCTTCAAGTAAATCTTGCCGTGCTTGACAAAGATGGCTGTCTTGGATTTACGTTCGTGGGTGGAAGATTGCACGTTGGCAATAATGTTGTTCTTTTTATCCACATCAACAATGATACGATTCTTGGAGAGCTGTTCCTGCACCAAAATGACCTTTTCTGTTCCCTTGACGACAAAGTAGCCTCCTGGATCAAGAGGGCATTCCTTCATACGGGCCAATTCTGCTTCGTTTTTGCCTGTCAATACACAGTGCGATGATCTCAACATGATGGGTAATCGACCAATCATGACATTCTTTCTCTTGACAATCTGTCTTCCACGGGTGTATTCGACATCAACGAAAATGTTGGCTGAGTAGGTCAAATCACGCAGACGACATTCGTGTGGTGTGTAGCTGCGGTTGGCGACATCTGCATCTGTACGTTCTGGACTGCCAACACGAATGCCTGTGTATCTAGTGGCAACAGGGTTAGTGCACTGTGCACAATGTGTTGTTTGCACGCTAATCTTACTTGAGGTAAAAGTGTGGGTCTACATCTGATGTTACTTTCTCGTTGGCCTTTATGATTTTGCGTAGATCCACATTGATAAAGTAGTTGAAGGAGTCAATGTGTTGTTTGACGAGACCCTTGACCTTTAAAAAGGCGGGCAACAGCTTCCATTTGTCCTAATCCAAAGAGCATGAGTCGATATTCATAAGCTGACATGCGCAAAAAAGCTTACCTGGATTTCCTTGACAGGAGCTGAAAGATGCTTTCCCTCGTAGTATTCTGCTTTCAAGTGCTCAAATGAATCCTTTTCATGCTCATGTTCTTCATGATCGTGATCCATCTTGTCGACCATGCTGAATGTTGGTGATGATTAATGATGGAAAAAGCAAAAAGTATCACTCTTTTTTTTTTCCTGGACGTTTGAAAAAAAGCTGTCTACAGTTACCTTATAAGCCACAAGGCGTGCCAGATTATGGGAAGTCAAATAACTTGAAATGGCTTTTCTATGCCCAAGCTTTTGAGTTATTTGTGTAAATCAATACAAGCAAATGTATAAAACACTACGAAATTTAACAGCTTTCATACCTCGATATCTTGACATTTAGGCCTTTTTGAGCCGCCAGAATGACGCCAAACAACTGCGCTCGAGTAGCAGTAACTCCCTGATACCTTTACTCAACCTTTTGAGGATCTAAAAAAAATGACTAAAAATCGACCAAAAAACCATGAGGGGTACCTCATGGTTTTCATCGAAAATCAAACGATCGAATTTTCACCTTGAAAATGAGGACTTTCACTATGGTATATATTGAATCAAAATGTTTCTCTCGATCCAAAGCAACCTCTGAAACCACTTTTGCAAGGCCTTCATATGCAAACTGTCGGCATTTTGGCCAAAAATCTCATTTCACATTTTCTAAAATTGCTCGATGAGTTCAGTCAAAACATCTATTTTATTTGGCACCATTGGAAGTGCCTTGAAAAGCACTACAAGAATGTATTAGGAAGTTTAGGCTGATTATCCCAACTTATATAGTCGAATCTCACAAGATAGATTAAAGAAGTCGAAAAAAGACGAAATCTGTCCAATCTTGAAAAGAAAAATAAGCTGAGTTTCAATTGATTTTGGCGGCGGCTGGCGCTGCTGGCTGACCTAAATGCCTTTCTGATGGCAACAATGATGATTGCAATGCTAATTCAATGGAGAGCACAAAGCTATATGATGGTGGAGAGTGATTTACTACTTCAGCATAACGTTTATTATTAACAAATTCATATTCAAAGGCATCATAACATGCACTGCATTTTTCCAATATGCAATTTTAATGTCAAATATTAAAACATTCTGGACTGCACGAGCTTATTTAAATTGAACATATAAATACAAAGAATAGATGGCACAATTACAGCAGCCCTACATCTCTTAATGTGGATTGCAATATGATATCGTTCACTGCCGACATGACAAACGTGATCTGCTTGGTATCCGTCGCACAAGTAAAATGTGTATACACTCGTTTATCCGAGTTTTTAGCTGTCAAATTCTGGAATTGCTCCATCAGGAAACGAGAAGCACTGTCATAATCACTGCCGCCTACGATATTCAAATCAAAAACTGCATTGATAGACCCCCCCCCCCCCATCGGATTCAGCTTACCTTTGTATTTGGGAAAATACAGCTTCAATGGGCTTGATTTCAGTTTCTTCTTGAATATGTCCGTCTTGTTCATAAACAAAATGATGGACGTTTTACGGAACCATTCCATATTGCAGATGGATTGGAACAGTGTCAATGATTCGGTCATTCTATTTACAGACTCATCTTCAAATAGCACCTGATCATACTCTGAAATAGCCACCATAAAGATGATGGCAGTAACATCTTCAAAACAATGAATCCATTTCTTGCGTTCTGATCTTTGCCCGCCTACATCCACCATGCGATACGTCAACGGACCCACGTCCAGCCTTGTCTCTGTAATACCAATCGTCTTTACCCGCGTTCTCAGCACATCTTGATCGCTTGGCATATAATCTGATTCAGATATACGATCGATGGCATCAAAGTAACTGGACAATCAAAGGTGGATAGTTAGGAACATGCCACAAGGAAATTAGGGAGTGATCCTAAAACTCACTATGCTGCAGAGTCATGCAACTGGTACTCGTTTCGCCTGTTGTACGCTTGCAAGACACTATCGTCCTCCCACAGCAGTTTCATGGCTAATACAATTTCTGATGGCAGATTGTATCCGCATTCCATTTGCTCTGGTAAATCGTTGATGAGGTCAAATGCCACTTTGTATTCCTCTTCTGGTCGTACAAGTGGAATGTTAAATTTCTGCATTGCGCTCAAGATGGATTTCATGGATTCAATGACATTGCTGTATATGATTTCTCGATAGGATAGCTTCTCGTCCTTCTGGAATCTACCGCCATGAATTATCCTCATCTGTTTCAGTAGCGTCGATTTGCCCGATTCGCCAGCACCTGTTGCATGTTAGACAACAGACGACATGTAGACATACATGTACACACATACCCAGCAATAGTAATTTGACGTCATTGCTCATCTTTTGCCTATCTTTTTTTAGCTGTTCATTGATTTCCTGATCACGCGACTTTTTGATGGCTTGCTCACTATCAGTTTAGCGGGAAGAACAGCATTGTCCCATTGCAACCACAACCACAATAAAAATAAAAGAAAGAGAAAAAAAGAGGTTAAAAAGGGGAGGATTTCATTGCATTGAAAGACGTAGACTTTATATATAAATAGCTCTCTTTTATTTCGCCCAGAACTCTAAGTGGTCTGCTATGATTTCCTTTTCTAATTCAGGGAAAGGCCCTTCTACTTGAACTGGACGTTGGCCAGCTTCGAATACCTTTCTGCAAGGCATGGACATGGTAGGGTTTTCTTCATTATTACCTGTCAACTGCAACAAACGTTCCTCTGCGATGCCATACACCACTCTGCCAATGTTGGCCCAGTAGCACGAACCAGCACACATGACGCAAGGTTCAAAGTTAGTATAGAGTGTGCATTTGGACAGGTACTCGGGCGAGAAGTTGGTCCCTGTACGATAATTAGGCATGATAAAAATTGGCTGGCTAGAGCTTACTTACAAGCGACATGGCAGAGCGTGCTCTCGGCATGATGAAGTGTATCAATGTTGCCTTGTTCCAACAAGACGGTTTCGTTGTCAGGGCCAACAAGAATACTACCAAAAGGATGGCGACCAAAAGATTTGGTTCTTGATGCCACCTTGACGGTATGAGAAAGATGCTTCAACATTTGCTCACGACTAGGGGATGCGTTGGAGGACATTTTGATGTACTTGTTTGATTTAAGAGTGAAGAAAGAAGATACAAAGTGGACCCTTTGTGAACAATTTATACTAGGTATATTGACTAGATATACCCTCTTCCATTCTATCGAAATCCTTTCAAAATTCTCGTTACACGAGTAGTAGTAATCAGCATCCGTTTTCACAGGTACCTGTTCCTTATCTTTCTTTCGTCTTTTTTGCTTTCACTTCCCTCTCTCTCTCTCTCTCTCTCTCTCTCTCTCTCTCTTTAAAAAGCGACAGAGTGAACTTACAGACGGCTTTAGAACATGCCTAGTAACTATAGAAGTTGACCTGATCGTTGCTATGGAGGTCAGGCACGGAAAGCTGGTTGCTATGCTATGCATTCATCCATAGAACTTGGTACACAAATGCACAAATACAAGCTTGACTTACGCGATCTTTACATTCATAACACCCTTGAGTAAAAGGTTTAAAAATGAGATCCGGGAACCTACATGAGAGATCGTCAATCCTCCAAGCGAGATTTGTATGTATCGCTAGTGTTTGTATACATTTGAGAGCATGCGTCATTGTGATAGGACGAAAATCTTTTCTCTTCCATCTAGACGCGTTAAAACAGCTGATTCCCTAATAAGGAGACGAAGGTGTTAGTTTAGCAGTGTTGATTGGGCAGGTGTAGAACAAACAATTGGCAACATGATATTCCCAAGGTTTATTTCTTGGACACTCGTCTCCCCCTTTTTCTTTTCCTTTTCCTTTTTCCTCCCTTTTACCCTTTTTTTCTCGAAAATCTTGTTTTTCATCATCCGTTCACTTACATCTTATTAGCAACAATATAAACATGTCAAATCAACAAGGTTTACAAACACCTCGACGCCCAACATACAACAACATCTTTGATGATGAGGACGCAGAGCCAACACCAGTAGATAATGCTACTACTACCCAAAACCCATGCTTTACATTTACACCCTGTACTCGACTTTCTCGTATGACACTCAACTCGCAATCAAATGGCTCCCGTATGAGAACTGTTCAATACCAAATGCCAGCCTCCAACTTCAATGACAAATTAATGCAGGCCATCCGTGAAGAGAAGGAAGAGCAAGCTGCCAAATCATCCTCGCCTCATCCCAACCTGGACATGTTCTTGAATGCCGATAAAATCAGTATGATGGACACTAAATCTTCAAAGGATTTTTCTTTCTCTGAAGACGAGGAATCTGACGAAGGAGAATTCTTCTCTTCCAGCTTATGTCCCATGTCTTCACCTGAACGACCCATCACTCAGAGATCCATCTTTGATGATGAGTCCATGGCTCTTTCACCACCACCGCCATCAAACGGATTCAAGCGATCCATCTTTGACGAAGACGACGACGAGGAAGATGGCGAACAAGACAATCAAGATCACATAAACAATGAATACGGCGATTTCTATGACCCCAGCTCATCATGGTTATCTTGCATTTATGAGGACAATGGCACCAATGCAAAGAACACCTTTCAAGGCAAAGACCAACATGACGAAGCAGATCAAGAAGGCGACGACGATGAAGACGAAAATCGACCACCTCGCTATTGGCATAGTCGACAACAACATGAAAAGAAAATCAGACGCACATCTCCACAGGAAGAGGAGAATGCAGTACATGATAGAATCCCATTACGACAAATTAATATCGAGGATTATTATTCAGACAACGAAGATTTGCCAGTAAAGAAGAAAATTGTATTAGCAAACAAGAAGCCACACAAATTACGATTCATGAGAGCTTTATCACCACCAAAGTATATGTTCAAACACAAGGGAAAGGAAACACTGAGTAGTTCATCCACGTCCTCATCATCCTCATCATCCGCCTCATCCTCCTCATCCTCAACAAGCTACTTGTAATTTGTTCAAATATTCACCACATCTCATTATACACTCATTGCTCTCTATAATTCATTATCTTTCCACCTCTGTTCATTGTTCAAGTTTGGCTCATTCAAATGCATACCCCTCCCCCCCTCCTCACCTTGGCTCCTCTTTTAGTAGTCCAGCCCCTCTCTTTTTCAAGTAGTCTTTTTACTAAAGTTGTATATTCTTTCCTCTTTCCATTGTCCAACCCTTCAAGTTGCGTGTTTCTTTTATAGTGTGATCATCCATATGAATAATTCGTATAGCATGTGTTGTATACAATAAAAATAGTAAATATAAATGGCGTTTTCCCTTTTATTATTATCATTATTGAAATGTTGATCTATCATCATTTGCTAACTTTCGTTTCGAATCATAGCGATAATGATTTCCCCTATGACTCTTTCTCGCTCTCTTTGTTTCCTTATTTCTCTTATCACTCCACCATTGTTCATATCTCAATAAAGAATTCAAAAAATACCCACATGAGCAGATCATTTCTAATTTATGAGGAACACATGTTCTTTTTTTTTTTTTTTTTTTTTTTTTTTACAAGAACGACTTGAGAAAATGACCATTGCTTGTGTCCAGATTTACGTTTTGATGATGGTATTTGTACGCCCAGCCACCTTTTTGTCTGTATCTTTCTCGGTTGCTCATGAAATGGCAATGCGTAAATCAAAGGGGTCCCGTTACAAGTTCAACAATGAACAGGTAAAAAGGATATATTAAATGTTGTTAATTGTTTGCCACGTTTATCAGGGCAGCAGCAGTGATATTGGCACGGACACTGTTCTCGCATTAATTAGTGTCGGGTGTCTGAGGCGTGAGTTTCGCATTTGAGAGAGGTAGGCTGTTGAATAGCATTTGACAAGGTTTTAATTTATTTGTATCAGCTCAAATACTATTCAAAGCATCAATTCTCGACCAAAATGACTGTAATAAGCAAGTGTTGAACAATATCATTCATCTCATCAAAGTTTATCTACATAAATACGCAAGTAATTAGGAGTATGCTTTTCTATAATATTGAATTGGTGTCCCTTTTGCATAAATAGCCTACATTTGATAGAAAACTTTCTCAGTGTTGGCACTGAATGATGATATGGCATTTGCATTTACATAAGTATAGGGTACTTGCAAGTGAAGTATTCTACGAAATCATAACGGCATTGTCGTTTGATGGTCAGTCTTTAAGGCTTGCAACTGTAGTAGCGCTACCGTTCAACAAACTGGTTAGTGTCAAGGTCTTTGCATCGAGATATACTGTTAAAAATGATTCGATATCTGAAAGCCTCTGAAATTTTCCCCCATATGTCAATGCTGTCAGACTGTCAAATACGTCGAGTTTTAGAACAAGTTCCCTCATTGTGGCATGGATGTGTTCGTAGCTATTGCTATCTATTGCTGAAAATGTGTTTCTGGGTCAAAGCAGAACTTCGTAGTAAGTTTGGTCAATTGTTTTGCAATATTAATATTTGGGCAGGATCTTCAGCTTGAAGGCTGCTAGAGATCCTCGAGTAGTTTCCTGAAGCATAGTGCAGAAATCTGGCTATACACATGTTTCATCTAAAGTTTCTACATTGGGCAAAGATACTGCATTGAACATAGCTTTGAGCATCCAAAATTCAGAGAAACCTTCTTTCAGATAGATTTCTTGTATCAATTTTCCTTTGGAAGAATCGCTGAACAGCTGAGCGTGTAAGGCAAGTGCTGTTTCTTTTGTACTCACGACAATTGTATTGCTGAACATGGCTGTATTGGAGGGTTGACTCCATTTTGAGCAGATCAATCTACACTGAGCGAGCTGTTCGTTTGAGTCATTGTGCTTGAAGATTTCTTTCAAGAGTTCCTCAGGCAATGACGATATGTTGATCATGTTAAAAGCGATTGAAAGAAAAAGAGGCACGACATAAGACAGTGCACCGCACAGTGATATACAGACACGTTCCATAAATTATAACATAATAGTCTCTAGACACTTTTACAATCATAACATGGAAAGTGAGTTGCCAGGCATAATTCATGTATGATTAAAAGTTTGTGTATCAAATTACTATCAATCAACAGTCAAGTTTCATCTAACATTTTTAGCTAGTATTATTTTTTGCAATATTAGCCAAAGGGCATTGAGTTTACCAGCCAGCCCCACCAGCCAAAATTAATTCTAACTCAGGCTTTTAGTTTACTCCATATTGGCCAGATTTTGGTATTTTTTCGACTTGATTGAAATATTTTGCCACATTCGACTATAAAAATATGATAATCATCCTATGCTTCTTTAAGCTGTCCCTGGTGGTAGGGCGAAGTGGTAGAACTCCCGTATGCCAACGGGAGGATCCCCGGTTCAAATCCTGGTGAACGCAAGTTGTCTGATTTTTTGACGTAGTACTGATGTCCTCGTTTGGTGTTTTGTATTCTTATCCATTATCTATTTTTGACGATTTCCGCAAGATTGCATTGGCTCTAGGTTTCGCACCTTATTAGTAGTAGATTTCTTTCCCAACTTAGTTCAAAAAATTTCTTATTCCCCTTCTTTGCAGACATTGGGTCCACCAAGAGTCTTTTCTATCCCTCAGTATGACATTTAAAGGACTTTAAATAAAACCTGGAGCTCGTCTCCCCTACAAAAAAAAAAAAAAAAAAAAAAAAAAAAAATGCTTCTTTAAGCTTAATCATACCCAGTCTTTCCTATCACTCATAGCGACATTTGAAGGACTTAAAATAAAAAATGGAGCTCGGCTCCCCTACAAAAAAAAAAAAAAAAAAAAAAATGCTTCTTTAAGCTTTCTTGGAGTGCTTTTCAAGGCGCTTCCAATGGTACCAGGTAAGATAAATGTTTTGAATAGAGCTATTGAGCAATTTAAAAAAATATGAAAAGAGGTTTCTGGCCAAAAAGTCGAAATTTTACATATCAAAGTCCCACAAAGATAATTTCAGAGGTTACGTTAGATCAATAGAAACATTTTGATTCAAGATATACCATAATAAAAGTCTTCGTTATCAAGGTCAAAAACGCAATCGCTTGATTTTCGATGAAAACCATGAGGGGTACCTCATGCTTTTTGGTCGAATTTTGTCCATGTTTTTTTTATCCCCAAAAAGTTGAGCAAAGGTGTCAGAACGTAACTGCCAGACGAGAGCAATTGTTTGGTTCTATTCTGACAATCTAAAACGGCTTTAAACGCAAGAAAACGCATCTCGAATGCACCTAGTTTTTGCTGTATCAGAGACACTCAGGACCAAAAAGGGGAAATACCAGTATGCTGCTTGTCCGTATATGAAGTAGCTACGTGTATATGGATGTAAAGCACCACATAAGAATCAAATCTGCAGATAATATGAAAGGTTTTCATGTGCAAGTGGAGGGTCAAAATGAAATAGCAGTACTATGATAAGATACGCAAGGGCAACCGGTAGTGCGAGCTGCCGCTGTGCAGATTAATAGTAGCCTTGGATGTGATAGATCATCTGCGCATGTTAGGAAGTATACATTTTGATGACTTTTTCAAGTACTGCAATCTGAATTGCATGTGAGCCAAATCCTGTAACAAACGCCTTCATTATCTACACTACTAACTAGAATAAACACCATCAATATCAGCTCTTACTCAAACAAAACAGCAAATAGTATGATCTAAATGCATTTTATAACGACTATTGCTGATCAGACATATCGCTTGAAGCCCAGATGTACGATTGCCAACCTTGATGAACTGATAATACAATTTAACTTCAAATATAAACATGACAAACATCTGCCGAACCACGTTTAAGATTTGAACCTACTGGATTGCCTCAATCTCAACGCTTTATAACTTGTTACTGGCTTGAGTCATCTAGCTAGTTGTTTTCGGCAAGTAAACAAACTCGATATTGAAATGTGTGTGTATGTCGAAAGCATGTATGTAAGACGCACAATTTTTTGATCGTTTATTTCAACTGCTGGTATAGATATTTATAATAAGATACTTGTTTTTTTTCGCTTTAAAAAATGGAATTGCTATCACTATCATTGCTACAATCATCCTCTTTGCACTTGCTTTTGTTTTCCAATGGGTCATCCTCATCACTCATCACTCCGAAATCATTTTCGCTACGAACATCTTCATCATATTCAGGTGTGCTTTGTTGAATACTGAAGATTGCAGTGTGCTTTTGAGATATCTAATCAAATTTAACATGAGTTTTGTATATACCACGATACAGCGGGCCTTCTTGTCACTTACAGTTTTAATCTGATCACAAAACAAATCCAGCTCTCTCTGCGTACGACAATAGAATCCAAGCATCATGGAGGGGTCCAGATTAGCAATAGGAATGCGACGAGGTATAGTGCAGTGATACGTGCTGAAATCTTCTCTGGTGTATTCTGATAAACTCTTTGTTTCCAGTGCTGGTCTTGAGAAATGTGGATCAAGGTAGATTAGATCGTCACCTTGTAGGCCTATAAAGTAGAGCGATGAATTGGGTCTGCCACCAGCAATGCCGACAAAGGAGGGCAGCTCAAAGCATGCTTTCAGTGCCGGATAGTAGGTAGTATGAAGCGAATCAATGCCCAAACGCAAGGCGACCAGCATCAGCACAGGCTTGAATACGGTGTCTTTGTCGTCTGGTGAATCTGTATTAGGAGATGTCGCTTGTTCTTGTTCCTGTGGTGTGCTGCTGGCATCGTATAGGTGCTTTGCTTCTTCTCTGCCCTCGTCTGAAGCACTTGAAGAGAGCTTGTTTGTGAAATAGCTAAAATCGCCCCTTGGCTTCTTTCCTGTTGTAACATCTTGCACACCATCCAAGTAGATGGTACCGTCTGTAGCGATATAGACTGATAAATCAGCAGGTTGGAAGTCTGATACGAGTGCCCTAAGAAAGATGGTTAGCAAATAGCCATCGCTGCCGAATGATGATGGCCAACGTACTGGATCACTTGACTGATTGTACTGGGACCAAACCACTCGCCAATGTTCTTGCCCAACTGCTTGCCCAACAACGCTATTCTATGAATCGAAAACGGTGCTCTCGGCGACAGTTCATCCAAGAACCAATGAATAATCTTGCAAGAGCGTCAATAACTCTCCCTCTGCAAATCCCACTACAATCCTAACATTACCTTTGCATACTGTAGCCTTGCTGCTGCTGTTTGCTTCTGTCGTCTCCAATCTACATTCCATCATCATTGGTCAATAAAATGAACCGCAGCATCCATGCAGAGCCGCCTTTACCTCTCGATAAAAAGTGAATCAACAGTGTATTTGCTAGTAGACTCTGGCCGCTTCTCAGCATACAGCCCCATCCTATGTCTGTCTTGTGATTAGATGGACGGATAGGAGGGTAGTTGTGACGATAGGTCATCCATAATCGGGAGGTAAAATCATCATAGAAATCAGGCGGCCACACCATGGACACATTGTCTTTAAGAACCTCTCCATCGTCTCTATCAGCAGTAGTGCCGCCGGGCCTAAACATTTCATCCTTTTGCGCATCTAAGATGGCCTGTTGCATCTGATCCAAGGGCTTTGTTTGGTAGGGACGGCCCAGCAGCCAAATAATTTGAGCAGTTTCTGAATCAGGGTTGCATTCTCCGTTTTGAAGAAAGAAAGAGTTGGAGAGCTCTGAACCAGATATCCACAAGTTGGACATGAAATGCCCTAATTTCAATGGGATCTCTGCTGCCAGATAGCTTGAGTTTGTTAATAGCTTATCCTTGAGAGGCGCTGTGCTGATGTGGTTGCTGTTGTGAGGTTGAGGCAGTTCCTTATCGACATGCTTTTGTTCATTAGAGTGATGCGTCATGGCAAAGCGCTTGTATACAATCAATTGGGAAAGCCGTGAAAGATGAGCTTTGAAGAAAAAGATGTATAAAAAGTGAGAGAGAAAAGGCGAGTAGATAAGTTATGCAAAATTCACATCGAAAACTGCCACAGCAAATCATCACGAGCTCATGTTGAGTCACATAAATGCATGCTATAACCAGCTAACACTACACAATTCCCAAGCATTGCCAGTGATTTAAGTGATGGCGCCTTGACGCCAGTATGAAAGCACCAAATACACCGCGAAAGCTCCTGTAATGCCTCAAACAAATGCCATTCATTTTGCTTGGAAGCAGGCTGCCATTGACCACACTCTTAGATCACGAAGGTTCCTAATTTACATATTGAAAGCACATCCTGCCATTCACACATATCTGAATAATGAACTAGCATGAAATAAACATAATATATAAGCTGTACTGAACACCACACAGGGCAATTGGGATCAATGTCAAGCTTTCATGCAAACGTTTAGTTGTTATCTGTTGGATCTACTCTAGGGAAATGGCTTCCTATTTCTGAAGGCTGGCCCAAGTCAAGCCCTGTAGTAGATCATGTTGATAAACAACTAATATAGGGTAATTACTGATATTCTACCTTGACAATAGATGTGCTTTTGTAGAAAGTGAATAGCAGGTAGTTCTGTTTGCTACTTTAGAATTACATGACATGTAAGGATGTATGACCAAACTACATGTAAATGATAAGACTGATTACTGCTAGAAAAAAAAAACACCTTTGGCCGCTCTCTCCACTGTGTTGGGCCGTCTTGTTTTTCACTGCAGAAGCTGCTCATTGTTCATTGAAACGGTCTAGCTATAGAAATGCTCAATCTTTTGAGCTCAATTGGATCAAATGGGCCACATTGGGATACCTTCTGAAGATGTATGAATGAGAACCAATCCCCATCCATTCTAAAAGCTCATATAAGGCTTGATGGTGAGTTCCACTGACATGACGCAGTCTAGGCTGACTCCTCAGCGTATACACCACTTGGACATTGGATAGCAAGCAAGTGCTACAACAACATCAGAGAAAAGAAGAGGGATGACGCATCTCGACATCGGTCATTCAAAGCGTGGAAAGGGCAGGGACATTGAAATCTTCTTGGTTTTGTCTTGCACACCCCTCGCAACATCTCTTTTTCTCTTTTACCTTAAATTATATCAAACACACAACATGTTCCTTCGTCCCAACGTCATTTTGAACGCTGCTTCCAGAGTTGCTACTACTCAACGCACCAACGTGGTCCGCATGGCCACTCCCTCCATGCTCCGTATGTACGCTACTCTTCCCAGAGAAGATGTTCAATCTCGTGTTCTTGATGTTGTAAAGAGTTTTGACAAGGTTGATGGCAGCAAGGTAAATATCACAGTGATTTGGGTACAAGCAGACAGGCAGCCGAGCAGTTGGCAGGCTTGTCGGCAGGGAGAGATTGGGAATTAGGAATTGATGGATTCTCATATACTGATGCAATTTTGAACATGGGCATTAGGTGACAGCCGAATCCAACTTTGTCAAGGATCTTGGTTTAGACAGTTTGGATACAGTTGAAGTTGTCATGGCCATTGAGGAAGAGTTCTCTGTTGAGATTCCTGACAAGGACGCCGATGCCATTCACAGCGTTCAACAAGCCATTGATTATATCATCAAGCGTGATGATGCTCATTAAATGTTCAAGTGCATCAATTTACATAATACAACAAACAACACTTATAAATTGTCATATATAAATAAAACGACCCAAAAACAATGAAAACTAGGATACAGAAACAGATGGTAGAGAGGTTTATTTGCATTTGCAAAAATTCATTAAATTTGTACAAATTTGTAAGCACATGAGTCGAACTGTTACTACGCAGGCGCTGAAAGCTGTCAAATGAGAGGGTAATTCGTTCACATAAATGCACTGTGTGCCCAGCTCGCCAATGCACTCACAGACCTTTGCATTCATGCTTGCTGCAATGTCTGTCGGCTCAGTTGGATAATCTGCTACTCCTGCCAACGGGTCTTGCTAGCCAGGCAATGATGGGAATTTCCGGTGTATTTGAAGGTTTTTAAACAGCCGGCTTTGGCCATGTTTTGCGTTTTCTTTGTTGTTCATTACATCGATATGGCTGCTGCGAAGAGAAGCATCTTGAAGCACTTGAACTTTGCTCGCTCATACTCTACCAGCTTGCACCGAAATGCAGGCGACAAATTAGCTGCTTTGAGAACTGCAATGAATAATCTCGATGCCTTGTAAGTTACCATTGCCGAAACGACGCATTTTGCCTAATTACACGAGTTGATAGTGTCGTACCTTCCGAAGATGCTCATCAGGTATGAACCAGCAAAGAGTGTCAGTTTGATGACTGCAGCTAACTGAATCCTACAGAGCGAATATACAGCTGAATGTGATAATAGAAGAGCCTGGATTTCAGGATTTACAGGGTCTGCAGGTAAATTGACAAGCCAGCAATTGTGAAGCCATTGTAAATAGAGCTCAACTCTTTTCCTCTCGCATAGGCTGTGCTGTTGTAACAAGGAACGACGCAGCATTGTTCACAGACGGCAGATACTTCTTACAGGCATCAAAGGAATTGGATGAAAAGCACTGGAAATTAATGAAGCAAGGCATCCCCGGTGTGCCAACATGGCAAGAGTATGTCAAGGTAATAAGCATATCATCAGAGAGATAGTAGTGGATGCTCATGTTCATGTATAGGGCCTACCAGCCAATTCGTCCATTGGCATTGACCCATCCGTCATTACCATGGAAGAAGCCGAACAGTTGAGCAAGGAATTGAGCTTAATTGGTTCAAAACTGGTCTACGTTACCGAAAACCCTGTCGATCAAATTCGATCTTCGGATCGTCCTTCAAGGCCTTCTGAGCCTATCAAAGTGCATCCCATCCAGTACGCAGGAAAGTCTGTGAAATCCAAGTTGAACGAACTACGAAAATCATGCGACAACAACAGTGTCATTGTATCTGCGCTCGATGAGATTGCATGGTTACTGAATCTACGGGGCTCTGACATTCACTGCAGTCCAGTCTTTTTTTCGTACGTGGTGGTGACCCCACAGCAAGCGACATTGTATCTGCAGCCCTCAGCCAAGTTGTCAGACCAAGTGAAATCGCATCTGAACGAAGCCGGCGTGCAACTCGCCAACTACGACCAGATGTTGTCGGATGTCAGCCACTTAAATCAGCCATTCCTGATTGATCCCAGCACCACCAATATGTCCATTTGTGAAGCCATTGGAGAAGTAAATATTTATATTGCTACCCTAATTAAAAATTGACATTTATATCCATTAGGCAAACATTCGATCCAAGCAAGGGCCATCCTTTATTAGTATGGCTAAGGCTGTCAAGAATGAGTCTGAGCTCAATGGCATACGTAACTGCCACAAGAGAGATGCTGTAGCCCTGTGCAAGCACTTTTCATGGTTATCCGAGTCATTGACGATCCAGAAACAAACGATTCGGGAATCGGAAGCTGCAGATCATTTAGCAGCCATGCGTCAATTGGATCCCACCTATGTTGGCCTGTCATTTGATACCATTGCTGCTACTGGTCCAAATGGAGCAATCATTCATTACCAACCAGACCCCAAAGATTCAGCCATCATCAATCCTCGACGCATCTATCTATGTGATTCAGGTGCGCAGTATGTGGATGGCACCACCGATGTGACAAGGACGTACATGTTTGATGGTGAGCCTATTGAATTCCAAAAAAGAGCATTCACTCGAGTCTTGCAGTGCCATATTGCTGTAGATCAGGCTGTGTTTCCTCAAGGCACAACAGGGTATCAACTGGACTCCATTGCCCGACTTGCACTTTGGAAAGATGGACTTAATTTTAGACATGGCGTGGGTCACGGTGTGGGTGCCTACTTGAATGTACATGAAGGACCCCATGGCATTGGAAATAGAGCCTCCTACAATGCAGTGCCACTGCAACCTGGCATGGTTGTCACCAATGGTAAAGCGTCTATCATTTAGTGGAAGATTGCATCATAGTAAACTCACTATCCTATAGAACCAGGCTATTATGAAGATGGTCAATTCGGCATCAGAATCGAGAATGTGTTGACTGTACGCAGAGCATCTACGCCTTATCGCTTTGGGAACACAGACTCTTTGGGATTTGAGCATGTCACATTTGTGCCCATTGGACGAAAGCTGCTGGAGGATGGATTGCTGACACCAAGCGACAAACTGTGGATCAACAAATACCATCAAGAGTGTCGGGATGTCTTGGAGCCGCTACTGGATAACAAGGCACTTTCATGGCTAGAGAGAGAAACTGAGCCATTACGCTGAAGAAAATAAACTAGTGGTATAATGGCGATTTGCCAAGCTTGCAAATCAATTTAATTTACTTTGATGTGGTCTAAACAATGATTAGGTAGACATTTGATATACCCCTTTTTCGCCCCTTGTTTTGAGATGCTTGCAGCACTATGTCTATCGTTATTTTCATCGTATAAACACTGGCAAACAAACACATTTGAACAGAAAGTGGCTCCTTTATTTCTCAAATGTGTGTGGGTGTGTGTGTGTGTGTGTGCTAATCCTCTATTTATTTCAGCCCTAACAAAGATAAAGCCAGCACTAAAAAAAAAAGAGACTATTTATATATCATGTCTGGTTTCAAAAGGAGATGGACTGGTGGGTGTACCACAAACAAACAATCTAGACACCAAGGATTTCATTCTGTCTCTCTCTCTCTCTCTCTCGCTCTTTTTTTGTTTATATTTGTGTCTAATCACCTAATCCTTTCTCCCTTTGACACAGCTAAGAGGTCTGCCTTTTTCAACAGTAATATCAACCCCCTTCCTTATACACAAACACCCCCCAATTTTGGACCTAAAATAAGGATGTTACCACCTTTTTTAAACCATGATGTAACTTCAAGTCGGTCTACTTCGAATACAACTGTCTCTTCTTCCATTAATCCAAAACATAGAAAACCAAGCCAGTCTCATATTCCAACTATACACCACAATCACCAGCCTGAAATGTTATCACTTGATTTGGGCCCATCACCTAGAGGAGGAGGAGTCTATCAAAAGGACAAGAAACTCAAGAAATCACTCTACTACTCATCGCAGCAATCAAAATGGCTCAAGCTGTTTCTGATTGTCGTGGGCTTGCTGTTCATCTTTGGCTATATTCCCTTCTTTCGCTTTGTGCGAAACACACCCGACTACAAGACACATCCCTCATGGAACATCAAAGAGAATCACCAGCCTGCTACAAGGGACAAAATCATACTCTACCGCATCATAGGCAACGATCTGCCACCTCGGCACAAGGAAGGCCAAACACTCTCCAACCTGCAGTTTATATTGGACCACGAGCCCAGCTTTCCAGACACCCACAAGATCTTCTTACTGAACCGCATCATTGACCCTGTGAACGAGGCAACCATCATCAGACTACTCGACAGCTACAATATGGACTATATCCGTGTTCCTTTTGTGCAAGAAGAATATGAAAAGCTGGATTTTCAACTGGAGAAGTTTCCTGATGCTGATTTTCTTCACTCTGATGATTATCGACGATTCTCCAAAGTGTCCAAACTAAGGGCACTCGATTATACCTATCATGTCAAGAACCTGTATGCCATGAACAATGTAAGTGTGGGTCAAGAGGGCATGTATGTTGGCCAGCGTACTCATGTCGACTGCAGAACGGAGGTCGCAATACAGCTATAGAGCATGGGCGTTCTTTACCGAACGCAAAGTGGATTATGCCTTTTGACGGTAATTGCTATCTTAGCCATAACGGATTCGAGGAAATCAGATCGCAACTTGATAAATACGGAAAAGACACCAAGTACTTTGTAGTGCCCATGACACGATTGCTGAACAACTCGGTGCTATTAAACAACCTGGATGAGAGACCAAAGACGCCAGAGGAGCCACAGATCATCTTTCGATACGACGCCACTGAAGAATATAACCTCAACATGCGATATGGACGCAGAAGCAAGCTCGAGTTGTTATGGCGTTTGGGAGCCTTGGAGAACAGACGACTGAACAGACCCACTGTGCCTTGGGAGCCCACAGAGCGTCCGTACAGCAAAGACAAGGGCAACTTTAAGAACATTGGTTGGGTGTTTAGATTGTTTTCAGGCAACCCATCACAGGAGGAAAACAAAAAGGAAGCTTCATCTATTCGTGCATTCAATCGACTCATGGCAATTCAATCTTCATTGGACAGTTTGGACGAAAGCATCGCTCGCAAGACGTTCCACCACGACAAGCTCTTTTTGTACGATGAAAAACCAATGAACCAAGTACGCTACGACCACTGGACAAAGAACTACGAAATTCGCTATGCCATTGAGACACTGCAACGCAAAGCAGAGATTATTTTGGAGGAGAGCCAGAAGCGACTTGCACCCATGTCTTCAGCAACAGACAAAGAGGATGGCCTTCCGTTCGATGCAGTGCCGGAGAAGGATGAATTGGGCCCACTCTCTCAAAATGTCACCATATTGACCATGGCCAACTATTTCACGGGCGAGGAAAAGTTCGGACGTGGTGCAGCCAACCTGATCCGAGTTCACTTTTTGAATGAATACGCAGTGGAGGACGAGGATGAATACAACTCTGCGCGCCGCATTCCCGACGACAGCCATTTGTTGGATTTCCTGTCAGATCAAGGCTACTACTTTCCCAGTCTCAGTCGCATCTCGCATGTAGTGCCTAAATACAGCAACAACCGCATCTTGAACACGTCTGATCTCACAAAAACCGACATTTCCTCGCTGCTGGACTGTATCCGCATGCTCAGACACATGCAAGCGCTGACACACAAGGAATACATTGATTTGCAGGCAATCACAGCAGAATTTCTGGAATATTTGGTTACTTCACCCACAGGCATCCATTTGGCTCAAATGACAGATCATAGAGGCGTCTTGTACGACTTGCAGGTGACAGCCATGGCTGCATTCACTGACGATGTGCGATTATTTTTGCGCGTAGCCAATCGTTGTCGCATGCGCATTGGAAAGCAATTTAGACAAGATGGTTCTCAGCCTTATGAAGAAAGCTCAACACGTGGTCGTTTGTTATCTTCAACTAGCAACAGTGGCAGCAGCAACGACGATAACAAGCAAATGGAGTGGCGCGCTATGCTTCATTATGAAACGCTCAATTTGCAGTATTGGACCCTTTTGACACGAGGCATTCAGAACGCTGGTATTGCAAAGGACATTTGGCACTATACTGCAGCCAACGAGGGGCAGATTTCTCACTCTGTTGTTTCGCATTTGAAAAAGTACTCTGATGCGCTCCCGCAACTCAATGCGGGCGACGCAGCTTTTGTGAAATCTAGACTACAACCTTTGGCGTACATGGCACAAGAAGCATTTAGCCATAGTCATTATGAAAAGATAGAGATTGATCCTCGCGTTAAAGATAGAACAGAGGCAGATCGCATTTGGATGGTGCAACATGTTTCGGATTTTGGTGAGCGATGGGATCTACTGGGCCAAGAACAAGAAGATTTCAATGTGGATATGGAGGATATGTTGCAACAACAACAGGATATTGCTAAATTGATGCATGATGATGCTGTGAAGGGGAGATTGGGCATTCCTCCATTTTGGATGCTCACTTCCACCTCGTCATAGATTATCATCTTTTCTCTTTTTTTTATACATACATTACACTATTTATATCATTATTTTAGACCTGTACACACACTCTCTTACAAAAATCAAAAATCAAACTTCACACAGCACACATTATAAACATTTGCAAAATAAAATTTTTATTTTTAATGATTTTGGTTTGACAAGATGTTATTCTTGACTTTATTATAGTAGGGTACACATGGTGTAGTACATCATGTATATCAACCCAAATCAGGAACTCGTTTTGCTAATTATTGGGCGGATAAAAGGCTTTGTCCTTGATGGTGTGGCATATTGCGGCAGGACAGTAATACAATATTACATGCATTTGGCCCTGAATTTTAATAAATTATTGCCTCAAGTATCTTATTTTGGTATTTAATAATAATTGTCTGCTGTCGCTACTATTCGGTGAGAGCTCTGCTCCATCATCTGTTTAAATATTCTTTTTAGATTGCTATAAAAGTATGAGCCACCTTCATCTGAAAAGCATTGAAGCCAGCCAGGAGCTAATTTAAGCACCGCTCTTCATATGCTCCAGATTGGCCAAATCTTGTTCAAATTCGACTTGATTTATCTATTCTGCTCCATTCGACTAGGTAAATTGTGATGATCATCCTATATTTCCTAATGCAATTCTGGAGTACTTTTCAAGGCGCATCCAATGGTGCTAAGAAATGTAGATGTTTTGATGAAATTATTGAGCAATCTACTAAAATATGAAATGAGGTTTTCGGCGAAAATGTCAAAATTTTTACATATAAAGGTCGCACAAACAACGTTTTAGAGGTTGCCTCGGATCAAGAGGAACATTTTGAGCTAGCATGTGTTATAGTAAAAGTCATCATTTTTGAGGTCAAAAACGCGATCGTTTGATTTTCGATGAAAACTATGAGGGGTACCTCATGGTTTTTGGTCAATTTTTGGCTATGTTTTTTGAGTCCTAAAAAAGTTGAGCAAAGGTGTTAGAAAGTTAGCACTCGATGAGAGAAACTGTTTGGTGCCATTCTGGCGGTCTAAGAAGGCTTCTAACATGAGAAAACGCGACTCAAACAAACCCGAACACACTGTGTTTTGTATAGTTTTGAGTAATCAGAGACGAATCGAGTACGCTGTCTACTCGTATATGGTTTATTCTCAATAATACAAACGCGAAGAGTTAGGTTTGTAGTCACAGGCCGTGTAATATAGACGAATTAAACGAAGGGTACAGTGTCAGAAACATGTTTCATAAACCTCACAGTTATCACGCGGCAAAAAGCGGGGAAAGGGGACAATACTCTATCTGAGACGATCCTCCTGTTGTACCTCTGTTGACAGAACATTTAGCACATGCGGTTCAGCCATTGTGTGAATTTCCAACTGGTGGTGGAATAATGCACGATCAAGTTTTACATTGGAAGCTGAATGCGATTCCTCCGAGAAACAAGACTTAATGGCACGTTTCTTTTGGCACACGCGCATATTTCATTATTGTCTCTCTAGTATTTAGGATTTATATGAGTTTGAAGCTGTTTGATTTCAGTTTCAAAGGGGGAGCAGTAGTGTGGAAATATATAGTTAGATAGGCTTTGAATGCGATGAACGATTGTTCTAGCTCCAAAATTTTCTCCAGAATCATAACGCTCTAGATTTGGGCAGAATTTGCCCCCGAAGAACTAATATTACCATAGGAGCGGCAGAGAGTTTCTCGTACAAATTGCTTGGAATAATGCCACATGTAGGATGATTTTGTGACATTAGAACCATGCCCTTTAATAATTTAGAGTTTATATGCTTAACTGGACACAAACAAAGTGCATTGATATTCTAGCATAATGCAAACACATTTCCTGGCTTTTTATCTGCGTAAAATATTCAATTAGGTGTCTGCAGGGATTAAGCACATGTCTTTCAGCAGACCGAAACTAGAGAAATATAGACCAGCATACATTTCAACCTATTTTGAAACTCCAAAACTCCAATGAAACAATGTCTTACCGATCTGGTAGTTCATTTTTTCATCGACAAGCACGATGTTTATATTGAAAATGTATGTTAAACAGGTGAACATTATGAGATTGATGGGGCAATTTCATATCATGCGATTGGAGGGACCCACACTTGCAACATCCCATATAAACATCCAAATGTGCGTCATCCCATTAGATGCGGACAAGTCTGATGTGACTCGAGGAAACTACCTGTATGATTGGCTGTATCTAAATGGATTTACACATTCAAACCATTTGGTGCCAAACAGAGCAACAAAAAAGTCTTCTCTTCTTCTTTTTTCTCGTAGATTCTATTTATCTGGGAATCCTGTTTGCACTTGAGAAGAAAACAGAAGCATTTTTTTTTTACAATTTAGCATTGATATTCTGTTACAAAAGAAGACAAGTGGCAGGAACATTTAAACTATTAAAAAACGTGATGGTATTACAACAATTTGGATTAAATCCAGCAACAACATCAACAAACACATCTTCTCTATTTCAGCAAGAAACTACATTTACCCCACCTTTTGATATAAAAGAAGATGTCATGTCGTTTAATCAAGACATGAATGTAAATCAATCAATGCCATCACCTCCCTGCTCTGTGCCTGAACAGCAGAACATGCATCAGCAGCAGTTCAATCAACAACAAATCATGATGACCATACCGAGCCCATCGACAAATGGCTTGTTTGAGAACAACTCGCTAAGAATTATACCTCAATTCAACAGTGACCCACAGCAGCAAATACTGAATGATATCATGCCTGCTGGATTTACTACTACTACCACCTCTACCTCATCTACTCCGGCTACTGCTCCTGATAGCAATGATAATATAATCGCAGTTGACCATCACATGCATCAGCAACAACAACAACAACAACAACAACAACAACAACAACAGATCATGGCTAATTTAATGCATAATCAGCAGCAGCAGCAGCAGCAGCGACAGCAACAACAACAAATATTACTGAGTAATCACCATCATATGAATATGAATACAAATGCTAATATCGAGTTGAATTATTCTGAAGCTCAGAAACAACAGCAGCAACAGCAGCAACAGCAGCAGCATTTGCAGCAACAACAACAACAACATCATCATCATCAACTACAGCAGCAACAGTTGCAGCATCAACAACAGTTACAGCAACAGCAACAGCAATTACAGCAACAGCAATTGCAACAGCAGCAACAGCTACAACAGCATCCTTTGATGTTTATGTATGACGGAAATAAGTCAATTGAGAATACATCAAGCAATTCCATGATGACATCCCCACAACAAGCACAGCCACCACAACAGTTGCAGCCATCTCATTTGCCTCCGCAACAACAGCTCGAACAACAACAGCCACTACCACTACCACCACCACAACTACCTCAGCCTCAGCCTGCAGTGCAACCACCATCGCAGCAAGAGCAGCCTGCGCAGATAGATGCTAAGCAATTTGAAGACATGTCAAGAGAGCAATTGATTGCCAGATTGGTTGTCCTCGAGAATGAAAAGCATGCAAACATCACAGCAGACGACTCAAACGAGGATGCTAACTCGCTCAATTCGTGTGATGATAATACCGAAGAGGAGAGTCTACTTTTAGCCGAGGATGAAGAGGATGAGACTACTGGCGCATCTTCTGCTGCAACCACAAACAGCAACACGACTCCCGAAATTGCAGAGCAACCTCGTAAATGTCTTTGGGTGAATTGTGGACAGACATTTGATGCTTTACAGAAATTGATAACGCATATTACGGAATTTCATGTTGGAGGCGGCAAGGTACAATTTCTTATATTGGTAAATGGTGTTTCGATTTCTAAAAATATGAGTGTAGGCTACATACAGATGTGAATGGGAGAACTGTGCTCGAATTGATAAGCCATTTACAAAGCGACACAAAATGTACAATCATCTTCGCACACATACAGGTGAAAGGCCATTTGCATGTCCAAAACCAGGTAATTTTAATTTAAAATTAGCTGCCAATGTTATATTTTCTAATCTTTTGGTGCAGATTGCGAAAAGAAATTTTCTAGACCTGATTCATTAACTACGCATATCAAGACACATTCCAATGTGAGACCATTTGTGTGTAGCTTTAAAGGATGTGGAAAGGCATACTATCATTCCAGATCGTTAAAGAAGCATGAAAAGATCCATGAGGCGGCAGGGCAATCCTCATCATCCCCTATTTCTGTTGTTCCTGCTGCTGCTGCCGCCGCCGCCCCTCCACCACCATCATACGAGGAGGTTGTCATGGTAACCAACAGCAACTTTGACCCTATGCAAGCACAATTATTGCAACAGCAACAACAACAACAACAACAACAACAACAACAGCAGCAGCAGCAGCAGCAGCAGCAGCAATTGGCTTCAATGACATTTGATGCAAACATGTCCTATTACCAATCACCTCAACAGCCACCTTCATTAAACACAACACCTACACCGACTAATACAGCATCCTTCAACCCAACAACCCCTGTTAATTTCAACTTCCCTACTACACCAGTGACAGCTTCGACGCCAACAACTGCTGTCAATACGAACCATGAATTTGTTATTGTCAACAATAATATGATTCAAAATTATATGGGATCATCTCCACTTCCAGGTGATCATTAGATACTTTTTACATTATCCATTTAACCTATCTATATTCAAAGAGGCTGGCCCTTAAAAATTTCTCAAATCACCCACCCATTACACTATACATATACGCGATATATTCTCTTATCCTCCTCCTCGATTCATTCTCTTTGCCTTATTTATGATGTATTATATTTTCTTTTCTTTCCATTCTCTATGTAGCAAAAATTGATAAAAAAATAAATAAATCCAAAATGATGTTTTGTTTTATTTTTACATGGAGAGAAAAAAAAATCGTATGATTTAGAATGTGCTTTTAAAGTTTTCTACAATTTGCTCAAGAGATCGACCTTTGGTTTCAGGTACTTTGGACCAAGTATATACAATAGAAAGAGCAGCAATGCCAGCAAAGATGGCAAAGGAGTAGCCCTGAATGCCTGCGAATATAATGGGGAAAAGCTGTGCAATCAAGAAGTTCATGGCCCAGTTTATGGCAGTGGCTACTGCTCCCACTGCAGATGAGGCGTAAAGAGGGGTTAGTTCAGAAGTCATCATCCAAGGAATAGGTCCCACGCCAATGGCAAAGGAAAGAACATAGCCAAATACAGATACTACCAACAGTGCGCCAATATTGTAAACATAGCCAATGACCAAAAGGACTGAAAAAATGCAGGCACCACTTTCTGCAATCAGAAGCAATGCACGACGACCCATGCGATCAATTAAGAATAAAGAGATGAATGTCGATATAAAGTTGATCACTGTGGTTACGATGGCCATGTATTTTGACATGTCTTCATTGAAAGCCATCTTGAAAATAGTAGTTGAGTAATACATGACGGCATTCATACCGATCAGCTGCTGCATAATGTGGAGAGTGAGTACTGTCATAGCAATTCTTCGGATCAAAGGGTCGCGAAAGATTTGTATCATGCTCATTGATTCGCGCAAGCCTTCGTTGTTGCTATCTTGACTCAGGGTATCTTCTAGCATGTCAGAATTGAAGCTGCTCTTGTCAATATCTGCCGTTCCAAAGCTTGCATTACCACTGTGGCCACCACAAACTGCATTGGCCGTTGCAGCACCCAATTGACCTTTTACCATGCCATAAAACTCACGCTCGATAATAGCATTTGGGCGCAATCTTTGTAAACTTGCACGGGCTTCTTCAATGCGATTCAATGAGACCAAATACCGTGGAGACTCGACGCAACCTGCCATCAGAAAGAATTGCAATATGGCTGGTAATGCAACAATGACATAGTTGATACGCCATAAGGGCACTTTAGCTAAGGGCAAACTAATAACAGAAGCTAGCAGGATACCAATAACGATGAAAAACTGATTTCCAGTGCCCATAGCTCCTCTTGCTTTGATAGTTGATATTTCTCCAACGTATGTAGGTGTTACTAATGAACCAAGACCGCAAGAGAGACCGCAAAAGATGCGGCCAATGATAAACATAGCAGGCGATACAGCTACAGCAATGAGAAGTCCACCAATAATCCAGCCAACGTTATTGAAGATAATGGTGTTCTTGCGACCAAATCTCGTTTGAACCGTGCCACCAAACAGACCACCAAACAGGCCACCAATACAGAAGGAAGCCACTGCAAATCCCCATAGTGATGTACTCATAGACAGACAATCAGGAAATGATTTGCTGGATATGTGAGATGCACCGTATTCGCAATTGTGTGTTACTTCGCCAGGGATGTTGGCAGAACCAATCACCCAGCCATTACTGAACGAGCCAAGACATGCTATAACAACGCAGTACACCATGTAGCCTGGCATCTTGAGATCAAGTGAGTCCACCATGTCAAGTCCATGTGCAAAAAGAAGAAGAAGAAGGGTACATTTGATATGAAATAATGGCTCTTTTTTATAGCCTGCATGCAACAAGATGCAACCTTTTAATAGAGCGGCCATATGCTATCTAGACCACTTGCTGTAGACGGTTGGAAATAAAAGGAGTATGATTCATATATGGGCTGATGGTAGAAAGGGATCAGTAGTAGAATCAAAGGGGGTAGACTGGATAAAGCTGATGTTACGAACAAGGAGATGGTTGGCTTTTCCAGTAGCAGTTGGTACCGTTGACACCACTAGGCCATTGCCGTTAGGGTGGTTATCTAAAATACGAGGAATATGCTCTGTATTGTATGCCCATGATAATAACGTGCTAAAAGCAGTGATAAATTAACATGGCAGAAGAATAAAACAAAAATCAGATCAGTTACCAAAATTTTGCTGCTTTTTTGATAAATGCATCCGAGAGCACTCTTTTGCACACCCGACAGAAAGCGATCAATACTCAATTCTGTATGAATAAGCAAAAGGTTATGTGAATAAAGTTTTCTTATGCGTATGCAAGCGAGCATGGCTAATCATTATCAGCACATTGCAATGCTTAAATAGAGGTACGCATCAGACATGAGCACCCGCAATTGAGATCGCAATGATCAGACAGGACTATTGGATTCAGATATTTAGATAAAATTTATTGCAGAAATAGTCTAAAGAGAGAAAAAAAAACAAAGCAAAAGGTATTGTCTCATTTCTTTTTCAAATAAAGCAGGAAAGTGGAAAAAAATACAAATATATACAAAGAGAATCAAGACTTTATGCCTTAATAAAAGGTTTCCAGCCAGATCTGATCACACGAAGCGCCAAGCAAAGCAAGCCGCCCACAGACATCAGGAGACCGCAATAGACAGCAGCATAAACGTAGCCATTTTCGCCGGTAGAGATAATGGCAGAAGTAATTGGCGAGCCAAACATATACCCAAAGGTACTGGTAAAGTACAAAAGCCCATTGGCAGCAGTAATGTTATCGTATCCAGCAACCTCAGGAACAGACGAACCGTACATAGTAAGGTATGAAGCTCCTGAATACCCATACAATATGACATACACCCAAATAGCAGCAGATGTTTTTGCAGTAGTCCAGATAGCCAGCGTAAAAATACCAGACAAGAAAGTAAACACAAACAGACAATTGATACGACCAGCACGATCACTCAACCAGCCAGTGGAGAGCATGGCAACAGCATTCACAGCACACATAATAGCACCGAGGTTAGCACCAATCCAAGGATCCAAGCCAATGGATTCAGCATAGGAAGCCAAGTAAAAGGCAGGAGTAAGGTAGCCAAAGCAAGTGATTGTCACCATCAGCAACATAATTTGGAATTGAACGTTTTTGACAAGCTTCTTTTGCTTTTGGAACAGCTCAGAGAAGGACTCTTGCTCCATCTTGACAGCCTTGGGAGGCTTGACCAAGAACGTGGCGACTAAGCTGAAACCAAAGCACACAAAGCCAGAAATACGTAATGCCCAGCGATAGTCCAAATGAACAATAGCAGCTTGGACAATGTTAGAAACAATCAAACCGCCAATGCCAGAACCACACATACAATAGCCTACAGCCAAACCACGACGAGTTGTAAACCACTGTTGAGGAGCGGCCATACAGGGGAAAAAGATAAATGAAGCACCAATACCAAACATGACACCTTGAGTCAAGTACAAATGCCACATTTCATAACTGATACTAGCCAACATGAGGCCCAAGGGACACATGATGGTGCCAATGGCCATCATCTTGGTATAGCCAAGCTTACAGGTAACCCATTCATTAATAGGGCCGATGATGAAAAACAGGGCAACACAGATGGAACCGATCCATGACAGCTGATTCATTTGGCCAGGAAATACATTCTCATTGTAGTAGTTAAGGAACACACCCCAAGTGTAATTGACGCCATAGCTATATCGATAGAGAGTTAGCATACACAAAAATAAGGTCAAAAAGTATCAACATACATAGCAACCATGCCCTATAAAACAACAAATGTCAGCATTAACTGGATCAAACCATCATCTCATAGTTACTACTTACACAAAAGCCGCCGAAAACAGCCAGCCAAGCAGCTAAACCACCATTAGGAGGTTCTTCCACAGACATGTCAGTAACATACTTTTCCATATCATCTTCAATGATAGTGGATGATGAGTGATCCTCTCTGTCCAATTCTTCCTTTTGAAGACTGGATAGATCATCAGATGTTTTGGTATCATTCATTGTTGAAAGGAATGAGTATCTTTTTATCGAATTTTGTTGAAAAAAGTGGGGGTCTTGTTGTTGATGAGAGGGAGAGAGAGAAAACTAGCTCATCTACAGGCATTCAGCTCTTTTTATAGTGCGGAATTCCTTTGCTTGTGTGTTCTATGAAACCGAGAAAAGAAAAACTTTTAATTAAGCCTCTTTTTTTTTTTCTGGCCAGTTGATCCGATCTTGTTAACCAAAGAAAGCTCGGTTTCTTCCAAGATCTAGGATGAGGATGGAAATTAGTTGGGTATTAGCACTGTATTTTGACTTTGAACAGGGCACAGACATGCTGTTCATCACAAGGTGCTCAATAAATCTTGGGACAAATATTAAAAAGCTTAGTTTACATAAATACTATGTGATTCGGGAATCCCAAAATCGAGCAAGCAGTAAAAAATCAGAGTTAGAGTTGGAGCCTGCCCTTCAGCGGCAAAAATAGAAGCTCTTTCTTACTAAATAGAATCTCTATCTGCCCACAATGCGGTTCCAGTAATGAGTTTTTTGTTTTTCGAAACAATCCCTTTTTTTATGATGGATTTCTCAATACTCCACCTTACATTAGGTGTAACCTTATCTGCACTTTCATGTTCTGTGAAACCCGTTGACTTCCGCAACAAGAAGATGATGATGGAATATACTTTTACCTATGCGGGCGTGCTCTACACCATTAGAAATCGCTGCATTTTGGAGTCCAATGTATGCTTTTGCTTAAAGAGGTCTATAACCGTATTTCATGTCCTTGTAACCTCCACATTATATTTCGCATGGGCAAATGCGCCAGAAAATGAATGTATATATATCTTCAACTCAGACTTATCCGTTGAAATCTAGGGAAAGGTTCAACATCTATTAGTGTTATTGGCACTGTATCTCGATTAATATGAACCAATGATCTCCATAGAAGAGCTTATTTTGTCCATTTCTGATTGAGCATGTTTTTCAAAAATCTTGTAAAATAGACAGAACTAAAATTTCTATTGGTATTGTTACAAGCTCTCTTTGATTAAGGGTTTGCCTATTTTGTTCACCTATACATATGTCAAAATATTACCATTTGTGCTGTTCGCAACAGGTTTTGGTTGCTTTATATGTGTTGCGGTATAATTACAATTGCGTTGACTAACGCTAATCGTTTAAAGAATATTGCGCACTTCCGGCTCTTCGACACTCAAAGAATACTAGTTCGCTCAAGCTATTGGCTTCTGCCCTCAAAAAGTTGAAAGCTGGGGTACAGGCGGATTACTGAAGTGCCTGTAAATCAGAAGAAAGATTTCAAATGAAATTGGCATTAGATAAGAAAGAAGAACACCTTGGGGCAGCCTTGAGTCTATCAGCAAAGGACTTCAAGAATATCAATAGGGCTTGTGGGTCTAAGTATAGCTTAATTACCAAGCACTTGTAAATCTGGATTTCATATCTCATTTGGTAAAGTTGGTTTGGTTCCGAATTCTGTTGGAAGTGTTTTAAATCTCGCACGATTCTCAGCATTTGAAATAACTTAGAGGGTTTGTGTATGTCTCTACACTAACTAGCCAATCTCGCTATCTTCAATGACGGCATCGCCTTGTGGGTTCTCGCCCAAGACATTCCAAATCAAAGATAATAAAAATCTGGCATAAAAGTAGATTTTAAACAACCAATTAACAGTAAAAAAAAGAGGGGGTTATATCAAAGTCAGGAGAGCGAGTTATCCATTCGCTGATGTTGCTCTTGAGATGGCAGCATAAAGCTGATCATAAGTAAAAACAGGACTTATGTAAGATCTACAGTGACTTTTTTGAGATATTGTCATTGCAAAAGACACCTTTATGAGGCAAAATCCCCCAAAAAAAGTATTTGCGCTATTCGATTGTCCTTCCAATTCCATGACCCTCATTTGGTCAGCATCGCAATCATCATTGTCATCATCAGAAAGGCATTTGGGTCAGCCAGCAGCAGCGACGCCTGCCAAAATTAATTTAAACTCCATATATTTTTTTCTGTTCAAGATTGGTCAGATTTTGTCTTTTTTCGACCTCTTTAATCTATTTTGCGATATCCGACTATATAAACTGTAATGATCACCCTACGCTTCCTAATACATTCTTGAAGTACTTTTCAAGGCGCTTCCAATGGTGCCAAATGAAATAGATGTCTTGAATGAACTTATCAAGCAATTTTATAAAATATGAAACGGGATTTTTGGCCAAAATGTCGAAATTTTGCATATGAAAGTCTCATAAAAGTGGTTTCAGAGGTTGCTTTGGATCGAGAGAAACATTTTGATCCAATATCATAACATAATAAATGTTCAGTACTTTTGCACTTTACAATCCTAATATGGAACCTGAGTTTCAAGGCATCTATCTGTCCTGGCTCATATGAGAATAATGATTTTACAATCAATCAACAAAAACCACTGTTATTTCTACCCTCTTTCCTCTGCTCAATGCTGTCAATGTTTTATTTGAGCGACGTCTCAGAGCCTCAGAGATTTCATTACTTACTGCAGACATTTTATGCAACCCATGCATTGTCAATGTCCAGACTAACGTTATTAAATATAGAATGCAATAAAATATCATTATGAACGATATAGAAGGCAATAAAATATCATTATAAACGATAGTGCTATGACCTTCCACCTACTTTCTATACGCTTCGAGGGCATTTACTACTGTATTGCCTTATGAAAAGGGCATGAGTTTTCCAGCTGGCCCTACCAGCCAAAATTAATTCAAACTCAGAATCATAGTCTGTTCCAGATTGGACATATTTTGATAATTTTGGACTCGATCGAGCTATTTTTGCAGATTCGACTAAGTGAAGTATGATAATCACCCCATGCTTCCTTAAGCTTTCCTGGAGTACTTTTCAAGGCGCTTCCAATGGTACTAAGTAAAATAGATGTTTTGAAATCACTTATTGAATGATTTGTAAAAATATGAAAAGAGATTTATGGCCAAAATGTCGAAATTTTACATATCAAAGTCCCACAAAGATAATTTCAGAGGTTGCTTTGGATTGATAGAAACATTTTGATTCAAGATATACTATAGTAAAAGTCTTCATTATCAAGATGAAAAATGCGATCGTTTGATTTTCGATGAAAACCATGAGGGATACCTCATGCTTTTTGGTCGATTTTTGACCATGTTTTTTTGGTCCCCAAAAAGTCGAGCAAAAGTGTCAGAAAGGAACTGCCAGATGAAAGCAACCATTTGGGGCTATTCTGACGATCTAAAACGGCCTTGAACGCAAGAAAATTCAGCTCAAATGCACTCATACTTTGCTGTATTAGGGACACTAAGGACTAAAAAGTGGGAATACCAGTATGCTGCTTGCCCGTATATGAAGTAGCTACGTGTATATGGATGTAGAACATCACATAAGAATCAGATCCACAGATAATATGAAGGGTTACTATGTGTAAGTGGAGGGTCAAAATGAAAGTAGCAGTATTTTGATAAAATACGCAAGAGCAATCAGTAGCACGAGCTGCCGCTGCGCAGGTTGGTTCTCTACCTTCGCTACGCTTCGGTGAGAACCATCCGAAACATAAACACTCATATGATTAGTGATTATATATCAATCAACAATCAGGGTTCCTCTTCTAACATTTTAGCTATATTAATTTTGGGATATTAGCCAAAGGCCCGCGGCAGCGCGAGCCGTTTGAACGTAGGTTGGTTTCCACCGAAGCGAAGCGTAGGTCAGGAAACCACCCGAAGTGCTGAAAGGCTCGTATACCATAGTAAAAGTCTTCATTTTCAAGGTGAAAAATGCGATCGTTTGATTTTCGATGAAAACCATGAGGGGTACCTCATGCTTTTTGGTCGATTTTTGGCCATGTTTTTTTTGGTCCTCAAAAAGTTGGGCAAAGGAGTCAGGGAGTTACTGCTACTCGAGTACGATTGTTTGGCCTCATTCCGGTGGCTCAGGAAAGTCTACATGTCAAGTTATCAAGGCTTGAAAGCTGTCAAATTTGGGTATATTTTGCTTTATAGCTTGTATTTACACGGCATGAAACACATCTTTGGTAGCTGAAATCTTCTGGAAAGGCAGTTCTGTAGCTTGAGCAATCTTTAATTCGAATAGAAGGCAAATTAATTTTGGTACAGCTAATTCATACAAATTTTGATGCGCTTTGTTGCTGGTAAGCTTATTAATAATGGAAATGATAAACCGAATTTGCTGCTTGAATACTATGGTTTTGTATCTTCGCTTCGCTACGGTAAAACCCTCATTGAGATTAATATCACCAAATGATGGGTTAGAGGCTTAGTTGCCATGGTTTTGCACCTTCGTCTTACTATGGTAAGACCCTCTTATAGGCCAATGTTACTAGATGTTGGATTAGATGCGTTATATTCTTGGTGGATGGGCTTAGCACCTCCTCCAAACCCCCCTCCCCAATGCCGGCTTCATTCACCTTGTACGGTACTCAATTCTTTAAATTTTGAAAGAATATGGCTTGTTTGTCTACTTTTTTTTTGAATGTTTTACAGTATATATAGTGAAGATTATATAGATATATTTGACCAAGATCCAGTGATTTCAGATGCTTTAAATAGGTTAATCGCGCTTTACAAAAAACAATTCAAGCAAGCTTGCTATCATCAACAGACCAAGGAGACTACGAGGCATGTTCAATGTTTTATTTGGAGGTTTCAATTAATATTGATAGACTTAAATTCATGGTCAACATAAGAGCCATGAAAGGTAACAGCGATAAACTGACCAATCTTGATTCTGGCCAGTTCCTTCAAGTTAGATGCATCAAAAACAATGAAATAACAGCAATCAAAGTTGTTCACCAAGCTTAGTAATACGCCATCGTCTTCCTTGATGCCCGTAGGGTTAGGTACAAAAATGGGCTCAGAGCAATTGAATCCCTCCTCGAAAAAGGTGAGTGGTTTAGTTTGACCTGTCAAATCCACTTTGATGAGTCCACCCGTTTCGTCTTTCTTTTCAGTGAAGCCTTCCAACTGGCAGCCATATACAAAACGATTTTCTTTCTTCAAAGCATAGTCTTGATTGAATCGAGGAAATTCGACATTCTTAGCGAGTGTATCAATAGAAAGCGTAGTAGACTGATCCAGATTGAGTTTGTAGCGAACCAGATCGCCAAATCCTGATTGTTGCCGAGGAGGATTCGAGATGCCATTCAACGTAGTTTGCTTTACTTTTTTTGCAGCAGATCCTTTGCGATGAGGCGTACCGAAACTGTGTAACTGATGCATGATATCGCCATCGCAGAAGGAAGCGGCATCCATGGTCAGTATCGTCTCTCCGGATTCATTCTTGGCCTCGAAAGCATTGCCGACATGGAAGGTGAAGAAGCCAGGATTGACAGGAATAGAAGCAACGAGGCCTTCCTTTTCTTGCGCAGGATGACGGGCAATGACGTGGCAGTAGGTAGGTGTATCTTTGACCCAAGAGATACTGGACAAGAAGGAGCCATTCATCAGCATATTGGCACCGCGATCCTTGAGCACCATAGGCGATTCAGGAATAATTACATAGTTTTCCGTCAACCAGAGAGAATGAATATAGGGTGCTTGGATAGGAGACTTGTCTTTGCGATGAGTGAAATCAGCCATAATGGTCACTTTTCCAGCTTCTGAGGTACTGAAAACGACGAGTCTAGGGACAGGACCAGTTGTCAGGGCAAAGTTGAATATTTCCTTCGTGTTGGGGTCGTATTGATGATGAGCAGCGGATAATTGACCTTTAATGCGGGCATCATACGACGTGTAATTGAATATGTTTTGTGGCTCTGTACGAAAAAGCGTGAGTATATCTCCTTCTCATCTCTTGATCATGATACAAATATTTACCCAAGGTCTCTGCATGAATCTTTTGGAGCACATTCGCATCTGTTTTAGACACCAACACATTTTCGTTATCTGTCTTTTTGATTCTCGCAGGCAAGGGAAAGTTAGGAGTAACAGTGACGCCTACTGCTTGGCCATCAGGACGACCATCATGTCTGGATTTGGGAAACAGAATTAAGTTGTTGAAGCGAATATAAAAATTGTAAAGCCATACAGGAAACGTCATCTCGGGGATATGACCAAAGAAGATGAGCCCTTTGGATGCCTTGCTCTTGATTTTGGTTTCCAAAGATTTAGCTAGCATACGCGAGTTGTATTTGAGGGTCTGAGTGGAGCCATCGACTTCAAAACGATGCATGAATGGCAAACCGTCAAATGCGTGGCGAATGCTGAAAATGGAACCATCGTCCCGTTGGATGTTGAATCTGCCTGGACCTGAAAGAGTATGTATGTCAGCGCGACGTTACAAGGAGCTTTAATCCATGTCAAACTTACCAATACGATACATGATGCCGTTCAACCAAGAAGGGATTTGACCACTTTGAACCTGAAGCACAATTGGATCGTGTACCTCGGGCGTGTTGCTCAGCTTGTGAGACTTGAGAATAACCTGGAAGCGTTTGTAGACGTCGTTGTAGTAGTTGCGATACAGAAAGAGGATGAAGCCGCTCACTGGCAAAGAGATCAAGGTAAGCAATTCTGCAATCATGTTGGCAAACAGAAGGAAAAAGAGAATAAAATGTTGAAGAAAAGTAGAGAAATGCAAACGCATACATGCCTGTTGATATATTCATTGTTCGTCATGCTTATTACCTTAAACTCCTTTTTTTGCCCGTAAAAACCGATGGCAGTATGTTGCACATCCGATCAGCTTAACGGGTTACGGGGAGAAAAGAATATAAATGGTAATCTGCGTTACGAGGCAACCTTGATCTCATACGGGCGAAAGGTTGTTTCACTAGCGAAGCTTATTTACACCCATGAGTAAAGAATGATGCCATTACTGATTAGGCAACATAGGCTTTGTAGTTGATATGCGCAGCATTGTAGCTAAACTCTCTTCAATTATAAATTACTCATCCCATGTGTGAGTAGATATAAGTTCATGCAATGTAGTTGGCGATTTCACTTTCAAACTCTTATTATTATCTTGTTTTACAGCTCATTTGAGGAGTACTTCATTCATCTAATCAGGCATTAGCTTTTGCTGTATCAGAGCTCCCATCAAAATTGTCATTTGCAATTCTAAATAGGGCGGCCATTTACATTTGCCATTTTGGGTAAGCAAATTGCAGCACTTAAATCCATCAGATACAACCAAAGAAAATGGACAACAAACGTAACAGAAAAATGTAAGAGTTAAACTGTTGAATACATCTTAATACACAATCCCCTTCTAATTAGCTTCTGAATCATCAATTGACTGCATGAAAAGGTATTCTTGCTACCAACCTGTATTTAATTTCCACTTGATATTATGTCCTGATTTGATGATTCTTGAACTTTTTGAACTCGATTCGACCTATTCTGCTAGGTTCGACTATATAAAGTGTGATGATCATCCCATAGTTTCTAATGCATGGCACCTATGGCAATCTGTGATCTCACAATACTGCGCTAAATATCCTTTGATTTCCGAAATCATATATGGCACAGTGCGGTATCTACATCTTCCTCGCTTTATAAAAGATCGATCCAAGTATATCGCCGTCATATCTACCACCTTATGGCAAATGTGGAATCTGTATTGGCTTCACGGTTCACAGAACCCTGTAGCGCTCTCCACCGCCTCCATAGAACACTTTTCCTCCAGGACAGTCCGTCTAATTGATAGACTGCTACCTACTACAACATAATTCAGATTAGATGCTCATTTCGTTGCTCGAGGTCCACCACTCCGCGATGTGTCCCTCATAAAATAATATTTGAATAAAATAAAATATTAACTACATTTCTAATGCATTTCTGGAATACTTTTCAAGGCACATCCAATGGTGCTTAGAAAAGTAGCTGTTTTGAATAGAAATATCGAGCATTTTACAAAAGTATGAAATGAAGTTTCCAGCGAAAATGTCAAAATTTTACATATAAAGGTCGCACAAACAAAGTTTCAGGGGTTGCCTCGGATCAACAGGAGAATTTTGAGCTAACAATTGTAAGGTATGCCAGGAGGCACCTGAAGATGAATACCACATGGTCATCGGCTGCAGTAGTAAGTCCCTTTTCTGGTATGAGGTAGTCTCCCATCTCGGTCTTACTGCTAAGTTCCCTACTGACGCTGCCATTTGGCTTGGGCTGACTACCCTTCATGGCCAGGACAACCATCCTCTAGACATCTCCATCTTGGAACTTCTTGGCGCTGCCTTCTCTTGCGTGTGGCAACATCATTGGGGCTGCACCCTTGATGGTAAATCATAGCTTACTCAAACAGTTTTCTCGTCTTTTCTTGCCGATAACGCCAAGTTAATTTCCTCTTTCCTAGACATGTAAATACTAAATAGTACATTACTATCTAGTTTTTAATGAAAAACACATTTAAATACAAAAAAAAAAAAAAATTGAGCTAACATGTGCTATAATAAAAGTCTTCATTTTTGAGGTCAAAAACGCGATTGTTTGATTTTCGATGAAATCCATGAGGGGGTCCCTCATGGTTTTTGATCGATATTCGACGATCCCAAAAAAGTTGAGCATAGGTATCAGGAAGCAAGTGCTAGTCCAGAAAGACTGTTTGGTGCTACTCCAAAGGTCTATAACGGCTTCTAGCACGAGAAATCGCGGCTTAATTATATCAAATTTCTCTGTGATTTGTATACTTCTGAGGAATAAGAGGCAATACAAGTGTGCTTTCTGCTCACATATGAATTATTATTGTTAAGACAAATGTAGGACATCGTACAAGTGTTAGATTCATAAGCTTATGCTGTTTGTAAATAATTCTTATGCGATGATAAAACGTCGAAAACTGAAATCTCAACATACATCAGTGGGTTTACCTCCACTTTGCTGTATTCTTTATACTGTATCAATGCAGTTTTTGTCTCTATCTCTAAAAGCGCAATTTAATCTAGCTATAATTGGGATGGCTTACTGTTATGTACTATTCATCTCCAACTCATCACTGAAGTGAAATGTGTGCCATTTAGACCTCATAATGTAATGCATTTTGCTAGCAGTATTCCGCTTGAAATTGAAAGAATCAAGGGACGTTCAATGTTACCGTTCACAAGAGAGTTAATATAAACATATACAGGTTAGTGTAGTTGTCCCTTTAGGATGAAACGTTCGCTCGCTAGATCACAGATTCTCGGAATTCAATTAGATACATGGCAGATCTCACCATGCACCCACTAGTGATCCTATCATGATTGGACCTAAAGTGACGGAGGCATGAGCGGGTTGTTGATAACGAGTAAAATGCAACATCAGACTCATTTTCCATCTTTCAAATACAAACAACACAGAAAATGACGGACCCTTACGGAACACCTTATACAAATGATCCCGCAGACCTCAAATACATGCAACTGTCTATCAAGGAAGCCAACAAATCTATTCCGGCGCCTGCAGCATACTGTGTTGGAGCTGCCCTTGTCGATGTGCAAGGCCAGTTACTCAGTACAGGCTATTCACGCGAATTACCAGGCAACACACATGCAGAAGAGTGCGCACTCATCAAAATTGCTGACAAGGACATCAACACAGAAGGAGCTACCATGTACACTACGATGGAGCCATGCTCCGTTCGATTATCTGGCAATCGCCCATGCGCTAGTCGTATCATTGAAGCTAAAATAAAGCGCGTAGTAGTTGGCGTGCGAGAACCACCTAATTTAGTTACTTGTGAAGGAATTAACCTTTTGGAGAGAGAAGGCATACAGGTTGTTATTGTGCCCAATGTACAAGAAGCATGCCTAAAGCCAAATCAACACATTCTCAACAAATAAATAATGATTGGAAGAATTTGATTTTTTTTTATTGATGAAATATATATACTACAATTTGATGATCTCTTCAGAAACCGTTTTTCAACCTCGTTTACAAGTTCTTCCCCGACCATAAAAATTACAGAACAATCTCGAATTGTGTATATATATATAATGAATAAAGTGATCTAGTACCTTATAAGTTGAGATTGAGTTGATTTTTTACAAGAAGGTTGGTTAGTTTTTTACAGTTAAGATTGAAGCAGGATTTCCATAGAGTTAAGGATTAGAGGAGCGCAAGATCACAGAAGAGAGATATATAGGTGTTTAGATGGCGTTGGAAGGGTAGACAAAATCCTCGATAGGGACAAAGCTTTCCTTGATGGTACGGGTAGAGATGAAACGAGTCAAAAGAGACCAAGAACCAGCCTTATCGTTAGTACCAGAGGCACGTCCACCACCGAAAGGTTGTTGGCCAACAACAGCACCAGTACACTTATCGTTAATGTAGAAGTTACCAGCAGTGTTGCGCAACAAGTTGGAGCCCTTGACAATGGAATCACGGTCCTTGGCAAAGAAGGCACCAGTCAAACCGTATTCAGTGGTCTCGCCAACGAGCTTGCAAGTCTCCTCGAAATCAGCATCCTCGTAGACGTAGATGGTGACAACAGGACCAAAAATTTCATCAGTCATGGTCTTTGTGAGCTTGTCCTTGGTGACAATGACAGTAGGCTCGATAAAGTAACCAGTAGAGTCATCACACTTACCACCAGCAATGATCTCACAGTTATCATCAACAGCAGCGTGATCAATGAAGCTCTTGATCTTGTCGAAAGCAAACTTGTTGATAACGGGACCAGAGAAGTGGTGGAATTCAGTAACAGGACCTTGAGTGATCTTGGCGTGTTCAGCGGTCAATTCCTTCTTAAATTGAGCAAACAAAGAGGCAGGAACGTAGGCACGAGAACAGGCAGAGCACTTTTGACCTTGGTATTCAAAAGCACCACGGATAGTTTGCAAAGCAGCGTGACGAACACCAGCGTCATCGAGGCTAGGGTGCAACAAATGGTAGTTCTTACCACCAGTCTCACCAACGATACGAGGATAGCTCTTGTAAGAGTTGATGTTGTTACCAATTTGTTGCCACAACTTGCGGAAGACGTGAGTAGAACCAGTGAAATGGAGAGAGGTGAAATCGGGGCTGTTAATAGCATGGCCACAGATCTCTTCGGCAGGTCCAGGAACAAATTGGACGACACCAGCGGGGAGACCAGCTTCAACCAAAATCTCGTAGAACAAGTAGTTGGAGTAGACAGCACCGGGAGAAGGCTTCCAGACAACAACATTACCCATCAAAGCAGGAGCAGCGGGTAAGTTACCACCAATAGCAGTGAAGTTGAAAGGAGAGACAGCCAAAACGAAACCTTCGAGGCCACGGAATTCAGTACGGTTCCAAGTACCGGGAGCGTTCTTGGGAGGTTGTTGAGAGTAGATTTCCTCAGCGTACTTGCAGTTGAAACGCAAGAAATCACAGAGCTCAGCAGCAGCATCGATCTCGGCTTGCCAGATGTTCTTACCTTGACCGAGCATGGTAGCAGCCATCAACTTGTATCTAGTAATATGGTATTAACGTTAGTTACACTTGTACAAAAAGTGCGAGTGTGTGAAACGCATGTATTTACACACGTACAACATGTATACACGCACACACACACACACACACACACACACAATGCATGTCAATGCATTTTGGGCTAAAAAAAAAAAAAAAAAAACTTACCTATACTTGCTAGATAACAAATCAGCAGCCTTCAAGAAGACAGCGACGCGATCATTGAAAGGAAGAGCTTCCCAAGAGGCCTTGGCAGCCAAAGCACCATCAATAGCCTTTTGAGTAAGAGCGGCATCAGCTTCGTGATACTTGGCGACGACAGACTTGTGGTCGGAAGGGTTCAATTGTTCAGCAACCTTTCCAGAGTAGATCTTTTCACCGTTGATAACAATGGGAACTTCTTGAGTGCCTTGAGCGATCATCTCATTGACAGCAGCTTCGAGCTTGACACGCTCAGCAGAACCAGGAGCATAGTTGAGCTATAAACAATGCAAAACATTTGAGTATTCAGGTTGTGCGCCGGCGAATCAATGGGATCAAGGAGCAGCATGCTTACCATAGGCTCATTGTCGATTTGAGGTAACTTGAAGTGAGCGAGAGTAGGAGTAGCCATTGTTTATCAGAATTTAATGTGGAAAAGAGATGGGAGGGATTACTGGAATGTTTGATTCTTTTATAGTTTTTTTCTTTCTTTTTTACCAATTTGTTTTTAGTTTAACCCTGTCAAAGGTATAAATAAAGACTGATTGGATCCTCCACATGAAGTCATGGTAGGACTATACTTTCAAAAAGGCTTCTAAACCTTAATGTTACCAAACAAAGTTCTAGATATCCCCGCCTTTCTATACTAATCACTGTACAGAGGATGATTTGCCCGGCAATTCCCGGAGAATTAGTTATTGTTTGTATGCTGGCAAATGCATTATTTTAGAAAGTGCCTTGGAAAGGCATCTGAAAGGCATTTGAAAGGCATCTCAATTTATGAAATACCGACATTTGAAGAAATTGAAGAATATCTGTAGATGTCGATAATGCTGCTTTATCAAAGGCAATGCGACAGGTATATAGCAGAGATTATCGTGGCATCATTCATCAAGTCTATGTTCTCTAGATTTCCTTGTACCATGAACGTGAGATTTTTTATTTTTCATTTCATGAAGCAGTGAGAAAAGACAGTTTCGGGAGTTACCTCCATGGAAATTCGCTCTATCGTACAGGTACCACAAAATGGAATGGAAAAAAGAAAAGAAGCAAGAAAGATCGGCAGTCTAATCGAGCGATGAAGATAGTAGATGAGATTCATTTAGCACCTAATCATTATCTTAATTGATGGAACCAAAAGATAGATAATCGCAGTAATTAGGAGATAGATGTTATGTGTGTGCAACTCATTCCCACATCATGGTGAACGTATTATGAACATCTGTCAAACAGGTCCTTCCAGAGGCATCTGAAATGTTGCGGAACGAAAGCCATACAAACAAGCTCTTTAATTGGTTTAAATGGTGGGAAAATTAATATCAAACAGTGGGGTTGTTGTTCAGATCATAAAACTGATTCAATAAACCAATCATTCCCTCCCTCGGTGGCTGTTCCAAATCATCATCATCTTCATCCTCTCCATCGGTATCATGGTGTGCCGTAGCCCAAGGCTGGCTCTGAGTAGCAGCAAATGAATCACCCAAATTGCTAGGGACCACTTGGGGTATACCATACTGATTCAACTTGACACTGGGCTTGGCGTCGTAAGAGGAGGATGCTGCACTCTCGCTCTGGCTATCTTCGTTGATGACAACACCACGTCTGTGATTACTGATGTCTGCTAATTTCGACAAGTACATTGAACCAGCCATATCATTAGGCATCCACTTGGGGTTGTTTGCCTTGAAGTTGAGAAAACTTTTTTCCATTTTTCCTTGTTTGCTCAAATAGTACTCATCGTCCACTGTTGCACCTTGCACGCCATATTTCACATTGCCGTGTCGCTCAAAATCGAACTGAGCAAAGCTGCACACATAACCTAGTCCATTGACATGCACTGTAAACTCTCTAAAGAAGTCCACAATCTGATCCGCACTGTTTGGCAACGACAAACAGAGCACAAGAGGCGCAAACACGACACTGGTCAACTCCTGTATAAAGATGCCCACCTTGTAGTCAAACAGCTTGCAAAACTCGGCGCGCACCTGATCCGTGTGCAGCTTGTGCTTCCATTCTGCTGGTAGATAGTGCGTGTGTTCTACTACTTGTCGCAGCAACCGTTCAGGCTCGAATACTTGATTCTCATCAGGAATCATGCCACGTGTAACCGCAAAGATAGTACCTGTAATACCAAGATAGAATAAGACGGTGCCATTGGATGTGATTTCGAAATTGAGCAATGCTTCCGAATCAAATAATGTGAATAGTGCTAAAACGCCAGCAAAGGATCCAGCTAAAAAGGAGACAAATCTACAGCCAAAAGAAAAAGGAATGAGAAAATGGATTCTATATGAAACCATAATGGCAATGACATTTACCTGGCTATCAGTACAGTCTTCTCCTTGGGAAACTGGTTGATGTAGAGATTGGCGTGTTCATAGCTCTGGCTGATGCGATTCTTGAACAGATGCGGCAACTCGTTGAACTCACGAAACTTCCATTTGGCAAATGGCGTATACGATCTCGAACCAATCTCTCCTGGATTCTTGTGGTACTCTTCGAAATACCTGAAAAAGAAGTGCAGCAGCAGATAGCCAAAGATGAATGGAGCGAATATCAAGTTTAGCAGGCCCATAAAAATGAATCGTCGCTTGAGCCCTGCCACCAACACGTGCTTGTTTTTTTCCTTGAGAAATCGCTTCTTCATTTGCCCTCTCGAATCAAACACATAGCCCAGCAAACAGAAAGACAGGTTCCATTCAAGATCCTTGGTGAAAATGTATCGATCTCGTAGATAAGGTAGCGGAATGGTGATATTGAGAACATCCTTGTTGAATAGTGCAATGAGATAGTTTTCTTGACGCATGATTCTACTAGCGACATCATGCTCAGTCAGCCGGATATCATTTGTGTTTGGGTTGGTTTCTCTGATATCAATGATTCTGTCGAGCACCGTTTGCCATGAAACAGTCTGCATGTCTTGCTAAGAGAGAGAGAGAGCAACACAGGTAAGTAGGTTTCCGGGCAGATGATGATATCAAACTTACATCGGGCACCAGCAGTAGGTGAGTGTAAAAATTATGCATTTCACGTAGCATTGGCAGATCAGTAATGAATCTCAGTGCCTGCCAGCACCACCAGATAATAAATATAGAAAGAAACAGGAACTTGGTAGCTGATAATCTGGTCCATCTGTAAGTCGATGTGCCTAATGGGCATCCCATTCTGACTTACCTTGACAAGCATTGAGGCTCAACAACCTCTGCTAATGTGTGATGTGATGTAATTTCGGAATAGTTTATGCAACCGATGAGAAATGTTGAAAAGATGATGATAAATGCCAGTGTTCTACAGGTACATTAGTCTTTTTAGTCAGAGTATCCCAGCATCTAATACTCACAATAAATTCAGTAGTCTAGCTAATAATATACAGTAGAGCCCTTTGCCTTGATAGTACTCGTATACCCGTGTAAAGAAATCGTCCATATTCTCCACATTGGCCCATCGCCACATGGTCCTATCATATGTCGACACTCTTTCTCTAGTAGATGTTGTAGTTGGTATAGGGAGTGTAGACTGTCTTGACTGTTGCTGCTGCTGAGAAGGATCGACTAGCAGTGAATTGGGCGCTTCCAACATATCGTCATCTTCCTCCTCCTCCTCTTCTTCACCATAATATCGATAATGACGCTGCGGTCGTTGGTAATCTTGTTGCTGACTTTGGTTCAAATGATGGCTATCTTGTTGTTGATGCCGCGAACTTTCTGATACAGGGTTTAGAGTGAATTCCTCATCACTGTCACCCTCTGAAGAGTAGAGCAATCTGGAGTTGGACATGGTATGTAAAGTGCAGAATAGAGAAAAGAGGGAAAAAAAAGGAAAAAATTAAAATGTGCGGCGACTACTGCCACCACCACCATCACGGCATACTCACACATAGGATACACACACTCACCTTATTCGCACAATGGTAATAAGCCCTTATCTCTGGCAGTCTTTGTTGCTCTCTTGCACTCAGCTGATGCCAACGTGTTCATTTCAGTAGGCACACTGACCGTTCCCAAACGTATGCTTCTTTTTAAATCATACGCCTACCACTATGATGTCTCAGTGACCCCAGATTTCAACATTGAAAGAAAGAGGGCATGCCGCTTAAATCAGCGCAATATGGATGGCTATGGCAATTTGTTGCATAAAAGCACTGTGTAGACGATAATTACATAAAACTCGAGTTGTATATTAAATCAGCAAGGGATAATCAAATATAAATTTATATAATTTATGTAAAAAAAAAAAAAAAGAAGGGGGGAGAGGCTTTTCGATAAATTTAGACAATAGCAAATGTCAAATCTATAGGGCAAAATCCCTGCTGCTTGGTCCCTCCTGTTGGAATCCCTTCCTCTTCTCTCCCTCCCCCCAAAAAAAAAGTATAAAATAAAGAGCAATAAAAATGAATCCTCCCTTGGTTTATCATTCTTTTTTTCCTAATTTCCTTACTATTACCATGTTCAAGTCTATTTTAACGTTCATGATGGCTGCTTTGGCCATGGTGGTTGTGGCAGATCAAATCTATATTTACGGTCCTCCATCCAATGGCATCTATCATCCCAAGGACATTATGGACATTAGATATCATGGTAAGTCATCAGGGCTATTGTGTGAGTGATTCCATGTATTGACATGGTGCATGTCATAGTGCGCTCTGTGGGCATGACAAAGATTTGGCAGACATCTGCCACATTGATCCATGAATCTACAAATACCACCATAGCGTCATTCCCGATCGCTAGCTGGAATGCTTCTGCAGAGACCAACTATGCTCATACTACATGGACAATCCCTGCTGGTCTTTCTACTGGTAATTATATAATGACGATCAGTGGAAAGTGAGTATACTATGCAAGTGTATATGTGTGAGCTGTCGATTTATTGATCGCATTCCTCTATTATGATAGCGCTACACGCCTTTGCTCCAAGAATTCAGATGGAGCAGGTAAGCTAATGATGTTTGTTTTGAGAGAGATAATTGCATTGCTAATTTACTATGAATAGCTCCCTTCACTCAATGTCAAACAACCTTGTACGAGTCTAGATCATTTGTTATCAACAATGGCTCATTTTTTGCTTGAGAATCTCCCTCAATCTATATATGTAATATCATTCATTGTCTTTTTATTGTCATTTAAATAAAATTGTATCATTATCTTCTTCTTTAGAAAGCCTAAATGCAAATGAAAGGGGCAAATGACATTTGATAATCTTGGGTATTCGGTTATACAGTCGGCGTTATTCATTCATTTGGGGGGGGGGAGGGTCTATTCATTAACAGAGCGCATGATACGCACATAGCACCTTGTATTCAGTGCTTTGGTAGCATTTCATATGCTACACTTTGAGATCGGCATCTACCTTAATCAGATTTAACAGACAGAGCTACCATTTTACTTGACTATTTGTTGTCGATATTAACCATGATGATATAAACAAAGTCTGGTTAGTAAACAAGCAATTTTCTGCAAGTATTTCCTGCAGTTTCACTGTGTAATGCGCGCAACATTTATTGCATCTTGCGGAACAGTAACCCTTGGCAGATCTGTTGCCTCGGTTGATTAATGTGAAACCATAAACCAGCCTCCGCAAGTGGTATGTGCGCATTGATTTCATGAAATTCGTGCCATGATAAAACTGCTCCTCCTGAATAGGGTTTCATACAGACACAGAACATTTTATTCTATCAATTTGTTACGATAATACAATCAAATCTATCGAGTTTGTACGCAAACGTATAATTGAGTGCAGCAGGTTTAGTCTGCAGTTGCCATGTGATTTCATGTCATCTGTCTAGAGATGGTTGTTCAACTGCTTCATTGACTCAAAAACATCGTTCGAGAAAACGAGGCAAACGTTATGCAGCATTACAGAGCATGATTCCCAACAGTTTCAGTTCGAACGTACTCAGACATAACTAGGTTCGTCCGAATAAGCTTTTCAGTAAAGTATACTATTGATACCACCACATCCCAACATTTATTATTTGGAAACAATCTATTTCATTTATTAGTAGGTATAGAATTACAGACTTGATACAGATCATCTCAACAGTTCTTCTGGGCCACTTACTGACTCCATACTTATGGCACTTTTGATTCGTACAAGGCAGAATATTATACATTTACACTTTCCCCTTTTCTTGGCGATGGACATGCTTATGACCTAGCTCGTCGTTGCTCTATATTGTCTATATGTATACGAGCCTTTCAACACTTCGGATGGCTTTCTGAAGCACCTTGATTGTTGATTGATATAAAATCACTAATGAGATGAGTGTTTATGCTTTGGATAGTTCTTTACTTTTGCTTCACTTCGGTGAGAACCAACCTGCGCAGCAGCAGCCCGCTCTACTGATTGTCCTTGCGTATCTTATCAGAATAATGCTACTTTTATTTTGATCCTCCACTTACACATGAAAAGCTTCCACATTACCTGTGGATCTGACTCTTATCTGATGCTCTACATCCATATACACGTAGCTACTTCACACACGGGCAAACAGCATACTGGTATTTCCTCTTTTCAGTCCATAGTCTCCCTTATACAGCAAAATCTGAGTGCACTTGAGCTGCGTTTTCTCGCGTTCAAGGCCATTTTAGATTGTCAGAATAGTACTAAACAATTGCTCTCATCTGGCTGTTACTTTCTGACACCTTTGCTCAACTTTGTGGGCGAAAAAAAAACATGGCCAAAAATCGACCAAAAAGTTGAGCAAAAGTGTCAGGAAGTTACTAGTACTTAAATACAATTGTTTGGCGTCATTCTGGCGGCTCAGAATGATCTACGTGTCAAGACATGAAGGCTTGAAAGCTGTCAAATTTGGCTACGCTTCATGCATTTGCTTGTCAATAGGCACCTTTTTGCTATGATGCAAAGGCGTAAAGACACTATATGAATTAATCTAGTTTTAGAGCATGCTGTTACATCCAAATATTCAGCTGGAAATATCAGATTGAGTGGCATTGTTGTATCGCTGTATCATAGCGCAATAGTGCAGCTTATTACAGAGACGATGGCAGCTGAAAGGCACGTTGGACATTCTAGACACAATAGATTGTCTGTATCTAGTAAAAATTACATTATAAAATAGAATTATTTAGAATATAGGTGGTCCACAGCCTAGTATGTCAAATCACTAGGTGGCCCGTAACCTATATTTAAAATTATCGTATATGCGTTTATAGCAAGCCATTAGACATTCCTTATAGCGAGGTCAAGTGTAACAGGGATCATTGACTGCTGGTTGGCATCTGACATAATGCGACATGCTGCCCTGTATTTGTGTTTTAGTTAGCACATACTGTATAATCTACTGTAGTATACTAACTTGTTTACTCACCATTCGTTCAATTCTCATTTTCACCATTTATCATGCAGTTGAAAGCGATGGCACGTAGGCTCTTGATCATAACGTTCGCCTCGCTACTCTGTGGGAGATAAATGATCTACTAGCTAGATCTATTGCTAGTTTGGCATCTGTATTGCGACCTGTTTTGAGATTGCCTAGCACAGAGGTGGTGCATCTTGCTCAATGGGTCAGATAGGCTGGCCAAGTTGACTCTCGCTACTTGATTCTCCGGCAAATAGATAGCGCCTCTTCACCGTTATAGATGACACTAGCAGTCTTGATACCATGTAGAACGAATGTTGTTTGCTCAGGATGTAGTCGTGACAACATGCAAGGATGTTCTGGTGGTAATGAAAATATAAACGACAGTTTAATTTGACAGCATTTACTGGCAGTGTCAACATGGTACACTCCTGTTTAATGTGGAACATTCAAAAAACATTGGGAAATCATACAGCACGCGAAATCACTCTTGTCAATGATTGATAGCAGGATCTGTTTGCATAAGTTGGCAAATTGGCATAAAATCCATCTTAAATGAAATTAAGAATTGAATCATACAATCAATACAATGATATCAAACTATATATTTCGTAATTCAACATATTTAAACTGTATGCTACATAAAAAATTTACATGGCATAATTTACGTATTGAAGCAGGGCAAGCAAATGTATGCGTTCACAAAATTCATCTAACAGAGATGCGACCATTTATCAGATCAATTGGCCCTAAAATTTGTGTAAAGATGGAATTATAGAGCATGGCCGATGAAATATAAAATGTCCATCAATCAGCAAAGATCTTCCAATTGACTGACATTGCAATGGTATCACAAAGAATCGTGATGAAATCTACGCTGTTTTGTGAAACTATTTGCATGGAATGTTGTTCCCCTAAAAGACCGTCCTTTTTTTTTCTGCAATGCGATATGAGAAGGAATTTGGAGCGAGAAGGGTATTTCGGATTCTTTTTTGTTTGTATAATATTGTATACAAATGATGTCAGAGAATAGCACCGTATCTTGCATGAAGGCAAGAGATGCAGTAATTGAAAACAACGACAAGGTGCCCTCTCCTGTAAGACCCTCATTCAGCCATTCATTCATCTGATTACTCTCTCACACATCCATAGATGCTGGATATAGAGCAAAGTGTGTCCAAGCTGCTGATGACAACCAAGAGGCTGCTAGAGACGCTAACTGCCTGGTCCTCTGGGACAGCCAAGGATACACAAGTGTATGACGAATACAATGCTCTTGAGGTTCATTTTGCGTGTGCTACACAGGCATTTGAATCCGTAGCATTGCCAATGGAGTAAGTAGTCTCGTTTATCAATCGTTCACCAGCCATCTCACAGGATGAATAGAGACATGCTCCATCTGCCAGACGATCTATACGAATGCCTCAAGACAACATTATCTAAGGAAGCATCTTCGGCAACGTTGGAGAAGCATTTACCAGCAATTCGAGATACAATCATCAAATTATTGCAAGGATTGAAAAGGAAGCAATCTTTGCTAAGAGAGAGATATGATTCGAGCAACAACACAACTCCTACTTCCAGTTCGAAGCTATTGTCCCGTGCAGCATCTCACTTATCGCCATTGCACACAACAACTTCTTCTATGACCATGATGCCTTTACCCTCTCCTTCCTCATCCACCGAGCCCTTGAGAGTGCAACAACGCCAATCATTGCCCAGATCGCCCGTATCGCCCTCTGCGAGGGAAGAGTTTGATATGAATGATCCCAAAACACAAGATGCCATGAATGCATTGACGAGACAGGAGAATTTAGCGAGACGATCGTCTGTTCGACGCACATCTCACCACCATTTGACAGTGGATACAGCGGAGAAAACCCACGTACCTGGTAAATAGACGCTCAAGTGCATACAGGGAATAGGTGCAGAACTAAAAACCCTCCGTAGATTTCATTGACATCTATTTGAGGAAAGGAGAGCAAGTCAAGAAAACCAGCATTCATGCAGATATTAAATTGGAGGAAGTTCGGCAGTTATTCCGTAATCAGTATTCAGTAACCAAGGAACAAGAATTTGAAATCTACATTTTAGACCCTGTGTCGAATGTGGAATATGAGCTAGAGAGGCTAAATGATATCAAGCCATATTCAATTATATCCTTTAAAGGTATTTATAGTGTAATGATGATGATTTGATGGTGCAATTTACACTAGCTTGTTTTAGAAAATACGATGGCGACGCTACCCAGCATTGCGGTAGACGTAGCCAAAGAAATGAAAAGCTTATTTGAAGATACCATGCAACAAATGTTGACTCGCCTGGAACAAAAACAATGTACCAATATACCCCAAGAAAAGATCAAGGAGCAGCAAAAGGAGCTCGAGTCACTGCGTCATGACTTAGCCAGCATTCATCAATGTCACAACGACTACAAAATGGAAACAGAGCAACTGATTGCAGAGCTAAAGGAAAAAAGCAGCAAAATTGCTGCTTCTACTGTCGTCATTCTAGACGAAAAAGCACATGCCGAAATGAATGAAAGTAGAGAAGTGACGCAAAAAGCAGCTACACTTATTACGAGTCGACTAGAAGCACTGCAAGATACCATCGATCAGCTCAAGCTGGATGTTACACAGAAGAGATGCCGACCCTCTAAAAGCCAATTAAATCAATGTCAAGAAGAATCTGATCGATTGAAATTAGAGATGAATGATCTTCAAGCTCGCATCAAAAAATTCAAACCCATTTGGAAAAAGACATGGGAGGTTGAATTGCAGCAAATTGTCAAGGAGCAGCAGTTCTTAAAAGAACAAGAAGCCCTATTAGTGGATCTAAAGGACGATCATAAAGCTGTGTTGAATGTGCTGGGTCAACTGGTAAAGATATCTGAAATTCAAGAACGTAAGAAGCAGCTTGGTGTCGAGTTTCGTATGGCGCCTCCAGCAGAGGAAGGATTTGAAGGCATGGCAAGTGTGATGAAGGAGGTTTCCAATATCCATGTGGATCATTCTCAGAGAGTCAAGGCGTTAGCGCAGGCCGAATCTAAAAGGTCCAAAGAACTCTCACAACGAATTGATGCATTTGAAAAGGAATTAACTGATTTTGTGGGCCTGCGAAAACTGAAAAAGACAGGTGGTGCTCAAGCAGTTGATAAACAAAGACAGGAGAAGGATAAGGCTATGATGAAGCAAATCTTTGCCAATAATTCAAGCAACAATCATGATGTAACTGATGCTTCTTGCAGTAGCAGCCATGACAATAGCAGTCTTCACGATGAAACTGCTCCCTTGGATCAAGGAGACCATGCTGAAACCTCTTGTTCTCCTCCTATGACTCCTATCATCGAGGAAGAGGAAGATGTGCCATCTCTAGCAGCACTACCACCATCAACCCTACAGGTATCGACTGTGGAAGAAGAAAAAGAATAACTTATCCCTTTGAAGCATATGAAATTATAGAAGCATTTCGAAGAAATCTCTGTTGTACAAACGATTTGATCAATCTCGATATGTTTCCATGACGTTATGGTAAAGTTTAATTATTGAAAAAGTATATATAAAATGGGGGAATATCATTTTTCTTTCTTTTTTTTTCTTATTATTATTCTCACACAATAAACCAACACATACATTTCATACACTTAAAATGAAGTTTTCTACCCTGCTTCAATTCAAGCCAGAAGAACAAGTCGTAGCTCTTCCTATCGATTCTGTGTCCACTAGTTTCTGCTCCTGCTGTGGTGTCGATGTGGCTCAATTTAGGTAAGGCACAGCTAGTTTATATCGTGCTGAAATCTCAGTATTGATCAAATGTTGTATTCTTAGTCATGAATTTTGGTGTCGCTTCTCCATGAATTAAACGATTACAAAGCATTACTGACTTGATCCCTCTGTACATAATGACTATTTATCAAGAAAGATTGAAGAATATATACAAGCAAAGGAGTTGAACCTCTGACATCCATTCACAGCAACAATTCATATATCATCTGTCATCATCACTATTTATATCATACTATCATTTCCTCCCTACCATCTATATATATATCCCATCTTTCAACTTATACATATTCATGCCACCATTCTTAATATATAATTTTTCCTCGACACTCCTAGACAATAAAAAAAATAACATCATATATACTTCAAAAGACCCATTTTGTCTTTTTTCAGGTGTAATGACGTTAGTTGTGCACCATCAGTCAATATTTTAGGTGTAACAGTGCCGGGATCCAACCTGAAGGAACATAGATGTATGTCTCCCTGACAACAAAATTATCACCCCACACGTTTTCTGTTGCGCAGGAGCCATCAATGCCACCGTAGATCCCCCCACCAACATTGTTTCTACTGCATTAGTAGACTTTGCATTGCAAAAGCATTTTACTCGATGAAGATATGGGAATACTCAATGCAAAACAAGCGTTTATTTCGTCATTTGATCATATTCCTTAAAAATACCTCGTGAATGCAAGAAGAAACTTTCTACCATATACAGATGTCTTTTATGACTGATTCATTTTGCGATTGAAATGTCCACATATGGAGCTATGTCGCACCATTTGAAGCTTCATCCTGTTTGGTCGCTTTGTGTGTGAGCTGTATCTCATGTCGGCAAAAGTAATATGTCTTGATGCAGAATTCGCTTTGAGAAATGTTCATCCGGCGTAGAGTGTTCATTTGAACCTTGTAAATGATTTTTCCGTTCCAAGACTATCCGATGGCAAAACAACCTTAAGTCCAGAACCAGGATATCTCGATTTGCCAGCAATGTAGGACGAGGAAAGTTATTATTTGAACATCATTTCACTGGACCATATTGTTTCACCAAATTTCGGTGAATGATCAGTAATTCAACTAGTACGCATGAGAATGCAAAAGAATTTTTTCGAACATTCAACGGTGTTCTGCTCCATTAACCTCGATTAGAACTCGATTGCATCGTATTTCTCTAAAGAAGATTCTTTAGCATTCGCCTGTGTGTAATATACTAGCACTTTATGGCATTTAATACTATTACGTAGCCTTACTGAAGTCGAGATTTCCCACCGGAACTGAATAAATCAAAAAGCTTGCCTACAATTATTGACGAAATTTGGTTTCAAAGTCTTTTCATGCATTGGTGAGACGGCATTGGCTTGTTGTTTGTAGCATTCAGGAGACAAATCTTAGCGTTTTGATTCTATTACACCTTGCATTAAAGTGGTGCTCTGTTTTGAAGACTAATCACCAGAATGCGTACTACTAAATATGATGGATCAATTAGATCGGACAATAGTATTCAATGTGCATATATGCAATGTGAAACGCATGATGTGGGAATCAACTTCTTAACATCAGCAGCTTGAGAAAGGTATTACTGGAATTATTTCAATGCATTACCTACCACATGCCAGCTTTAGATCGAGAGGTCGGAATCATTCATGATGATTTGGACACATCTATCCGCTCATTCTGACGAATGAACGACGTTTGTCGATCTACAGCTATCCAATAGTTGATAAAACGTGCAAATCAGAAATCATATCCGTACGAAGGAAAAGAATCATCATAACACAATAAATTTATAGTTTCTAGACACTTTGACAACCCTAATATGGAAAATGAGTTTGCCAGGCATTTGTCAGGCATGGTTCATATACAGTATGACTAGTGATTTAATATTAAACTACTATCAATTAACAATCAAGTTTCATCTAAGATTTTAGCTAGTATTAATTATGCAATATCAACCAATGGCCAGCGGTAGCACGAGCCACCTGAGCGTAGGCTGGTTTCCACTAAAACAAAGCGTAGGACAGGAAACCAACCGAAGAGTCGAAATGGTCATCGTAACGTAATAAATTTATGGTCCCTAAACACTTTCAAAGCCTCAAGAAGGAAAGAAGTTGATCTCACAAGTATTTTGATAAACTGGCGTTATTAAATATAGGATGCAATGAAATAGCATGGCTAACAACAGTGCTATGTAATTTGCTACCTACTTTCTATACGCTTCAAAAGCATCTATTACTATATTGCCCTCATGATAAAAAGGGTATTGAGTTTGCCAGCAGGCCACACCAGCTGCTGCCAAAATTATTTTAAATTCAGGTTGTCGGTCTACTCCAGATTGGCCAGATTTTGATAATTTTTCGACTCGATTGATCTCTTTTGTCAGATTCGACTATATAAAATATGACGATCACCCTATGCTTCCTTAAGCAGCCCCTGGTGGTAGGGCGAAGTGGTAAAACTCCCGTATGCCAACGGGAGGATCCCGGTTCAAATCCTGGTGGACGCAAGTTGTTTGATTTTTTGACGTAGTACTGATGTCCTCGTTTGGTGTTTTTGTACTCTTATCCATGATCTATATTTTGACGATTTCCGCAAGACTGTACTGGCTCTAGGAGTCGCACCTTATTAGTAGTAGATTTCTTTCCCAACTTAGTTCAAAATATCTTATTCCCCTTCTTTGCAGACATTGGGTCCACCAACAGTCTTTTCTTTCCCTCAGCATGACATTTTAAGGACTTTAAATAAAACCTGGAGCTCGACTCCCCTACAAAAAAAAAAAAAATGCTTCCTTAAGCTTTCTTGGAATGCTTTTCAAGGCGCATCCAATGGTACCAGATAAGATAAATGTTTTGAATAGAGTTATTGAGTAATTTGCGAAAATATGAAAAGAGGTCTTTGGCCAAAAAGTCGAGATTTTTCATATCAAAGTCCTACAAAGATGATTTCAGAGGCTACGTTGGATCGATAGAAACATTTTGATTCAATATCATCATAACATAATAAATGTTCAGTACTTTTGCACTTTACAATCCTAATATGGAACCTGAGTTTCAAGGCATCTATCAGACCTGGCTCATATCATAACATAATAAATGTTCAGTACTTTTGCACTTTACAATCCTAATATGGAACCTGAGTTTCAAGGCATCTATCAGACCTGGCTCATATCATAACATAATAAATTTTTTTTTTATAAGGAAGTGAGCACTTCTGTTTTTATTTAAAGTCCTTAAATCGTCACCTAATATAGAGGGAGGGGATATAAAGACTGGAGGATATAAGGGGAAGCTCAGATAATTGTATCGAAGGAAAGTTGGGAGTCTAAATTGAGGAGAGTACGATGAATGGAGTGGATGACAGTAGATGGGATGAAAGGGACGTGTTGGAAAACTTGGCGGTAATGAGCAGACCAGATAGCCTGTTGGATGCAAGCAAAGACCTGGAACACGGATAATGCAGGAAAAAGTTCATGAGATGAGCGGTCAATATCAAGGCGAAGGTGGAGGATGGCAATGTATTCCTCGTACGCAAAGTAAGAGAATCGAGGTGAGATGTAAAGAGAGAGAGTTTGTCGCCAGACGTCCAATTTTCGAGGACAGGAAAAGAGGAAGTGCTCAGTATCTTCGATGATAGTGGGGGTTGTGGATGACGAAGACTGACAGTGAGGACAGTACGGGGTAAATGAATCGCGAAGCCGTTGATGTAATAATTGACGAGTAGTAACTTTTTCATGAAGGATCCGGAACCAAGTATTGCGAGCATTCAAAGGAATCTGGAGAGTCCAAAACTGCTTCCATTTGGCAACATCTAAAGGGGACGAATAAGAGGAAGGGTTAGTGTGAAGGGGGAGGGATTTGAATCCTTGATTAGTAGGGAGGGATAAAAGGAATGAATGAGACTCAAAAGAAAATGAAGTTGCCAATAAAGAGAGTAGAAGGGTGGATACGAGGCTGATACTATCGGAATAGTTGGTGATGGTGGAGAGGTCGATATGTGTGATGTTTGGACGAGGGACAAGGAGCAACATGTTGAAGTGAATGAAGTTGGTGAGCAGTAGGTTTTGAGCCTGAAGAAAATTGATAGCGCGTAAGCTGGTGGGTTGGTGGGGTAGGCCGATGACCGAAGTGCGAAGTTGAAGAGCTTGAGTGGTGATATCAAAGATGAAAACATCATTACCTGTAAGTTGAAGCACTCTGGGGTAGTGTTTTACCACTTCCTTTGGTGAGCGAAATGTAGGCGATAAGCTATGGTTGGGTGGAAGGTTATGTTCAACCAAGGTCGAAAATGGCAGGCGTAGACAAGTACTGAAGGAAACATGACAGACACCAAACTTGCGAACAATGGTATCTACGGCGCGAAGAAGGTTGTAGAGAGGAGCGATGACCTTTCTGGCGCTTGATGGCCTACAGGCAGGAAAGAGGAGAGACCAGTGGTAGGTGGGGTATGAGGGAGTAGCGAGGAAGAAGTTGAGGATGACACGGAGATAAGGAAGAGAAGTCTTGGTAGGGGGAGTGGGATCGGATGGGTGCAAAAGTGGATGAAGCCAGCGCCACTGAAGGGCGTTGATCTGCACAGCAGGATCCAAAAGACCAAGGCCGCCATGAGACATAACATAATAAATGTTCAGTACTTTTGCACTTTACAATCCTAATATGGAACCTGAGTTTCAAGGCATCTATCAGACCTGGCTCATATCATAACATAATAAATGTTCAGTACTTTTGCACTTTACAATCCTAATATGGAACCTGAGTTTCAAGGCATCTATCTGGCCTGGCTCATATCATAACATAATAAATGTTCAGTACTTTTGCACTTTACAATCCTAATATGGAACCTGAGTTTCAAGGCATCTATCAGACCTGGCTCATATGAGAATAATGATTTTACAATCAATCAACAAAAACCACTGTAATTTCTACCCTCTTTCCTCTGCTCAATGCTGTCAATGTTTTATTTGAGCGACGTCTCAGAGCCTCAGAGATTTCATTACTTACTGCAGACATTTTATGCAACCCATGCATTGTCAATGTCCAGACTAACGTTATTAAATATAGAATGCAAGACGATGTCATTATAAACAATAGTGCTATGACCTTCTACCTACTTTCTATACGCTTCGAGGGCATTTACTACTGTATTGCCTTATGAAAAGGGCATGAGTTTTCCAGCTGGCCCCACCAGCCAAAATTAATTCAAACCCAGAATCATAGTCTGTTCCAGATTGGACATATTTTGATAATTTTGGACTCGATCGAGCTATTTTTGCAGATTCGACTAAGTGAAGTATGATAATCACCCCATGCTTCCTTAAGCTTTCCTGGAGTACTTTTCAAGGCGCTTCCAATGGTACTAAGTAAAATAGATGTTTTGAATACACTTATTAAATGATTTGTAAAAATATGAAAAGAGGTTTATGGCCAAAATGTCGAAATTTTACATATCAAAGTCCCACAAAGATAATTTCAGAGGTTGCTTTGGATTGATAGAAACATTTTGATTCAAGATATACCATAGTAAAAGTCTCCATTATCAAGATGAAAAATGCGATCGTTTGATTTTCGATGAAAACCATGAGGGATACCTCATGCTTTTTGGTCGATTTTTGACCATGTTTTTTTGGTCCCCAAAAAGTCGAGCAAAAGTGTCAGAAAGTAACTGCCAGATGAAAGCAACCATTTGGGGCTATTCTGACGATCTAAAACGGCCTTGAACGCAAGAAAATTCAGCTCAAATGCACTCATATTTTGCTGTATTAGGGACACTAAGGACTAAAAAGTGGGAATACCAGTATGCTGCTTGCCCGTATATGAAGTAGCTACGTGTATATGGATGTAGAACATCACATAAGAATCAGATCCACAGATAATATGAAGGGTTGCTATGTGTAAGTGGAGGGTCAAAATGAAAGTAGCAGTATTTTGATAAAATACGCAAGAGAAATCAGTAGCACGAGCTGCCGCTGCGCAGGTTGGTTCTCTACCTTCGCTACGCTTCGGTGAGAACCATCCGAAGCATAAACACTCATATGATTAGTGATTATATATCAATCAACAATCAGGGTTCCTCTTCTAACATTTTAGCTATATTAATTTTGGGATATTAGCCAAAGGCCCGCGGCAGCGCGAGCCGTTTGAACGTAGGTTGGTTTCCACCGAAGCGAAGTGTAGGTCAGGAAACCACCCGAAGTGCTGAAAGGCTCGTCATAACATAATAAATGTTCAGTACTTTTGCACTTTACAATCCTAATATGGAACCTGAGTTTCAAGGCATCTATCAGACCTGGCTCATATCATAACATAATAAATGTTCAGTACTTTTGCACTTTACAATCCTAATATGGAACCTGAGTTTCAAGGCATCTATCAGACCTGGCTCATATCATAACATAATAAATGTTCAGTACTTTTGCACTTTACAATCCTAATATGGAACCTGAGTTTCAAGGCATCTATCAGACCTGGCTCATATCATAACATAATAAATGTTCAGTACTTTTGCACTTTACAATCCTAATATGGAACCTGAGTTTCAAGGCATCTATCAGACCTGGCTCATATCATAACATAATAAATGTTCAGTACTTTTGCACTTTACAATCCTAATATGGAACCTGAGTTTCAAGGCATCTATCAGACCTGGCTCATATCATAACATAATAAATGTTCAGTACTTTTGCACTTTACAATCCTAATATGGAACCTGAGTTTCAAGGCATCTATCAGACCTGGCTCATATGAGAATAATGATTTTACAATCAATCAACAAAAACCACTGTAATTTCTACCCTCTTTCCTCTGCTCAGTGCTTTCAATGTTTTATTTGAGCGACGTCTCAGAGCCTCAGAGATTTCATTACTTACTGCAGACATTTTATGCAACCCATGCATTGTCAATGTCCAGACTAACGTTATTAAATATAGAATGCAATAAAATATCATTATGAACGATATAGAAGGCAATAAAATATCATCATAAACGATAGTGCTATGACCTGCCACCTACTTTCTATACGCTTCAAGGGCATTTACTACTGTATTGCCTTATGAAAAGGGCATGAGTTTTCCAGCTGGCCCTACCAGCCAAAATTAATTCAAACCCAGAATCATAGTCTGTTCCAGATTGGACATATTTTGATAATTTTGGACTCGATCGAGCTATTTTTGCAGATTCGACTAAGTGAAGTATGATAATCACCCCATGCTTCCTTAAGCTTTCCTGGAGTACTTTTCAAGGCGCTTCCAATGGTACTAAGTAAAATAGATGTTTTGAATTCACTTATTGAATGATTTGTAAAAATATGAAAAGAGATTTATGGCCAAAATGTCGAAATTTTACATATCAAAGTCCCACAAAGATAATTTCAGAGGTTGCTTTGGATTGATAGAAACATTTTGATTCAAGATATACCATAGTAAAAGTCTCCATTATCAAGATGAAAAATGCGGTCGTTTGATTTTCGATGAAAACCATGAGGGATACCTCATGCTTTTTGGTCGATTTTTGACCATGTTTTTTTGGTCCCCAAAAAGTCGAGCAAAAGTGTCAGAAAGTAACTGCCATATGAAAGCAACCATTTGGGGCTATTCTGACGATCTAAAACGGCCTTGAACGCAAGAAAATTCAGCTCAAATGCATTCATACATTGCTGTATTAGGGACACTAAGGACTAAAAAGTGGGAATACCAGTATGCTACTTGCCCGTATATGAAGTAGCTACGTGTATATGGATGTAGAACATCACATAAGAATCAGATCCACAGATAATATGAAGGGTTACTATGTGTAAGTGGAGGGTCAAAATGAAAGTAGCAGTATTTTGATAAAATACGCAAGAGCAATCAGTAGCACGAGCTGCCGCTGCGCAGGTTGGTTCTCTACCTTTGCTACGCTTCGGTGAGAACCATCCGAAGCATAAACACTCATACGATTAGTGATTACATATCAATCAACAATCAGGGTTCCTCTTCTAACATTTTAGCTATATTAATTTTGGGATATTAGCCAAAGGCCCGCGGCAGCGCGAGCCGTTTGAACGTAGGTTGGTTTCCACCGAAGCGAAGCGTAGGTCAGGAAACCACCCGAAGTGCTGAAAGGCTCGTATACCATAGTAAAAGCCTTCATTATCAAGGTGAAAAACGCGATCGTTTGATTTTCGACAAAAACCATGAGGGGTACCTCATGCTTTTTGGTCGATTTTTGGCCATGTTTTTTTTTGGTCCCCAAAAAGTTGAGCAAAGGTGTCAGAAAGTAACAGTCAGATGAGAGCAATTGTTTAGTACTATTCTGACAATCTAAAACGGCCTTGAACGCGAGAAAACGCAGCTCAAGTGCACTCAAATTTTGCTGTATCAGGAACGCTCTTGACTAAAAAGAGATAATGTCTGTATGATACTTGTCCGTATAGGAAATAGCTACGTGTATATGGATGTAGAGCATCGCATAAGAATCAGATCCACAGATAATACGAAAAGTTTTCATGTGTAAGTGGAGGATCAAAATAAAAGTAGCATTATTCTGATAAGATACGCAAGGGCAATCAGTAGCAAGAGCTGCTGCTGCGTAGGTTGGTTCTCACCGAAGCAAAGCGAAGGTAGAGAGCCATCCAAACCATAAACACTCGTACGTAATACAAATCGAAGCTGTCATGGTTCTTGATTGGGCCCGCGTAGCTAAATTTAACCACTATATCAAAGGTAGTTGATGGGCAGCCATTCAAACAATGGCGAGGAACGAACTAGATTTACTATATGAAAACATTTAGCGAAATGTGATAATGACATTCCTTCAGTATAGTCAATATAATGTTTATTTGGATGTAGATCCAAAACCATTGATGCACCATCTTTAAATGCTATTTGTTGATTTCTGTCGTACCAGCATTCTTTCATCAATGAGATATTCTATTAAGCTTGCTTGGTAGAATTGTCTTTTGATTCAGGGACCACTGAAACCAAGATTCCATTGAGCAGCTCGTGGATTAAGCAGCATGTGAACCACCTGCCTATTCCAAACTATCACGGCATTCAGAAGGATTTGCAGTTGTAAACCATCACTGTTAATAGGTTGCTCTCTGATCTAGGCATGCTGTCCAGGAGCATCCTTCTTTATACATTTCTGTTTAGATTGGGTGTTGAATTAGATATCTCAATATATAGTGTTTTTCTACTTATTTACTTTGCATTCATTAGGCAATGTGTTATAGACTTTCATTTAGCCCACAGCACAGAGATCTATACATGCTCAAATGGTCCCTTTGTCCCTTTATCGCTTACTAGAATCAATGGAATCGAGATGGAACGCCTGTCATTCAGAAACTGGATATTCCCCGTGCCGCGCCAGATGTACATGAATCTCCTATAGGTAAAACTCAGAAAACGTTGCTATTGACAGTATTGGCCGCGTCATCTTGGTGAATCTAAACTATTTTACATGAATAAATGAAGCTCCTGCGTTTCTTTCCACTTTTATCTTGACCATTTTTCTCTTCAAACAACTGTAAATTATGAGTCTCTTCCCAACTGCACAAAGAAACACCCATCTTGTTGAATTTAATGCCGGCAAAGTTGTCAGAGAAGGTTCAACCTTGAAGCCAGATACTAGAAAGGGGTAATGAAGAGATGCAGCCTAGATACAAAGGCACTAACCTTTTCAAATCTTCAACAGCGTTGTATATATGGACCAGGTAATTGATTGGAAAAAAAAGAGGACATTGTGTTGGTATCATCGTTACTTATAGCAGTTTCAAACGACTAGAGTGATGATCAATTGATGCATTTTTATTGGAAAGAACGCAAAGCAGCCGACCCAGAGGATGTTAGTAGTGCTTCATAACACAACCAAGCAATCAATGCTAAACGTCAATGTGTAGGATTTCATCATCTTTCCTGATGAAGCAGAGCTACTTCGTGTCAACGAGTGCACAACAGGCCGTGTTTATATCTTGAAATTCAAATCTTCCAGCCAAAAAGTGTTCTACTGGATGCAGAGCAAAAACGACGAGAAGGACGAAGAGCTCGTCAGCCGTGTCAACCAGCTTATCAACGATCCTCAAAGCGCAGCTAATGATGGTAGCGGCCGCGATGGCGATCCGGAATATGAAGGCAATGCTCATTCTGATTTGATGCAAATTTTAGGTGGTGGTCAAGGTGATTTAGACATGAACATGACACAAGACAACCTTTTGCAATTCATTCAGAATGCTGGTGGCTTGAGGTACGTAGGGATGGCCAGTTTATATGGTCAGGAGCGATTAAATTGTCTGTTTATAGTGGCAATCTTTCATCATCCTTACCAGGTGCCACTGGTAACGTCATTGCTGCGTCCAAGTGGAGCGAGTTGCATAATACGCTTGCAGACATCAACGTGCCAGAAGAACAAGCATCTCTCGATTTAGGTGATGCTTTGGATGCAGATGCTGCCAATGCCATCTTGGGCGACTCTGAAATCAGATCTGCCCTCTTTCCTTTTGTCAGCGAGAGCTCAGAAAGATCTGCAGACGAAATTGCTCAGTTAGTCCAGAGTCAACAATTCCAGCAAAGGTTACAGACATTGAATGCTGCCCTTCAGCAAGATGCCTTGACTTCCATTGTTGAGGCTTTAGAAACAGAGAAAGGTACGCAAGCATGCAAGGCTCACATACACAGTAAACGTCTTATTAAAGGTTTATTTAGATATAAAATCCTTTTTAAAAGCTGTTGAGGAGCAGGCTAAGCGCAAGCAGCACCGTGATGCGGATGCCATGGACGAAGATTAACACAGATGATTCATTCAAAACAAAATAAAAAAAAAAAATTTTAAATGTACAAGACAATACAATGGCCAGACTAAATGTTATCTTCCAATAGTCAGAGTATCAAATTCTTGTTTAGTTTATTCTTTGTCTTGACTGTAGACCATCTCAACTCATAACTTTGACAGTGAGAAGTCCTGTTTGTCAGACATTTGATTACAAAGAAAGAGAAAAAGCAAAAGGAATGCAAAAGGGGTTTATATTGAGTGTTGGAATCGGTATTTTAATCGTGCTGATGCTGCCTATACTAATGGTGGCGTCGACGAGATGTTGCTTTGATGACTTCTTCATAGCTCTTGACTCGACGAGATCTATATTGTCGGATACGTTCGTATTTGTATATTAAATTGCCAATATCCTTTGCGACTACAAATATACATCCTCCCAGCACATTGCGCTGAAATGGTTCCGGAAAATTGACTCTAATCCATTTTGATCTATTCAAAATTCTGCCAGAAATACAAATGAGTACAATGCCATGGTTGCAAAAAAGCGATTCATTGACTCACCCTCCCATACAGCTACTGATAGCTGGCCAAAGCAATGCTCCTAGTAAGGATAATCCTATACTACTTGTGCCCCTTCCATTGATCATATCTAGCTCAAGGTTACGTTCTCTGTCAGAAATGTCATTTGAAGGTTCTCTGCGTGAACGATTTGATGTATTTGACGGTGACGACGATAATAGCAATGAAGCATCTTGCAGTGATAGATTGTTGGTTAAATAGCGTTGTGCGAATCGATAGGCATTCTTGTAAAATAAGCTGCTCATGGGATTAGTCGACACCAATAAGGGTGTGATAGACATGTAAATACCTGATCCAAGGCATCAAGGTGATAGTTAGAGCAGGTGAGACAGGCCATGTGAGCCTGATGTTCAAAGGACTATTTCCAGTTGCCCTCAAGACAGAAACAGCCGCTACTGGTAGTATAGCATCTCCCCATCTAGTTTTAGTAGAGATCAAAATAACAGGTATCAGTGGCAATCCAATCCAAGTTTTGTAAGTCCAATTGTTGGGATTGCCGATGAGTCTTTCGCCATCCCTTTGTCCAAACAATGTCAGGACAGAAAATGCGCCATACGTTGTACAGGTGATCAGCAGTGAGCATCCCAGTCCAAGAACAGTGATATATGGTGCGCTTGTTCGTACTAGAGAATCGACTACTGTAAGCAATGCGAGTGTGATGTTGTTGTTTTGCGCTAAATAATACGGCGTTGCGCATTGTGGGCAATTCACCTTCTTGGTGGGTGATGCCTTTTGGTTTTCTGCAATCCAGTCCAGCAAGCATGTCTGATGCGCTTCCAGTGAGCATTTGCAAGGCTTGACCCACTTTCCTTGAGAATCAGAACTATCGCCAAAGCAAATCCAGCAGCGTCGTTCGTCTGATGAGGAGGCTGTTGTTCGGGTAGGCTGTCTGGGAGCTAAGATGGTCGATGAATCTGAGGAATCCGCAGAGGAGACAACACTGCTACTGCTACTGCTATTGCTATCATCGTTGTTGTGTTGTCCACTGGTTGAGATGAACGAGGAGGAGGGCGATGATATCTGTGAGCTCAGCATGGGATCAGATGGATCAAGGATGTCGTTGTTCAATACGATTGTGTTTGGCAATTCTTGGTCGATTGGCCTTGTTGTTCTCGGAAGTCTGAAATGAGCCATTTATGATGAAGCAGAAAAAGAGCAATTTTACTATTCAAACCATCTTCAAGCAAGGAAATAGTCTGCGGAGCTGTCTAAATGGCCTTCAATGGCTCTCTCCCGTGACGTAGATATGAATGGATGTATCGAATTTTTTCCATCCTCCTCAGTGTCTTTTTTATATTCCTTTCAGACAAGCAGTTGCGCTGGTGCAACTCTTTCCCGTATTCTATCGATAGGTCTTTAACGTTTATTTAACATATATACAAAGATATATACGCGTTAATCTGGTACTGTACATATTTACACGAGAAAAGGTTTGTTTGATTCCGTACTGTCTTGTGTACAACCAAAGGCTAAAATTTTTTTCACTGCTAGACACATTACAATCCTATATAAACCATGTTTTTCTTGGTAAATACCAGCAGATTGGCAATTATTCCGTAACGGATCAGTGATTAACGCCTATTTCAAATATTTAACAGAAAGAATTGACACACACTATATCCTTACACCCCTCCTACTTTGGGCCTAATATGCAAGGTCAATTGAAGGACAAGCTATACGCTGACGTTGAAGGCACATGTACCGGACGATATGGATACGTTATCACTGTTCTGTCGCTCAACAACATTGGCAAAGGAAAGATATTACCAGGCTCGGGTTTAGCAGAGTTCAAGGTGAATTACCAAGCTATTGTGTTCAAACCATATAAAGGAGAGGTCCTCGATGCAATTGTTACTACAGTGAATAAGGTAGAGTACTAATTGCCCGAGTGAAGGATCCAGTGTTTACATCGTTACAATTGTCTATGTGTGAAAAAAAAAAAGATGGGCTTTTTCGCTGATGTGGGACCATTACAAGTGTTTGTTTCCAACCATGTAAGTGGATGTATGTTGCTTTGATTGTAACGCATGTAATAATGCGTTACCCAGTTGATTCCTACAGATATGAGATTCGATGCCAACGGCAATCCGCCATGCTATTCGTCTGAGGATCAGGTACGTGACAGTAGTTCAATGAAAAGGTTGCATTTATTTGACACTTTCCATCACTTTTACAGGTGATACAGAAAGATGTGCAAGTTAGATTAAAATTGGTAGGTACTCGTGTAGATGCAACTGAAATTGTAAGTAAAAAAGGATACAAGAAGTGTGGGATGTGGAGTCATCTTTATTAATGCCATGCATAGTTTGCAATTGGTACCATTAAAGAAGATTATCTCGGTGTTATTTCCTCATAAATTGTTTCTATTCTCATTTCTATACTACATAACTAATTCACAAACATCCCGAAACTACAATGTGTTTGATGCTGGATCAAAATGCCGCTATCGAGTATATAACGACTCTATATTATCTATCTTCCTCCTGCCCCATCCTTTTTTCTTTTTCAAGTATATACAGAAAAAATGTAAAAAAATAAATTATAAATGTATGGCACTTGATTCTTTTAGGGTTGATGATCATTTTAATGTCGTGGTAACTGTTTGCTGACAGGTTGTTCTTTGCAATCTCGCTGTGGACTCATAGGATGATGGATCCTGAATTACCACACCCTTCGATCCCGACATTGATCCACGCCCTTGAAAGCTTATTATGTTCTCTGAATCAAATGATCGATTTGTAATGATCCATCAATATCTAAAAATGGCACTTATGGAAGTGAATTAGTCATATATCTTATTAATGTACCAGAATCACGCATTTTTAGCGCTTCATCGTCAAGAAAACCCCTTCTATAAACAAGTTACCGCAATGGATTTTACTTTCTACAATGGTCTACATCTGCATCAATAGAAGCAATTCACATTTAGGTAGACAGCGCACTTTTATTGCCTCAAACTGCTCAAAGACATACAAAGCACAGCCAAATTTGAATACCTTTGAGCTGTGATTTCTCGTGATAGAAGTCGCTATAGACCGCTAGAGTGATACCACACAGCTTCTCTCATCAAGCACTAACTTTCTGACACCTTTGCTCAAATTTTTGAAGACCCAAAAAACATGGCCAAAAATCGACCAAAAACCATGATAGTAGGGTGGCCAAAGTTGTTTTTGGGCGTTTTTTCGACCAATTGGTTTCAAGAAAAAAAACGCCCAAAACCTTAAATATCGCCCACCTCAAGAGTTGGGCGTTCTGCATAATTTTCTTCATTTTTTGAAAAAGCAATTACAAGTCTAGTGTAATAAGAGTGCAATGGTACTGTAAAAAAAAACACATATGTACTAGGGAAGGGCGGATTGGTGTTACTATTTGTATGTCTTTAAACTTGGGCAATATTTATTAAAAAACATGAAAAATATTTTTGGGCGAGTAGTATTAGGATCAAGTGATGGATTTATTGTGATAAAAGTACTGTATATAATGAGTAGTAATGACAGATATTTTTACTACCGTTCAATGCTTGTCAAAAAAGAAGATTATCTATATATATATATATTTATATATATGTGTTATACTAATGTTTCAATCATGCGGATTGAAACGTATGTAATGTGGATCATTACATCTAGCTGTTTCTTCTGCCACTGATTGCTCCTTCAATTTCTCCTCTCATCTCTTGATATACTCACGCTTCTTTCAAATTATAAGCAGATGGTGGCATAATAAATGTAATCAAAACAAGTTGTAGATTGATAAAAAGGAAAGGATATGAGACCACATTGACAGCAGCAGATCAAGGGTGGCCAATGTTGTAGGGCATTCGGTTGGTGCTGTTTTTTAACCAGAAAACGCCCAAAAACAACTTTGGCCACCCTATGAGGGGTACCTCACGGATTCAAAATATTTAGTTTTCTTAGCACCGCTGAGTTCGCCTCAAAAAGTACTCAAGAAATGTGTTAGGAAGTATGGGCTAATTCTAACAGTTTATATAGACGAATCAAGCAAAGTAGATTTTTTTTAAAAATTTTTTTTTGTTTATTGATTGATTCGCGTACACTGAGAGTAATAGGTCAGAGTGAAGAGGCGAGTGCAATTTAGATACAGAATTGGATAACTATAAGCTAAAATATGAAGAATAAGATACTAAACTAAACTATATAAAAAAACTATCTAATAAATGGCTTTGGATTACAGGAGGGAATGGCACTGATCTTCCGCAATGGTCTGACGAACACTGGTTCGAATACTGGCCAATATCGCTGTATGGTCCATAGGAACATTGTCATAGATGAACCTCATGTGGGTAAGCTACAGTTGACCAAGGGCGATGATGAGGATTCGGAAAGGCTTGATTCCAGCAATTTGGCAATACCAAACGTTGGAGAAATCAAGGTGCAGAAGAGCCTCTTTAATATCTAGAATCGAGGTGGTAGGCCACAGAAACTCGAAGATGACTCCCTGCCAAACTTTCTCTTTAGAAGGACAATGAAAGAGGAGGTGACTTGGGGAATCGTTCATAGACAAACAAACTGGACAGAGAGGAGACACAAAGACTTTGGGCATAATAAAATGCAAAAATCGACGGTGAGGAATTCGACCTAGAATGAGACGGTATATCACATTACGTTGGACAGTGGTAAGAGACAGGGACCAAAAAAATTTCCAACTGGACGCAGAGATTTTGCACAATGCCAAAGGAGAGACCACAGACGAAAGGACAGCCCGACGAAATGCCTTAGCCGAGACCTGAACATTACCAAGAGGCTGATCATCAAGGAGACGAAACTGCTCAATCAAAGGAGCAAATGAGACGACTGAATCCTCTAAAGGAGCTGGGCTACAGACTGGCTCGAAGTAAGGTTGAAACTGTAATTTCCCTGTCGCTAGGCCTTTGAACACTGTGGAGGGAGTTCTTTTCCTGGTGAGCAGAGAGGGGTCACGAGTATCCTTCCAATGGACGAAGTTGAGCCGGGAGTCATACTGAAAAACGTCGGCCACCATCATTTCTTTGACACGAAGAGGAAGCACGAAGCTGGAAGAGGGAGGGACAAACACTGCAGCCTGCAGTGGCAACGCTATAGCAGTAGCTGTATTAATGCGGGCAGAGCCAGCAAAGTAGATCGATCAAGTCGAAATTAGACAGAATTTGTCCAATCTGGAGTATATACAAAGTGGAGTTTTAATTAGGGCTGGCTGGCCAAAGTGCCTCTCTGATGTGGACAATTGATACTTCTAATGCTAACATGAAGGGGATAACGAATTGAAAAGTACTCTGTTTCAGTCTAGACACGTTTCTAATATTAGGGTGCATTATTGTATCTAATGTGTAGATCTGATCGTTGCATATGACTCATTTAGGGACGAAGTGTAAACTGGCACGTTATTAGGACACCTAATATGAATTTATAGTCTTTCCATCTGCACACTTGTTCATGTTTTTATCAAAACAATTCTTCCTTATTTTAAATTAAATTTTACATTATTTTTCGACCGCGTTTGATAGAAACAATCAGGATTTGATAGCTTTATGTGAATATTCTATTGCGCTGCAATTGAAATCCAGGTAAAGCATGTCAGGATGCTTCCTGCGAGGATGTGCCGAAAATGGGGAATTTCAACTGGTTTTCAGCATGCAAGAGAGGGCACGACAAATATGGATGAATGATGATACCGATATCAACAGGTATTGGCTGAAATTGATGTGGCCTCTCACCTATGTATTACGAAACGAAACCTGCAATATAGAGCCAATTTCTGATGATAAGGAAAATAAGGAAAATCACGATGAACTGAGTGTTCCGCTAAATGAGCTTACGACCGAACTGTGCAATGCGATTCTGTTGATATCAGGTCATATCAAAGAAGCTTATACAATACAGCTTGTTGACACTCTTGTTTAGTCAATCAGGCATCAAACGCGTGCATTATTTGCTGCATATCTATGGTCCTTTTTACATTCAAAATGCCGTGATTTGTGTATTGCAGATTCCTATAGTTCTCATCACTAAGATTCAAGGATCTATAAGGTATAGGCTGTTGCATTCATAATTTGCAGCTTGACAATTTATCATAAACGATTTAGTATGTGTGCTACAATCAAATGAGCGTGGAAGGAATTGTATCACGATATAATTCACGCTTGGGAAAATAAAAAAGGTACAAGATTAGTTCTTCAAAGAGGTACAAGATGAAGTTGTATCTAATTGGCTTGTGCATACTCAATGGAGATAATAAGGTTCAAGGTAACATAAAATGCGTTGTCAAGTGCTAATAGGCCAAGATGGTCAGCTTATAGTTTAGGGGCAAGGAGAAGGAGGGGCAAAGAAGTAGAGCATTAAACCAGCTATTTAATTTTGACCATCTTGTGTCGCCCTTCAAAACTAAACAAAAACATGATTGGCAAGAGAGTAGATGAAAATCATTACTACTATTTGTCATTGTTGAGTGTTTATCTCGCAATACATTAAGATGCCAACTGAAATTACGTTGCTATGCAGTACAAAGCAGGTTATAGAGATATTTTGATTCACCTCTCATATGTTTGTCTTATGGTGAATTTTATCAACATGTTTGTTGGAACATTTTCACGAAAAAAAAAAAAAAAAAAAAAAAGATCAACGAATTTGATTGAGGATGTCGCGATTGAATGTTTACTTGATCATGATTGGCTTCATTCGCCATTTTTGGCTGGATTGATTGGCTGTATTCGGTGGCTTCAATCAGGAAATGTAGAAAAAAATCAAGAAAAAAAAATGAATAAATAGGTTGCTACACTGTCCTAGGTTTTGTTCTTCTTCTTCATACCCTTTTCTTCGGTTTAATTATACTAAAATGAGCGAGACTTTCCTTTTCACCTCTGAATCTGTTGGCGAAGGCCACCCTGGTAAGGCTTGACATGCATTCATTGTTAAAGATCGTTTGAATTCTAAAATCATTGTCGCATTATCTAGACAAGATCTGTGATCAAGTCTCTGATGCTATTTTGGATGCCTGTTTGGCCCAAGATCCCATGTCTAAGGTTGCTTGTGAAACTGCTGCCAAGACTGGTATGATCATGGTCTTTGGTGAAATCACCACCAAGGCTAACCTCGATTATCAAAAGATCATCCGTAACGCCATCAAGCAAATTGGTTATGATGATTCCGAGAAGGGTTTCGATTACAAGACCTGTAACGTCTTGGTTGCCATTGAACAACAATCTCCTGATATTTCTCAAGGTTTGGTTCAAAAGTCCTTCAACATTGAAGACATTGGTGCCGGTGATCAAGGTATCATGTTTGGGTATGTATATCTGAGCTATGCTATAAGCTGTGATCTCGTGTATTAATATCTTGTTTGTATACTAGTTATGCCACTGACGAAACTCCCGAGATGATGCCCTTGACTGCTGTCCTCTCTCACAAGCTCAACAAGCGTATGGCCGATCTCCGTCGTGATGGTACTCTCTCTTGGTTGCGTCCTGATTCCAAGACCCAAGTTACCATTGAATACAAGAACGAGAACGGTGCCATGGTCCCTCTCCGTGTCGATACCGTCGTCGTCTCTGTTCAACATGCTGCTGAGATTGAGACTGAAGATCTCCGTAAGGCCTTGATGGAACACATCATCAAGCCCGTTATCCCCGAACACCTCTTGAAGGATACCGTCTACCACTTGCAACCCTCTGGTAAGTTCATCATTGGTGGTCCTCAAGGTGATGCTGGTTTGACCGGTCGTAAGATTATCGTTGATACCTATGGGTAAGTTTGAAAAAAATTTATTGATGGTCATTGGGACTGGAAATTTTTGAGGATGTTGAAAATTTTTCTGCTTCCAATTCCTTCCATTCCACTACCATTCATAGCCTTGTAGCCAGTGTTCGGTTTTTTAATTATGTCTCTCTATTAACAGTGGTTGGGGTGCTCACGGTGGTGGTGCTTTCAGTGGTAAGGATTGGTCCAAGGTCGATCGTTCCGCTGCCTACACTGCTCGTTGGATCGCCAAGTCTTTGGTCAATGCTAAGCTCGCTCGTCGTGCCCTTGTCCAACTCTCTTACGCCATTGGTGTTGCCGAGCCTCTCTCCATCTTTGTTGATACCTACGGTACCTCTGACAAGTCTACTGCTGAATTAGTCAAGATCATCCGTGATAACTTTGATCTCCGTCCTGGTGTCATTGTCAAGGATCTTGATCTCTTCAAGCCCATCTACCAAAAGACTGCTGCTTACGGTCACTTTGGTCGTGATGAATTCACTTGGGAACATCCCAAGGAACTCAAGTTCTAAATTAACCGTTTTTCAAAATCACTGAGTTAATGTTTTCAACAAACTGCATTTCATATCCCTCTTTTATTTACTCCACCCAATGCCATTTATCTCATCTCCAATCTATTTTACACTCTAATTTGTTAGATAAGTTTATATTTTCTGTTATACATTTTTCTTTATATATTTTCGTACTTATTTCTTTTTATCATCGACATTCAACATCGTCGGAACCGACAGCCATCCCGGTTGCAGGATGGGTTTTAAACAATAAAAAAAAATACAGTTTTTTTGCTCATTTTGTAGTCTTTTCAATATGTAAATGTGAAGCTTCATACTAGATAGGTACAGTACGCATGCGGCTGTCATGACCTCCGTGATCAACTGATTGGTTGCAAACTATTGGCTTTGAAGAATGCAAACACTCACTGCCCTGAATTTTCCAAAACTGATCTTTCGGATCTGAACACATACTTTTAGTTTTTTCCCACAATAGTGATGACTTGGTGCTCAGAACAGGAACGCATTGACACACAGATCATCGTATTAGGTAATAAATGCATGATATAGTATATGCATCTTGTTTCATGAGTACGGCATTAAGAAAGCATATATATATCTAGCATCAGTTGATGCATGATCATCTAAATAAATGGTGTAGATGCAATTGTGAAATGTTACATCGGAGCTCATGGATTATATTGTTAGTTTGATCAGAAGCGAGATAAGAGCCTTATGCAACTAATTGAGTTGAAAAGAACCGTTGTTGGTAGCTTGGAGTGTACCGTGGTGCAATGTAGAAGGGTTGTTTGACGAGTGATTTCGACCTATTTTGGAAAACTAAATTTTAAAATCAAATTAAGCAACGTCTACATGTGCTATAGGCGTAAAATTACCACCATTAGAAAACCAAAATGCTGTATATTTTTTGGCATAGACATTTACGTTTTACCTTGGTAAACTGATAGACTTATGGCTTCTCAAAGTTGTAGGTTTTGTCCAAAAACACGTTAAAGTAAAAAATGGAATTTGGTTAGCTGGGTTTAAATTGCAGGTTTTTTGACCTGGCAGCCTTTGAGCAACATGGCCTATTCTAAAGATGCTTCAAGGTGGCATCTTGATCGTCGACTCATCATCAAATAGCAGAAATTGCATAGACCAAATATACATCATTAAGTTGGGTTTTATTTATAGTTTAACATAGATATGGAAGCAAAAAAAAAAATGAAAGAGAGATGTGTATATAGGTTTGGAAAAAGACGGCAGGCTTAACCAGTGAATGAAAAGTTAGTTCTAGGTCGACCAATTCTAGCTGCCTTTGTTTTCTTGGCAGGCGTTGATGAGTTACTGTCTTCATCCGTATTGATGATGTCTTCGCCAGCGCTGAACAACCTATCCACATTGGAAGGACTCAGTGCAGGTGTTGACTCCTTTGAACCTTCTGATGCCAACGCCTGCTTTCTTGATTTCTTTTGTGGTTTTGCTGCCTTCTTTTGTTCTTCTTCTTCGGCTTTACGCTGTAATTGTAGTTGCAATTTATCATCCAATTCTACAATACAAACATCACATGAATACAGCAGCCAATGACCATTTCAGCATCTCACATCTTACCTTCATCGTCCAACAAGAGCGACACGATTTCTCTTGGCTTAAAGTCGACTTGTCTGAACTCTCCACCAGAGATAACGACCTTTTGAATTTCATCCTTTTGCTTGGCTCTCTGTAAGATTCTTTCTTCAATGGTACCCTTTGTAATCAAGCGATAGACAGTGACTTGTTTGGTTTGACCAAGACGATGTGCACGATCCATGGCCTGCTGATCTACTGTAGGATTCCAATCACTATCGTAGAAAATGACAGTATCTGCTGCTGTCAAATTGATACCCAAACCACCAGCACGTGTACTCAGTAAAAAGATGAAAATCTCGGGTCTTGTTTGCCAATCTTGCACCATATCGCGACGATCAGAGATCTTGGAAGAGCCATCCAGACGAAGATAGCGGTACTGCTTATAAGCAATGTACTCTTCAAACAAATCAATCATACGCGTCATTTGGAAATAGACCAAGCAACGATGGCCCTCCGTCTTGAGTTTTTCCAGCAACTTGTCCAAGGTGGCCAATTTACCAGAGTCCAAAATGAGATCTTTCATTGACGGCACCTTCATCCACGAGTAACCGTAGCCTGACGACGGCACAGGCATGACACCAGCACCTGTCTTTCGGACAACAGCAGACAAGTTGGATTGCTCTTCAGGATGCAGCTTTGTCACATATTCCGGTGTTCCAAAGAGACAAGATCTTGCGTTTATGTCAAACATGTATTCACGCTTTTCACGTATAAAAGAAACATCATCGCAAATGATATCAACAGGCACTGTGTTCACCTATTACACACATGATGGTTAGTTGCATAGACATTTTATATGAGTCTCCCACTTACTGCAGGCAAATAGCATTGACCGAATACACGAGTGTCTTGAAGGAATTTATCAAAAACATGCAATAGCTCGTACAAAGGTGAGCCAGGCGTAGCCAGCAGGGAGGATGTTGGCTTGCTTGTTTCGCGGATGAGGAATAGAGCAGATGTATTGGCTGGTGATTGTGGATCATCACTGTATAAGCTTCTTCTTGCCCGCTGATCACGTCTAGCCAAATGATCCATCCACTTTTCCAACAGAGTTGCTCTGAACAGATAGCTGGCTTCCTGTGGCACCAAATCTGTAAACCTCAAAAATGAGAATGCAGCGTTGGTCTCATCGGAGAACTCTGAATCATAGATATTGTTGGCGCTCCAGATGTTTAGCGTGTTGTCAAGCAGTTTTCTTCTGTAGCCAGCGTTGGATTCAGGGCCCACCACTTTGAGGATACCGCCATTCCTATAGAGCTTTTTGGGGATACGGAACTTGATATGACTAGTTGCAGAGTAAGGACAATACAAATGTGTTTCTTTGGAAAGAGAGCCAGTTTCACTGAAATCACAGAACGACATGGGCGACTCGACATCAGCACGTTCAAATAACTCTGGGTGATTGCAGACCTTTCTGAATTGCATGACGAGATTCATCAGACTGTCCATATTCTCTATATCGCCTAGTGAGGTTGCCTTCTCCAGCAGTTCCGAAATCGATATCTTCTCCTTGAGTCCTCGGTACAGTGCTCTTTGTCTAGCCGTCAGATCACAGAACACTTCGACTTCAATCTTTTCTCCCAATTCGTGCTGTACATTACGCTTAATACGGCGCAACATGAACGGCTTCAAAATCATGTGCAAACGTCTCAGTTGATGTTGATTCAACGATCCACGGTTTTCAGCATGACTTTCAATGTCCTTGGAGAACCACTCACTGAACTCTTCGTGCGAATCAAACAAGGTGGGCATAATGAAATGAAGCAAAGCCCATAGTTCTTGCATACTATTTTGAATGGGTGTACCGGTCAAGAGCAATCGATTACGACAGTGGAATCCAAGCAGCTGCTTCCAACGAGCACTCGACGAGCTCTTGATGGCTTGTGCTTCATCCAAAATCATGTATTGCCATTTGACACGTTGGAAGTAGGTCACGTCAGTAAGGACAAGCTGATAACTGGTAATCACAATGTGGAATGGAGCGTCCTTGCCGTACAGCTGCTTCTTGTTCCAAAATTGACGCAATACCTTACGGTCCTTGGGATTTCCCCAGTAAGGAAGGGCCTATAGACTGATGAACAAGCTGTCCATACACGAATGAATACATGTACTACTTACTCTGAATTGAGGGACAAACTTGGCGAACTCTTGCTGCCAATTGTGGAGCGTCGAGGCAGGTGCAATGACCAAAAAGGGGCCCCAGATATTATGCACCTCAGCCAAGTAAGCCAGCAAAGAGATGGATTGAACAGTCTGTGTGTGGTCAAATGCATGAGTGACTGTAAGACTTGCTGTGAATTTGCTTTACCTTTCCCAAACCCATTTCATCGGCAAGAATACCGTTGATACCTTGTTCGTAGAGGTTAGCTAGCCAGTTGAGACCCTTCAGTTGATAGCTCTTGAGTTGGCACATGAGCATACTAGGCTGCGATACTTCAGGACCTGATCCCATGCTAGAAGGCTCTTGGAAATTCATGTCATCAAAGGCCATTTGATTCATAGCACCCACATCATCGCCTGCTGCAATACGTCTTTCGCGAGCACCTTGATCGAACTCTCTTGTTTGCTCTCTCTGCTTGGCCAGCGCATTCTGAGCACTCAATCTAGCCTTCTCCTTCAAAATTGCTTCATCCTCTTCGTCAAAGTCAACTTCACCAATGTTGGTAATGCCTGCACTGGCGTCCAATTCATCTGCTGCAGAGACAGGAGCAAGAGGTGTTGATAATCCAGAGGGAGCAGGTTGAGCTGTTTCCTCGTCTTCTTCAGTGTCTTGTTTGATCTTTCGACCAATGAAATGACTGTACAGCTCCGTTTGAGTGATCAAAAAGTTCAGTTTACGAGCTTGACGCTGTGCTTCTCTACGCTCTTCTTCTTGCTTCAGTCGATCCAGTGCTTCCTTTTCTGCCTTTTTGCGCAATTCTCTCTCTTCCTTTTCATTCTTCTTCCAGAAGAGCAGCATCTCTTTACTAGCACGCTTGGCCTTGTTCTGCATGTCACGATTAGCACGACCACCGTTAGTAGCAACACGACGCACTTCCTTTTGACAGTACTGAGCCACCTTTTTGCAGTTGCCAGATCGAGTTGCTTGCACACGAGACAGAATACGAGTCATTCGTGGAATGTCCTTTCGAGCAATGGTTAGCCAAATCTTCTTTCGTTCATCTTCCACCTTGCGCTCTGTCATTGGCTTGCTGCGGCCATTGTCATCCAAATCGACATGAATTTCTGTATCAGTGGTATCGCCGTCGCTTCGTTGTTGTTGGTGAAGTTTGTATTTTCTGCCAAAGCGCTTTGATTTGGGGTTGAATGCGTCGCTGGTTGGCATGGATGTGCCAAATCGCTTGTAATAGATCTGCTCAACACGCTCTTTCATTCTAGCATGACGTCTCTGCATAGACAGCGTTAGATTCCTACCGTCAAACAGCTCGAGTCCTACTTACAGCTTCCTTTTTTTCATATTCTTCGATTATACGTCTCTTTCGTCGGTGGACTTCAACCATGAACTTAATCATCTCCTCCCTGTGTGTGTGCAGTATCTCATCATCATCGTCTTCTCCAGAAGACAACAGCTCTTCGTGAGCACGCTTTACTGCGGATTTATTCGGCTTGGATACCTTCTCAATGTCGCTTAAATCATCTGCTGAAGAATCGCTGTCGTCGCTCTGCACAATGACTATAAGAAGCATGTTAGATGTCATCCCTCAAGGTAAGTCGTATTGCCCAAAGTATACCTATTTTTTTCTACAGAGACAGAAAGAAAGAGTGTGAGCCAAAAAAAAAAAAAAAATCAAGACTGAAAGAGAAAAAATACCTTTGAAGCAGTTGATTTTCCATTGTTTTCTTTGCTGGAATCCTTCTTTGCGCCTGTCATTTTAGGTGATTTGATCAAAGGTATGTCTTCTGTATCTGTATCTGAATCAGCCATTTGATACCTATCCTCGTTATCATTGTTGAGCAGATTTTGAATGCCATTGTTTCGGCGCTCAATGGAATCAAAAGAGCTGTATTGTGCTGGCTGTGCAGGTGCGACATTGGCAGCAGGTGTAGTATTCGACTGTACCATGTTGACGGGAGAAAGCTTACTACCATGAAGATTTGCAGGAGGGAGGTTGCTGGATGGATGAGTTGGTAGTGGTGGTGGTGGTTGAGGTACAGAGGGAGGAGCGACATGAGGTCGATGACTAGCTGGTGCAATGTGAGCAGGAGCGATATTTGCAACAGGAGGATAATTACTGCTGGGCATAGGCATTTCAGTAGGTGAATACATTGCTCTTCGGTCATTGTTGTCTGAAGAGAGCAATTGAGATATAGACATCACTGGCGAAATCACTGGCTGATTGCGATCCTATCAAGACATTGATTGATGAATACATTGTCCATCGATAAAAAGTGTCATTTTTTGCCTTTCTTTACCTGCATTGGTGAAAGTGTCTCTGACATCTAACAGGTGAGCAAATAGTGTGAGCATTACATGATACCATCTAGTTTAATATATACGTACAACAGGTGGCTGATAGCTGCTACGAATGGGATCATAGGGAGCATTGGTCTGTGCAAGTGCTGGGGGAGAATATGGCTGTGGATATCCTCTTGGTGGTGGTGGATGAGGATACTGACGATTGTTCTACGATGTATATCATGTTAATCATGGCTGTGATGGCAACTATAATGATAAGGAATTACCTGCTCCCACGAGCTTGGAGGGTATGCCGAAACATAGCTATCGCGAGCTGCATAATCTTGTGGTGGATGAGGTTGCTGTTGTTGTTGAGATGGAGGAGGTGGATGGGATGGGTGATTTGTATAAGCAGCAGGAGGATAAGGTCTGCTGTTCATGGGTGCAGCATTATATCTGTTATACTCCCATTCTTCCGATGTGATGGGTGGTAAAGATACATCTGGTGAGTTTTGATCGTTTTGTGCCTGTGGTCTATGAGGCGACTGATTTGGTTGTTCAAACGCCATACATGCAAATCTTTGCAAATGAAACTTGGGAAATCTCTTTGGTCAAGTATGTAGTTTGGTTGGTTTTTTTCCTGATTGAAAGAGAGAAAAAAAACTGTTTAGAAAAGAAAGAAGACGCTTATGTTTGGATGGGAAGCGCGCTCTCTGGTTCACAGATGTACAGCTGTTAAACATACCCATTTCATACGTATTGCACGTCACTTTGTGACGCTAAGATAGAAGAAGGTTTGGGATAGATTTGGGAAGCAAGACAAGGCATGAAAGCCAAAAGTGATCTCACAGGGATCTCGAGTTGATTTTAGGAGTGGCAGCAAGAAACCCCAAATTAACACATTGGCTTCTTCTATATGATGGCTCTTAGTTGAGCACATACCACTACTCATATGTAGTCTCATTCACTTAGGACAATTTTTCATTTCTATTTTACATCTGAAAGAATATACGCAAAACAGATTAAGCTTTCATCATTCGTACCAAAGAACTCAGACATCCGAAAGACTGCCCAGCTTGCGTTAATTTTCTCTGAGTGCAATTGATTTAAGATCCGTCAAAGACTGAGATGCCATTAAGCCAGATCATATAGGTAAAATCAAACACCGGATTAAAACATACTGGTTTATCATTAGCGGTTCGCAAAGAGGGTTGCAAGGTTTGACAATGTACTCCAAATTGTGGTAAAAAAAAAAGAAGAGAGATTCATGTTGCTCTACGTTGGATTGATTTAATTGACACTCTTGCCCTGTCAGTTGCATTTATGTCAAGTACTGTAGATCCAATTCCCTGATTTGCTAAATTGCAGCTAGGATCTGCCTCAGATGAATCCATCCCGTGCAAACCGTCGTCGGATACTTTTGCCTGAAATCAGCATTTGGCTCCTTATTGATATACTAGCTGCTAAAGCAACAGAAATATGTATGCGTACGCTTAGTAGACCTCATCACAATATAAAAGATGGTTATATATATAGTCTAATTGTCTTGGTTTTGACACTACAATGTGGGATCATAGCACCGTTTAAACATCCGCCTACCATCCCTGGGCCAAAAGATTGTTCTGGTTAATAATGTTACACTGTATTGTAATTGATAACTTTTAGATGATGCTGTATGTACATCTATCACATCATTGCCATAAATTTCAATGCTCAGCAGTGGCATTCAATATGCAAATTTCGGCTTTGAAGATGGATTTTCCGAGATACAAGATCCTAGTATGTTTGATAAAGTATCTCAGCCTTTGAATTGATGGTCTGATAGTACTCTTAGCCATGAAATCAGATGGTCTTGCAAAACAAAAGAGAACAGCTCAGATGCATGATGCTGAAAGCAATCTTTGGGATGCTATGCAGCTACGAGCACTCAAAGCTTGAGCAAAAACCACATTTACCTAAAGCATTCGTCCTTCAGAGATTACTTACATGAATCAGCTTGTTCGGATAGGCTTGCGGTCTCATGCTTCTTGAAATTTCGTAGCACATAATGCAATACAGATCGGCTTCATCTATTAATTTCGCAGATGATGCACGAGCAGATACAAAAATGGCATGTATAAACAAGTTTTTCATTCAGAAACAACATTCGTTCAAATGCTAAGTTAGCATAGGGGGATCACTAAAATGGGTGAGCGATTTATTTGACTGATTTTCACATATGGCTATCCAGTTAAGACAAACACAATGCCTATCAGCATGAAAGCACTAGCCTCAAAAGAGAAAAAGTCAAGTAAGGTATACAAATAAGTTCGGTTTAAAAGAAACACACTACAGCAATTGGATATATGGTAAAAAAAGAAGGCATAAAGAATATAAAGGAGAGACTAAATCACAAAATTACACATTTCTTGGGCTTCTTGGGTGGAGGAGCAGGACAAAGCACTGCTCGAATAGCTTCATCAAATACATTTTTAAGACCCTTTTGTGTCAGTGCCGAGCACTCTAAATATTTGACAGCTCTAATCTCCTTTACCATTTGTAAACTTTGGGTGTATGATATAGGGGCCATGTTCTTTTGACGGAGCTTCTCGATGGTCTCCGGATCCTCACGTAAATCAAGCTTTGTTCCTACCAAAATAATCGGTTTCTCTGGTGCATGATGATTGATTTCTGGATACCACTATAATGTGAGATGGTTTTTGAATACAACTGACCATGGCTCGTGTCTGTGTCTGTTGATCTCGTTGATTTTTACCTTTGTTTTGACATTTTCAAAAGAAGGAGGGCTCACAAGTGAGAAGCAAACAAGAAAGACGTCAGTTTGTGGATAGGAGAGTGGCCTCAATCTATCGTAATCCTCTTGTCCAGCTGTATCCCACAAACCCAAATTGATGGGTTTTCCATCCACCTTGACATTGGCAGAGTAGTTGTCGAAACTAAGTTCATTGTTAGACATCCTCTCTTGCCAGCAACTATTGATAGTTCTCTGACCACTTACACTGTTGGCACATATTCACCAGGGAAGGCATTTGTGGTGTATGAAATCAAAAGACATGTCTTTCCGACTGCACTATTGATGTATCACACATGTCAATTCTACAATCACCTTTCTGTGGGATACATGATGGCCCATAAGCCATGAGATGCTTACCCGTCCCCGACTACCACACACTTGATAGCCTGCATGCTCTGTTGCTGATTTTGATTATCCACTTTGAATGACTTGTTGCAAGGTGAAAATGGGAAAAAGTTGTTTGCTTGAAGCTTGTAAACAGAACAAGAAAAGAAAGAAAGAAAGAAGTGAGAGGAAGCAAAATATCGTTTGAGTCTAATGACGATTGGATGAGAAAAAGAGAGAGTGTGAGTGAGTGAGTGAACAAGTAGCTTCAGGGGCAATAAAGGGGCGTTGTTTTGCAATATGCTAATAAGGACTGCTCTCATTTACTAGAGTGTAGTTGTAAGGAGTAGTAGTAGTTCAGCCTTATTCAAATGTGTCTCAAATGATGCTCTCATCATCATGTATTTCGCAGAGATAAAAATAACCGAATGAGTGTCATGGACAAACGATGCTTCTAGTCAAATCATGCAAAAACAATAAAATATAAAAGGTTCATTCTGGAATCAACAGGATAAAGCTATTTATTTGTGATGTTTTTTCTCCAATGGCTCTTGCTTAACTTCTACAACTATGTGTAAACAAAGGCTGATCCAACGCTAATTATCCAATAATTGAGTTTATATATGGTGCGCCAACACCATGGAAAAAAAATACAGCTGGCCGGAAGGCCTGCACCAACTAGACATACAACCTGTTACTCCTTTACATTACATATATGTATGTGTGTATTCGACTCCTCAAAAACAGAGGAAAACCATGCAATCTGCAGTTACTATCTTTCTAAAGACACATTCTATCTAAAAGTGCACATATTTTGTTTAGTTGGGGGGAGGAGAGACAGCATCCCAAGTTCACATACAAGCTGTAAGGAGCATCCTAAGCATATCATGCTGCATAAAAATGCCAAGATTATAGGATATCCGCAGAAATTATGTAATTGTGGATTGTGAAATCTCTTGGTCTTTTCCATTGCCACCATGGCCCTGCAAATTCATTTATTTCCCGATGATGGTCCAATGCATAAAACTGACATTTTGCCAACATGTTCACTATTTCAATATTAATACAGCATTATTTGCATCTGCTACAGCAAGCGACACGCATCACATGAAAAGCATTATGCACAGGTTCTTTTATTTGTCTTTTGATATTACATATAGACTGTTGCAAATCATTTAGATTTGATTACGCCTCTTGTGTGCAAATCGTAGAAAATCAACTCGCAAACTTCTCCTTTGAGGATCTTAATATATCACCCTAGACGATCATCTCCCCCCCATCCCTGCTCTCTCCCCCAATTTGTAAATCAAGTAAGCCAGCAGTATAAATATATGCAATTCAATCTGTACTTTTGTCTGCTTTTCTCATTTAATCAGTACTATTAAATAAAATGACCTACGTTGATCAAGAGCAATTGGAATTCGAGCAAGAAGTCGAGAAAGTCAAGCAATGGTGGGCTTCTCCTCGTTTCAAGTTGGTCAAGCGTCCTTACACTGCAGAGTCAATTGTGTCCAAACGTGGTTATTTCCCTGTTGAGTACAGATCAAATACTCAAGCCAAAAAGCTGTGGAAGACCCTTCAACAAAATAAGGCTAAGGGTGAAACCTCTCACACGTTTGGTGCTCTTGATCCCGTTCAAGTCACTCAAATGGCTCCTCATCTCGATACTGTCTATGTCTCTGGATGGCAATGCTCTTCCACTGCTTCCAGCTCCAATGAGCCTGGACCTGATCTTGCTGATTATCCTATGGATACCGTCCCCAACAAGGTTGAGCATCTCTTCTTTGCCCAACTCTTCCACGACCGCAAGCAACGTGAAGCTCGTCTTGCCATGACTCCTGAGGAGAGAGCCAAAACTCCCAAAATTGATTACTTGAGACCCATCATTGCAGATGGCGACACTGGCCACGGTGGTATCACTGCTGTGATGAAGCTCACAAAGATGTTTGTTGAGCGTGGTGCTGCTGGTATTCATGGTGAGTTGGCTTGCTTCATATATTAAATGCAAGGATGGCTGATTTTATGCAATTCCAATAGTTGAGGATCAAGCGCCTGGTACCAAGAAATGTGGCCATATGGCTGGTAAGGTATTGGTCCCCATTGCTGAGCATATCAATCGTTTGGTTGCTATTCGTGCTCAATACGATATTATGGGCGTTGAGAATGTCGTTGTCGCTCGTACTGATGCTGAAGCCGCCACTTTAATCACTAGTAACGTCGACCCCCGTGATCATGAGTTCATAGTTGGTTCCACCAACCCAAGCTTGAAGCCATTGGCCTCTGTGATGCATGAAGCTGAAGGTAGAGGTATTCAAGGTGCTGAACTCCAAGCCATAGAAGATGATTGGGTTTCTAAGGCTGGTTTCAAGCGTTATGGTACTGCTGTTGCTGAGGAATTGATTACCTTGGGTAAAGGTGAATTAGCCTCCAAGTTCATCTCTGAAATCCGCTTCAAGTCAAACGATGAAGCTCGTGCTATTGCAAAGAGCAGCTATGGTGTTGTTATTCACTGGGATTGGGACGCTTGTCGAGTTCGTGAAGGTTACTACCGCTATGAAGGTGGCACTGAAGCGGCTACTTCTCGCTCCATTGCTTTTGCTGGTTATGCCGATATGCTTTGGATGGAAACCAAGAAGCCAATCTTGTCTCAAGCCGAGCAATTCTCAAAGGGTGTCTTGGCCGCTTCCCCTGAGTCATTGTTATGTTATAACTTGTCTCCTTCCTTCAACTGGTAAATATACAGCAGAAATTTGTGATACTAGAGAATTGTTTACTCACATGCCCTGCCTTTCTTCTTCTTTTAGGGATGCTGCAGGTTTGACTGATCAAGATATGGAATCTTACATTCAGAATCTTGGCAGACTAGGCTTTGTTTGGCAATTCATTACTTTGGGTGGTCTCCATGCGAATGCCCTTGCAACTGCTACATTTGCCAAGAGCTTCAAAGAGAGCGGTATGTACGGATACGTATCCAATGTGCAACGTAAAGAAAGGGAGCACGGCGTCGACGTTTTACAACATCAAAAATGGTCTGGTGCCACCTATGTCGATGAACTAATGAAGATTGTCACCGGTGGTATGTCTGCTACAGCCGCCATGGGTAAAGGTGTTACTGAGGATCAGTTCAAGCATTAAATATAAACTACTACATCATCTACACTTGCATTTTAATATTACAGATACAGTAACCTTTTGAAATATTGTATGATTCCACCCCCTTTTTCATTACATCTCGTTCAAAATAAAACTTTTCGATTTTGTTACAATTTACTTGCTAATACCCAGATTCAATTTTCATTCAATTGACTTAGGGCGATATTGAACTTACTTGTAATGCTTATTCTCTGTATTCGAGAATCTCGAGTCAATGTACAACTAGAAGCTATATTTAGTCTTCTTGGGTGTCATCTGCATATATTTCTTTAGTATGATTGTTTATTGACTGTTGAACTAACAACATTGAATCTATTTCAGAAATGATGCATCGGCATTGTTGCCGTATATTTGAGAAATCGAATATCTAAAAACGTTTGAATACCATATTGCATTGCATTTGATAAAGCGTTCGCCTGTTTGACCATGTAGTACTACAGCGATTTGATGTAGGGTAACCACCAGTGCGAGTAAATCAATAAACTGTCATATTGGGATAGAGAACGTATGACGTTGAAAGGCATCTTGTACTTGCTTGACGACAGCAGTCATCTACTTGCTGTAATTACATGTAGTAATGTGCCATCTAGTTAGCTAACATTCAAAAACTCCCATAAAAGCCAAGAGCATTTACAGATTATATGTAGCAAAATGTCAAAAATCAGTGCCCATGCGTAACTGTTAGAGTTAACGTGAAGCTTTTTATAAAATTCTATTGCTATCTTATTTGAAAAATTTATAGTTATCATTGCTATTACCCGAAGGCATTTTTGGCAACATTACGCACATAGACGGTAAATGCCTGACTGTAGTGGAAATAAGCATCTGAGTGATTGCACAGAATGCCAGCTTCGAATAAAACAGTACCTTAATTACCTTTTTTTTTGCTACTGCATCTATGCAAAAAGAAAGCGACAAGCAAAAGAAAATCTGTTTAGAATAACGAAATATAGACAGAGTAAATACAATTAGAACTGAATATATTTATTAAGTTATTCCAAGATTGAATGAGGATCAAAACTAGTGTAGATATCAAAGGTATTTATAGTTATTTGACAGTGCCGCAGCAATAGGACCTTGATCTTGAATGCGGGATAATTGTATAAGCCTTGAACCAGTTAACGAGAATGTGCTGCATAAGAACTCATGAACCACCAGTCAAGGATAAACAACAAAGATGATCCAGGATAGAATGTTCTTCCTAATAGCTTTGACGGAAGAATATTTGTCGGAATTGAAACCCACTTCCAGGGACGAAAGGCCATAGGCTACCACTCTCCAGGAACCAGGATATAGATTAGCCATTTGATGGCACCACTCATGTTCCTTCGTGCTGCTTGAATAAAGACCTCTCACTTCTATTATGCATCTCTGCTCATTTTCAGATCCGCTTATGTAATATACAATGCTTAATACATTTGCCTCACAGAGATGATCTATATCCTAAACGAAATCATCATTCAAATGTACAATTTCGTAAAGTTATAAATGGAAGATAGCTTCATATAGCTTTTTATAATTTGTAGATACTTTAAAGAAAAATTAATGTGCTATTTATTATTATTTCTAACAACCTTTGCCAAAATTCAGAACAAAATTAACACAAAGCTGCATTTACATGTACACAGTTTAGAAATCCCATCATCGATTAATCATTCAGGTCAACATTTTTATTGGCCAAGAATTTCATACTCCGAATTTTAATTCGGGTTTTGATTTGGAATCCCTCTCCTGTCAAGATGATGATGGGTGTAGGATAAAAAGGGTGGTGTACAAAAATTAGGGTGTAATCCGGATAATAGATAGGCCGTTGGAGGGGGGTATAGGGCGCAGGTAGGGATAGGATGTATAGGTGTAGGTAGACCTAGGGAGTATAGAGGGAAGGGTGCATTATTTAATTCTCAACTAGAGAAAGCAGTAAAAGTTCTTTGACTCGTGGGATCAGGCACATCATTTTGTTCATTACCTTACTCCATTTCTTTAATACTTTGAGCAATATGGATAACTCAAGTTATGAAACTGCATATGATTTTGTCAATAAGTTTCCTGACGAAACCGTCTGTTAAGCACAAAGAATAAAAGGATTATTATTTGTAGCTTATAAAAAATGTTCGATATTATAAAAACAAGAAAAGACTTATTTGAATAAGATCAGACACAAAAAAACTAAAGAATTATTGATGAAGACAAGAGTTATTCTATTTATACTAAGTTCTGAATGCCAAAGTAGCAATTTATCTTGTACAACGCTTATCACATCTGGTGAAACTCAGTATTTAGATAGCTGAGATGCACTTCACTTATCATAGCTTGTCCATGTTGTTGCACAACACAGACATATCTACCCATCAAGAATACCTTAATATTTATAGACAGTTGTAGCCCTTCTGGCACAACACCGTCGAAGAGGTTCTTCCCAGCGTATTCGACCGCACCACCAATACATTCAGAATCAAAAGAGTGAATATTAGATGGGCTTTGAAGAAAAGCTACACCATAGCTTACAACGAGAAGAAGCCGGTCGAAAAACTCGCTGGTGGTGAAAGTATTCACGATAGAAGAATTCGAAAGTTGTGCGCTGGTGCTTTACGATGTTTAAGCTTGCAATGCAAGAGACCTGAAGGGGTCAAAGGTCAACGACTACCCACCAAGGAAAAAGACAGTTATGGCTATTCCAAAAGGTTTGAATACCCATATTGTAAGGCGCCATTGGAGAAGGTTCCTTGTGGTGTTCCTGTAACATTTACCTTCCGTGTAAATGACTCTCGCAGAGAAGACAGAGACAGTACCGTAACAATGCGTCAAGAAATAACAGAAACGAAGCACACACACACCATTTACAATTCGCTCCATCTCGATAGATACGAAAAGAGGGAGCTTAACAAGATGGTAAAAAACAAGACCAAACATCACTGCTGCTGCTGCCGTTTCTGGCATTGATCCCTCTACTGGTGAAATTACGAAAAGTGTCAGAAAAGTTAACAATTTGATGGCTAATCATGGACGTACAAAGTATGAGATCCGAAGATCAAAGATCCAACAGGATCTGTATACTACAAAAGAAGATGCAGTAGCTGCGTTCCAAGATTTTGATGAGAAGTATCCACACTTCATGGATTCAGCCCAAATTCTTCATAGCAAGTTTTTTGTAAGCTTTTGCTCACCAGAAATGCTTCAATGCAATCTGCCTTTTGCCGACCGATCCATCGTAACAGATGTTACACTCAAGGCCGTCCCAAAGGGATATTATTATCTCTGCTCAAGCGTCATCTACATCGAGCAACTCCAGAAGCATGTCTTCTTTTATCAAGCGATAATCAAAAGCAACAGCGCTCAAGTTTTCAAGCAGTATGCTGTTGCCTTGTTTAGAAAGTTCGACATCAAGCTGGAGCAGTTTTTGGGAGTCATCATGGATTTCTCAGCTGCGCAACACGAAGGGTTCATACTAGCCCTTAGGGAGGTTTTTGGTGTCAAGCAGCACAATGCATTGCCCTTTTTGAAAGGTTGCTATATGCATTGGATGCAGTCAGTCAGACGGCTGTCTAACAATTATCAAGTGGTCAAGCCAGATGATATTGATCTGTTCTTGAAGCTAGTTCATCATTTCCGTACAACCAGCAATTCAATTGAATTATACCACACCGGCCAAGAGATTCTCTCAAAATTTCCCAACAGCAAAAAGTGGCTGCAGTGGTGGTTACAACCTGGCGTATCAAGCATGATCTTCAGATGCAAGTCATTGATGAAAAAGGAATTGAGACAGCACAAGAGCCGCACGTCCAACGCGATTGAGGCATTCCACAGTGCGCTCTACAAGCTGATGCCTGAGAGGAGACAACCTGTTGCCACCAGTCTTTGACTGTTATTGCAGGTAGCCGAATATCATGCCATGATGATGTTGGACTTGTATAAGAACAACATTCGTCCTCATTACGGGAGCAATCAGAAGAAAAACAACGGCAAAGAAGTACGCGACTCTTTAAGAAATCAATGACGGCCGTGCGCCAGACAACAACGCCGCTCTCTTTGGATCCAAGAAGAGAAAGCAAGAAGTAGTAATCATTGGTGATGAGGAGAATCGCAAGCGTAAAAAGGCCAAGAAATTAAAAACTCGCGGTGCTGATTTGAACGCTGCGATCAACGAGCATTTGGATGAGGTTATCGAAATAGAGCAGAATTGTCCAATGATCGATGACATTGCAGATGACAATATCAGCGATGAGAGATCCTTCCTTGAACTACTCTCAGATAGTGATGGTAGAAACGATGAAGCAGACGACAAATATCATAGAACCGAGAATCTAGAAAACGACATTAAGGATATGTTCAAAGGTACGGATGATTTAGGCAGTTTTTACTTGCTTATGTTGTAACATATCAAAAAAAATTAGGTGCTGGTGTTTCTGTCGAAGATGTTGTTGTCAACTCTGATGAGAGCTTCGAATCGTCTGTTATTGGTCTTTTATCTTCGCCAATAATAAAGACCAAGTCTAAGCCTACTGCATCTAAGATGAGAGCACCAACTGATTCTGATTTCTCGTTGTCTTCGTCTTCCTCGAACTTACCCTGTCTTGCAAGTAATGACAAGCACATTGATCCTATTATACAAAGCATTCAAAAGTCCACATCTGCTACTATAATAGATCTTTCCTCTCCTCCAATGCTCCCTGAGATTTTGGCATCAGTAGCAATTGAACCTATTGCAAGCAGTTCAACCACAACAGCAGATCAACCTTCGCTTGAGAACGACTCATCTACCGCTGCTGGCTTCCTGTTGCCACAAAAAAGAACATCTCTCTTGCAGAAATATCAGTGGCTCGTGAAAGATTATCAAAATAACCATCCAGACAGCCACCCATCTCTGCCCCTTCCCACCTACATAGTGTCAAACGAAAGTAACTCCTGCTTCATCGATGCGTTTATTGAGCTTCTGTTCAATGCTGTCCTTCCATTTGTGGATATGTCTTTCGCTGATGAAAACAACGCCTATGATTGTCTTCTCATGAATGCTTTTGAATCATATTCTCAGCAATCACCTTTTGGTATCCGTGCTGCTACTTCTACTGTGAGGCACTTTGTTTGGAATATGACAGAATACAAGCTTGTCTCTGGCGTTCGTCAGCTGGTTAAGTCCTTCTGTGGAGAACTTGGTTACAGAAGAGGATTTATTCAATAGAGAATAATTATCTTGAAGTACGTGAAAATAAGATGTACAAGATAATCTACAACTAGCAAGGATGAAGGGAGGAGGAACATGATATTTATACTTGATAAGAGGCGCGAACATAAGTGCTGAGACATGGTTATAACATGGGTAAACGTAATGATTCGTAATCTGAAACATGAGTCATAATTACATAATTAAGACATTGACTTGATACTTGACGTTTATAGGAACTTACCATGATAAGGTTACATAAAGCTTGGCATGATATAATAATTACTAATAATGACTAGTTGATTACTAAGGATTATCAATTATTAGTACTCTTAACTCCTGAACACCGAGATGACATAAGCATAACGTAAACATAATACTTGGGCTGCATGATTCTAGATTCAGGTACCAGATCGAAGCTTGGTTCTTGACAACTTCCCAAAAGGTCGTCAGGGTGATACTCTTGATTTGGCGAGCATGGTATGGGAGCGTTTGTCGAGTGTCTCTGCCAGCAAGGTTTGCACATTTCCATCGTTGCAATGTGAAAGAAAAGTGTCTTGCTCTGTGGAAAAAGCGCATGCGTATGCGAGAGATGACTTTTTCTCATTTATCTACATGCTCCCGACCAACGTCATTAATGAAATGAGAGATTGCCGTGGGTTTTTCAATGAAGCGGCACTGGATACGAAATTCAATGACTTGTTCAGAGAGAAGGTGCTCGAGGAACATCAAAAAGGAAGATGCAACGCTCCAGGATGTGATGGAATCTCTACATCATACAGATCATTACCTCAAGATAATCAGCTTCCTAAGCTCATGTTCGAACAAGATGGTGAAAACTTTGTCCTGGGCAGAACAGCCGGAAACAATGTCTATATGTCAACATACATCCACGTTTCGCAGACCGTAAGATATAAACTACACAGTAGAATCTACTCGACTAGCTTTGATGGTGTACATTTTTATACGAGGTGTTATAAAACAATTGGTGGGATTGTATATCTCGTGGATATTGACAATTGGCAGTAACAACAAATGAAGGTGCTCACTTCGGATTTGGACGTAGCAGAGCGTCTTCTAAAAGATATTTCCAACACGGTATATGCATGCTACAAAAGAGTATAAATATTTGCTAAAAAAATTGGATTTGCCAGATCAGAAAATAAATCTGCATGAATAAAACTTAAAATTTGACACCTATTACTCCTCTACATTCTACAGTATATACCACCCTACACCCTATCCCTACCTGCGCCCTATACCCCCCCTCCCACGGCATATCTATTATCCGGACTACACCCTAACTTTTATACAGCCTTTTTATCCTACACCCTGTGATAATAGCAAGCGAAAAATTTGGGTGATGAACTCTTTTTGGTCAGGACAATGTTGTCAATATTTTATAGTAGAGTTATGCCAGAGCTTCAAGCAATAGCTCATTCAATAAAAAAATTTTGGTCTACAATGTTTAATAATGCTTAACAAAATGTTTTGATGACAGATACTGATTAATCTTTAGAAAACAGTCAAAAGATCGCAAATACAATCGTACCAAATATCAGGTGAACAATGTATACTAAACACTTTATATGGTGTTACAGGCGAGTCGGTAGTAGCGCATATAGTTTTGATAAAAGAATATGAACGAGATAGTAAATTAGCCAAAGCTGATCTAACTACTATCAAATGAGCACCAGGTTTACAGTTGTTGTGCCAGAAGGGCTACAACTGTCTATAAAGATTAAGGTATTCTTGATGGGTAGATATGTCTGTGTTGTGCAACAACATGGACAAGCTATGATAAGTGAAGCTATCTAAATACTGAGGTTCACCAGATGTGATAAGCGTTGTACAAAATAAATTGCTACTTTGGCATTCAGAACTTAGTATAAATAGAATAACTCTTGTCTTCATCAATAATTCTTTAGTTTTTTTGTGTCTGATCTTATTCAAATAAGTCTTTTCTTGTTTTTATAATATCGAACATTTTTTATAAGCTACAAATAATAATCCTTTTATTCTTTGTGCTTAACAATAGTTGTCCAACTAGAATAAACAAATAAACAGAAGTAAAAGTAGAAAATAGAAAGTAATACAGAGATGTATATAAAAGAGTTTACAATGAATCGATTATAATATATGATATAAATAAAGAACTCAAGGGATCTTACAAATAACAGATGTTTGATATAAGAAAAGAAGTAAATATAACAGCTAATGAGCTTTATAAAAGATGTGTATTGAAATATTGGTAAAGTATAAGATGATTTTATTAATTGATTTTGAGAGTTATGCTTTTATACTATTTTGCTATTCTTTATGTCTGTAATAATGTCCTGGTTAACATAGAATTGATTTGTGGTTTGATGATATTTCTGTCCTGATATCCTTCGATGAATGAAGAATTGCTTACTTAATTTACAAGGGTCAAGATATATGGTTTCGTATAATTTGGTTATGTAATTGCATTTCATGGAGTTAAAAGGGAGATTTGATATAAGATTGTTCTCTTGGACACAAGATGTGGAAGGCAATGCAGCGTTGATCTGGGTCTTTAATTTATGCCCGCTTGATATGTGGCCCTTCGAGTTGAGATTGAGTTGTGGGCAGAGTGAAATTTAAGCGTTACCAAATGTGATGTGTTTTATTTGTATAATAGAGACAAACAGACTGAATGATTATATATGGTGGCAGGAAAAAAAAGTAGATGTTATGAATTGTAACATCATTTTGTCACTATTATTATCATGATGGTGTGTTTGTAAAAAAAATAGTATCCATAAGGAATGTATACGCTACAGACACTGCTTTTATTGGCTTTTGCCAAAAATGCGCGGTCGGGGAATCGAACCCCGGCCCTTCGCGTGGCAGGCGAGGATTATACCACTTAACCAACCGCGCTTCATATATTTTTTATTTTTCAAAAATAATATTATAGCTTTTAATTAGAGTTTTGCGCGGCGCGCCCGCTCTCCGCTTGTAATCAATACATCATTTTGATTTTTTGCCTTATTTTACCTTGAGGTAAAGCACCAATATCTTTTTTGCAGGTAGATGAAACTTTATTTAATAGCTCTTTAGATCAAGAAACAGGTGCTTTTGAAAATTTTTTATGTTCAACTATGTCTTAAATGATATATAGATACATTTGAACCCATTTTCAACCAAATTGAAGCAGCAAATAGCCGAATCACTCCCTCATATATTTTACCCAACAGTGTAATATGTACGCTCTGTTTTTTGAACAATACTAGCGATAAAACGTAGACTGTGTTCTTATTTTTATCTTAATACTACCCTACCACAAAAAAGTTGCAATGGATCATTGTTGTAGTTCGTATATCCACTTAGTGTGTATTTGCTTCTTTTGGTTCATCTAGTGTAGGTGATTGTGAAGCTGTTTGGAGAAGTGGTATTCGACTTACAAACTCACAACAGACCATTTCCAGACTGGCTGATTTATTTTGTTAACTACATTACCTCGCAAATCGTCAAGTAAAGACAAATAGTTGGTGATGGTTCTTCTGTTGGAGAACTTGGTTGTAAACTTTAAGGAACCTTTTGGCAGCTATGACGGACTCTTTGTTTCATACCGTATAACAGTTTTAGGAGGTATTATGAATGTTGTTGCGCTAAATAGATTTGAGTCAAGTGGCTTAATATATCTGGAGATGATGATCTCAAAAGTACATTCTACGTATACGGTTATCGAGTGCTTTATAGTGATAAATGGTAACAGCCTATTATCTTCCGTATCTGATACCGGATTGATGCATAGAAGCAGTTTCTTCTATTTCTTTATACAAAAAATGAAAATGATTGCGTTAAATGAGATCACTGATTTGATAGTTTATTAATAAAGTGTTTTGCATAAATGAAACGCGTGTATGAGTATGACACCCCAAATTATTGAATTGATTTGCCTCCAGTTTCCATTCATTATAAAGTTTGAGGTAGGGCCATTGCCATCGCCCTCGCTAGCTGCCTTAATCCGAGAATGAATATACACTAGATAGCGGGTGATTGAACTTACGGCCATAGTGATAAGCATTTGATAGCGCATGTATGCTTTAGATGACTTATCACAATTACCTGAGAGACTCACCTTGCAAGGGCTGACTCTTTAGCGCAAATGTTAATAAGTACAATTTAAAAGAGTATACAAGCATCAGCGGATCATCTTCAAGCTCTCTCGTACTCATAAGCGAAGGATAAAAATGCAACAGTTGAAGCATGTACGATAGACTTTTCACACGATGAAAATCATAAGTATATACAACACTTAAATAACAACTAGTGCTCGACTCTCTTTTTTATGGCTTAAGCGTATCCACAAGACTTGAATAAAATCCTTGAAGGTAGTAATCAATAATAAAAATAATAAGTTAATTCGAGTACTTTATTTATTCATTTAGTCATCATCATCTCCATGCTTATCGCCGCCCAAGCAATCCACTTGAATCAATTGTCTTGATCTCATTTCTACAACTGATAATTTACGACCGTACACACAACCACTATCTACGCCAACAGTTTGGTTATCAATGACAATACCTCTTGAAGCATCATGACCATAGTAGACAGTGACAGGGTTGTGAGTTTTGGCAGCGTTGGCTTCGTAAGCAGCTGTCCAATGCTGAACATCATTACCCGGCTTCTTGTTCAGTTTCAATTTGGAAGGCTGATTGTTATTATCCATATCTCTCATGTTCATGACGGACCAAGGATCGTTGTCGACCAAGTTTGTAATCCGAGGATCCAAACCACCGTGGACCACACGTGTATTCAATTCAGGAATATCCAAAATCAACGGACAGCCAGCCAAATAATTATAATCCTCCACGTTCAGGTTTCTGCAGTTGTCAAAATGTAAATAAAGGAGTCAGCATAAATTTGCTATCATGTCTAATCGGTAATGCATTTTTTTACTTTGAAATTTCCATGTGCTTGTTACCAAATTTAAGAGGATCACCTACTTGACCTTCAGGCATGATTTCATCTGCTGGGGACATGGAGTCTAAGCCGTGTTGGTATTCATAAGTTTTGAGTCGAACCACCTTGTCATCATGGTTGCCACGCACACAGAGTGCATTGAGCTGTCTTGCCCTTTGAATCACTCCAATCGAATCTTGTCCCCGAAAGACCAAGTCGCCCGCCAAAATCAATGCATCTTGATCTGGTTTAAATTGAATTTTCTCCAGCAATTGATTCATTTCCTTCAAGCAGCCATGAATATCTCCCATGACGAAAATGCGACCTTGATCTGATGGATTATATACTTTGAGCCTAGTTAGATTGGACCACGGTGATACTGCATGCGCATAAACGGGTGGGTGGTAGCTTTCTTGATGGTCTGGTGTAATTAAAGAAGCAGTTTTTCTATTTTTGGTATTATTTTGCGGTATTGTTGTCGAGGTGCTCCCATCGTCGACATCGCTCTCGTTTTTGCTGGTCGATGTAGTATGTATCATGCCATCTTTTTGCTGTGCCATGCTCTGATTGCGGATAGAGATAGAAACCACAATGGCAATCACAATGGCAGCAGTTACCGTAAATACCGCAGCGGAAACTAGAAACCACTTCTTTTTATAGACTGGCAATGTTCTATTTGGAATGGAGGCAACATCTTCAATGTGCTCTTGATATAATTTTTCATGGTGATCTAGATGTGCCATCTCGGTGTAAGGGTTAGGGTATATTCTGTGTAGAAAGAAGAGTGAGCAATGGGTAGATCAAAGGACAGAAAATGAGGATAAAGAGGAAAAAAAAAGAAGAAGAAACCATGAAAGAAGGGTCCATTGATCTGGTTTTATACCTGTGTAGCGGGCTGTGCTCCATAATTTTTTTTCCCTATACAGCATCAAAGCATCATGTTGTGTGTAAATTAAAATGTCAACCATTTGTTTGTAGATTTTATTTTTCGAATGATGAATTTTTTATATATATAAAAAATAAAGTGCATAGTCGATTTGGATCTGTATGTTGTGTGACAATCTGCTACGTGTAGAATGGAATGACTAGGTGAGTGTGAGTGGTAATATTCAATCTATTTGTTAGATGTACGCAAACAAACATGGGATCAACGACTTCGGATAAAAATATATTTTCATGTAGGATATCATCAATAGTCGTTTGTAGCATTGTGCTTGGCTGCTTTGATGGATTCGGGCATTCTCATTTGATAATCTCCATTCTGTGTAATGTATCTAACCCAAGGCAATGCTTGATATCCACTCTTTTCGACAATCTTGAGGTATCTGACTTGAATGCCAGAAACTGTAAAGTAAGGAATTTCAAACTTGATGTTGATTGGAGGTTTCTTTTCGGTGTCTTCAGCTGCTTGGACAGAAGGTAAACCAAAATGAGCACGCATAATGAACTCTTTTCCGCCCTGGAATTGCTTGATCTTCCAGACTAGGCATGATCTTTCTGGCTTGTAAGACACAGATCCATTGCTACACTTGAATTTGGGTGTATCGGCATCATCAGGGACAGGCACCTCGATCTCCACATTGTTGGCAGTGCTCTTGCGTTTGAATTGTGCTCTGGCCTTGACAAGATACTCGACACGAGATCCAGAATATGTCTCTACAACAGCTTCTACCCAAATAAGCGGCTTTACACTTGTCTGAAGACGATAGCTCATCAGTTCAAAATCGCCATCAGGTGGGATATAACTGATTGTACGATCGTTTTCGAATCTCGATAGACGTACACACTGATGGAACTTTACATCTTCCATTTCAATTGCCTTTGCTGACGAGTTTCCTATCATGTATGTATATCAATATACACCCATCTTGTCTCCCTTTTTTTTGTGTACAAGTATGTCCACTTACCTCTACCAGTGGCTTCAAACATGACTTTATCGTTCAAGCCCAAACGAAGCTCAGGCATGCCAGACAAATAACATCTCATTTTGACAGACCCCAACACCTCGCTTCTCAAAACATTACCATTTGAATTGACCTACGTGAAAATCAAATAAACACACTGTATCACTTTGTATATCCAACAACATACCAATAAATTTACACTTTCAATGACATCCAAAAAGACCTCGTTCTTCTTGTATTTGATACCCTCGGAACGCCAAGAAACTGCATTTGTAACAGCCATAGGAGGACGCACTTGAACCTCCAACTTGTGCGCATCTTGAGTAATGTATCTGTAGGGTTCGGCGAGTGTGAGTTGTGGGAGGGTTTGCATAGTGTACTACTCACTCTTGCAGAATCTTGGTTTCAGTTGTTTGAGGATATCCAAAATCCATCATTTCATCCAGCAGTTCATACACTATGACAAAATTGTCTCGAATAGACTCCTCTTCTAGCTCCTTGAAATACTCTGAAAACACTTCTGTCAGCTTGTGGAGATACAACATGATGGATGCTGCGTTTGTGTTCTTTCTCGTGATGGCCAGCACTATGGAATATCTTCAACACATATCCAACCTGAATACAGCACACACTTACGGTAGAGATTGCTATGCTTGAGGTACAAGTAGTTGATACCTTCATGAGTAAAACAAGGTAAAGGAATTTGCTCATCCTCAGCCTCCGAAATCTAGTGTCGTTTCTATGATAAGCACACTTGGATTCGATTTTTCGATAATCTCTCTACTTTACCAAAGGCATGAACTTTTCCACAGCGCTCATTGGGATATCGCCTCTGTAGTTGCGAGAAATAAGGACCTTGCCCTTGAGGTCCAAGATAAAGACTGATGATATATGTTATTTTGCACGTTCTTGTCTCTGTCGGAAAAAGCCTCAACTTACTTGCAGATGCCATAACGGGTGTATGTGTCTATTGAAAGAAGAGATAAAAGAGAAAGAGACAAAATATATTAAACAGTTCACACAAACACAAGAAATAATTGTAAAACGCGGACTTGTTAGATTTTATTACAGCAGGTTCATGGAGCCATCCTGTATGTGAACAGGCGGTAAGTGATGTTGTCGTCTGTAATTGGCCCAGCCTTCCAGAATCAAAGGCTTGAACAGTGAGTTGATGTTGCATCCAGTGATATCTAGCCATGCCAGTTCAGGCAGTGACTGAATGAGATGCTTGATTCCTTCTTCGTTCGTCCGACTAAGAAACGACACCGAGACATACTTTAGTCTCCTGCAGTGAGTAGCTAGTAGCTGCAGTGAAGCATTATTGATTGGCCAACATCGGACCAGATGGAGCAGTATTAAATGAGGGCAGTGATGGGCAATCGAGACGGCGCTGTCATCTGTCAGTTGATAGATGGAATTTAGTCGTAAATGCGTCAGCGACTCTCCCCAGTAACTGGTAATTTGCTCTATGTCTTTGTCTGTCATGGCTACTTGGAATCCAAGATCCAAATGTCTCAATCGCTTGGGCAGTTTGCATTGACGCTCCACTCGAATCAGCTCGTTGATACCAGCATCTGTTGCATTTCTCAAAAGACTCATCCACAACCCCACTATTGGTTTCCGTGCCTTCTGTGCCGTTTGTTTAGCAGATGCCAATGTCAGCAAAACTGCATCTGTAAGATGCTCACATCCAGACATGTTCAGGTATTCCAGTTGAGAGCAATGTCTCAATATTGTCGATGCTTGGTCATCATTTACCATTGAGAGCCACTCTGATTCCTTCTGCGTAGTGTCTATTTCCTTGTAGTTTTCGTTTTCTTGCTGGTTGTCATCCATATCCAGTGGCATTGGCTTATCCACATCTTCCAAGCCTGTCAGCTCAAAATTGACTCGCTCTAGTCGCACATAGCCTCTCAGCGAAGGCTGCAGATAATCGTCGTTTTCAATCACATCATAGTTGAGTGAGCTGGTTAATTGAGAAGAAATCAATCTTGGTGATGGCTTTAGAACGAGCGAGTTGACTTGAGGTCCAAATTGCGCAGAAAATGCAGGATTGCCAAACGTTCTTACCAGTAGTAGCCAGTGCGGCAGTGTGCGTACATACAAGTGTCTATAGAGTACTGGCATGACGGTAGCATACCATATTCGATTTACACTGGCAATGGCTGGCAGACTGGCTCTGGGCAAGTAATTCACAATCTTTTGTATGATCTCTGTTGGGAAATTGAGCGGGCATGATGGAGGTGCCCAGTTGGAATCATGGAGTAGCGTCAAAGGGTCTTCTTGCTTGTCTGTGCTGTAGTAAAATATACGCATGATGGATTTATACATATAAATCTGTGGAAACAGATGGAAAAACAAAAAACTGCCAAATGTGAGTTGAATATCAATTAGGCTTCTTTAAAGCTCAGTGAGTGATTGTGTGTGTTGATGGGATACACCCACCCAAGCGTTCATTAAACCAACTGCAACCCTTTCTTCACCACTCTACATTATCGTATGTTATCAAGCACTACTGGTTCTTTTATGAGCAGCCCTATAAAAAGACCAGAATTCAAGGAGAAATTTGTTGAAATCAGCGAGGATCTGTTTAGAGTAAATTTCAGCGCATGCAAACCACTCAAGCTGTCATTGCTTAACCTCTTTTTCTCTTTTTCTTAGGGAGTCAGCTTGTATATAACAGATGCCCAGAAAACCGGCTTTTGGGACAACTACCTCATACTACCTGTGAATACAAAATGCATCACCCGCTTAATACAGAACAAATCGGAAGAGAGCCTATTCGATGTGAAGCAGAATCTAGGAGACCTTTTTCTAGCGTGCCTGGAAAAGCTAGAATTGTCAGACCTAACGCATAGCGAAAAGACTCGCCAATTGAATGCTATTGCCATCTTGACCGCCCTGCTTCGAAACCTGTTTAGCAAAAAACGATTAAATCATTTCAACATTATATCTATTCTCACTGGACTCGATGAAGCAGATGTCTTGTTCTCAAAACTAGTGAAGGCGATACAACATCATATTCAGGAACCATCCACACGATCAGATACATTGCAACTCGCTCTGGTACTGGCTGCTGGTAGTGATAATGTGAATCAAAATGGGTTGAATGGCTATTTCATGTCAAATGACATGTCGATGACCTTGTTCAATGTGCTGGCTGAGGACTCGACAGAGACAGTAAATGAAAATGACCATCGAGATATTGTCATGCTACTGGGCATGCTGTCAAATTACAACAAGTATGAATCCAGGAACCCCTATTTATCGCACCAGAAAAAGACAAAGCAGACAAAGGCATTGGAGGTAAGCAATGAGCATGGCTTGGTTTCTAAGTAGGTATACTAAGCGCAGCTTCACTGAACAGAACATCATTCACATGTACACGGTTACCTTGACCAGCTTACGAAGGTAATTGCGCATAGAGCGATGTGTGGATGTTGATGCTTACCGTGCACTCAGTCGCTACATAGAGCTGAATGACGATGAAGAGACACTGTCAAAATCAGTAGTGACATACATGTCGAGGCTATTCTACTCATCGGCTCCTGCTGCACCCACCGAAGCAGAAAATTCAAAATCATTATCAGCATTGTAAGCAACCATAGCAATGCACAGTGTATTATTCAATTCACATTGCTCTACTCTACAGACCATCTGCACAAACAGCATTACTCTTACCCCTCTTTGATCTCATCAATGGCAATCCGTATTTTATCCACACCATCGTCAATGTGTGCTCCAAAATAGATTCTGAATCATCCACAACACCCTCAAGTACAAAAAGCACACTGTTGACATCTCTTATTTCATTTGCTTCGTATTTGTTTGAGAATAATCGAACGGAGCGCACCAGCATCTATGCCAGACTCTTGTTGACCATCTTGCTTCGATTGACAGAAGAGAATTCAATCATGAACTACATTGCAAGAGATGGTTCTGCTGCTGCTGTGCGTCTTTGTCGCCAAAGGCCTCCTCTACTTCCTTTGAATAAGTCAAGCCGGCCTCTGTTTTGTACCATCTTGGATGACATGCTTTTATTTATTCGACACAACATTAGAAAGAAACTCGATTTGACTTCATACAAGTAAGGGAATGGGCAAGCGGACATAGAGACATGTTACTTACTGGGTGCTGTATATAGACTGGCATTCTCCATCATGCATCGAATTCTCAGTTTTGTCAGTAAACACAAGATCAGACTGAGCTATCACTGGGTTGAATTATGGCCTTCTCTCACTTCTACACTGCATTTCACTGCACAACGATTAGAAGAACTGCGGTTTAAGGAAGAATTTTCTCTATTTATAGCATCAGTAAGTTTCTTATTTTTTGCCAAACATCCATGTATTCATAGTAGCATCGCAGTTTGTAAGTGTGTTCAACATGTGTGTTACTCATGGAGAAACATTCCTATCAGACACCAAGAGCTATGATAGTCTCTACTATGAGATTATCAGAGCAACAACTGATTTCATCAAACTATCAGACTATGGTACGTTTGAGACTAACACATGTATATGCTGCCAGCACTAACTCGCTTTATCCAGTGAATCAATCTGTCAATCTGAAAGCCAGAGCAGGCGAAAGAACACCATCTATTACACAAAATGAATTTTACAATATCAAATTGATTTGTAACCATTTCAAGCCTGCTTTGGATGAATGGCAAGCTGCTAAAAATGTCAAGTTTCCAACGCCTGAGCAAGTAATGGGTAAGTAGCTAACAAACCGTCTTTGTTCTCATCATTGATAATATCATGTGTAGCCATTATCAGCGAAAAGTATGCTACACTGGAACTCAAACCAATGGACAAGTTGGACCTGTATGTAGCATTTAATGAAATACCAACAGAAATGGGATTCTTTCGCCAGGTGCTTCGTGTCGTAGTGATTGATTATCTTGAATACTATGCATCAAAGATATCACCATAAATGCCTTGTAATCCAAGCAATAAAATCAATATTGCTGTTGAGAGCATTGTGAAATCAAAGGATAGTTTTGACATCACACTATTAGCCATTTATTACTGCAAAGGTCAAATCAATATGCTTGGGCTAGCTTGACTGGCAGGGCTTGCTAAATTCACAGCAATATGTATAAATCAATCAACCCAATCGAGTCGTATTTTTTCCCTCCCAATTCATGCCCTTGAATATATAGTGGCATTGCTACATATTCTGTGCTCTCAAGAAACCACATATCTTGATACAATACCAACCATTCTGAATGGCACGACGGCATCTAAGCTTATGCTAGAGATGTAAACAATTCTTTACATTTGATCACGTAAAGTGATAAAATGCATTTCCTCAACGGGAAGGTCATATTCTGCTCTGTCTCCGATAGATCTCTCTGCTGACAATACGATGTAGAGCACCTTTCGTGTTATTTACAAATGCCTTTGTTATTGATGCCCATCCTTTGGACAATCGAGAAGACCTCAAAATATGCCAAATAAGAAATATATTAGGTGAAATAACACGCGTGATGGGTATCACCACCAAAAAGACGCAATATAGCCACTTGAGAGCTTCGTAGTGAGTGCAAGAGTTTAATCCCATTTTGTAAGGCATATGCCAATGTTGCATCATCAGAATCGAGCGCAATACTAAGTACATTGATTCGTATAAAACAGAATGTTATGCATTTACACCTGTCCCTTTCTATGACGACGCACATGCCTGAAGCTTGGCTTAACATTGCTTTGTATATATATGTATATATATATATATATATATATATGGAGATGTTATTTTGCCAGTGTTAAGCAACTATTAATTAAGGCATGCTAGTGTGTATGCTTCGGATAGCTTTCTACCTTCGCTTCGCTTCGGTGAAAACCAACCTGCACAGCGGCAGCTCGCGCTACCGATTGCTCTTGCGTATCTTAACAAAATACTGCTATTCTCATTTTAATCCTCCACTTACACATGAAAAACCTTCATATTATCTGTGGACCTGGTTCTTGTGTGATGCTCTACATCCATATAGACATAGCTATTTCATATACGGGCAAGTATCATACAGATATTATCCTTTTTTAGTCAAGAGTGTGCCTAATACAGCAAATTCTGAGTGCATTCGAGCTGCATTTTCTTGCATTCAAGGCCGTTTTAGATTGTTAGGATAGCACCAAATAATTGCTCCCATCTGGCAGTTACTTTCTGACACCTTTGCTCAACTTTTTGGGGATCAAAAAAAAACTTGGACGAAATTCGATCAAGAAGCATGAGGTACCCCTCATACTTTTTGTCGAAAATCAAACGATCGCGTTTTTTATCTTGATAACGAAGACTTCTACTATGGTATATATTGAATCAAAATGTTTTTATCGATCCAAAGCAACCTCTGAAACCACTTTTATGAAGTCTTTATATGTAAAATTTCGACATTTTGGCCAAAAACCTTATTTCATATGTTCTGAAATTTCTTAATAATTTCATTCAAAACATCCATATTACTTTTTACCATTGGATGCGCCTTGAAAAGCACTCCAAGAAAGCTTGAGGAAGCATAGGATGATCATCATGTTTTATATAGTCGAATCTGCTAAAATAGTTCAATCGAGTCGGAAACCGTCAAGATTTGGCCAATCTGGAAGAGACTATGATTTTGGGGTTGAATTATTTTTGGCTGGTGGTGCTGGCTGGCAAATTCAATGCTCTTTTCATCATGAAGGCAATATTAATTCCACGTTTAATAAACGTTGGCAACATTGAGCAGAGGAAGGAAGGTAAAAATAAAAGTGGTTTTTGTTGGTTGACTGTAAAATCATTAATCATATGTGAGCCGGGCCTGACAAATGCCTAGAAATTCAGTTTCCATATTAGGGTTGTAAAAATGTCTAGGGATTGAACATCTATTATAGTATGATAAGATTTTATACATTGGGTGCCGAACAAGACTCAAAATCTCACATTTACTAGTATGAACATAAGACCCTGAATGAAGAAGAACGAAAAGCCTGAAAACATATCAACAAGGATGCTCACTTTCGACCCAACCCTCAAATGAGATTGGAGCTCATCGTTGGTGAAGATGGGTGAACTCAGAATCTGCCAACTGTCAACGAGATTGCAGCCATCATTTCCAATGAATATGCTTATACAAGTTTTAAACATATCCTCAGCATATACATAAATGGCTTTTCAACCAGTGGTGATAGTCTCTTTTAAACGAATCCATGAAACACATACTTCCTACATACCGTGTAGACATGCTGCAAATCAGGATTTAGGAAGTTGTATTAGGGTGGTGAGCTAGGCTGATTGGCATTTTCAGATATGAAAATTTCCAGCAAAAGGAAAAAAACGTATCTAAGCGAAGGAATAACCCTTTTAAATTCATCATTCCCATTTAATCAGCATCGCAATCATCAGTTGTCATCAGAAAGGCATTTAGGTCAGCCAGCAGCGCCAGCCACCGCCAAAATGGATTAAAACTCAGGTTATTTTTTCTGCTCAAGATTGGACAGATTTTGTCTTTTTTCGACTTCTTTAATTTATTTTATGACATTCGATTATATAAACTGCGATGATCAGCCTAAACTTCCTAATACATTCTTGTAATGCTCTTCAAGGCGCTTCCAATGATGCCAAATAAAATAGATGTTTTGACTGAACTCACCGAGCAATTTTAGAAAATGTGAAATGAGGTTTTTCGCCAAAATGTCGGCATTCTGCATATGAAGGCCTTGCAAAAGTGGTTTCTGAGGTTGCTTTGAATCGATAAAAACATTTTGAATTAATATATACCATAGTAAAAGTCTTCATTTTTGGGGCGAAAAACGCGATCGTTTGATTTTTGATGAAAATCATGAGATACCCCTCATGCTTTTTGTTCGATTTTTGGCCATGTTTTTTGGGTTCCCAAAAAGTTGAGCAAAGGTGTCAGGAAGTAACTGCCACTCGAGCACAATTGTTTGGCGTCATTTTGGCGTCATTTTGGCGACTTAAAAAGCTCTACATGTCAAGACATTAGAGCCAGAAAGCTGTCAAATTTGGCTGTGTTTCATACAATTGCTTGTCAATAGGTACCTTTTTGTTGAGATACAAAGGCATAAAGACATTGTACGCATCAATCTAGATTTAGAGCATACTGTTACATCCAAATATTCAGCTGGATATATTAGATTGAGTTGCATTGCTGTATCGCAGTATTCTAGCACAATGATATAGCTTAGTAGTGAGGCGATGGCGGTTGTAAAGCACACTGGACCTTTTAGACGTAATAGATAGTCTGCATATAGTAAAAATTATGCTATAAAATTAGCTCATACAGTATATAGGTGTTCCATAACTCGGTAGCTCAAAATACTAGGTGGCCTGCATCATATCCGTTTATCCCTTACAATTACTTTTACAGCTGAGCATAATCAATCCATTTTGATATGTATACATTTATTTAGTTGGGTAAGAAACAATTGATATATATATATGAAGAGAGCATCAATACGATACATAGTAAAAGAGTTGTAAGATATATATATATATATATATATAAGAGATATAGGAATGGGAAAGGGAAAAGAAGATATATAAAAGGAGATATTTAAAATGGATATAAAATAGATAGATAAAATAGATGAAATGTTAGATTACATTCAAGAAAAAGGATTTGCAGCCAGGACACGGATAACGGGAGGAGTACGAGCCAATTCAACGGTCAACACGACGCGAATCTTATCCAATGCTTTGATGGTTTGAAATCCTTGCTCAGTGCTATAAGCAGTGCTATCTGATAGTCTGGCGCGAACAATGGAAGCTCTTCTGTTGGATGTGGAGCGAGTAGGAGCAGCAGCAATAGCAGTACTATTCGAGCCAGATTGATGCATCATCATCAATGCAGGCGTGGACACTGACTTGTTGGGATAGACTGGTACAGTGGTGGCGGCGCTTGCATGATTCTCCTTGACAGCTAACTGACTTACAATGGACTCATTGTCATTCAATGTGTTCATCTTGTATTCCTCTTGAGGCAGCTGTTCTGCGGTAGTATTCATCTCTTCCAACAAAGCATCCTCATCAAGACCATCCTCGTCATCCTCTTCATCCGAGAGACTCCAATCGCTCTTTTTACCAGTAGATGTATCAACGCCCTTGCGCCAAAACATGGTCAATGACTGACTGTGCTGGTTGTAGTCAGATCTCCAAACAGGTAGGCAAGCCAGGTGAATGCGCTTTTCGAGGTTCAATTCTGGGATCACGACATCAAAGAACTGCTCAAAGACTGCAACTACGATGGCTTCACGGAAAATGACAGAAGGTCCTTCAATCACCTTTTGCTGCTGTTGGTGTTGCTGTTGGCTCAGCTTGTCCATATGGATAGATAAGAACATGAGGTTGCTTTGTTCACGAGCGTATCTGGCAGCGTCTTTCTTTACGTTGCAATGTTGTGCCAGCTTTTGGACAGTATCTCTATCCAACGAGAATCGCTTGTCTATTGCTGCAATGGTTAGCGTTGCCATGACAACGGAGCCTAGTCAACTTACCATTGGGATCGAGGGTAGCCTCCAACTGTCGATGAACAATAATATCAGCAAATCGTCGACTGGGTGCAGTGAAGTGAGTGAACAGAGGCACGTTCAAAGCGTAGTGAGAGTATTTTAGGATGTCCACACTGCCAGAGCAAAAATACTTGGGCGGTTGCAGTGTCTTGAGTGCAACAATGGAGACTAATTTGCGCAACTTGGCATCTTGAATAGCTTCAATCGAAGATTCCAGGGAACCAGCGTTTGTGCAGTCGAGTTTCACTCCCAAATGACGAGCAGCATAGTCTACAAGTTCAGCCTAAATCATATTACATTAGTTTTGCTGCTGCGTGTGCATTATTCTTATCAGTGATGTCTCTTACCATCTTTCTCTCAGAAGGTGGAGCATGACGACGCAACAATGCCTGGTTAGGGAAATGACTGGATATTCTCTGCGCAGCACTCTTGTTTGCCATGAACAAAAACTCCTTGACCATTCGAGCAGCAGGCAGTTTCTGGCTCACAGACACAGTGATGGGGTTCTCTTGATTTCCATCCTCAAACTCGTATTCCAACTCATCGCGCATTTGAGAAAAGAAGCCATTTGATTTTCTGCCTTGGTAGAGTGTTTGGTATAAGCCGTAAAGAGAGTGAATATCTTTGTGGACTTGTTGATCTGTATCATCTGACTGATTATCCAATATCGCTTGTGCTTCCTCATATGTGAATTTTGCAATGGATCTGTGAGGAGCATGTTGAGCACAATTGCTTTGTCACGCTCTTTATACAGGCACTTACCTAGTGATGGTTTTGCCAAACCACGTATCTATAATACCACCATTGGCGTTCAATTTGTAGATTACAGACAAGGTGAATCTCGACTCGTTGGGTGACAAATTGGTCACTTTTTCAGTGAGTATCTCTGGAATCATGGGTACATGTGTGTGGATCAAATCAACACGAACACCACGAGCTCTGGCTTCTTTATCCAGTGCCGATTGGGATTTGATAAAGTAACCAATATCGCTCACATGGACACCCACCTCCCAATGTTGATCATCCAGTTTCTTGATGGATAATGCGTCGTCCAATACTACAGACTACATTGAGTTGCTGTCATATATATCTTCGACCAGCATAAACTTACCATTAGAGCCCTTGGGATCAATTGTAAAGCACACAGTGTCGCCTCTCAAGTCGCGACGAGAATCGTCAGAGTCCAAATTAAAGGGCAAATTGGGCAAGCAGCTGTATACAGCGTCACTAAACTCGCTATCTGTGACATTGTTATCAGCAAAGATGGCCTTAGTTTGAGTAGAGAGCTCATAGACAGAGCCAAGCTCACGTTCCAGAGTACCAAAGGGATGCAAAGAGGTGATGGGCCATCGCTTCATGGATCCCACGAAGAGGCGAGTTGAATAAGCCTCGCTGTTGGCTGTGAAATCATTAGGCGCTTGCTCAATAGGAATTGCAATTAAAGGCACACGCTTATCCGTTGATTTGAACCAGACAATTCTGGGCGCTTCCTTTTGGCTCAGTGCATCTTGACCATGGATGGATTTTCGGGCCTCTTCCGCAGCCTTCTCTTCTTGTGCTCTCTTGTTATTGGGCCTCATCAAGGTCAACGTGCCTGAGAACACTTGGTTTTGAGCTCTTTCCAAGATGGCAACAACCACACCACAGAATTTGGGCTTAACCACATTGACATCCTCATCACCGCCAAAGATGATTTCATTTTCATCCTCCTCGTCAGGCAAACGCACCTTGGCCTGGCCTCCATTGCGAACTAGTTTAGCCTCTTCCTTCTCCTTCTTTTCTCTCAACACTTTGTCGACATCGACCAATCGCACAGCCACCACATCCCCTTCTAAAGCTCTGTTTCTGTCTCTGGAACCACAAATGTAGATATCGTCGTCTAGATCCTCACAATAAACATAGGCATCACTGCGGTTGCGCTTGTTGACCCGAAGTGCACCTCGACTGAGTTGACGAGATCGGAACAAAGGAGGAAGTGCCGAGAAGGGTAAATGAGCGATAAATAGAGGGCGACGTTGATGAGGGTTGGCATCATCTCGAGCGAAATTGACGCGAGTAGGTGTAAAAGGTACGAGTTGAAACGAGTTCCTGTTGCTGCTGTTGTTGTTATTGTTACTACTGCTCGATCTCCAATCCAGATCCAAGTTGCGAGACGAACGACGCTGATGACCATTTCCTGAACCCGACAATCTTTTGTTCTCCACCAAGATATCATTAGTATCAAATTTACTAGTAGAACTCAAATCCAAAGGTTTGTTGAAGGCAATACGACGACTAGTGGTGTTGTTGCCTGGTGTGGTAGCCATGTTCTCGTTGAGGGTAGGTAGCTGCAAAGACGTACGCTTAGACAGCAAACTGGAAGACGCACTTGTACCAATTTTACTAGCATCAAACTGCTGCTGTTGGTGTTGCGATTCCGAGTAGCGTCGACCCATGTTTTTGCGGTTGTTTTGGAATGTGCCCATCAGTTTTGCCTCAGCCTCAGCCAGTGCTTCATCGCGAGACAGGGCGTTGAAGATGTTGCCATCTCTGATCTCGCTGCTGTTGCTGGAGATACTGGATGACCTCTTGGGACGACGTCTGTTCTCGGAACTGTTAATATTACTTTGCATATCGGAGACACCGTTGTTGTACGACAATCGTTTATTACTGGTAACCTGATGATTTCCAACACCACCAGTTACAAGCGCTGACATGCTATGTTGTTTGCGATGGCCGAGGCTCTTTCTGTTGCTGTCTGTACTAGCTGCCGCCGTGTTGGGCGAGATAATGGGAGGCAAGTTCTTCAAAGTGTTGATCATATCTTGCAAGGAATCAATATCCACGTCTTTCTTCTTCTTCTGGGCATCTTGATCCTCCTCAACTAAGGTTTGCAAGCCAAAACTCCTGTTGCGCCCATTGTTGTTGGTGAAATTGGAGAAATCAGAAGCACTGGCAGACCTGGAGCGCTGATGACCGCGCTGCTGTTGCTGCTGCTGCTGTTGTTGCTTGTATTGAAAAGAAGGAGGTCTTGACTTTGATTGTTCTGGCTCAAATGAACGTCGTTTTTCAGGTACAGGGGCGCTTTCTCTGTGAGACTATATATCGAATTATAAGAACCGATCCATAGCCCTCTTCTTGCTATATTACCTTTTTCTCACTGAGAGGGGAATCAAACAAGCCGCGAGTACTTTCAGGAGCAGTTTGATGCTCTAGAGTTTCAAGTAATGAACTGTCCATTTCAGTTAGCTTAGGGGATAAAGTGAAGGATTTGAAAGACAGTTGAGATGTTCAGACAAATCAGGTGAAAATGAAAGGCTTTTTTTGTTACTAAGAGGGGAAAAAAAACAAGGGAAGTAGACGAGAGGCAGAGTGATGAACGACTGGTATCAGCTAGTGAAAGAAAGAAAGGTAAAGTGTGAAAAAATAGGTTAATTTCTGTATCTATAAGGTACAACATTGCCCTGTTGAGTTACAATACGAAAATCATATTGTGCAAAAAAGTTTTTGTGATACTCTTCTCTCTCTCTCTCTCTCTTCTTTCCTCTCTTTCACTTTCTTACACACACACACACACACACACACACACACACACACACACACACACATATGTACTCTACTACAAAGCGATTTCCTGCATCTTGCCGCTTCTTTACACAAGGCAATTGCAGGGCAGGACAGGATTGTCATTTCGCTCACATCTTACCGTTTAATGGGACGCCTAAAAGCACAATTCATTCCGTCATCATAGAAGGAAACGATGTGGATTCACCAGCACAGGACCTCAACTCTATACAAAAGGCCATCAGGAATCTGGAATTGGGACAATTAGAGAAAAAGTACTCTGCCTTCTTTCAGAATACAGCACAAAAGGATTTGAATACGTTGATTGATCTCTTGTTACCACTGGAAGATAAAGAGGATCTCAAAGTGCAGCTTGTGATTCCTTACAACTATCCAGACACTCAGTGTACATTGCAGATCCAAAACAACAATATGACTACAAAGACAAAGAGGTAAACCATGCTGTGTTCTTATATAATGGCTGCCGTAACTCACACTCTTCTATTTCAGCGACATTCAAGCTGCTTTTGAGGATTACGAATGGCATCAAATGCGACACAAAACCTTGGTTCAACAGCTGGACTGGCTAACCACACATTTCAACAACTTGTAATAAACGCTCTATCCATAATGCCTCCTTTTTTTTCGTTTTATTTAATTCTATACGACTATATATATATACTATAACTTAGAGCTTTGCAGCAGCAGCACTCTTCTCAAGAGCCTTTTTACCCAACTTTGCCATTGCGTTGACACCAAATAATGCAGAAGCAATCCAAACCTTGACAGTGATACTACCATTCTTGTTTGCAAATGTATGACGACCAACATCAACCAAAGACTTGTGGCTAGTGAATTGGAAAGTACCGAGTGATTTGCGCATAACCTGTGTTCTGGAAGCACCCTTTCTACGTCCAAGACGACCTGACACTTCATACTTGATACCTTGAATAGCTGATGTCAATTGTCCATTTGACACTTGAGGTAATAAACTGTTCCATTGAACTGCAAAAGGCATATTGTGAGGAAGAGGTGGCTTGACCAAGGGAACACCCTTCATGAATCGACGAGTTAGTTGAGACCATCCAATTCTTTCAGAATTGATTGTCAAGTATTGTGCCAAAATTTCAGCGTTCATATAAGGATAGTGGACTTGAGTGAAACGTAAATCGACAAATTTACCGGGATAAAGTGATGTGATGAGTTTTTCCAATGGTTCAAGCTTAAAATCAGCTACATGGCCAAATGCAGGATCAGCATAGTAGTAAAGTTGAATAGTGACCTTGGATGGTGAATGTCGGAAGGCAGGGGTTGATGTCAAGTGCTTTTGGAAGAAATGCTTCAATGTTGATTTGGTGGCTCCGTCCTTCTCCCATAACATGTTGTTGCGGTTGTTACGGGAGAAACAGTAGACTGATGTGTCCCAGTCTTGTTTACCCTTCAAACTAAGTGCCTTGATACTCTTTGACATTACGTCTTTCTTTAGTGTTGGTAAAGAAAAAAAAAAAAAGATTAAAAACCCCTCACCGTTTGACCCCCCTCTCCATTATGGAGTTGAATTAGAGTGGAGAGTCAACTGAGCCAGGGATTGCTATTAATCGAGTCACTAGAAATCCGAAAGCATTTGATGTAGTCTCTTCACGATGATTCATGTTGTCAAGATACACAGAGGATGAAGGTAGCAGATGCTGTCGGCCAGCTAAGATCAAACCACTGCATGTGGATTTTAGAGTATAGATATAAGCATACATACATGAGGTCGGCAAAGTATATTCAATGCATGGACAATAATCTAGCTTCACTCTCTGAATAAAAATACCACTTGGTCTCATTGAATTGATTAAAAATACACATTCGAGGAACTTCTTCTCACAGTAGGCAAATGTAGAAGTATACTTATTTCTGCTTTTCATGTAACCTTGTTTTCATCCATCAGCGAATCCATTCTTGCAATTGCAGTGGCGAAAGGAGGCAGCATTTTCTATTCCAGGAGCCATTATCAGTTTATAGGCATATGATTTAATATACAAAGGCAATCTCCCTTTCAATAGATGTTGATAGCAAATAATTAATGCCATGTAAAAATTTATTATATTCATATGCAACGTTTCATCCGTTCCTTAAGGAGATGACTTCGATGACAAGGTATATAAAGCTATGATTTAGTGATACTCTGACCAACTGTAGTAAACATGTCTTGTTTAATCCGTTTCTCATCTATTATTCTTTGCCTAATTTCTTATGCTCTCGCTGCACCACATCGTCCGCTTGTAGGTGTCCATACAAGCCAAATTGGCACTGGTGATATCAATGCACAACATTTGGGAAACAATGTTGTTAATGCCAACAATCTGAATCTACACAACATTCTACATGATATCAGTAAGTTTCTACCCATGGCGCTATGAGCATCGGCATTGACTAATGATTTTTTAAACCGTAAAAGATGTTCTTTCCAATGGCCACTAAAAACCTATTATGTTTGGCAGTTTAACTATCTTTGATCCGCTTTCCAAGAGGGTGGAGATCCAATGCAATATTTGCATTGTAGCTATTTCACATTCAAAACCATCCATCACGCAAGATTAGTGATGGGCAGTTTCAATATAGTCATACTTTCTAAATCATATTAACTAAAACATTACTTGCAAAAGTCATATTTAAAATGCATGTCAATTTTTTTCAGTACTGTGTGGAGCGAACCAACAGCTAGATTCATCACAAATGGCATAAATCTTGCCTTTGCATAGTGTCGCTAGAACGATTTAGAATGGATGATTTGTCAATTAGCTTGCCTAATTACTGCAATTGTAATATATCCCATACAAAATTAGCGAAATTCGCATGATGTTGTGCTCACAATCCCATTCAATTATTCACTTTAGATTGTTGCAACAATATTTCTTGCACATTCAGGTCTAGCTTCTCTGGATAAATATTGTGAGGATGAATCATATAATCAGGGCCATATAGCGTACTATCTTTAGATTCGGAACGTTTATAGAGAGGGGTATGTCTGGCAAGTCATAGAAAACCTATCAGGAAATTATTAAACGTTGTCATGAAGATGTCTTTTGATATGCGTTTCTTGCCAGAGAGTAGTCAAACGTTTTCTCTGAGACATGTCTTGTGTTCAAATTAGAGAGCTTGTTCGACAGTAGCGAACTTAATAGATTTCAATGCTATGTTAGAGCCAACCTCTCAGATTCTACAAGAGAAATCTATGCCACACAAGATGCACTGATCTATTAATGAATTTCTTGAAGTGCCAAGCTCTTGTCTTGCAATCATCGGGTCAATTAACAAGATAGGTTTATCTCTTGAAAAGAAATTCCTAAGCATAGGTACATCGTCATAGGTAACTGTATCTAAATTTATCCTCAGGATTAATGTATTGAGCCATGCTATCATATAAAGAGTCATGCTACCTTCAGAGGCTGTTAATGTTGTTCGTACAGATCTTATAAGGCTTGCACACAACGCCTCAGCATTGTAATAATTGCAAGAAAGGCATGTGTAGCCTAACACAGTCAGGAAATCCTGGTGGATTTCACTTTCACATTACGGAAGCACATAGAAACTACTATCTATAAAGAAGCTACTTATCAGCAACAGAAATCATGGCGGTTGACAAACGTAGGCTTACAAATGACATGAAATTATGCTTTTTATTTCGTAGTTCTTTTAATGCGTATATATTATTTGTGGGTTCGGGTGAACTCTCGTCGTGTATAAATTTATTTATGCAATTTAACATGGCGACTCGAACTGATTCTATGAATCTATCATCATCTGCTGCAATTTTTGAATCGCAAGCATCTGACGCTAAAAAAATTCAGCAATACGTTTTCGTGTTGTATTTCGTCGTTTTATCGTTTTGTGGCTCTGGGCTTGTAGTCCTTCTTCCCGAGTTCATATTACTGAGCTTCCGTCGGTTTTCTCAATCCGCTTCGCCTTGTTAACAAACTATTAGCATCGAATTTACCTGATAATTTTGACCAACGATGCAATCTCATGGACTGATCTTTCCCACATGCTAAAGGGTTACGCACTTTTTGTCTTCTTTGCTTCCGTTTCTCTATATCCGATATCTTAGCCTCTGGCGGATTAGTGCCATTAGACACAAAGATAGGCGTTATATCGCTATAGATACAAAATTTAGTCATTTTGTAATGGCCAAGGATATGTGGGTAAGGATAACCTTTGATTGTATACATTAATATGTTCAATTAACAAATTGCAGCAATCGTTAAAGTCTATTGACTAAACGCTTCCAGCTAACAGCTTGCAGAGAGTTCGATGCGTATTTTTTGAGAAGTGCTGTTAGTCCGTGAACTCCCATTTAGTGTGTTTTTGTGTTGGAAAAGAAAAGATCAAATTGTTTAACATTCAACAGAAAAAATAACGAGCATAAGAGCGACTTTATCATCTGGTACTTCGCACTACCGTTCAATATTTGTTCTATAGCAATCCGACGACTTTTGCCAGTAGGGTCTGTCTAAATCAACTAGATCTCTCAACGAGCAAACCAGCTAAGCAAATCTAATTTGAATTATTGTGTTGAGGACAAAAACTGATTTAGGAAGATACTACCTTCAACTCTCAAGGACCAATATTTCAAAACTCGATTTTGGATGACCCTAGCCTCGAAATTGATATCGCTTTTGTTGGGGCATTTTTCAGCTGGTAGGAAGTAATCCAAAATCAATGCCGCAAAAGATACTAGGTATCCAATAATAGATTTATTTGACTCATATCTCCAGTTTTTCTGCATAAAGCTTGTGGAATAATTGATTAACTTTTTAGCCCTATGCATTTACAAATGAGAGAAAGGTACTCTTCTTCAAGTATTCAATATTGGACTATAGTTTCAACAGTAAAAACAATTGTTCGGTAGCCGTAGTACGGCCAGAATATACTGCTGTAACAACATCGTAAACAAGATTGTGCTAAAGTAGTGCTTGTATTATAACTTCCCCATATAATAAGGATAAGGAAATCCCTCACATGAGCCTGTTTAGTAAATTTCAGATCAAATGATTGCATCTTAATTTAGATTTGAATAGAGAACAAGGACTTAAGTTGTATTGATTTGGTCGCCCTTTTATTACAAACACAAATTCAATATAAATGACAGATTAATAGGAAAACAACTAGTTATAACCCATCGTCGTGTCAATCCCTGAGCCAATTAGACTGCTTGAAAACTCCGCTGACCTAAAAAAGATTGCGAGGGTTTCCCCCTGTTTTGATGAGAGACAGAATTTTAAGCTCCGCTATATATAGCAATATAGCTGTTATTATCATCAAATTTCCCTCAGGTGCTAGAGCGTGCCTTACTTACACCACCTAGCTTTTAGATTCTGGCGTTGAGACTCTCAATCATCACTAAAGTAAGTAGTGATAACCAAGTGGAGGCAGCCTATTCATCTCTTAGTCTCGGATAAAGTCTTGTTGAGCTTCAGCGATAGGCACATCCACCACAACGTAATAAAGAGGTATGCTTCAAAGAAACTGTGGAATTTGAGGCTTGATAGACTAAAATTCACGGAAAAAAAAGAATAAGAAAAGAGTAAAGTCAACTTGATAAAGGTATATTTTATTATCAAACTGACAGGTGTAAAGTAAACTGAAGTCTCTCTACTGGCCAGGTAGATGATCCTTCTTATATACTATAACAATGGATAAAAGTTCTATTAATTAGATTGACAAATAAGTCAACTCAGATCAACTAATGTCTAATCATGCTAAAAGACAACTCCAGCAAGCTAATCATGATTTAGCTCTGTCTGGATGAATAATTAGACTCTCATCCGAAGTACCCTGATCTATCCTTTCTATAAGGATAATTAATATCGATCTAGTAGCATGTATCCGATAGGTACAGTCTTCTTAGTCTATATTAATAGTACATATCTGAGTGTATATCGCTAAGCATACATCTTTAGCATGTATCTGGATATATGGCATGTCTATAGCATATCGTATGCATGTCTATAGCATGTCTCATATATAGTACAAGTCTGTAGTACATAAAGTATCTGTAGCTACTGTAGGGGGAAAAACTGTCCCGTTCGTTTAAAATTTTGTCTTTTTGCACAAGTTTTTGGTCATTTCTTTGTATACAAAGTCGAAATATATATCGTTTGAATGAGAGAAAGTAGTGCTATCTATACATAATTATAACTTTTTCAAAAACTAAAATCCAATGATTTTATTGGTTAAAAAATAAATATAGAAAAATGTACATTTTATTATAAAATCATTAATAGTGAGTTGAACCACCTTTGCTCTTGGTGACAGCCTTGATTCGGGCAGGCATACTATCAATATATTTCTGGCACTCTTTTTTTGTTATTTTGTACCACTGAATGTTAATACGCCGCTCTAATTCTTCTTTTGTAGAGGGCCTAGTAGGATACTTATTAAGACGAAGCTTTAGGAGATGCCAGACATGTTCAATGGGATTAA